GCTTTTACACACAGACGCTTTTACACACAGACGCTTTTTACACACAGGCTCTTTCACACACAGAGACTTTTACACACAGAGGCTTTTACCCGCAGAGACTTTTACACACAGACGCTTTTACACACAGACGCTTTTACACACAGAGCCTTTTACACACAGACGCTTTTACACACAGACGCTTTTACACACACACGCTTTTACACACACACGCTTTTACACACAGACGCTTTTACACACAGAGTCTTTTACACACAGACGCTTTTACACACAGAAGCTTTTACACACAGACGCTTTTACACACAGACGCTTTTACACACAGACGCTTTTACACACAGACGCTTTTACACACACAGAGGCTTTTACACACACACTTTTACACACAAACACTTTTACACACAGACGCTTTTACACACAGACGCTTTTACACACAGACGCTTTTACACACAGACGCTTTTGCACAACAGAAAGCTTTTAAGCATCAAGTAAAATCGCAATTTTTCCTCAGGTTTTTGACGATCGGCCCTAGCATTAGTGCGAAAGGGTTGCTCCGGCACAAGTAAAATCGCATTTTTTTTCAGTTTTTGACGATCGACCCTCATTTCGTGCGAAAGGGTTGTTTTAGCACAAGTAAAATCGCAATTTTTCCTCAGTTTTTGACGATCGACCCTCATTTCGTGCGAAAGGGTTGCTCCGGCACAAGTAAAATCGCATTTTTTTCAGTTTTTGACGATCGACCCTCATTTCGTGCGAAAGGGTTGACGTTTCGTGACTCACCGCCGGTACCACCCTCGGCCTAAAGAGAGAAAGATAAAGAAGGCGAGAGAGAGAAAAAGGAGAGAGAAAGGAGAGAGAGAAAAAAGAGAGAGTGAGAGGGAGAGAAGATGTGAAGATGAGAAGGTGTGAGAGAAGGTGTGAGGATGAGAAGGTGTGAGAGAAGATGTGAAGATGAGAAGGTGTGAGAGAAGATGTGAAGATGAGAAGGTGTGAGAGAAGGGTGTGAAGATGAGAAGGTGTGAGAGAAGATGTGAAGATGAGAAGGTGTGAGAGAAGATGTGAAGATGAGAAGGTGTGAGAGAAGATGTGAAGATGAGAAGGTGTGAGAGAAGATGTGAAGATGAGAAGGTGTGAAGATGAGAAGGTGTGAGAGAAGATGTGAATATGAGAAGGTGTGAGAGAAGATGTGAAGATGAGAAGGTGTGAAGATGAGAAGATGAGATACAGACCTCCACTATTGGAAGAACCCTGCGCTCAGACGCTCTCGGGAAAAAAAAAGGTCGCCGAGCCTCGAAGTGCCTCGATTGCAGGCTTAACAGGACCTCTTTTATCAACATATAGCAATAGAAAGGGAAAGATTGTCATGAGCAAGACAAGCAGGTAAAAGGGGGCTGTTTTGGGTTCGTTCTTCGCACCTGAACTGATATGATTTTTCGAGACGGAGTTGGGGGCCTCCCTTGTACTCCATGCCTTTGGAGCCTTCGAAAATTTCGCCCAGGTCAGGGGAGAACCGTCCAGGTCATGCCGTCAGAATAGTATCGGCAGATGGGAAGACCGTGGGCCACCCGATAAAGGATTTATCTGTTCCCGATGGTGTTGCGCACCCGTGGGTGCACTCATCATCCATATTCCTAACTCATCATCTGTGCCCATCATCACTTAAGCAATCTGGTACCCCCAGCTGCGCGACAAGCGCCATAATTTTTTTTCTGGAAACATTAGGTTCCAAAACAAGGGCTGCAAAACATACAGTTTTGCGGTGACGCGCCGTACTACTCTAAATCAACAGCTACACGTGTGCAAAAAACTGAACGGGAATCAAGCCCTTTCCACCCACTTGCACGCTTTCTGCTCCCCGGCATTTGTCCTGATTCAAACAGTCTCGTGAGATGTCCATGCGCATTTTCAATTATGCAGACACAAAACGGGGGTACCGTTCTTGGAGTGCAACTTTTCTTGCCAAATCCTCGCAAAAAATGGTTCTTGCAAGATGTCCGTGTGGATTTCGACTGCGCAGGCTTGTGGCATTTTCCGTGTAAATTCTCGCGTTGAATTTCTTCTGAAATGTCCATATGCATTTCTACGGCAGGTGCATCGACGGCAGGCTTGTTGCGCCGCCGAGTTTTTAAGCTCTTGGTTTGTGGCATTTTTATTACAATTCTTGCATAAACTTTCTTAGAGGTCTTGCGCAGGTCTTTGTGATTTGTGGATATCTTGGTGACAGGTCCTTGTGAGAAGCTCTTGAAGAGACTCTGGTGTCCCTATCTGATCTCGTACAGGTCCTTCTGAGAAGATATTGGAGAGATCCTGTTGACATCCTCCTCAAAAGGTCCTTGCATTACGATTTTTACAATCATCTGCATTGGTGCTTGTATGAAAATTTATTTGGGATGCTCATAGGAAGTTCTTGTAAGAGGAATTTGTAATCTCCTTTATATAGATATCGATGGTCGCGTTGCTGCAGCTGCAATATTGTCTAATCTCATCTGTTACTGTTTCACAGCTACTACTACTTGTATCTAGCATTTTGACTTCCTATTCCCACACTATTTGGAGTCTCTTGCCTGTGTAATTTTGTGGCAGAACGCGCGGAGTTGCAGTTCCACCTGCTATCGTGCTCCGAATCTGTATGATGGGAATTTGGTCTGTTTCATCCATGTTTCTTTGACGGTTTTCCGAACATGTCGTCATTTTTGCTGAGGGCCTCTGGTTTTTGACAAGGTATTCACACACACACGGACACACACTGCACTCATTCACTTGCCAGATCTTGCATCTTTGCCAACATGTCGTGGTCACGTTGTGTGCCAGTAACCTCTGGAAAGCCACTCCGTAGCGAATTTGTTAGCTTTTTGGGCCCTGTCGGACCCGTACACTGTGCCTGATAGAATTTCGGAGAGAATGTCAGAAATATGCCAGCATGAATGTCTTTGTCAGGTGGCATGCCAATTTAAAGAAATGAAAAATGCGAAAAACATATTAGATAAAATGACAAATCAAATGCCAGAAACATGTCATATTTTTTTTTGTTCGGACGGCCGTTTATGCTCTGAGGCACGATCCTTTGAACTTCAAGTCTTACTCGCGGACCAGCGGGGAATCGAACCACCACCGGCAGTCTGTCAGCGCCGTCAAAAACGACCAACTGAGCCACGAGGACGACTACCAGAAAAGAACCAAAAAACATGTCAGATAAAATGGCGGATAGAATGTCAGTTCAAATGTCACAGAATGCCATGATATATTCTTGATAAAATGACAAACGAAATGCCAAAAAAAAGAAATTAAACGTCAAATACAATGCCGCGGAAAATGTCAGATAGAATGCCAGATGCAATGCTGGAGAGAATGTCAGCATATGTCAGATAGAATACCAGGTAAAATGTCAGACAGAATGCCAAGACATATTTTGGAATGTATCGCGCGATTTTTTTTCCAATTTTTGGTTGTGGTTTCCAGAGAGGTTGCAGGGCGGACATGCACGGGCATGGGAAAATTGTATCGCAACAAATTACAAAATAGGCACAAAACCGCAGAAAACAGTGCGTCTTCCTACATCTAATGCAACCATCGTGCTTGCGCACGGGGAAAACGCGCAAAAACAAATTGCTACACATTTCGTGCTGATCTCGGTGGCTTGCCACGGTTACGACATGGATGGAGAGCTGGCTGTGACTGGAACGCGATCAATGCACCGCCTGGGCTCGGTTTTCTGCGTTCTAAAGTGTAAAAAACATCAACACCATTTTTTCAAAAAAAATGAACAGTTTAATATGAACATATTCACCTGACTATACTCCAAAAAGTCGGTTAGTGTCTGATTGTTTTCCCTGTAACCAATTTGGTAATGTTTCTCAGGTCATTTTTTTAGGCCATCCAAACAGGTGTGCAAGCAGATTGCAAGAGACATAGATCATGGATCATGATTTAAAAAAATCCAAGAGATGCTAAAATTTTGGCATGTTTTACCGCCATGTGACAATACGCCACAAATTCTCCACATGGAAATGCTGATTTTCAACGAAAACGTGTTTTGTTTGGCATGTTGTGAAATGCCCTCGAACAAATTTGTTTCAAACAACTAAGAATTTGCCATGTTTGGGGTGGAACGCAGGCATCAAACACCAGTCATTTTTGGTTTACCTTATTGCTTTTCAGGGTGCCATGTTTTTTTTTTCCGGCCCAGTCTTGATGATTTGTAAACAGGTGAAAAAAACATGGTTTTGTTCCAGGCGATCCAGTTTTTCTTGGTGCCAGTCTATGCACAGTACATTATATGTTTTGTTGATACCCAAACACTTGCAATGTGGCGCACGATGTTGTTATGATGGCATTTGTTTGGCTTCAGAGTTTTTGAAAACGTAGCTTGCTTATCGGACGTCAGGACCGACTCGCTGGAATGTCGCCTGCGCTGCTGTGGGTTCACTGTGGTTCATGTGGTGCATTGTTCATTTTGATTTCATGGCATAACATGGTTTTTCGTTGTGATTTTTCATCGGTTTTGATCGTTTTATGGGATTTGAACATGCTGACTGTTTTGTTTTTGTTGATTTGGAATGTGAGGATCAAAAACCCTCAGTGGTTTCACTGGAATCACTGGAATGAAGGGATGATGTTTTCAGTCGAATGAGGGTCTCAATGGTTGTTACAAATCAAATATTTGTGTGTGGTTTGAACATTTATGCTTTGTGTTTGATCCGTTACAGGTTTGCTTTAATCTCGACAACCAACTTGTCATTTTGGATGCTTGAGATCATTGATAAAACCGACAAAGGAATCGCACAGTGGCTGATCTTGGCGTGACACCAATGAGGCCGTCTTTTGAATACTTGGCGTTGCGATTGTGGATATATTTTTTTCAAGCTAGCAACCACATTGTCGTGAAAATATGCATTTTGCCTTGCATTTGAATGATTTTTTTTTATTACTGATGGCTGATGGCGTCGGAATTTCGCAGGTTGCCAAGACGTCCGTCGATTTTGCCATGTTTTTTGCTGTGTGTGGCGATGGCCTTGATTTTTAAAGGACAAATGCCGATGGGTTGTGTTTGAAACAGGCAGCAAAACAAGAAAAATCGAAACAAAATTTGGAAGTGGAACCTTGCACTGAGCGAAGGATGGGATTTCTGCTTCGTTGCCACCGCCTCGGCAATGTTTTGCTCGTGTTTTATCTGCCGAATTGTGAGCGTTTGGACAGTGCGTTGCGCTCTGCCAAGGGATCCAATGGCTCTTGCCAGGCGGCATGCGCCATGAAGTTGCCGGGGGAACACCTTTTTTTTGATAGTCATTTATCATCATTTGGGTAACTTATCATGGTTTTAGGGGTCATCCCCTTGAGTCGAGGTTTGACATTGATGTGGTAAACCCAATCATTTTTTTTGTAGATTCCCCAAACGTTCAACTTGGCTAATGGTTTCCTATTGCCTTTGTCATCTTGGTTTCCATATCTTTCAGACACACCGGGGGTAAGGAGATGGCCGCACTCCGCAAAGGTGTTCGGTGCTTGAGAGCATGCATTAAATTACATATGTATATTTATATATGTATATTTGTATATGTAATATATATATATACACATAGATGGTGCCTAAAATTGAAGGTGCCATCCTCGTTCCTTTGCTCTACATATTTTTTGGGCTTGGGTACAGCCTGTTTGGTAAGTAGATTCAACATGTAGGCCGTAGAGGTTGTGTATACCCAAAATACAGGCTGTAAAGGCAGTTTATTCAGTTATCTATATTATATATGCAGAAAAAATTAAACCGTGGGTCTGTAGGGACATGTAAATATCGAATTTAATTCTGGATAAGATTTGTATCTCCTTTGATATGTACATTGTATGGTATCATTCAACATGCATTCAATGATGATTATAATCTCTTCCCCAGTTCATATTAAACACCCCCAGATAAAACCATGGTTTAGGGAATTTCCACATCATTGGGAATCATTGGGACCATTTAGGGAGTGTTTAAGGTGTTTAATGGTTTAGGGGGATGGGATTGTCATTTCCATTTGGCAAAAACTCCACTGGTCCTGTCCTGAGGCGACACAAAGGTCACTGCGTGGGCACCGAGCCCTGGGTCTCGGAGGTGCGGCAAATGGGCAAATGATGACCCCACATGATGGGTGACCCCAAATGATGACCCCATATATGACCCGATATAGAATTACCCATATATGATGGGTAAAGCTCATAAATCCTCAGCACTTGCCATGATTTTTGACTATTTTGCCAACATTTGGCATGATTTTTGAAGCCTTTCCATCATTTGCCATCATTTTGCCATGCATTTTGAATCTTGTCCCAACATGTTCGTTGGATTTGGGTATTTTGGTGTCAGGCGATTTGCCAAGTCTGGGAGGTGCTCAGATGATGCTCGCGGAGGGTGACAGCCGGAAGCCGAGTGAACGTGCAAAAACAGTAACCTGTCTCATGCGTCTATTGTCTATAGGATAAGTTATTTTGTATAATCATTTTCTATATCCATGTAATATATATATATACATATATATATAACAATTCTATATCATTCTATATATATATATAACTGGTTTCCTAAAATGGGGGATCCCCAAGTCACCACGGGTTTGAATACCAAAGTCATGGTCTAATGACTTTGATGATGAAGGGCTACCCCCATTTTTGGACACCTCCATACAATGAATTCTATATCATTCTATACAAGTCTATATCATTCGATATATTAAGTGATTTTGTTTGTCGAGACTTGGAGACTTGACTCAAATGGGTGGTTTTTCTTGCGTGGCAAAGCTCCCAAAAAGTTTCCTTGTTTCGTGTGGTGAAATGGAAGGCACCGCCGCAAGTTTTGTTTCGTCACCTTTGCGATCTGTTTTAGTTTGTCCAGGCCTGCCGCTTGGATTGGCAGCCGGAGCAGCACTGCTGTTTTGACCTCAGAAGGCTACCGGATTGGATTGTCAGCAAACTTGGTATCTTCCGTTTTACCAGTGGGATTTCTGATGTCCTTCAGGCTAGCGGCTGCTGCCGTATTTTCAGCCGGGAGCTTTATGGCTTGCCATACATAGCAGCCCCTACTTGGATGTGCATCCTAGTTCGTCATTTCATAATACCCTACGGCCCTACATATGTAAGTTGTATAACTGGGCCCATCCCATATTCAAATAGGTGACGCGGTTATGAACCACTCACTAGATGGATTAAAAACCCTGCCCCAACTGAAGGCAACTTCCAAGCCGCGAGAAGATGGAGCCAAGGAGGAGGAGACGTAGTGAATGTTTCACCAAATCCACCCAAAAGTTCTTGCTTTCTGTGTATAGAAAACCAATGTACATTTATGTGTACACATCTGTCTACATATGAATAAATAGGTGAATAACAAACACAATGAATATCATGGAGTCTAGGGGTGGTAAGGGGGTGGGGGGTAAGTAGCTTATCATTAGGGGCTTCTGTGTAAGGCTCTTTTTAGAAGCTTAATAGATGCTTATCCGTTAAGCTCTGAACAAGGCCTGGTTAAGTCTTCAGCCAAGGAGCCTAGGACCAAGGTATGGGAGAGTCTGCGGAGGGGAAGGGCCTGGGGAGGGTGTGGGAAGGTTTGGGCGAGGATCGGAGGGTGGTTGGGGACGTTAGGGGGTTGGGGGGATTTTTGGGGGATTTGGGGGGGGTAGGCAAATTAGCTTGGGAGCTTATCCAAGGCTTATCCTTTAAACCCTGGATAAGCCCTTAATCAGCCCTGATCAGTCTTCAACCGACCCTGGACAAACCTTGAATAAGGATCTCTTGTTTCATTCATGGTTGGACCAGGGAGTAAAGACAAGTTTTTCCCTGGCGTGGGATATCCGATAACCCCTTATTAGGCTCTTATATGACAAGCTACTTACCCCCCCCTTACCCCCTAGACTCCATGAGAATAGAGAGATAAATTATTATATCTACATAATTATCTATATATCTATATACATGTCTGGCGCCCCGCAGGAGCTTCCTCCATGGGCCAACATGGTGCAAGTCACGCAGGATGTGCTCAGTGGGAAGCCGTTGGGATCCTCGGTGCAGCTTTGGAAGATCTATGTATCGATCTATCTGTCTGTCTATATCTACATATCTCTACATATATCTACATCCACATCTATGTGTATCTATATCTGTATTTATATCTGTATCTCTATTTCCATTTATATCTCTATTTCTATCTCTCTTTTTTCTATTTCTATTTTTGTTTCTATCTCTATCTCTATCCCTATCTATCTCTATCACTGTCTCTACCTCTATCACTGTCTCTACCTCTATCTCTATCTCTACCTCTATCTCTATCTCATTTCTATCTGAATCTCTATCTCTATCTCTACATCTCTATCTATCCATCCATTTATTTGCGTAGATGCAATTTTGCCTGCATATTATATCCACATTACACATGTCATTGGCATGATGCATATGCCTGGCTACAATTTTTGGATGGGTGTCTCCATCACGTCACCCACGTATCTGTTGCAGCTGTTCAGCCAAGCATCACAGTCTCTGCGACCGAAAGTCCATGTTGATGTCTATTCATCCTGGCATAGGTGAAACATGGTCAAACGATTTACATATGATGTGGTAATTCAATCGTAAAGCCTACCAAATTGGAATGATTTTTACAACCTACGAATGATAACATTGAGGATGGGTTCCACATATCATGTACATATATGTATATATATATACATACATGCACATGCATGCATACGCATATACACAGACATGTACATATTTGCACCATTGCAGATTTAGTAAATGAATCAGATAAAACTGACGGAAAACCCATGTTCCTCAGGATAGGTATAGTTTCAACTTCATACAGATCCAGCTGCGTCATGTTCTGCAGTGCAGCACTGGGAGCTTTGAAAGTGGATGCTGCACACCTTCTATGGGAGGCAGTCGCCTGTAGTCACTTGCATTTTTAATCAAAAATACTCGAAGCATGCGTATGGGTCAAAACTTATTCACAGATTTTGCTCCGATCTTGTTTAAAATCATCCAGAACTTTGGAGTGAATGATTTTGAACCATACCTACATCTCCCACATCTTGTAACATGTTCCATGGCGGCATTGACACTTCCTGTGTTCCAGCTTTGCTGGGAGGCAGAAACGACGGCCATTTCTGGGGCTCTTGTTGCTGTTCATTTTTTTCAGGCGAGCCGGATCCAAACTTGGGACGACCGATTGGAAACAGTTCCGCTGACCCACCGGCCGTGGCAGCCAGGTGGTCAAGTTTCACGAGTTTGTTACCCAAGTTTCACACGGGTAAGCAATAAGAACTCGTATCAATGAAAGGATTCGCAATCCTTGCACATTCAGACTGAATTCTGCTATAGATGACGTTTACGAAGGCATCGAGACAGGTCTCTGTCCCAAACACTGAACCACTTTACAAATGAAGAATTAGGAATCGTAGAGTTAAATTGTGAATGGCTAGTTCATTACGATCCTCCCCAGATAGCATAGGATACTGTATGAACTTGTTTCTTGCACATGAGCAACAAAGTGGGATTTGAGTCCGTGCGTTGTCGTCCTGTATAGTATAATATAATGTATAGTATAATATTAATAATATATATATATATAATAGTATAATATTATCTAATATAGTATATATAATATAATATAATATAATATAATATAATAAAATATAATATAATATAGTATAATATCATATAATATAATATAATATAGTATAATATAATATAATATAATATATAATATAATATAATATAGTATAATATCATATAATATAATATAATATAGTATAATATAATATAATATAGTATAATATAATATAATATAATATAGTATAATATAATATAATATAATATATAATATAATATAATATAATATATAATATAATATAATATGATATGATATAATATAATTGTATGATTATATGTATATATACAGAATACACATAGATAATCATAGATATATTCAGTGCGCAGAACCTTAGCTTGCGGATGTACGGCCTGGGATAGTTTGACACCAAGATCCCAAATCCCGATCCAGTATGATCGGTTGGGCAAGCTTGCATTTCTGGTTGTCTCATTTCATATTCAATATTCCTTGCCCGTTACAGGGAACAGCCCATACGATTGTCCCCTATCTTCTCCTGTGGGGAAAAAAGAAGACATCGAACATTTACCCTGCATATTTATCCTCATGCAATTTATTCCTATGATTATCCCCACATTGATATGCCATGATATGCTGCCGAAAAGTCTTATCATATTTACCATAGTTGACCAAACTTGCTGGTATAGCCGGATGTTCTTGCCCCTCCTAAGATGGTAAGTAATCATATAAATACATGATATTTCCCAAAAACATATCAACCTTGTAGCTTTGCAATATCCCTAAATACAATTCTCCCCAAATAACTATTTATTTGTATATATATATATTGTCATTATTGTTTGTTTTGATCATTGGGTGATGGTTATAATTAGTATATACCCATTCATGATCATGATCATGATTATTGCTCAATCTTTTCATCATTATCATTTTCGCTCTGAATATCTTATTCCCCGTGTTGTTTGCTCAGTATTCCCATATTTTTGTCAATTCATCCCATTTGAATAGCCATCGCCACAGCCCCCGAACGCAAGGCCAAGCGCGGCGCGAAGCTGCCAAGGCGAGCGCTGGGGAAGGCTCCATGAAGCCTTGCTGGAAGCCTCGCAGGAGGACCTGAAACATGGGGCCTTTTTGAGCGGGAAAAATGGGGGAGGGGGGGTCATCAGAGAAACTTTTGAGGTTAAAAAATATGCAGACATGGGATTTTCAGCAGCAAAGAGGAGATTTTGGGCAAGAAAAGATCAGATTCGAACAAGGACGCTTGCAAATCTTCCTTCCAATCAGTATATTGATATTTTCCCAAATGCCCGGCAGACTGGGTTTCAGCAGCAAATCACGGAGACCTTCCCAGTGACAGGGATGCGGTCACCTGTCAGGAGTATCTGGAAAACTTCAGTCCTGCCATGTTCGAGTTGACACAGTACGAGATCTTTGCTCTTTGGACGAAAAAAGATAAAAAAGGCAACTTTATGGGTACTGTACACCCGAATAAAATTGAGCAGACTGCTTGTTTTTTTTTTTTTTCCCCAGTGTTTTCTTGCATGAAACTGAGGAGTGGTTCAAAGCAAACTACCGTGACTGCGTGGAAGGTTTACTGTCGATGGTTCTATATTTGTCACTGATCATGGACGAGCGGCGTGCCACTTGGTCAAACTGCGAAAAACACGTGGTAGTTTGTTCATCTCTCATTGCATCAGTAAACCAGCGCCATATTACCTGGGAGTGGGTCAAAATTTGAGAAGGGGACCATCAACACTTTTTAGTAGTAAACCATCCCCAGTTTCTGGGTGCTCAAAGTTGTCTATTGAAAATCAAAACCATTTAGTCCGACGATAAATAACCATTTGTAGCAAATTTCCCAGCCAGCCATGTTTGATGAACCTTGCACCACAGTTGGTGGCCCATCCTGGATTAACAAATGGCTATCTATTCAGCATCATTCCTATATACATTCATATATACCGATGAAATATCAATTCAATCATATCGATGATAGCATCATCATATCATTTAATTTATTTGTATGTCAATCATTACTACACATATACACATAGACATACATCATCACTATATACTATATACTATATACCATTTACCATATACCATATACGATATACTATATACTATATACGATATACTATATGCGATATACTATATACGATATAGTATATACGATCTAGTATATACGATATACTATATACTACATACTATATACTATATACTATATATACACACACTGCTATATACGCTATATATAATACACATATATATATACACACTACACACACATATATATATATATACACTATCTATATACACTATCTATATACACTATCTATATACACTATATATATACACTATATATATACACTATATACACACATATATATATACACACTATATATATAAAAGCTATATATATATACGTATAAACACTGTGTATATATATACACACTATATATATAATATATATATATACACACTATATATATATACATACACTATATATATATATACATACACATTATATATATACACACACTATATACATATATAATATATAATATATACTATATACTATATACTATATATATGTATTATATGCACATTATCTATGATCAATCATCATATCCACAGATCTTCCCGATGAAATCTGCGGCCCGAGGCTTCTTTGCTGGACTTGGCCAGCCGAGCTGCTCGGGAGCTGAATCCCTTGGCACTGCGATCAGGAAAGCCGGGCAGGGCACAGGTCCGGTGGAGTTCAGCTGTTAAAGGTGGTTGAACCATTGGTTTAACCATGAAAAATGGGGGATTTGTATGGAATTCTGATTTAATAACCTGGATATGGCAGCTATACATTAAATCCAAATATGGAAATGGCTGGTTTCAGCAACAATCATGGTGGTTTTGATGGAGATAGAATAGAATATTCATGGAATATTGATGGTCTATGATCTACCCTCTGGGAATCTAAGACACCATTTTTGAATAGGTCAACCATCTGTAACTGAGCCATTTTGATGGCTATGTTAGATTGCAAGAGGGTCATATAAGAGGTTCTACTAAGTGGTTGATCGGGAATTGTTATACCCCACAATTGGGATACCTACAAAAGAATCGATACAATGAATGGGATAGGGGTATTTGGCAGGGCTCATTTATCCAACCAACATGGATGGGGGTTGACTATGAAATTCTGGGGTTTATCCAACAAGTCACCAATTAATGAGGGTATAAACCAACCACCAAATTGGGGATATTTATAGGGATATGATGTGATGTAATATTATTTATATCACCAGCTTGATATGATATTTTGCTTTGTCCCAAAATTGGGGATTCCAAAAAACATGCAACTTTAATGGATGATGATTAACCATCAAGCTATCACTGGGTATCCCATTTTCAGACCTCATAAAGCTGTCAAAAGCTGGACTGTCCTGGTTTGTACCAACGACATACTGACTTTGAGGTCTCGCTGAACACACACACACATGTACAGTATATATATATACACATATATCTCATTGATTTAGTTTACCAGATTTGTTTTCCTGAGACTTTGGCGATGTGAAACATTACGGATAGTTTAAGTGTTGCGTTGCTGTTGCTGGGACCCAGGACAATCGACATGGCCATTCTTCGGTTTGTTGGAGCAGTTGCAGCACCTGGGTTGTCGGGGGCACGGGGCCTTGAAGGTCAACTACTGAAATCATAAGACTCTGACACTTGTGGGAAAAAGCAGTTGGAGCATCGTTTTAGACCTGATATGTATAGATTTAAAAGCTCGAAAAAACATGAAGGTTTCTGCAGGATTCTTGTGGTAGATCTATACACTCTTGCTAAGAGCAAAGCCTCTCAGAAGAAAACACCTGTGAAGTTTGCCGAAACATGGCAATTTGGGCAATTTGGCTATACCCTCTGAAGTTGCACTGACCATCAGATTTCATCAGATTTCATCAGATTCCTTGGGTTAAGCCATAAGAATTACCCTGTCGGATGATCATTATGTAAAAAACCCGGTTTCACAGGGATTTTATCTTTCATCCACAATAGAAACACATAGAAACCAGATATCCAGTTATTTAATACTTAGATATTCATATAATAAACCGTGGTATAACCCCTTACAGAGCCGCCCCAGCGGGGTCCGTTGCAAGGCTGGTGTGGCAGGCTGGGCAGCACGCAGCTCCGCTGTTGACGGATCCCTGGCGCCTGCCTCCATCCTGTCGAAAGGGACCGTCTGCGCTGTGCCTTGGCGCCCTGAAAGGGCTGGATGGCTGGGAATTTATCAAATCTTTAAGCATAGGCATATAATCATATATATATATATATATGTATGTATGTATGTATGTAATGTAATGTAAGGTAATGTAATGTAAGGTAATGTAATGTAAGGTAATGTAATGTAAGGTAATGTAATGTAAGGTAATGTAATGTAAGGTAATGTAATGTAAGGTAATGTAATGTAAGGTAATGTAATGTAAGGTAATGTAATGTAAGGTAATGTAATGTAAGGTAATGTAACGTAAGGTAATGTAATGTAAGGTAATGTAATGTAAGGTAATGTAATGTAAGGTAATGTAATGTAAGGTAATGTAATGTAAGGTAATGTAATGTAATGTAAGTATGTATGTATGTATGTATGTATGTATGTAATGTATTATTATGTATATATATATGCATATATTAATTTTGTATATGTATATATGTATATATGTATATATGTATATATGTATATATGTATATATGTATATATGTATATATGTATATATGTATATATGTATATATGTACATATGTATATATGTATTTATGTATATATGTATATAACAATATGCATATGCATATATTATATGTGTATATGTGTATATGTGTATATGTATATATGTTTATATGTATATATGTATATATGTATATATGTATATATGTATATATGTATATATGTATATATGTATATATGTATATATGGGAAAATCATCGAACAAACTGATTTCCAGCATACCGTGTTTGAGTACCAGAGGGCAATTTTCAAAAGAAATGGAGTGTCTCAGAGTCACAGCTGATGGTTCCGGTAGACACCTGGATGCAACAGACTCAACAGAACTCTTCAAACCTCTTGGAAGACTTTCTGATTCTGAAAAGAAAAACAATCCGAAATTATAGGACCGGATAACTGTTAACAACTTCTCCAGACTTAGACTGAGCATAGAAAAGCAACAACGGAAGAGGAAGTATGAGAGTGATGGAGGGGTGATGGTGGGTGAGTTTGTGTGTATGTATGTATGTGCATGTACAGGTGTATCACTTTGGTAGTGTGTTAACGATATGTGTACCGGGTGTAAGAGGCAGTTTGTAATATATGTGATGTACATGCGGATTTTATACGTATGTGTATGTGTGTGAGGTGATATTATTTTCGTGTGATGTGAGGTTGGGTGGCAGTAATGTAAATGTATGCAAACGTAAATATACTGATCTTGTTGCATGTGACGTGAAGTTATGATGCGTCAAGTGATGTTTTGGTATGTGATGTTGTGATGACGCTGTGATCACCAAAAGCCAGCGGCAGAGCGGCGGAGACCAAGGGACGCCAGAGGGACGCCAGAGGGACGCCAGAGGGACGCCAGGGTGTACATCCGACCCCTTTGCAGTGCACCAAGTCCCACGCCTGCCATGCAAAAGCCACCGGCAGAGCGGCAGACCAAGGGACGCCAGAGGGACGCCAGAGCGACGCCAGGGCGTACATCCGACCCCTTTGCAGTGCACCAAGGCCCGCGCCTGCCACGCATAGTGTGAGTGATGTGTGTGTGTGTGTGAGAGTGATGGTGAGTGAGTGAGTGAGTGATTGTTTGTGGGATGTGTGAGTGTGTGAGTATGTGTGTGTGTGTGTGAGTGAGTGAGTGAGTGAGTGAGTGAGTGGGTGATGAGTGATGCAGTGAGTGATGAGTGATGTATTGGATGGGATGCTTGATGATATTGAGGATGTGTGTGCGAGTGATGATATTGAGGATGTGTGTGCGAGTGAGTGTGTGTGTGTGTGTGATGTATGTGTGAGGGAGATGTGTGTGAGTGAGGATTGGGAGGACAGGCGGGAGGAGGAGAAGGAAGGAGCGGATACAGCACCAAAAACAAAAACCCCACACGTCAATGTGGGGAACAAAGTTCATGCGTCTATATCTATTCTATTTCTCATTTTGAGACTCTCCTCCCTTCACTGAAATAGCGGCTGGTGGCACGCATCCAGTACTTTCCGTGGTACATGGCATCTCCAAGGCACCCCTTTCGGAAAGGGAAGGAGAACTTGGGCGGCCTTGCTGCCGCCTGGGGTTGGACAGGTAGCTGCCCGCTTTAAAGTTTGAGATACCCCGAGATGGCCATGAAATCATGGGAAAATTGAGCCAACTGATGTTTGGAAGCTGAGTTCTTTTTGTGAACGTGTGCATTTCTGCTTCATCACGATGAGGACATTTTCCCCCGGAAAGAAAACATGTCGATCAGAAACACATGATGTGCTTGAGCAGGTCCTTCACCCGTCGAAGATTTTGCCAACCATTCTGCCGGTGCCTTAAACATTCTCTACTTGCTGCAGAACAGTCATTAAATTTGTTGAATTTTGATGAAATTATAGCAAACTCACAAAAAAACGTCACCAGTATAATGCGCAGTAAGAATATGTTTTTTTAAATGTTTTTTCTCAAATAAAAAACAGGTTGGTGAATTAGCATATGCACCAGTATTCTACTTTTATTCTCTGATATTCTGATGTAATGTATGGATGGATAGATGAATGGGTGGATGGATGCATACATACATCCATACATCCATCGATCCATCCATACATACAGAGTTCAGCCAGATTGATGGCTTTTGAGGTCTTAAGATTGGCTCGGAACTTGCCTCCTGGTTCCCTGTTGATCGATGCTGGAGTTTTCGATGGAACTGATTGGTCTCTGATGGGCATTCTGGCTGGTGCGACCGTGATTGGTTTCGAGCCTTTGCTGGAGAACAGGAAACTCATTGACGACAGGCTACCCGTGCGGCTCAGTGAGTATGATCAAACTTCGGCCCACACATTCCTGCACATTGAGCCGGGAGAGGCAGTTCCTTTCGCGTGAAATGATGGCCATTTTCTGATTTCCTATTGTCTTTTGGGTAAAAAGTTCTCCAGTTTATTCCTGTTTTCAGTGCCGAAAACAAATTCGCAGAGCTGAGGTGCCACGGCTTGACTGGAAGTCTGTTTTCACGGAGGGCAGCAGGCCATGTTCGCCATGCTTTCAGCCGAACGTTTTTGTGGGCTGTAGGCACTTCCAATAAGTGTCTTGGGCCCTGTTTGACCTTCTTGAGATTAAACGCAACGCATTATCCAGACTGAAGATCTGATGGCTCTTGAAAGCATTTGAAAGCTACTGGTAGGCCCTTGGTATGGCTCAAAGTGACCAACGTCCACTTTGGAATGGTGAGTTGCCAGCAATGACCAATCTTGTGAGTCTGTTGGTACCCCGAAATCGGTTGCGTTTGCTCCATTCCCTGCAGGGCCGGTCACAGCTACATTATGACCGCTGCTCTTGGAGAACGCGTCTCTGGGTTGCACAGTTGCACCAACCCGTTTTTTGGTTTCAGGTTGTCACTGCGATGAGGGCGGTCAAGCGGGGTTTGATGACTGTTCCTCATGTGGAAGACCCAATCATAAAGCTCCCATTTTATCCCATTTTGGAATATGAATCTCACCCAAATTTCTGGTGTTTGATGTTTTTTTTGCTAATTTCGTTTGCCAATGGATGTTTTGGATGCTTCCTATCCAAACGGCTCAGGTCAGGGCCTTGAATATGACAACGCGCTATGACTACAGCAGCATTTCTGACCAAGGACAGGGTTGCTCCAGTTGTAGGTAACTGATAGCCGCTTCTGAGGGGAAATGGCTCATTTTTCCTCCAAAAAATTACCGAATTTACTGCTCTTGTGGGTGTTGGGAGCAATGCTGAAGGATATCTCACAGGGCCTCCCAATATGCAAGTGGAGTCTCGCCTGCGCTGCAACGCAGTAGCGACATGCAGATGTAGCAACTGAATTTGTAGGGGAACAGACCCGTTGTACATGCTGTGAAACAGCAAATTACAATATCTACCACCTATAATCGCACCAAAGGAAATATTGTTACAGTGAGTACCCCCTATTCTTGGCCAGATAGATACGTTTGGGGTGAGCATACCAAGTACATATCTTAGTATTGGACATTTGCTGGAAAATCCCCGGGAATTCCAAGGAAGAGATTGCCATGACAACGCTGGATGACACCATCGGTCCGTACTTGCCATTCGACCACATCGACCTCTTGAAGCTAGATGTGGAAGGAGAGGAAGGGTTGCATTGGGAGTATGGCTACAAATTACAACCCAGTTTTTGCAGTGTACATGCATGCATACATACAGACAGACAGGCAGACAGACAGACATAAATTGCACTACACTACATTACATTACATTACATACATAGAATAAAATAACATAGCATAACATAACATTACATTGATACAAACATGCTTGCATGCATACATACATCCATACATCCATCCATTCATCCATGCATGCATACATCCATACATCCATCCATTCATCCATGCATCCATGCATGCATACATCCATACATCCATCCATTCATCCATGCATCCATGCATGCATGCATACATCCATACATCCATCCATTCATCCATGCATCCATGCATGCATGCATACATCCATACATCCATCCATTCATCCATGCATCCATGCATGCATACATACATACATACATACGTACATACGTACATACGTACATACGTACATACGTACATACGTACATACGTACATACGTACATACGTACATACGTACATACGTACATACGTACATACGTACATACGTACATACGTACATACGTTCATACGTACATACGTACATACGTACATACGTACATACGTACATACGTACATACGTACATACGTACATACGTACATACGTACATACGTACATATGTACATACGTACATACGTACATACGTACATACGTACATACGTACATACATACATACAGACACACACACATACACACATACATACATACATACATACATACATACATACATACATACATACATACATACATACATACATACATACTGTACATACGTACGTACGTACGTACATACATGCATACGTACATGTATACATGTATACATGTATATGTACATGAATGAATATGTTGTGTTGTCTGTATATCTATGTATTCCCAACAGCAGTGACTGTTGGGTTTCAGTCTCCGGGTCTGGGAGTGGTGCCCCGTTTGTTGTCTGCACTGAAAACTAGAATCTAGAACCGAACCCTGGAACCCTTGAACCTGCTGTTGGGTTGCAAAGCTGGGTTAATATAATATATGTGTATATATATATAGATATGTACATATATACATGTACAAACACAGACACACACACACATGATAACCGCTTGAGGGAATTTGGGGCAATGCTTGGATGTGCACCCCAGGAGTCTTGACAACTGTGGTCAGTAACAAAGTAAGTGAAAACATGATTCCCTTTATCAGATACTGTACTATTTTCGCTTGGTAAACTATATCAAATCACATGAAACCCATATGATTTCCATTTTATGACGCCAAAAACCCTTGCATTTGGCATGTAAAGGCATCTATTCCCTTTATCAGAGCATATTTCCAGGTGAATGGTATCCAATTGGATGGTTCTATATGTATCGTCAAATTGGATGGTAACACATTCCCTTTATATAGATGGTTTGTATTAAACCCAAATGGAGGTTTCCTAAAATGGGAGTACCCGTTTTGAGAAACCCAAATATATAAAATGATATAGAATTGTTATGTATAGACATAGATATAGATAGTGATTATACAAAATATTGAACCATCTATCTATATCACTATATTGAACCATTTACAACAATTAACCACCTATATATATATAGACAGAAACCCAAATATTGAACCATCCCCCATTTCACCCAACAGGCTACGAGATGGGTGCCTTGCGCGGTGCCGAAGGGCTGCTGGCCGACGGACTGGATTTCCAGATCCACCATTTCGGAGCGGGGAGCATTAAACATGGGGACTGAATCGGATAGATGTGCTAGTATAATCCTCAAAAATGGAGGTTGAATGGCAATATTTTATTGTGGTTGCCATTTGGTTTATATCGTTTTTTCCGTGAAAAATGACGCCATAAAATGATCCCAGTGAAATCAAATCGCAGGACGGATTCGCTTCCTGGTGATGGAGTTTCATCCAGGAGCGTCGTGGCTGACCAGACGTCCATAGCCAACATGTGCCATGGTCAAAAAGGTGGCTCAAACAACTTATGTATATATATATATCTATATATATATATTTATACATACATTTAATCAGTTATATAAGTTATATACCAATATTTTGGGCATGGCCCCGGCATTTTTCAATGGGGCTTAAGATCGCCATTGATCTTCGGGGAATCCAATAAGCACCTGCACGGAATCTCCAGGAATGCTCGGAAGCAGTGGCACTGATCCGGAAGGACCTGGGACTTTGAGGTCTGTGGGTTATAGACACAAAACAGTAGGAAAGGTTCCCAATTTATCACTACTTTAGCGGGATTGTTACCAGTTTGTATCCTTTTTGGGCTTACTACACCTATCATATCCTATCATCTATCATCCCATTATCATATCATCGTCATCTCATTATCAGCCCATTAGCATCCCATGCTGTTGTTCATAAAATCATCATCAAAATCCCATTTGGATGTGGGTTGTACTCTGTTGACTCATGCTTTCAATTTTTAGATCTTTGATCTCTTCCGGCAAGGACTGCTACATTTCCTCCATCACTATTGCTTCCGATGCTTGTTTTGATCCAGAACAATCATGAAGGTATACTGGAAATCTGGGACTCTGACTACGTAATTTGAAATATGATTTGATATGATTTGAAATCATGAAGGTATAATTTGATATGATTTCAGAATCTCCCGGAATCTTTTGGAATTCTTCCAGAATCTTCCTATCATTACCTACACCGAGCTCCGGGACTGAGGATGCTTCTCCTTGAAGATCGAGCAGATGCAGAGCTTCCGTGATTTCGTGGCGCGTTATGTGACCCCTGCAGCAACTCCTCTGCAGGGACTTGGTGAATTGGAGGATTTGATCTGCGAGAACCTGGCTTTTGGTGCCTGAGCAGCTTGCGGATGAAGGTCACCTGAAGATCACCTGAAGGTCACCTGGTGCGAATGCTGGTCCTGCAATGCTGACTTGCAAAATGCGGCCATTGCTGGGATGATCTACCAGAATCTACCAGATCCAGAAGTTGAGGAGAGCGAAGAATCACCTGCGAGCATCTTACGAGAGCAAGACAGAAAAAATGGTGATTCTGCCCGTTCAAAGGAAAAAGCGGGCCTTTCCGGAAACCATTTGGACTTTGAAGGAAGTTGTAGGAATTTACAGGTCTAGGACGCAGTTGCACTGGACAATTTCCTGATTTTCCTGCCAGGTTTGACACCGTGCTTCTGAACATGAGACAAAGACATGGTGATGCCTTCCGAATCTATGTGTATCCTGGCAGCATTCGCTCACCGGCCAAACAACGGCCACCTGAGTGTCCAACCGAGGCCCAGCCTGTTTGGAGAGGTCATCGTGCTGATGGGGCACCCCGGGCAGAACTTGGAGGGCTGCCTGTGTCTCAAAATTGGGTACCCCCCCCACGGTGAATATTAGCCTCTGGCAATAAATAACATAGCTATGAAAGCTATGGCCCATTTATAGATGATCTATGATGATTATTTTTTTGAACCATTGTGATTTCCGCGAGCTACGACCAGAGGGTATAGTTATCATCACTTTCAAAATTCAGATGGCCACTTTGGGGTATCACCCAAGTTTTGGACACACCAAAATATCATATCAAGTTGGCTATATATTTCACGATACCCCCATTAACATCCCCCCATTCATATCCCACATTTTGATGGTCAAATCATGTAAATCCCCATGAAATCCCATTAAATCCCCAAAACATGTTCCGTTTTACCTCCATGTGAATATAGCAGTTCATATATCCATTAAAATAGCCATAGATATTCATATCTCAATGGCCATCAATGTCCCCATTTGTTTTTAGGTCAACCGGGTTTCGCCGTTTCGACGCCAACAACACTTTGTGCCAGGCTGCAGGCGAATCAGTTTGTTTTCACCGAACAAGACAAGAACTTGGTTGGAGCCTCAGGGCGCAAGGGGACAGCATGATTTTTATGGCAGCTGGCTGCATCAAAAATGCAAAGTGGTGTTTTGAACCATGCAAAAAAAGGGGGGAAAAATAGGGGAAGGACAATTTCTGGATCAAATAGGGATTTCACCAACAAAAATGGTGGTATAGTGGTGACCTCACGTCGCGACGGAATCCTGGAATGATGCTTAGATATGGTTATAGTCTATAGTAAAGAGAAACTATTAGACTATGGACCCAATGGACGAACTTCAGGATAATTTCTGCAAGTGATCTAGAATGTTGGTTCATGTTGGTTGATGTGGAAATGAATGTGGAAGTTCATGTTGCCTGGTGAAGGCCGGTTATTGGGTAATGAGGAAACAACATCTTAATCAACACCATTCCATACCATTCCAACATTGGGCAAAGGCAACCAACTAACCATCAAACGGATAGGAAGAACCAACAATATCATCCAACAAAAGAGGTGAATATGAACGAAAACATTGAACTCATTGAACCATGAATGAGAACATCACTCTTTTGACATTTTGACACACTTTTCCCATTACAAGAAGAGCTCAAACACGACGAAACAAGATGCGATGATTCAGGACCAAGCTCTTGGTGGAGTTGTTGGGACAGCTGTGTCTGGCAAGAAGACGATGGGCACAAAGGCACTGTTGCGGGTCTCTGAATGTTAAGTTGTTGTTGGTTAATGTTGGTCAATTTTGATTAACTGATGAGATTCGTTGAACATCATTGAACATCTTTTAACATACTGGTAGCAAGTAGATTTGTCAACAGGCACGATTAAGCACAGTTTGTGACACAACATTGTAAAGACTCCCACTGTCCAAGCAATTAATTGCGTTGCACAGACCGAGCAGTACTTGAACAAGTGAGATTGGAAGAATAGTGTGACTACTGTCCAGACAGACCGTTGCAAAAACATCAATGTCAAATAAATTCAGTTGTTGTTGCTTGGGGATATTGAATGGATTTGAAAGCTAACTGCAATGCAATGATCAAAACACCAAGCAAACCAAAGACAGCTTTGCAGGGTGCATGTCTGTACATCATTTCTTGTGACAATTTGGAGTATTTGCGGTGATGACAAGTCCATAGGGACCATGACTAAGCGGGCAGTTCAGTGCTGACTGCAAAGTAATCAGCACGAGCACTGAGCAAACCAAAGACAGCTTTGCAGGTTGCATGTCTGCACATCATTTCTTGTGACAATTTGGAGCATTTGTGGTGATGACAAGTCCATAGGGACCATGACTGAGTGGGCAGTTCAGTGTGCTGACTGCAAAGTAATCAGCACGAGCACTGAGCAAACCAAAGACAGCGTTGCAGGGTGCATGTCTGCACATCATTTCTTGTGACAATTTGGAGTATTTGCGGTGATGACAAGTCCATAGGGACCATGACTGAGCGGGCAGTTCAGTGCTGACTGCAAAGTAATCAGCACGAGCACTGAGCAAACCAAAGACAGCGTTGCAGGGTGCATGTTTGTCCATCAGTTTTTGTGACAATTTGGAGTATTTGCGGTGATGACAAGTCCATAGGGACCATGACTGAGTGGGCAGTTCAGTGCTGACTGCAAAGTAATCAGCACGAGCACTGAGCAAACCAAAGACAGCGTTGCAGGGTGCATGTTTGTCCATCATTTTTTGTGACAATTTGGAGTATTTGCGGTGATGACAAGTCCATAGGGACCATGACTAAGCGGGCAGTTCAGTGCTGACTGCAAAGTAATCAGCACGAGCACTGAGCAAACCAAAGACAGCGTTGCAGGGTGCATGTCTGCACATCATTTCTTGTGACAATTTGGAGTATTTGCGGTGATGACAAGTCCATAGGGACCATGACTGAGTGGGCAGTTCAGTGCTGACTGCAAAGTAATCAGCACGAGCACTGAGCAAACCAAAGACAGCTTTGCAGGGTGCATGTCTGCACATCATTTCTTGTGACAATTTGGAGTATTTGCGGTGATGACAAGTCCATAGTGACCATGACTGAGTGGGCAGTTCAGTGCTGACTGCAAAGTAATCAGCACGAGCACTGAGCAAACCAAAGACAGCGTTGCAGGGTGCATGTCTGCACATCATTTCTTGTGACAATTTGGAGTATTTGCGGTGATGACAAGTCCATAGGGACCATGACTAAGCGGGCAGTTCAGTGCTGACTGCAAAGTAATCAGCACGAGCACTGAGCAAACCAAAGACAGCATTGCAGGGTGCATGTCTGTACATCATTTCTTGTGACAATTTGGAGTATTTGCGGTGATGACAAGTCCATAGGGACCATGACTAAGCGGGCAGTTCAGTGCTGACTGCAAAGTAATCAGCACGAGCACTGAGCAAACCAAAGACAGCTTTGCAGGGTGCATGTCTGCACATCATTTCTTGTGACAATTTGGAGTATTTACGGTGATGACAAGTCCATAGGGGCCACGACTGAGTGGGCAGTTCAGTGCGAGGCTGCTTTGCACAGACACAAGCATAGCACATAATTTTTAGCAACATAAGCATCCAGTTGATTCTGCATGGCTTGTAGATTGTCATCTGGCGGGGCAGAGTGGGCAGGAGCGCAAAAGCACTGAGTCCGGAAAGATCTTCGATAAGGCTTCTGCGGACTTCTTCGCCAACAAGAAAGCGCCGGTGCCTCAAAAGATGAATGTTAATATCCGTTGTTATGTCTATAATATATTGTTCGTATTGGAGTATATTTAATATCCAATGATGTCTATAATATATCTGTTCATATCCCATCTGGGGCTCCAAATGAAAATTACCCCCCCACTTGCCACAGTCAACGTTTTGAAGGTAGAACTCAAGAATGGGGTCTGGAGTCTGGAAGATGATTTTCCGAACTTAAACATGGCCATGAATATTGGTTCAATATTCAATTAAGGGGGTCTATGGAAGCTAAACGTGTGGAGTTTAGTAATGATTTGACCTCCAGCCGAATGTTGGCTCCAAGTCATTTCTGAAATTGGATTGCTGACACATGACATATAATATAGATACACACACACATATATATATATATACCACATATGATATATACCACATATGATATATACCACACAATTATATACACATAAATTGGATCCGTTGGTACCACCGGTTTTTTTTGGGCCATAGACTGCGAGGCTGAATTGAGTCTGTGAGACTTTCTAAGGCTCGCTCGGGCAACGCAAATCTTTGTTGACTCAGCGGAGGAAGCGAATCCATTGCGTCACGAATCCATGCAGCTTTTCTTTGGAGTCAGAAGTCAGAACATGCGCTCTCCATCATTTCAACCAGAGGAATTAGAGCAAGGTCATGATGAATCATATGTGTAACTTTCATCCTTTGTGCATGAATTACTGAGTGTATCATGATTCAATTGGCCTTCCGGAGCCAGGACTTTTGCGATCAAATGGAGCAAGAGCTGAAGCCACTTCCTGAGAGAATCTGGTACGGATTGGTACTGAAGCGCATTGGTGATCCCACATCGTTTCCCGTTCGTAAATGCAAAAAGGCTTTTGGTTGCCTTTGAACTTGCTTCTGTAGGCCAGAAGAAAATGTCTTTGAGAAGCTCTGGACCTATGTCGAGCAGAGCTCAGCAGAGCTTACAGCGCCACACCGCAGTTTTTCCATGTCCGGTGTCTTGGCAGTGCGTCAATTTGTGCAACAGCAAGGTCCAGACCAATGCTGACATGTTGTACGGGAACGGCGAAAACGCCGAGCCCTCATGGACAGCCCAACTGAATCAAGGTGTGGGTTTTTGACTCTCCAAGAAGAGAGATATAAAAATCAGAAATCCATACAAATCCGCCATGAATGAGTGGAGAATCCTGATCGCAATGATGTCATGATGTTACATACAGTGTATGTATGTTTGTAATATATATATATACATGCATATTTCATTGTGTGTACATATGTCAATAGACTGATGTCGTTTTTTTAAGCTATGTGTGAAGCCTGAGGCTGGCAGCATCGTGTGCAATACCATTGACAGCATCAACAAGGCGGACATTTGCATCCAAACTCTAGCCCTCTACAGCCCGCGTTCTTGGATTAAATACATGAATAATACATATATATAGAGTTATACAGTTATACAAAATGCATACATTGTATTGTACATGATGTATATACACCTTGTTTTCACTATCTTTGCATTGTCTATATACGTTATCTATCTATATATATATACATTATGCATACATGATCTATATGCGTTATAGATACATTATATTTTCATTAAATACTCTATATAAGTTATATATATATATATTATGTACGTACTTTGCATGGCATCATTCATTGTATATAATTAAAGTACATATACACAGGTACTATATATATATGTGCATACACATTTTATAAATATAACATATAAAGTCTTTGTACATCATATATACACGTTATTTACACACAATATTTATATATACATTGTATATACAGCTTACATACATTGTATATACATTATATCTACAGTAAGTATACAGTATATATACACATCAAATATCATCAATACACACTATGTATACATTTTTTTTAAACATATGATGTATACATTAAATATACCGTGCATCTACAGTAGGTGTACATTATGGATACTATGTATACAATGGATAAATACATATACATAAAGAACATGTACATACAGATTATACATACATTATAAATATATATATGTATATATATATATATATATATATATATATAAATGATGTATACACTATATATACATTCTATACACATGACATTAGATAAAATATACCTTGTATCTACATTATGTTTACATTATGCCAATACATTATATATATACAGTGAATAAACACGTGTATCCCTATATGTATATATATACATATATTTATAAGACACACATATATATATATATATATACATTATACATACATTATATATACGTATATATAATATACACATTAAGTACAGCAGACATTATACCTATATTTTATACACATAATGTATCTTTATCCATAAAAGGTAAACATTATATGCATATGATTGACACATACATCTCCGTACATCTTACGGATGTACGATGTCGACCGGAGCTCTCACTGCCCGAAGAAAACCGGGGCAGCTTCGCAGGAGGGCTTGTTTTCCTCGCAAGTACGTCAAGCTGGTGAAGATTTGAGAAAGGTGTTGAATGAAAGATATGAGGCCCGAGGATTTTTGGGTTTTGGGATGGTTTGAAATGAAAAATTGCGGAGACCACAGATGGGATCATATTTGGGACAAGCACTATCCATTTTTTGAACACCCAGTTTAGACGCATGCCAGAAACTGTGTTGCAACGCTGTTCTCGAGGGCTTTAAGCATGGCTTGTGGCCTTTGCTGGACACTCACCCAGATAGATATGCAGTGCTTTCAGTGTGCAGCTTTGGCCCACTGTGCAGGACAGGAAAAACAATCCTGATACTTGGATGCAATAGCGTGGCCAAAACCATGGTTTTATGATACGCAGGTCGATGTCAATGCGATGCATGGGAACACAATTTCGTCTACATCTTTGGAACTTCAACATGGCGTCTCCACAAAGCTGTCCAACCTCTGATTCCAAGGAGAAGTATGTTGGTGAGGACTCCTTGTTTGAGGAGTTCTTCCTGCTTTCAAAAGGTAAGGGACTGAAAGAACAGTCAGATGAAAACGTCAACGTCAGCAGATGTGATCACGTCAGCTTGAGCTACAACTATCAGCTTATAATTTTTCTTACAGCCACTTGCATGATGCAAGGCGAGGCAGATGACGAGATGCTTCAAGGCCCGTTGGTCATGGGAGCTGCTTTGGTTCCCATTCCTTTGATGCCAGAATCGGTTTTCCTCAAAGCAAGCCAGTAATTGTGGGAAGCCTATCCAATTCTCATGGGTTAAAATCCCTATATTTTGGATGGTTCCACTCCCATTCCATACTGGTGCTCAGGAACGGGAATGGGGAAATCATTCATAATGACCATGAACAATGATCCAACTTCCTCATTCCCAGGCCTTAAGCACCGATCATGGGCCCAGGCCTGCAGCAATTCATGCTGACCCTGCAGCTGGCAGCCAATGGAAACCAGCTGGTGCGCTGACCAATAGCGCCAAAAAAATGTGGATTTTTCAATCAGTTGATGATTGGGGATTTAACCATCAAAAATGGGGATTTAACCATCAAAATCAGTCCAAATGGGGATTTAACCATCAAAAATGCTGATTTAATATGATTTAATCAGGAATAACTAGGGACTCAATGATGAAAACACTGGTATTCAAGCATGAACAAATAAGGTTTTATATAAGCAGTGAAGATTGGACATCGGTGTGTTGGAGGATGAAGCAGAGCACCATTCTATGGCTTCTGACTGGATCGTGACCCACAATATCCTAGTCCTAGGGGGTTGTAACCCAGTGATACTAGTGTTGTACTATGCTAGCCTTACCTGCGAAAGTGTTCAATGTGGGTAGACCCAAGAAGCAATGTATCAATCCCTAATTCTACTAACTGGGGGCTTCAAATTCTGCAGAAAAATCATAAACACTTCCCCAGAAACCCATGGGTTTTTCACCTGAAAATAGCAGAGGAACGGGCCGCACTGAGGTGACCATCCGCTGGCTGATGTCCCATGTCTATGGAGATCCCAAAATCCTGGAGGGCGTCAGAGCTGAAGTGGCTGAACTGCTGCAGCGGAAGGCGCGAGGAAACGAGACTTGGGCTGAGGGTATACTCACCCATATATATATATATTTAAAACCATTATTATGATTCTTATCATCATTCTTCTTATCATTATTATTATTGTTATTACTATTAGTATTGTCATTATTATCCCTATTATTGTTATTATTATTGTTATTATTATTACTTTTGTTATTGTGATGATGATGATGATGATGATGCTGATGCTGATTATTATTATGAATATATATACATATATATATTCATTTTAATAGGGTCAGGATGATACAAAATGACATTTACGGATAGCCTATTTTCAGACAAACCCATGTGAACATAGTCCCTAATACCTTTATTGATCTGCCCAATTGAATGTAAAGTTGCAACAACATTTGATTGGGAATGGGAACCCTCTACGCTGCAACGCTGGGGCAAAGCCCAGGTATATATGTACACAAGTATATATATCTATATATATATACACATATGGACATGAAACGGCATTGAAAATTGATGTTTTTCAAAAATGGAGACCCAACAAGGCACCCAAATTGTTTTATTTTTTAGTAAACCCATGCATGGTTTTAGGGGTCCCCAAGTCTAGGAAACACCCAAATAATGATGTCGAACTACCAAGAAACTTGCAGGCCGGGACAATTTACCCACCAGTTGAGATGGGGGTTTTAATTAGCAACAATCAAGCTTTATCCACCCGTTGAACGTGCGTTTCACCGACCAAATTTGGGGATTTCAACAGCAAACTTCTGGCGACGGCGACGCAAGGCTTGTGGTATTCGCGATTTGAAGTTGGCTGACCTGCTGAGTCTGAACTTGTTGATTCCTCAGTTGGCGGAACCAACTGCAACGGAACAAGTCAGGAACCAGTCAGGATCCATGGTTAATGACCATTTTAGTATATCCCAGTCATGTATATATATATGTATACATATATATATAGGCTTATACCTGAGAAGACTGCGGAGTGCTCTGAAATGGTTGGGGTTTCTGTTTCACAGTCTTTATTGGTCCGTTGTCCGACACATCGTCAAGGACTAACGCCTGCATCACCGAAGCGGTTCGACTACACAGACACTTGGCATCACATGGCCTGCAAGGAGTGCTGTCTACCTCTGGTATCATCAAACATGGCTGGAAAATCTTTCAGAAGTGGAGTTTTAATGGGGGAATGATCTTTTTGGATGATGATTCTGGACTGGAGTAAAAGGTTAATAGGCCATAGGTGGGCCAGAAGCCATAGCGCAGTGATTCTTAGCCAACTTTCAGCACTGATCAACTGTGCCTCAGGTGACATTCCATCGAAGCTGACCCTGAGATCCGTGCGGTGCTCGTGACGCATCCCTTTAACTGCAGGGCATTTCGATGCCGAGACGACTGAGGCAGAGATTCCAATGGAATTTGGTGGCTACAAGATTCCTAAAGGGGCCTTTTCCTCAGGTCGAAACCAATGGGGCATTGCCGAACCGCCGGGCGGTTACCGCCCTGGTGCCTCACCTGAGGCCACCATTTTCTTGTATGCGGATGCAGTGCATAAGGAGACGATCGGGGACAGATTGAGACATTCGAAATAGAAAAAAGCATCCCCTGTTGGAGTAATTATTACTATATTATTATCCCAACAGTATATTATCCCTATATCCAACATTATCCCAACATTATATATTAACCCGGATCCATGTATCACTATATTATTACAGTCCATGAAAGGTAGGTTACCCAGGTTGGTTGGGAAGGGCACCTTGATGCCTTTTGGCTCAGTTGGTCCACCCTCCACCCCTTGACGACCTTGATTGCAGATGAGCCTCTGTGTTACCACCATCTGGACGACGATAGACTTTGTGCCTGATAGAACGGAGAAAAAAGACTATGACGAAGGGATACCAAGGGGCTCTGTGTGTGGCATCTCTTTCTCTAGAAAAAGCAACCGCATTCTTTTGGGGTTGATGATATGCCTCTTAAAATTCTCAGATGGACACCCACAAATTGGCTATAAATAGGAAAAAGGATTCCCACACTTTGTATGTTCCAGATCAAACTATGTGCTTTCAAGATGACCTGATCGATGTTGACCAATGCTGAAGAATGAAGATCTTCCGCGCACAGGACGAGAAATACTTTCCGGATGCCGCTGCGTTCTGCCCTCACCGCTACACCGATGAGGAGGCCACAACCAGAACTGAGCAACTGAGCGTCAAGCCAGTGGGGAATTAGTTATGACTTGGTTTATGACTTGGGTTTACCACAGTCGCTATTCAAAAACCACCTTTTTTGTGGGTTGTGACCTTCTCGTTGTGTTGAACACCTCCATCTCGGTGATCCTTAGATCCTGGCACGTGCACATGTTTGAAGGCCAAGGTTTCCGATGTTCGAAAAATCATCGACTCTTGACCATCCCATTATACCACTATACCCGCATTTTGTTGGTGATGATATCTTTCTATCCCATTCTACCATCATTGAGTGGTTAAATCCCAATTTTTGTGTGTTTCAGTCCCATTTTTTGATGGTATCACTACTTTCTGCTGGTGATATTGGTATCATTGATCCCATAGTCAAATGCCATTCACTCCCATGAAAATTCATGAACACCCATCAACAAATCCAAATGAACTCCGTTAAACTCAGTCATCCAATTCAATCCCATGAAAAATCCCCCTTCAAATCCCAGCCACCCTTAAATCCCATTGAAATCCCATTGAAATCACCCTGAAATCACTTTATTTCATCACCATGAAATCCCATGAAATCCCATGAAATCACATGAAATCCCCATGAAATCCCCATGAAATCACATCAAAACCCAGCAAATCCCAATCTCCAAACTCAACCGCCAGGTTTTCACCCAGAAGGCCCGAGACCGAGAGGTGGTGACCTTTGGACACGGCCGAAAGCGCTGCACGGGCGAGCTGCCGGGACGCCCACGGGGAAGTTCGTTGATGCGGCAAAAATGGTGGAATGATGGTGGAAGAATGGTGATTTTAATGGTATTCCACCATATTACACCATTATTACACCATTATTCAAAATGACATCACTGAAGATTTTAATGGTATTTCTAGGACTTATACCATTTTCAACCATTTTCTATTTTGTAATAATGGTGTAATAATGGTGATAGAATGACATCTAATGGAGTATTTTGATGTATTTCGATGACTCATGCCATTTTATTTTTAAACATTGACATAATAGCAGCATTGCAGCATGGAAATGATGAATATTCAGTACAATAATTAAATTATACCGTGTTATATTTCCATTAATATAATATTATACCATTAATGATACATATCCCCATTACAGCCGTATTTTTTCAATGTTATGAACCACGCGATGTGGTAAACCCAATCATGAACCGTCAAAGATGGTGGTACAATGGAAATATAATGGTGATAATATATATATATAATGGATTATAATGGAATATTCATGGTATATCATGGTATATTGATGGGTTTACCCTCTGGTAAACGAACAGCTTGCGAAGTGGACAACCACATTTAACTAAACCATCTGCATTCCGTAGCTATGTGTTATTACAGAACAGTATGCATATATATATATATATCTATACGTGCATGTGTGTGTATATGTAGATAGAGATGGACGGATACACGTATACACGTATATACGTACATACATACATACATGCATGCATACATACATACATCCATACATACATAAATACATACATACATACATCCATACATACATACATACATGCATGCATACATACATACATACATCCATACATACATAAATACATACACACATACATCCATCCATACATACATCCATCCATACATAAATACATACATACATACATACATACATACATACATACATACATACATACATACATACATACATACATACATACACACACACACAGACATACATACGTACGTACGTACGTACGTACGTACGTACGTACCTACATCCATCCATCCATCCATCCATCCATCCATCCATCCATCCATACATACATACATACATACATCCATATATGTCTATATATGTCTATATATGTATATGGCTCACCCCCGAAATGGTCATTTACAAATCCCACTTAGCAACTGATGGGTGTGTCTGAAAATATGATGTATTCAGCAATTTAACTGGGAGAAATATGACGAATCAATGGATTCAGACATACCCTAGTTTCAGACAAACCTGTATAATATATATATATATATACACATATATATATGCATACAATGGTCTACTTACATATCTATCTTATATCTACACAGATATTTCCCAAATGCCTATATCATCGTCTATGTGCTACAATGTGATAAGCTGCACATTCCCCTTTCCGTCTGTCAGCAGTGAGGCACGCACGGTCGCAGATCTCGGCTTTGTTGGCATCCTTTGTGATGCGTATCTTGACAGATGGGCTGACGGCATTAGATGAGCCATTAAAAATACCCTGGTTGATTGGTTACTATAAGGACTTATACTACCTAATTTACTGGGGATTATGATAACTCATAGCAAAACCAATCAACCATCTATATCCAATTCACATTGGTTTGTAATTAAGCCATTTCTTGCTGATTAAAAGCCAACTTTTTTTTCCGGCTTGTATTCTCATAGCCACAAGCGGGGACAACTTGTCATCTTACCTCTTTTATCTACCCAATTTACCCACCAAATGTATCAAGGATGTTGGGAAGAAATCGTTAGATTAGCGTTAGATGATCCCCCTGATATTTCCAGGATATTCCCATGGAATTCCACCATTCTTGTTGGTTAAAACCGTTCAACCCCAGCATTTTTTGGGGCTTCGGAAGCTGAGGCTTTGACATGGACCTTGTCACCAATGAGGAGGGCAATCAGATCCCAGAGGCCTGGATTGTTTGAAGAGATCAAAATCTTCCAGGCCTGGTTTCCTATGAAATTCTATCTGTTTAAGGGTATTTATAGACACATAAAATATGCCTGGTTTACCAATGGAATTGATGGAACATTTGGTTGGTAGAAACCGATGGTTTCCGATGAAATGGTATAGGTAGTAGTAAAAAACAATGGCATGACTTACTGATTTGGTCAGAGCACCCTACTTTGACCATTTGTGCGACGCCTGGCAGTGGTAACACCTCCCAAATCGAGTAGAATACCCACATCATATTAGTATATCGATGTGATATAATCTGATGTCCATATATATATATATGTATGTATGTATATATATATATAAATATCTCCAAGAGACTATTCCTCAGTGGGCCCCGCGTGAGGACCACGATGGCCCTTTCGTTTTCGACACGGCCAATAGCCTGAAGTTGGTGAATTTGCGGCCGAGAGCAGGTTGGGTTTCCCCATTTTTGGATGATTTTCGTTGATGTTCCCAGTAAGGAACAGTGATTCTCACCATCTTGGAGTACCACAAGGGTATCAATATCTATTTATCTATTTAATCCAATCTAAGGTAGTCTAGTCTAGTCGAATCCGATCTGACCTAATCTTCGTCTAGTCTTAATCCAATCTTAATCTTATCACTCATCTTAATCGATTCGTATTGATCTACCTATTGTAACCCACCAGTGCCTCCAGGCGACATGAGCTCCTCCGTGGCATCCGTCTCCGTCGCGGCCGCCGCGTTGGCCAGTCGCAGCACTTTGGCCGAAGATGAAAACTCAAGAAAAATGGTGATTCATGGGGATTCAAACAACACAAATGCTGGTTAATGGGATAGTTTGCGGGGATATGTATATATATAATACACATTACTAGCTTACTTGAATGAACCAGAAGGGGTACATTTTGTGGCTGCATCCCCAACTTTTAGTGGATTTAATGACAATAACATCACAAGCAACCATAGGGGTATAATTACCTCTAGATGCGGCCACTTCAAAATGGGTAACGTGATGATCAACCATTAGATTTTGGGGCCGTAATGATTACCGATGGCCTTTTAATTTTGTGGTTATAACAACCCATAGCGAGACTACCATGGTTGTGGCCATTCGTAAACACAAATGCACCCGCAAGAAGTAGGGTGAAATGAGATAAGTCACTCTCACTCTCAGCTTTTCAGCGTTTCTCACCATCACTAACAACCCCAGAAATCCTGAATGTTCTCACCATCAGCAGGTTGAAAGAGATAGTCATATCATGTTTGTCGAACATCAATGGTGATATCTCCACGGTTTCAGTGGCTAGAATGAGTCACTCTTGGAATGATATCCGCTAGTCTAACCCTAACTGGCAATGGAACATCACCCGTTTGTTCGCATATATAGACAAATTTCACATTCAGAATGTCTTTTTTTTGTTCCATTGCTGTGCTTGATTATTGGAGGACCAGAGGGTAAGTGGGTATGTAGCAAGTTTTTTTCATCAGCCAGTGCAACATTGAGGCTCTTTTTTTTTGGAAGATCTAAAACCACATGGCAATTGAAAATCCCCGCACTAAATGGAGTGTCTATAGCTGGGAAAACCATCTATAAATGATGAATTTTCCAGCGAGTCTTGCAGCTGTGGGTATGGGTCAAATTGGAAAGCCACGGGGAGCTCCACCAGAGACGCGGCATGACCAACAAGAACAAAGTGTTAAACAAGAATCATGGAACGATAAAGCAAATGATGTGGGTGTGTATCGGTATATCCAGGGTTGCAACTAACAAGACATATGGGGCAACTAGGACTGGATGGCATTGCACGCCCTGTCTGTAAGCGATAGGGGCATGGCATTGCAGGGATGATGAAATAGACGTGACAAGCTGCGCTTCGTCAATGGTCGATCTATTTTGGCGATTTGGGTGATTCTCAATATTTGGGTACCCCATCATACCCTAAACATGGATGATTTTCATACTAAATGCATAACCCAACAGCAGTGGTCCTGCATAGTCCATCCAGCTTCAGGTCAATCTGGGCCGTCGAGCTCTGGATCATGCCCTTTCAGCTGGATCCCAAGAGTATTTTTTTTTGCTCGTGGTGGAAGATGGAGAGATTGAACTTGGCCCGTGGTTGAGAATGGATCGCCATACCCTCTGGTAATCAGCCTCGCGGCTAGCTGGAAAATCCCCGCACTAACTGGAGGTTTTAAAGGGAAAATAATATGTAAATGGGGGATTTTCCATTGCCACAAGTTGATTGCCCGAGGGTAACTCAAGAAGATAAGGCAAGTTTTTTCCCCAACAGCGTAAGCTAATGGGGTCTTCAGCCCAGAATAGCTGCGGTGTGCACTGGTGCAGGCAGCGGGACAGGTTCAACGAGGTTCCGGAGAAGGTTCCGAAGGTTCCAGAGAAGGTCTGGAGGGCTTTGGTGCAGAGCCAGGTCACGTTCAAAAAGGTTCCGGAGAAGGTTCCGGAGAAGGTTTGGGAGGCTTTGGTGCAGAGCCAGGTTAGGTTCAACAGGGTTCCGGAGAAGGTTGGTTCCAGGAAGCCTTGGTGCAAAGCCAAGTCTAAGTTCCCGAGAAGGTTCCGGAGAAGGAGAAGGTCGGGGAGGCTTTGGTGCAGAGCCAGGTGAGGGTTCAACAGGGTTCCGGAGAAGGTTCCGGAGAAGGTCCGGAGAAGGTTCCGGAGAAGGTCTGGGAGGCTTCGGTGCAGAGCCAGGTCAGGTTCAACAGGGTTCCGGAGAAGGTCTGGGAGGCTTGGGTGCAGAGCCAGGTCAGGTTCAACAGGATTTGCGGCGATTTAATTCACGGAAGCCCAGCAGGGGTGTTTCCAGCGCTTGGCTTGGCATCACGCTTCAGAAAGACTTGTAAAAATAAAACATTGCGGCTGTTTCTTTCCCCCCAAAGAGGGGGTGCCCCAAACCCATGTGTCTTAGTACTAAGAGAATCTTATTTTGGATGATTTGGTGGTACTAATTCGAAGAAACACCCTTGTGCTTCTTCCAGGGTCGTGGCAAACTGCCTGGCATTTGCCATGTCTCCTTAAATAGACAATCTTGTTCCTTAGGTGTTCCTGTTCTGAACCACAGTCCGACCCCCCTGAGGTGGCATCTTTGGCAAGTCCTGAACTGCACCTGGTGTCGAAATCAAAACACATGCCACGGTTTAAGCGACCCGACCTGGCATGGAGAGTTCCCAAAAAACCCGGGAAAATCTCCTGCCAGACAGAGTCCGAAATAGCTGCGCGATTTATCTTGCTTAACAAAAGACTGCTCGCCGGTAGATGAAACATGACACGATCTTTGGCAGGAGAGGACTGGTTTGAAGATCTTTTCCAAAGTTTGATCTGTACTTGCTTCAGTTGACGCATTGAGCTTCCAGAGCTTTGCATTTGCTGCATAATTGAGATGCAGACGAAATCATCGTGACTTGCAATGAGTTTATTCGTGTGGGTTTGTCTGAAATTTGGGGAACCGGGGAACCCCCCCAATTGCTAATTCCACCTGTAAATCCAGTTTTTTTCCCCTGGAAATTCTTGTTTGGGGATAGATCCAGTTTCCACACACCCTGCTTTAGACCTCAACCAACCCGACAAAGCAGACAGACAGACCATGCTCCCCTTCCGAACGCCATGGCGCGGGATTGCAGCGAGATGCAGGCGCGAAAACGATAAATTGGTTCCAGAAGTTGCTGCTATTCACTGGATTCGGATTGATCGTGGGCCGGTTTTTTGAATACTTTCATTCCTTTTTCATGGATGACAGAAGCTTTCTTGTGGTGCCAGTAGACCAACCTCAGCTGCGCCCAGGGGCCGGTTCGCGGGTCTACATTTGCATTGCGCTTCTCCGTGCTTCCGCCCGTGGCCAGGGTGGCGGCCAGCAGATGTGAGTTGCGGCAAGGCATTGAGGAGACTATCCACTGCCTCTCAGGGCAAGCCCGAGAGAGTGCAGATGGCCTTGCGAACAGCTGGTGGTGTCCTGATTTTTTTGGGATTTGATGCATCTGTGCGATGGGTCATCGATACATCTGGAATGAGTATGCTACCTTCACAAATTTGCAGCGCCCTGGTGGGACCCAATGGGTTCCTGATTGGAACTGGTGTGCTAGTTTTTTGGGATCAAGTGCCTCATTTGTCAACCTTGAAGGATATGAGATAGCTATGGCTCAAAAACGGGGTACCAATTGCCAATTGCCCCACAAAATTGGCCCATTGTTTGGATCTGAAACCATCCCATTTGGGAGAAAATGACCCCCGCGAACCATTCCCCACATCGTTGTTTTGTTGGAAAATTCCACAGAGTGGATCACTGCTTCCAGGTATGCTCAGCGCCTTCGGAGGCTTGTCTGTGGCGCACTTGATATCTCCGACTGGAACTGCTACCGCGCACCAAGCCCTACTGCCAGCTGTGGCGTGGGTGGGCCGTTGGCTACCGGTGTTTCTGGTGCCAGTGCAAGTGATGTTGCCCACCATCATTTTCCCAGGTCCGGAGAGTTCGCTTCGGCCAGTTTTGCCTGTCCGCTTATATCAGATTGTATACCCTCTGGTTATGACTAACATAGCCATGGTATAGATGGCCCATAGAAATAGATGGTTTACCAGTTTACCGACCATAAAACATGGTGATTTTCCATGGCTATTGTGGAATAACTAGATGGTATGCCCGATATCCAATATACGTTGCAGTGCTCTTTTTGGACTGTTCACCGGGGCACCAGGAACTCTCCGCCAGAGCCAACAACTGTGGGCGCGTAAGCAAAGCGTAAGTTGCGGCGTTAAGCATGCCATGGGGGACTATAATGCAACTTAGTATTGTGTACTGTGAACCCAATTGGTTGTGATCAGTTGCCAGAAAGCCTTAACCGGTACTTAACTGACTGAGTGATGAGATCTAACTGACTAATTCTCTATCATTTATAGATGTTTTCCCCATTCAAGCCTTCATTTTCTATCATTTTCCCCATTAAAATATCATTTTAACTGACTAAGTCACTAAGTGACTAGATTAGCTGGATCTAAAGTTATTCATTTCCCCACTAAAACCTTTATTTTCTACCCATTTGATCAACATGTGGATGCCACCATCTCTGGACACAGGAGGCGCCGCCGAAGCCACTGGACTGGCGGTGCTGCTTGGTGCTGGCTGGTTCTCAGCTGTGGCCCTGGGAGCACGGCTGGTGACGCGGCAGGGGAAATGGCGATCAAAATTTTGCTGGGAGGAAATGAGATGTCTTGGTGATTTTGGAGATTGATCACCAGAATTCTTGGTGATTGCGTCCCTTTTTTCGGGTACTCCAAGTTTTGCACACACTCAAAAGTGCAATATCCGGGTGAATTGTAACGACAATGACAATTAAAAAGCACTTTTGTTTTTCAAAATCCTGTTTTCGTGCTGCCAAAAAGGGATATGTTGCCAACTTTTGTGGGATGATGCACTGAAAAATGGATGGTTTCCGAAAAAACAATCCTGATTTTCAGATCCAATATTCATATCCCCCATTTCTGAGCAACATCTATTATCTAGTGATATCTAGTGTATATCTCATCTATTTCTTCTACTCAGAGTCTTCTTGTTAGTGCCAAACAGGCTGCAGCTGTGATTTTCTTTGTCTCAGCTTGGCTTCTCCTGTATGTCTCGTTCCGGTTTGCATGGTTTTGGTCGCACTTGCATCTCCTGTTTTCCTTTATTGTAAAGCTGGTACAAAATCTGTGTATTTTGAGTGTAGTATGCTTTGGCTTACTTCCAAAATTCCAACAACTCCATTAACATGTCTTGATCATACCATTATTGCTTGGCCTGCGCAACTAAGGTGAGTTTGCTAGCATCTCGATCTGTGTGCACGGCCGCACCCGCAGCTGCAAAGTCGGCTCCAAAAATGGGTTTGTGGCTTCCTTTCACGTGGTTAACATGTGCCGCTCTGGTGGCACCTTTCGGGGTCTTCCCCGACCTCCAGTCAGATCCACTGGATGCCGAGTGGGCCAGGGGTCTTCGGGGCTTGAGCTTGGCGTCCGTGGGCGTGGGGAGTTACGCCCTGGCCATGCGGCAGGGTCTGCCGGGGCATCTCTGCTTCTTGGCCAATGGTGCTGCCACCATTGCGGCTGCGGCTACCATGGCGGCTGCGCGGCACGAAAGCTACAGCCAGGTTGTGAAACGTGCCTTTGACGGAAGGGCGTTGGGCGGCCTAGGAAGATGATAGTTGTAAGCCCAGTCATATTGGGATACAAATGGGTATAAGGGTCCATGGTAGATGGAACCCGTTATTCTTGAGATATTTTAGATTCTCTCTTTTAGCAATTTTAATGATAAATCATTGAAGGCTTTGGATCAAATGACATCAAAGGAAAGAAAGACCCAAAACCACCGGGATTTTGATCTGCACCTGATCAATTTCTTGAAGCAACATGAACAGGGTTTTTCGACCGTGTGAAGACACAATTTGCAGGCTGACGGGCCAGGAGTTGAGGCCACCCACCTTGATGGACATGTAGCAACGTTCGGAGCTTTGCCGTGGGAGATCATCCCCACTCGCTTCATATTTTTCAGCTGGACCCTTGTAATTTGCGGCCAAAACTGCTATGCCCCAGCATCTTTCGGGATGATTGTCGGAACCTTCATTAACTTCATTTTTGGCCACCCATATTACTGTACTAGTATAGTACTTTGTGGCTTTCCAGTATTTGGGGATCTAATAAGTAGATGTCTCTGGGTTAGCTAGCCCAGAGACGTCGTTGATGACCCTCTGCGGAGAATCTGCTGTCCTCCATTTTTTCTTTTTTGCACTTTTTACATAAACCCTGAAAAACTCTAAAACCCTATAAAACCCTCAAATTAAGCCTGAAGAAACCCGAGAAACCCTACGTAAACCCTGAAAAACCATATGAACGTGTATATATAGTGGAGTATCTGTGGGGCGTAGCGCACGTGCTGAGGGTAGAATTATCTAGTGATATATAGTGATATATAGTGTATAGTTGACGGTGAAATCCCATTAAAGATCCCATTAGAAAGTCCCATTAATCCCGTAGAATTTGAATTGATGGTTATGTTAGATGAAGGTTCTAAAAATGGGGTACCCCCAGTCTTCGTCCAAGTCATGGATGATCATGACTTAGTATTGAAACAACCATGGTGACTTGGATCAGGTGACTACTTAGTTGGACCTTCCGGACCCGCTGGCTCCGGAGATTGGCTGTTATGGTGTTTGGGGCCTCAGGATTTGGAGTTGTGAGACTTCTCATGCAAATTTAGGCACCAAACAAAAATGGTAAATCAAATATATATGTATATTTAATATAATTAGTTTGTATAGTATATCCAGATGATTGGGACATTTTGGGTGTTAGATAGACACAATTGTTTGGTGAAATCAAAGTGAAATCAAACAATTGTTGATGATTTCTTTGCCAGCAGGCTATGTACCACTAGGCAACTGGGCGTCTGTCCGATGCCTCTGCGTTCAAACCCATGGTATGTTGGAGCCACATGGTTTGATGTGTCCGGTTGCCTCTTGGGGCTGTCCTGAGAGTACGCCTTACAATTTTGTCTGCGTTAGTTAAGCACTGAATGACTGTTGAATGACTGAATTTCACACAAAACAATACAAAAAAGAGTTTTTCAGCAGATGGCACCCTTGTCGTTTTTGTTTAGTTTTCTTAGCAGAGGGGTCAGTTGACCCTTGAGACCAGTAACCCTTAGGGATTTTTTTGCCCGGTATCTCAGGTCTGGGGCCGGCCCTCGTGTCCACAGGAGTGCAGATGTTCCAATATCGCCAGGACCTCAGAATTGGCCTCGGTGGCCATTGGAGATACTCAGGAACGATCATGTGAACCACAAAATGATTGCTTGTCTATTGAATCTTATCCTGCAGTTTTTGTTTTGTCACTGTGGGGGTGTCTGAAAATCGCATTTTTTTTCCAACAGTGCAATTCTTCGCGGGGAATTTTATGATTTACCATGGAATTGGTATATCCTCTGGTAATTTGACATGGCAATGGGAAATCCCAACTTTAAATCTTTTCAATGGGAGAATATGGGATAGTGGATCATATAGTATTTCCCGATGGATTTTCAACATTGTATATTTTTTTCAATGGGAAATTCCAACCTTTTCCATAACATTTCTGGAGGGTAACCCGCACCTGGCAAACCTTCGCACTGCAGGTTCCCGCATCGTGGACCTCAGTAAGGTGTTGTTCATCAGCTCAGCAGTGGTCCCCTGGCTATGGCTATGGTTATGGGTGATCTGAAACCATGGGGGTTGATGATCGCACCTAAACACATCAAGCCTTTGAAATTTAGGTGGAACAACATATTTTTGAATTCTTGATTGGGTATGTCGAAGAAAACACTGTGAAAATCCCAAGAAGATTTTCGGCATGGCGGAAGGTGGGCACTATCATCGGCGGGCTTGGCGATTTCTGTTGACGTTTTGTGCTGAATCTGAGGTTGGAAAGTCTTGGTCTATGCTTGATCTATACTTCGTTGGCCAGTTATTAAGTATTGATGACTTAGCATTTTTTTTAAACGACACAATCTCATTCACTTTATTTATTGATCTATGTATTTATTCACCTCTTCATTCAAGTTATTACTTAACTAATCAGACAATTATATCCCATTACATCCCATCATATCCCATTCTACCATCAGTTTTTTTGCTCAAATCCCATTTTTTCCATGCTGAACTCCTATTTTTTACGGCACACCATCCACGTTTTTTTGGGTTGAAGCTGGTGAAACCCACGATTTTTGGGACGAAACTCCGGCAAATTTCCCAGGTCTCGTTGAGCAACATCCTGGGAACCGTGCTGGCAGGGCCGCTGCTGGGAATTTCTCCGGAGGTGACCTTAGCGGCCACCATGAGGCGCCCTAAAATCACCTAAAGCATGGTGGTTTTTCATGATTACCCTCTGGTAAACTAACATAGCTATTGAACATGGCCATTTATAGTTGATTTAGCCATCAAACATGGTGATTTTCTATAGTTATGTTAGTTTACCAGAGGTTACTATTTGACTATATGATATTGTAATATAATTTAATGGTATATTAATATGAATTGGTATATTACTATATGACTATATGGTATATTACTATATGAGTATATGATTGTACCAATGATTATATGCTAATTGGTATATTAACCCCATGGTACTGTAATATAATGGTATCTCAATGGTATTGGTTTATTGATATATTATATACCATAGTAATCCATACCAATTTACCATATTATGAAAAATATATGACCATTTATTCATTAATGGTATATTATATATTACTAAAAACACCTATAACTATCACCATTATTTCTCGATTTGTATCATTAAAATACCATGGGGATTATTTGATGGTATCTTACTATTAATGGTAGATTGATGGTATACCATAGTAAACCATATGGTGATTACTATGGATTATTTCATGGTATATTAATGGTAGATTTGATGGTATACGAATAGTATCTTAATGGTACTGTGAACGGTTTGTGGAAAATGACGCAATTATTTAGTACTACTATGGACGATTATGGTGCAGTGGATTTTAAGATCATTACTATTTTATAGTTATTATGGATATACAACCCATTACCAAATGACCGTTATTTTAGTGGTATCATAATTGGTTAGATTATTATTCTGGATCATTTGATGGTATATTTTGATGGTATATTCATGGTATATTATCGAAGGAAGTTTAGAAGTCAAACTTCCGACAATATGGACAGATGAAAAGCAGAGATGGCTCCGGAGGGTCGAAAAGTAGGCTCGCTAAAGCGGCGGGTGCGGAGCAAGCTGGCCAGATGAGAGATGAACAATTGCACGCCGTTGTGGCGCGAAGCATATTTCCAAGTCGAAACGTACAAAACACCAGGTTCGGACCACTTTTGGGAGTTGAGATGTCGAAAAAGTGCACGCCGTTTCATGGGATCAATCCACTGAAAGGGATTTCAATCAAGTAAAATGAGGAGCTTAGCTCAACATCTAGTTTTTGTATGTTTTTGTTGGGGAACTGAGCTGAACAACAACAGCTGAATATTGGCGATTTCGCCGCGAACCAAACATGAGGCCCATATCGACGGGCCTTACCAACAAACATAGGGGTTTCACCAGCAACAGCGAACCTTGTTTTTTAAATGGTATGTTGGTTGAGGGGCGAATTCCGAACCACAAAGGGAGACATACGACTTATATACAATATATTACAACATATGCATACAAGATAGAACATACAAATCGAGTCGATCAAATGTAATATTATATATATATATATCTATACATGTATACTAATCACATTATCTTATAACATGTATATATATATAAATATATATATATATATACACACATATATATATATATGTATATACAGAACATGGTCCGACCTATTGGAATTAACGACGCTCTCACTTGGTCCTGTTTCATGTGTTTCATGTGTTTCTCGTGTCGACAATTTCATGTTTGCATCATCGACTCCTCCTCATGTTATCCGCTGTTGTCACTTTCCAGGAACAGGAACCTCCTCAGGAACCTCCTCAGGAACCTCCTCCTAGCCCGTCAAGCATGAACCTCCTAATCAAATGACACGAGATGGTTGCCGCGGGCATCCAGCCAATCTTCTGGGAGCATGGACAAGGTGGTAGATGCATACAGTAAAAAAAACATGTGAAACTTGGCAACAAACTGAAACAAACCATGTCCGAAATGCTGCAACTTGTACGAAGTGCGACAGAAGGAATGTCCAACATGGATTTCATGTGATGAAGTTTGAAACTGAATCAGCAGAGTGAGTATGTCATTGATCGACGTCATTGCCCCCCCCACACCGAGGATATGTTAGGGGTTCAACATGAATTTGAGTTTAATCTCCATACCACACGATTGCTTTCCATAGTTCTTAGGAGTTCGAGAAGCCTCCCTCTCTCTGTCTCTATATATATATACACACAGATGTACATGCATATGCATGGCAGATATCATATGATATGATAGGATTGTGACAATGATATCCAGTACTACTTTTCCCCATGGCTTCTTCACCATGCCTTACGCGATCTGTCAGATCCGTGAGGTGTGTCACGATTCCCATGGCGCTGCCCACCTATGATCGCCTGTGCCAAGCAAGTGGTGCGGAGAACAACGTGGCATTGGTGGCGCTCTGTGCAGGTACGCAACCAATGGAGAGCCATATCTGGGCTGCTGTTGATGTCAAATATAGGCACCATACTGGACCATACTACTTCTAGGTATGTCTAGTACGAAGAGGTAGAACTGGGGCCCATCATTGTAGGGACGGGGCCGAAGGTTCAGATTGAGTTGAAGAACTTGTGCAACACTGCATTGCAGGGGGAGCCTGTCCCCTGGCTTGTTAGGGATGGGTCAATACCAATGGGACCGTGTGAATAAAGAATCCCAAACTTGGAGACCTCCCAACACCAACAAAATAGTCATTCTTAGTAAGAAATCCCATATGTATCCCACATATCCCATACATATCCCATGGTTTAGGTCCCTATCAGTTCGAAAAGCATCCAGTTATAACTGCTGTGAGGCCTCTCAGGCTTCATCGGGTACCTTGGATGGGCGGTGTGGGACGACATCGCGGTCATTCCATCTGTTCATGGGACATTTACCCCCTGGTAATTTAACATAGCTATGGAAAATCTCCATTTTTAATACGTAAATCAACCAACTAAATGGCAATTTTCCATAGCTATGTTAAATTACCAGAGGGTATAGGAATTTATGGGAACTTATCATGGGAATTTATGGCTATTTATGGGATTTTATGGACATAGGTAAACCCAAATATTCCACAGGTTCATGGGAATTTGTGGGAATGAACCATCAATTTAATAGTGACTTAAGAATCAAACATGGTGGTGTAATGGGGATATCATGGTTTAACCGAAAACCATAAACCATACCCAAACATCTCCGAGGTTATATTGTTGGATTGACCACATTTTTTGTGAGTGCAATTGCAAGTGGGCTATAGTGAGTTTATAATCCCAGCTACAAACTAGATTGTATGGGATCATATACAATTGGTTAGATTGCCATGGATAATTTAACGACGTAAACCAATTTTTTTCACAATCCCCAATTAGGGTCTATGAAATGGGTATACCCCTATGACTGGGATGATATAACCTGACCCCAAGTGGTTGGTTGCTGGGATGGTTATCCATGGATTTTCATTGGGAGTTAGATCCCCAGCACAAGGATTCCCATTGTGGGATGGACGACCATAAACCACATGGAGGTTTCCTAAAATGGGGCTACCCCTAAATCACCCACTTTGATAAGATTTTCCAAACCATCCATTTTGGGGTACCACCATTTATGAAACCTTCCATATACGTATGGTTAGCGAAGTGATCCTCCCAACTGAGTCCCAACTGGGTGGCAGTCGAGGTTTGGCTTTTCGCAGCGCTTGCTCTCCTCCGTGGTCTGCCAAGCTCCAATGGATCCCGTCACTGAGCTGAAGCCATGGTGGTTTCATCAGGAAGAGATGGCATTTAACCAACGAAAAAAAAAGGTGATTTAGCCATCATACACGAGGACTTTTTGTGGTTTAGCAACGTGAACAACATGGAATTTAATGGATATTCATTGGGATTTCATGGGATACTAGGATCTAAAAGGAATATTAATGGGATACAAACAGCATATAACTATGTAACCAACTTGATGTGATATTTGGGTGTGTCTGACAAAAGAGTATACGCCACAAATGGCAATTTCTGATAGGGAAATCTGATTAACCAGTGGATTACGGGATTCCGCATTTTCAGACAATCCCACGTGCTTAGGTTGATCGGACAACACCCTGGTGGATACTGTATTTGTTTTGCACCAATTCTATACTGTATAACTATAGTTCAAAGAGACTGCACTATAAGTCTGTGTCAAGAATTGTGGACGCTCCCAAACGCACAGATGGCCATATTTTGGGGATTCCTCCATCGGATATTCATCCAACTTTTTGGACTTGAAGATGCCCAAAAGTTGTACCCTCTGGTAATTCAACAGTTTGCTATTGAAAATGGTCATTTATAGTGGATTTACCCAGCTACAGAATGGTGGATCTTTCCATAGTTATGGGACAGTTTACCAGAGGGTAACCATCATATATCACATTAAATCCCATTAAAATTCCATAAAATCCCATTATGTCCCATTAAAATACCATTATGGTGATCTTCCCACAACCATGTTTGGCAAAGTTTTGTCCCATGTTTGCATGGTTCATGATGGGTCCAGGTGGCCCGTGGCATCGCCACTGGTGCTGCCGGGCATGCCCTTGGCGCTGCCTGCCTTGTGGCCTCCGAACCCGAGGTTTTGCGTTGGGGGATTTCTAGGAGTTCACCTCGAAAAATCGGTGATTTTGACCATCAAAGATTGGGGATTTTTCAAGGGACCTGAAAAAAATGGGATGAGACGGGAATTTTATGAACCATCAAGAATTTCTGGGATATTTTTATGGGATATTTATTGATTTTAATGGGATGTTAACCATCAATTTTATTGATTTAATGGGATATCAATGCGATATTTAGAAATTGGATGTATTTCATGAAACATCTGGTCTTGGTGTGTCTGAAAATGGTGTATCAATGGGGTATTTCGCCCAATGGCAATTTTGATGCAGGGGATCATGCTGATTGACCAGTGACTGGAGCCGCCAGCAAAACCTTGGATGTGTTTTCTTGGGATACTGTATTCCTCTGGTAATTCAACAGTTTGCTATTGAACATGGCCCATTTATAGTTGATTTACCCATTGAAAATTGTTATTTTCCATAGTTATGTTAGTTTACAAGAGGGTATTCCTCTTGAATTGTGGAGTAATTGATAAACTATACTCGCCAACCAGCAATGCATTGAGATACTCAGTATTATGGTCAGTAGGTATCGAGATTTTTACCATGCACAAAGATGGTTAAAACCGATTGGTGAGTCGTAGAGTAAATGACAGAACATACATTTGTTTCAGTACCCAGCAATAAAGATATGAACCAATAAAACATGGGGTAGATTTGGCGACCTCATGGCGACCTTCTCAGACGTGATGGAGTTTTCTTCCATATCTGTGTCATTGTAACTTTTCCTGGATATGATTGTCAATTGTGACGTAATTAAATTATCCAATTCAAAAAGGATAACTTGGATGAAGCACTTTGCCCGCTGCTTGTAGTCTGATTCTGGAGATGGAGCGTTCAGTTTGCTGCGAAGTTGGTGCAATGTTGTAGGATAGGTATGTGTTTGATGGGAAAGGCTGAAGACGTTGTGGACTTGACTTTGCTAGGCTGAGCAATTCGAAATCCGATTAGCAAGATGTGGCAGTGTGTCAAAACCTTGTGCCCCTGGTGAACCTCAAAATAGCTGGTAAATGGATGTTCATTCCCCTAAAAATGGTATGTATAGGTATTGACCCATACCCATGTTGCAGAAACAAACCAATTCATTGAACACACCTTTGTCTTCAGTGGCATTTCTCTGACTCATAACGAAACCGACCCATAGTGCCAGAGGCCTTCGTGTGGGGCATGCTGGCTATGGCTGTATCTGGAGCAAGATCCTCAGGTAAGCCATGAATGACCATGGTCATTTTTGCTGGTAAACCATGCGATTTTTTTGGGGCTGAGATTGCCACTAATCCAAGCTGGAAGCGTTTTTTTCTCTGGTGATCTAACTTGGCAACAGTGGCCTGATTGGATTGCCGGGCCAAGGTTGCCTCGGCTGCGTGGATTTGCGCGTGTCCACCGGTTCGTGAGCTTGCGGTGTCCTTGGCTTACAGAAACAGTCCAAAGGACGTTGCGGAGCCAACTAGAACATCTTGAGGTTGCTCAGAGGAGTCCAGAGACATGTACATAGACATCATAGACTAGTCGCTATAGAACGTCTTGAATCGTGACATGTTTCGTTTTTCCGCTGTGACACTGAAAAGGAATGAGCGCATCCTCCAACTGAAACGCCTGTCTACAGTGTTCCGTGAAGAGATATGAAAGTCGGCCAAGCTTGACTTGCCATGAAGACGCGCCATTTACCAGGAACAAATCAACCTGAAAGGCTCAAGAAAACGTAGCAGATAAGCCCAGGTATCTTGTGTAGCATGGTTGAATTTGAGCTTGATCAGGGCATAGTCCTACCATGAGCACTTTCCTGGAAACTACTTATTGTGTGAAATACAATGATGCACAATGTCTGCCTAAGTTTACTTTTTCAAAGTAATGCCAAAACCATACCCAAGCGATCATAATCAGGATCTCTGACAATTTCTCATCGGGATTTACCATGTCGTCTTCACCCAAAAGACAGCTTCGTTGCTTCAGAATCTCTTTGGACAGTCGCTAAAAAACGTAGCTTTCGTCACTGCATCAATGCCTGGCTTCCGCTTCGCCGCCAGCCATGGGCCCAGAAATCCATGCTGCGATCCCTTGCAGCGCTAAGTTTGTTGGTGCCATGGACCCTACAGGGGTTGCTGACGGGAGTTATATGATCTATCCAGTTATATTGGGAGCGATTGGGGTATCCCTATTCCCTATCAAAGGTGCTAAGGAGCTACGAATTGAGCACCATATGATAGGTATACAGCAACTATCGCATGGTGGTGAGACTCAGCAATTTCCCGTAGTTTTGAACTCGTTATGGGAATCTGTTTGAGGAATTTTCGCAAAGAAACCAGTTGGTTGATGATATGGGCTTATATTACCTAGTATGTCGGGGATCATCATCCCAGTTCACTGGGATTTCCATGGATTTCCGCACCATAGGATTCTGTGGTAGCCATTTCGCACCATCCCCAAGTCATCACCATATTTTTACCATCCCCAAATGGATGGTTTATGGCATTAGGTTTCCCACATTTTACGGGATTTTCCCTGAGTTTTTTGCCTTAGCATTGATGAGCAAACATGGACCAAGGTGCTCTGCCGATTCTCTTTCTGTCTGGCAGAGCCTGGGTGAAGATGATCCATAAATCGGGGATTTTCCAGCCATGTTTGAGGACACCGGGGGGTAAATGGTGTACCAAATGGGCACATTTATTTCCCAAGAAAAGGGACATATCATGGTGTTGGAGCGTAAAAGGGAAGCCGTGCAGAAGTGCCGTTGCCATTTCTTGGCATTGGATGAATACTGAATCAATACCAGAAGATGAAGGTGGATGAACATCCAACAATAGTAGTATAAATCGATGTTTATCCATTGGATCAATTGGCATCCAATGGATGAACATGCACTGAAAAAGATGAGGTATAGTAATAGTTTCTACGCATGAGTCTATATTTGCTATACTGGCATTTTTTTAAATGGGAGGAACATCTATTGAAAAATGCAAGCTATGTGCGATTATAACATATATGTATACATATATATATATTTATATATATATGCCAGCTACAAGTTGAGAATCTTGCACCAAGGAGCCTCACGCTTCAGCTAAGGATGAGAACTCCACAGAGGAGTCAGATGCCAACACCAGCACCACGACGTCGATGACGGTCTCCAGTAGCTCCACTGCCAGCATGACTGCCACGTCCACCATGGTGACAAGCACCAGCTCCTCCACCTACAGTGGCACATCAACATCGACCACCAGCCACTGGGAGCTGATGCTTTTTTGTTTAGCGATAAACATGGGGGATGACTATGACTATGAGAGTGACAAACATGTTTTTTTTTAAACAGCACTTGAAATTGGGAGTAGCCTGATTGGGCAACCATTGCATTGTCACCTTTCATCATCTCCAAGATTGTAGCTATTGTTACTGAGTGATGTCCATGAAATCGTTTCCGTCCCAAGGTCCCAAGGGGTCCCAAAACGTCCCAAGGGCCACAATGATCCCAATGGTATCTCCATGGTTGGAGAACGTCCATTCTATGGCTTGGTGATCTCCGTTTTGTCATGATCTAATCAGGAGAAGTCACGTGTTAAAAATCTCATATACCCTCTGGTAAACTAACATAACTATGGAAAATGACAATTTTTAATGGGAAAATCCACTATAAATGGTCATTTTCAATAGCCATGTTAGTTTACCAGAGGGTAACCCACATGCAAATCCCACTTAAATTCCATTTTCCTAGCATTTCTGGTGGCAGGGCTCCAACCAGGCCACAGTCTCACTATCACTTCGACATGGTCGACTACGACCAGTTCCACCTCCACCCTCACTGCAAGTACCACCTCCAATTTCACCACCACCACTGGAACGACCACATCAAGTACCAATACCACCATGACCATGACATCCACAACATCAATGACCACCACTGGAACGTGCCTTGATCGATGCTTTTTCGGTGGGGGACCTTTTTTCTTTAAATGATAAAGTCGGGTTGAAGAACAGCTCAAACTAAAGCCTAAAAGTATGGTTTTCATAATGACAACTGGATCATTTTGCCGAAAGTGTGACATTCGGATCGAAACGAGACTTATCCTGTCACTTGGATTCCAATGGAACCGACACAAAAGCAAGGAGCAGCATGCGTTGGAGGCATTACTGTAGTCGGGTAAACTTCGTAGATTCAGTTAATGGATGCCCTGCAGTGAGCCGGGATGCTGCTAATTTTAGCAGCTTATAGTAGGGTAAGTAGTCAGGCTAGCCATATTATAATTATATATGTTTTCTAAATTCTGAATGCCCTCTGGTAATTTGACATAGCTGTGGACAATTGCCCATTTAGTTTGATGATTTACCTATTCCAAAACGGTGGTTGTCCATAGATATGCTAGATGACCAGAGGGTAACCCACCAATATTCCATCAATACGTCACTAATGTTTCATTCTATCCCTACTATACCACCAGTGTACCACCTTTTGTTGGTTAAATTCCAGTCATTTTTTTCTACCTGTTCTACCCCTATGATCTCGCTGTATCGTATCTCGTCGGCTGCGCACACTGCGCAGGCGCACAACATCAACTGTCTCCAGTAGCAGCACATCATCCACTACATCAAGCTCATCCACAACCACACGAGTGGGGCTTTGGGGGCGGAAACGTTAAAACAAATCTGCCCAACCTTGACGTCGGGAAGGTTGCGGATCTTTAAGCCCTCAACCTTCCGTTTGAGAGACTATACCTACACCTCTTTCCAGCTTAAACTTTCATGGCTTGTGAACCGCACTGTTTGTCCAAGTGTTTTTGCCCCTCGCAGAGACCTCCACATTTGTGAACAAGCAGGTGTACAAGCTCTACATTGAGGAGGCCGAGCTTTTTCCTACTTACCTCAATGTTTCCTTCAACCATCCAGCCAGGCAGGGAATCTGAAGCATCACAGTCAGTTCTACTTCATTTGCATGACAGCATTTGTCAGTGAACTCAAGTGATAGACCTCTAGCACACTTTAGGGGGATCTCTGACAGAAATTCGATGTGGCTTTGTCTGAAAACAGGATCCCTCTAAATCCAATGTAATAATTTTCCCTATTAAAGTACCATTGGGGAGGTATACACCATTTTCAGACAGACCCATGTTGTAGGAGGACAACACATGGAGCTGTACTGATCTTTGGGAGGATGAAACAGACTCTCGACCTGCAAATTTCATGTGAGCAGTTTTCGAAATCGAAACCCCTGTGGATTGATAAGTATAATTCATAATGATATGGGATTATCCTACCCAATATATTGGGGATTATCATTGCTGGCAGTTTAGACATTGCCGTTGCATTCACCCATACATGTTTCAATTCAACCTGTAATTCCCAGCTGCTACTGTAGCAAGCTTCTGGCAAAAATCAGCTGCTGCGGAACTTCGTGGACGACGAGGTGGGAAGCTTGGTGGTGGAGAACCTGGTGGGGCCTAACCACTAGGTTATGAGCCCAAAGCGTGGCCCTTGAAGCGCAACTATGTCGATGTTTGGCCGAAGGAGAGCAACGCCTGAAGAACTTGCTCAAGGTGAACGTGAGATGTTAGCTGCCCAGAAGCGTTTAGATGAAGAAAATGGAACAAGGGATGAAAAACCAATAGAGGATGTCAAAGAGCCTGAAGGAACTGATAGCTTTGAGTCCCCCAAAGCCTCCCAAAGGGTGAAAGAAGCTGAGGGAAGTGAGGAAAAGCATGCAGGTTCCCCGAAGTCCTTTGCACCTCCGTTACCTGTCCAGGATGCCCCTCAGGTGAAGCCAGCAGAGACTAAGGTGACACCAAGCGCATCTCCTGCTCAGGTGAAATCAGAACCGAAGACGCCAGCACCTGCTCTTGGGACGCCTTCTGAATCTCATGGAGCTGTTGTTCCAGCCGTGATGGACGTGAATGCGCCGAAGGTGGAACAGAATGTGCAGGTGGTCCCAATGGTGGAACAGAATGTGCAGGGTGTTTCCAATGGACCTTAACATCCTGGTGATCCCTCTTCAACAACTCCGGCACCAACTAGCGCTGCGATCTCTCCAAATGGACCTCTTTTTGATGAACAACAAGTGAGACGTTTTCATGAACTTTTTAGTCAAGCTCCTTGGCTATCTATACCCAGGTGGACAGATGATGATGCCCCAACTGCCGATGCAACCTCCGTTAGCACGTCCTTTGTTTCTGGAGCATGAACAGCGTAGGCTGCAGAGTGAAAGAAACGTCGGAACAACCACCAATTTTGAATCCATATGTTCAATCACCTGGTTTTCATGCAGAGCTTAGAAGAAACTTAGAAATGATGATGGAAGAGAATCAAAAGTTGAAAGACCGTTTGGAAGCTGGAGTGACCTTCCGGTGAATCGTCGCCAGGGGAACCTGTTGAAGCGAGATGGCTTCATTGCCCACATCTACTCTGGTGAGCCTCATGGATTCACTCTTGCCCGAGCTTGGAAGCAACAAGGTGGAGTTCCAAGCCATTTGCTGGAGATTGATATCAAAAATGGTCAGGGGCACGACATGCTTCTTGACGCTGGCGTCTATGCTGGGCTGATGTGTGCGGTTTTGCACGACAAAGTTGAGGCCGTGGTTGGTGGCCCCAATTGCAGGACTCGATCAGTCCTACGACACTATCCCAAGGAGAATGCTCCGCGACCAGTTCGGGGTTGGGGTGGAGAAGAATTTGGTCTTTTTGACTTTTCAAAGGAGGAGGAGAACCAAGTCACTGAGGACGACATCTTGCTGTGGCGTTTTCTCTTTCTTTGGATGGTTGCCTCATACCTTCGAGCTGCAAAACAAGTTCAAAGGAAAGTGGGGTTACTTCTTGAACAACCAGCGTCGCCCCGAAAGTGCATGCCTGAATGTGTGTCTTTTTGGGACACCTCCGACTGGAAAAGCCTGAGGGAAGAATTTGGCCTGAAAGAAGAAACTAGTCAAGGAAATCAAGGAGGAGCCAACCACAATGGCTGGCACTTTGGATCTGAACTTTGAAGCCTACGGCCATCAAGTCCTCTGCAGAACTGTCGCGGTGGGCACCTGGAACTATGGCCATGGTGACTGAAGCAGTTTTGACCCAGGTGATCCATCGAAAGCCCAAACTTGCTCCTCTTTCCTGGCAAGAACATCTACAACATGGCCATGTCCCTTTCAGGCGTGATTGCCTGGTTTGCCAACAGAGTTTGCAACAGCAACCTCCTCACCGAAAAGGCAAACATCCTCTTGGTGGACAAAACTCCATCGACACCACAGGGCCGTTTATCCGAGCTCACGACGTTGGTGGATACAAAGCTGCCTACATCCTGCTGGGTGCCCTCACTTGGACCGTGCCAAAAGATTCAATGCTAAAAAAAGAAGAGAAGAAGTTGGAGAATTTGAAGAAGGAGCACCAAACTTCGATGCAAAGAAAGAAGAAGAAGCTCCGATACCAATTGAAGATCAAGAACCTGAACTTGCAGTCCAAGGCATCTTGGACGACGACGAAGAAGAAGAAGAAGCCGTAGAAGAAGAAAGGGCCCCAGAGGGTGAGGTAGAAGAAAAAGAAAAGATTTAGGAAGCAGGTGAAGAGAAAAAGGAGGGCAAGAGCGAAGAAGCCAAAGAGTTTGAAACCAGAGTTTTTCGCCTTGCTGCGCCACTGCTTTCAAAGAAGCCAAAAAGGTCACACGTGTCACCATGGACAGGCCCTTGTGCTTGCGAGCTGATGGGCAAGGGCATGAATTTCAAGGGCACTTCAAACAATGGTGCCGTGAGAGGGGTATCCATCTCACACGAACCCCGGGGGATGATCCCCGCAGCAACGGCCGCGCAGAGACAGCCGTGAAATCAATCAAAACTCAGATACGCCGTATCCTTCTTCAAGCTGGTGCTGAAGCAAAGTGGTGGCCTTGGGCAACACGCTATGTCAACGAGCTGAATCGAGCTGCCAAACTTGGCAACCGGCCTGATTGGCCTCTCTTCCTGGCGTGCGCAAAAGAAAGTGGTGTCGTGGCACTTTTGAAGTCTCCACTGAAACCGTGAAGTACCTGTGCCCCGCTCCTGAAGATCATGGCCACTGGATCCTTCCAAAAGAGGAGCCACCACGCATCACCAAGATGATCATGAAACCTGCTCACCTTCCACTGTCCGAAGAAGGTTGGGTCGCCATTGAGAAAGAAACTGTGGACGCACTGGTGATTAGAAGAAGGATAAGAGGCAAGTCTGCTATTAGAAAGATGAGGAGGAAAGTGAGGATGAAGTTCAAAGGGAAGAAGAAAAGAAAAAGCGAGTGCATCTTCTTCGAATGATTGAAGAGGAGATGCGCACCATGGTCGACGATGACCCTGAGCTTGCACTTGAAGAATTGAAGATTTTGGGAAGTTTGAAGAAAATGGCGGTTTTGCCAAACCAAGAAGAGGAGATCTTGCAGACACGAATTGTGTCGCCAAAGGAGGTTTCAGAAAATTGGGAGGAGTGGCTGCCTGCCAGCAAAAGCGGAGTTGAATCACTCCTGCAAGAAAAAGAAGCCTTCCGAGAAGTTTTCCTGAAGAACTGAAGAGGCTACAACAGGAGGCTGAGAAAAAGGGGAAAGGGATAGAGTTCATTCCGTCAAAGTTGGTCTTCACAAGGAAGCCAGGTCCTGGAGGTGGAAAAAAGAAAATGAGATGGGTAGCCTGCGGAAACCTTGAACCACGAAAGCCTGAAGAAGACAACTTCAGCTCAGGGGCAGATGCCTCTGCCTTGGGCATACTTGTCTGGTGTGCCGCTCGGTTCCAATGGCTGGCATCTCTGTTGGATGTTCGTACTGCATTTTTGAATGCGAAGATGGTGCTCTCTGAAGATGAAGACCTGATCCTTGTGAAGCCACCAGCATTACTCACTGAGAAGAAATACCTGAGGAAGGATGTCTATTACCTCCCTGAAAAAGCCATCTATGGCCTCCGAAGATCTCCAAAACTTTGGGGATTAACCAGAGATGAAACGATCACTGCCTTTGACATCCAGGTGAACTATGAGGGGAAAACCAAGGCCTTCAACTTGGAACCACTTCAATCAGAACCCAATCTGTGGAGACTTTGTGCTGGAGAAGATGAAAGAATTCACGGGTTGTTAATGACGCATGTCGATGACATCTTGGTCGCGGCCCCAAAGGTTCTCCTGGAAGCAGTCATCCAGAAGATACTGTACAAGAAACTTGGACTACGTGGGTGCCAGAGCCCGTCTCTGAAAGCCCTACGCATTTCCTTGGAATGGAGCTCACCAAGTTCTACAACGAAAAGATCCAGCGTGATGTGTGGATGCTGACACAACAGAGCTACACTCTGGACATGGTTCAAAAGGAGGATGAGAAAGTGAAGCTAAAGAAGATTCCGCTATCAAGGGATCAAGCTGCGATGGAGCCAAAAGAAGAATCCCCGTCGATTGAGAAGGTTCGTCTGGCGCAAAAAGTAGTTGGAGAAGCGCTATGGCAAACCACAAGAGCTCGTCCAGATCTCATGTACGTGGTCTCCAGAATGGGATCAGCTGTGACTCGTGCTCCTGAGGCTGTGATCCAAGCAAGCAACCAACTCAAGGGATACCTTTCAACCACAGCCAATGATGGACTGAAGTTTGAAGTTGAAGAAGGCGAAAACCCAATCTTGACAGTCTTCGCAGGTGCTTCATCTGCACCTGACTCTGAGGAAAGCCATGGCTCCTTCGTTGTCCTTTTGGGCTCTTCTCCAGTTTTTTTTGAGGTCTGGCTGACAAGGTTTCGTGACATTGTCGACAGCTGAAGCTGAGCTCACTGAGATCATCGAGGGCATGGTGGCTGGTGAAAGCATCCATGTGATCTTACAAGAACTTTTTCCTGATGCTCCCAAGGTCCTGAAGACCGACAACATGCCGGCCTTATCAATCCTGACGGGTGACGGTGGCAGTTGGCGCACACGTCACTTGCGTCTTCGAGCTGCATACGCAAGACAGTCAGTGTTTGCAGGTGAATGGGCTCTCCAACACGTTCCAGGTGAGTTCATGGTGGCTGACATTGGAACGAAGCCACTGACTGCAGCGCGTTTTGAGTCTCTGAAGTTAGAAAGTAAAAGTGAAGTTGAGGTTGAAGAAGGAAAAGTAAGAAAAGAAGGAGAAGAAGAAAGAACAGGACGGCGAGCTGGCCAACAAAGAAAAGAAGCGCCTGGCAGAAACAGCTCAGGTCCTACGGCTGATCACCTTGGCTGCGTCAATTGCAGTCGCCAAAGCGGAGGAAGAGAAAGGAGCGGAAGAAGCATTTTCTTTTGAAGCCATTTTGATCTACACCTTGGTCATCATCATTTTCACCTTGGCCGTGCGGCGACTCTGGGATGCAGCAGTACGGGGGGTTACGTTCATGCAACAGCGTGTTGTGGCTCAACCTGGAAGTCTCCCCATGAAAGCTGCGAAGAACGAAAAGAAGGAGGTCTCCCAAGGAGATCTGCCTAGCTCTTCGTCAGGGCCGAGCTCAAGTGATGTTGTCCGAGCTCCACAAGATGCTCCGCTGCCAGCTGAGTCAATCAATGTGGCTCCGCAACCAGAAGAAGCACAATCATCAAACCCACGAACAGCAGTTGATCTCCAAACAGCGTTGGAACTCCTACGAGCGCATGATGCATCGATGGTGGATTACGAAAGGGAGTGGAATGAGATTGAAGCAGAAGAACGAAGGGTGCGCATAGAGCTCGATCAAGCTCTTCCTGGCGATCGTCTGCTGGGGCCTGCGACTTCGTCACAACAGCCATCTCCTCTCCCTGAGATTCCCTTCGAAGTGATCACAACACGATATGGCACCGTGTACCATTCCAACCAAAACTGCAGGTATTTGACCGCACCTATGGCTGGAGCTGCAAAGATTCATAATTGGCGTGCGACATGTCGAATGGAAGCGGCCCAGACTGGAATAATTCCTGGGCGTGGTGCTGCTGTGCTGATGGTTGGATGGCGCATTGACTTCCACACCGACATCATGCGCGTTCATGCTGAGGGAGCCAATAGTTTTTCACTTTGCACTGCATGCTTGGAATATACGTAAGTAGCTTGAGCTGGGCTGTAACATATTTGATTTGGATTTGGATTAAAGCACATTTCGATGCTTCAAAGGGGGAGTGCTGGCAGTTTAGACATTCACCCATGTTTCAATTCAACCTGTAATTCCCAGCTGCTACTGTAGCTACTCTTACTCAAGCTTCTGGCGAAAACCAGCTGCTGCGGAACTTCGTGGACGACGAGGTCGGAAGCTTGGTGGTGGAGAACCTGGTGGGGCCTAACCACTAATCATAACCCATTATGACTCATGTGACCGGCGTCCTGGTATTCTTCTTGCGCATGACATGGCGGCTAAGCAGCAGTTTGCCAGCCAAAAAGTGATGTTTTTCAGAGGAACTCATCTCAGAGTCACGGTGACTTGGTAGCTTGATAAAGCCTTGGTGCGTGGCCTCTCACGTATGACATGGCACATCTATACGGCTTAGACAGTTCATGTTTTTCCCCATGGCCCATATTCCAAGAAGTGCATCTGCAGGAAAACTCCATATCTACATTATCTATATACTGACAAAATACAATTACTTTTCTGCAAATAATCAAAAACAAACCCACCCAATTCCCTCAATGTGATTCTCTGAAAATTTGGTACCCGGGTACCCCATGATCCCATAGTTCAGAATTTCATGTTCTCTAGAAAAGAAAGGCATTGCCATATTGCCATATATTTTTCAGGCGTTTTAATCCTCCTTTCAAACGACACACGGGTGCTCGACTGCTCTGCAGCTCTGGCTGAGGTAATGACCTTTGGGACGGAAAGCACTTGCACATTGTCAGATGATCGCAGATCCCTGCAGGCAGAATTTAACGATTCAAAGCCAACAAACCATCACTAATCTGTATATAGGTTGTTTGTGAAGACCAACATTAGAAATAAATAGAACTAACAATTCAAACATGAGTTTATTCTTGGGCTAACTACATGAATCTCACTGCAAACCCAAAAGACTTCGATCTCACCCGCTTTCAGCTGGCCGGGCCGCAGGTGATGCTTGGGAAACTGGCACGCGTCAAAGTGGGGGATGAGGTGCGTTTGGTTCAGACGAGAGAAAAACCACAGCTGGTTTTTCTGATTTTTCTTACGTGAAGATTGTGAAACCTAATTTTTTTTTGATAAGTCCATACAATCTTGGGTTTTAACAATTGTTAAATGTGAAACCTAGTTTTTCTAATTTTTCCTTGATATGTTTGGGTACCCCAAAGAAATCCATTAAGGATTGACGGTGGGGCTGGGCTGGTTTGATCCCTGGCCAGGTACGGATGAAGTATGGCATTCTCCTGGTGGATGACCGAAACTGGTTGGTGGTTTCAGTCATAGTTTCTATCCTTGTCTATGCACATATGGCTATGGATCAATACCTATTAATACCATTTTTAGTGGGATGAACATCCATTTACCAGCTATTTTGATGTTCACCAGGGGGATAGGGTTTTGACACACTGCCATATATATATATATTTGCATATAGCATACATATTTACCTATATCTCTAGCTGCAGTTATATCCGTAGGCACATATATAGAGCAATTATACATATGTACATATTCTGTTGAAGTATGGATATCCATCTGAATCTACATAAACATATACACACAACATATCTCTATATCATATATCTCTATATGACATACATCGCCACGTCCCGTTTCCAACGTTGTCTCCCAGGCATTGTGGTCGAGCCCACCGAGCTCTCCGCCATCACCATGACCCGCGCAGTGCTGGTCCCGCTGCACGCGGTGCTGTTGGCGGCGGACGCGGTGCAGGCGTGTTCCAACGTGACGGTCTCCTTGGCGGCTTCCACCGGCTTTGCACGACGTCACCGGGTTTGACGTGTTGGGTTGATAGAACGACGTAACGGGGGATTCAGCTATGGAAAAAAGGGAGGTGATTAGGGAAACCATGAAACATGTTGCTATGGAGATATCACGGGAATCATGGGGATTCAACTCTGGGTTGGGACTGGTGACCAACGATTGAACGGGAAGAGTATTGGAGAATTGGGTCTATTGAGCCTTGCAGAATGTCCAGATGGTTGTTGGTGGGTTGTTGAGCCCATTTCAGTAATATGGAGATTGTGAGTTTATTGGAGTTTGTTGGAGTGTATGTGGGTTTAATGTCCGCAACGATTGGTAAAACTGGGGATATAAGCAAGAATAACACGGCAAAAATCTTGCGTTGGGGACTACTGCTTGGTTTGTCGGCGTTCAATATACACAGGGGTGATAAAACAAAAAGGATCGTAATAATTGGGATATATATATATAGCTGATCGTTATTGTAGCAACCTGATAATGAACCATCCCCTAATTTATTGGAAATGATGGTATAAAACATCCAAAATTGGAGGCTTGGTATTGGGTCTACGGTATTATTCAGGTACTATCGGCTGATGCAGCCCAATGACATGTATTTACATATTGCATTTTATTAGGGAGCGCTTGGGCAAGTTTACACCAAGCCAGGTGTTGTAGAGCAAGTGGCCACCCTGAAATGCAACAGATTTTGCAGTCTTTGGTAATCAAACGTGGCAATGCAAGAAGGTTACCAGTCCTCCATCGGGCATGATCACAACCCGAAATTGAGCCCCAGTTAAGTGAGATAGGCCCCAACAAAAAGTGCCAGGTGAGGTATTATGTATGTATTATGTATGTATGTATACATGCTATATGTCTATATATTTGCAAGCATCATTGTAAGATGGTATCCCACACGAGTTTTGCTCTCATTTGAATCAGCCGATATTTTCCAGCTGCTGCCGCTGTCAAGGTGCACCCATCATTGAGTGGTCACTGGGCAACAACACGGACGAGATGTTGAGAGCTATGTTGCAGCCCACATTGAATGACGCAAATGCCATCATGTCACTGGGTGGATGATTTCGCCATACACAAGGGATATATAGCTGGTTGGTGGTGACTGGAACATTTAGTATGGGGTAATGATGGTTAATGATGGTTAGTAATGGTTAACAATGGTTAGTAATCACTGGTTGGTGGTTTGGAACCATGGAATTTTATGACTATCCATATATTGGGAATGTCATCATCCCAACTGACGAACTCATATTTTTCAGAGGGGTTGACACCACCAACCAGATAGTTTTTTTAAAAGTGTTTTGGGGTTGGATGGATTTCCACATCACCCACTAAAACTCATTTTCTTTTTAGGGGTTTTCATTCACCACCGAGGTCACTGGTTGGCGAATGGTGCGCCAATCATGGTGTGTCTTTTGAGAGGGGGGTATGTAGCTCTAAACCATCAAACTCAGGTCACATGTTTAAGGGAAAAAGCACAGAATTCTACAGTTTTCTCGACTTCCCCAAAATATTGGATGCTCAAATCCCACAACTTCTCGGAAAAAAGCGCATCGTTTCCTTTTTTGATTCTTCCACTGAAACCAAGCCATATATATATATATTGGGGGGGCCCTAACACAACTAATGAAGGCCCTTCTTTACGACTTACACGCTAAGGTTCCAACACATTTTTTCCACAGTCCACCCGCTCCCCCAGACGTACGTTTTCCACAACATTTTTTCTTGAAAAGCAATGTTTTCCACACCATTTTGCCCTTGAAAAGCAAGGTTTTCCACACCATTTTGCCCTTGAAAAGCAATGTTTTCCACACCGTTTTGCCCTTGAAAAACAATGTTTTCCACACCGTTTTTGCCCTTGAAAAGCAGTGTTTTCCACACCGTTTTGCCCTTGAAAAGCAATGTTTTCCACACCGTTTTGCCCTTGAAAAGCAATGTTTTCCACACCATTTTGCCCTTGAAAAGCAATGTTTTCCACACCGTTTTGCCCTTGAAAAGCAATGTTTTCCACAACGTTTGCCCTTGAAAAGCAATGTTTTCCACACCATTTTGCCCTTGAAAAGCAATGTTTTCCACACTGTTTTGCCCTTGAAAAGCAATGTTTTCCACAACGTTTGCCCTTGAAAAGCAATGTTTTCCACACCATTTTGCCCTTGAAAAGCCAGGTTTTCCACACCGTTTTGCCCCTGAAAAAGCAATGTCGCACCATCTTCCCTTTTAAACACCAAGTTTCCACACTATTTTCCTTTCAAATGCAATGTTTTCCACATCATTTTCCGTTCAAAAACCATGTTTTCCACATCATTTTGCCTTCCAAAAGCAATGTTTTCCACACTTGCGGAAACTTTTGCGGAAACTTGTGCACTTTTGCGGAAACTTTTGCGGAAACTTTTGCGGAAACTTTTGCGGAAACTTTTGCGGAAACTTTTGCGGAAACTTTTGCGGAAACTTTTGCGGAAACTTTTGTGGAAACTTTTGCGGAAACTTTTGCGGAAACTTGCGCGGAAACTTTTGCGGAAACTTTTGCGGAAACTTGTGCAGAAACTTTTGCGGAAACATGCGCGGAAACTTTTGCGGAAACTTTTGCGGAAACTTTTGCGGAAACTTTTGCGGAAACTTTTGCGGAAACTTTTGCGGAAACTTTGCGGAAACTGTTGCGGAAACTTTTGCGGAAACTTTTGCGGAAACATTGCGGAAACTTTGCGGAAACATGGTGGGAACATTGTGGAAACCTATGAAATTAGTTTTTGATTTTCAGTCAACTCTTTACGGAGCCATATTTTCCACATGTTTTCCACAGTCAAAGGGCTTAATTTTCCACAATCGAAAGCTTATTTTTCCACAATTAAGAGCCCGATTTTCCAAGAGCCCGATTTTCTACAATTAAGAGCCCGATTTTCCACAATCAAGAGCCCGATTTTCCACAATTACTGTAAGAGCCCGATTTTCCACAATCAAGAGCCCCATTTTCCACAAGTAAGAACCTAATTTTCAACAATGAAGAGCTTGGTTTTCCACAATGGAGAATTTGATTTTCCACAATCAAAGCCTAATTACACAATGTAGGTTTACTTTTTCCAGTAGGGTTTCCAGTTGTTTCTTAAAATTCAATTTGTCCACAAGCTACGGAAGTTCTGCTGTTTCTACACGCTTCAACGGTTTTCCAATCCCAAAATCAGATCATTGTTTGTCCATTCCCAGTGGCCAATGGCGCTTTTGTGGAAACTTGACCCTTTAAGTACGAAAACAATCTCTTTTAAAATTGAAAAATCGACACAAAAAGTGGAAAATGAACCCTCGTAACGTGGAAAATGGACCCCTTAAAGTGTGAGAACAAGCGCTTGTAAATGTGAAAAATCGGCCCTGGAAATGTGAAAATGAATCCTGGAATTAACCTTTGAAATGTGGAAAATGCGGCCTCGGAAATGTGCAAAATGAACCCGGGAATTGTGGAAAATGAACCTTTGAAATGTGGAAAATGGACCCCTTAAAGTGTGGAAAAATCGTTTTTTAAACGTGGAAACTCGGCCTTGGAAATGTGGAAAATGAACCTTTGAAATGTGGAAAATGAATCTTTGAAATGTGGAAAATGGACCCCTTAAAGTGTGGAAAAATCGCTTTTTAAACGTGGAAACTCGGCCTTGGAAATGTGGAAAATGAACCTTTGAAATGTGGAAAATGGACCCCTTAAAGTGTGGAAAAATTGCCTTTTAAACGTGGAAACTCGGCCTTGGAAATGTGGAAAATGAACCCTTGAAATGTGGAAAAAACGTCGCGAAACACGTTTTAGGAGCTGTAAAGAATAGTTGTCCAGAGGCCCCCCCAATATATATATATATATCATATTGTTGTACATATTTGAATCATATTTGTATGATGTTTTCTTAAAATGAGGGTCCCCAAGTCACCGCTGTTGGCTGCGGCCTGAACACGTGCAATTTCTCGCCGCCAACTCTGGGGGTCACGGTGCGCGTTTTGCATAACTAGGGTGGGTTGGGGTGGGGTGGGCTAATAACGTTCTTTCGCCTGCGTTTCAACACGCTCTTGATGCTACGCTCTGAACTTTCTCAAGGAACTTATGACGCGCTCTTCATGTTACTTTCTCAAGTGACTTATGATCCGTTTTGATGCTACGCTCTTCTTGAAGACATCCAAAAACTGCATTTATAGAAGCCGATGCTAACTTTTGGAAATGAAGAGAAAAAGGCACTCGGCAGATGATACCAAATATGTTTGTCAAAGGTGCGCGCTTACACCATCCGTTGTTTCGATACCAGGTCATGGTCATCCATGACTTGGATGAAAACTTGGGGTAACCCCTTTAAAGAAACCTCCAGAGCACAGTATCCCATGATATTCCCATGACATTCCCATGATATTCCTATGGTACCCCATATAGCCCGGATCTGTTAATCCAATGATCTTCAATTATGAGTTGTTCTTTAATCCAATCGAGAATCTTTTATTCCATGATTACCCTCTGGTAAACTAACGTAACTATGGAAAGATCCACCATTTTTAATGGGAAAATCCACTATAAATGGCCATTTTCGATAGCTATTTTGGCATAACCAGAGGGTATCCATGATTCAAAAAAAATCCCAGGTCGCAGATCCTGCAGATTCCAGCGCAAATCTTCTCCGACGCCATCTCTGAAGTGCTGGACTTGGAGCCAGAGGTGACCTGGGACGACATCGGTCACGGGGGCTATGGTTATGGGAAGAATAAAACCATAGCGACATCAAAATGGTGGGTTACCCTCTGGTTATGACTAACATAGCCATGGTATAGATGGCCCTAATCGAAATAGATGGTTTACCTAGCTATAAAATGGGTGGATCTTTCCATGGCGAACTGTTAGTCATAACCAGAGGGTAACCACTATTAACCATTATTAATCACTATTAACCACTATCAACATCTATTAACCATCATCAACCATTATAAATCACTATTAACCATCATTAACCACTATTAACCATCACAGATATGGTTTGATCATTCGAAATTGGATTTATAATGAGATATTGGATGGGATCTCAATGGGAACCTCGGAACAAACAAGCCATGGTCAAGAGATGGAGCAAAACCCACTGGGGGTTGCCATCTCTTTGGCAGAAAACAGATGTTTGGTTCAAAACTGGCGTATGGGCATGGATACCTCATAATATGGCCATCATGAAAAAAAGGAACCTGGATTATTTCAGACCATTAAACAAAAATCAGTCAAAACCACATGGGGATTTGATGAAACGCAACCCAAAAACCGGTGGACGTGGCGCTTCGAGGCTGGAGCCTCTGAGAAATTTCTGGAGTTGGAAGTGGCGGGATCCATCAGCAATTGGCAATCCCAAGGTGCTGAAGTTTCCGCCCAGCTGACAGCCTTTAGGCAGAACGTTTTAGGATTTTTTGTTTTTTTTGGGGAAGTTGCGCCTTTCTTTTCTTGGGGGGGAGAAACTGATGCTTTTTAAAGAAAGTCTATCTCAGAGTATTGGGGGTACTTTTATTGAAGCAACGAGAAATGGGGGATTTTAGCAAGGGCAATGGCGAGCAACGGCAGTTTCAGCATCAACAATGCATTGTTCAGTTGCAAGGATTTCTCCAACAAATGATTTGAATTCAACCAGCCAGTCACACCATGGTGTAATTGTTCAGGGGTCGAGTCTTCTAGCTTCAACAAATGGGTTTGTCTGAAAGAAGCGTACCACCAAATTTGATGGCTAGTCAGAGTCATAGTATTTCCCATTGAAGTTGCTATTCTATGGGGTTAAACCATCCCATCTTCAGACACACAAAAAGAACAAGGAACATTTGCCTTGGAACGATCACCCAAATTCCTTCTGTCTTACAAAGCTCAGGTCTTGGATGTGCGGACACCGTTGCTTCAGATCGTACCAGCATCCTTGAAGGAATTCAACATCTCCAATTTTGAGGAGGTCGAGATGGAGGTGGATATCTTCCAGCACGTTCGATGTTTCAACTATTCGAGCACTGCCAAAGACAGCAGTGTGCTGATGGTTCAGTGGGAGTATTTGCTCCTGAATGACACGATATGTATGGAGGAAGTGCCGCGGTGGATGGACACCTCCAGCAGCAGCGAAAATATGAGCAATGACAGTAATGGTTCCAATGACTCGAATGACTCAAACGACTCCAGCACTTCCAGCAGCTGGAACGATTCCAATGATTCCAATGACTCAAATGTCACTGGCCCGTGGGTTTTATGCATATTTTGTCCGCAGATGGGATGATTTCTGTGTTCCCTCCCAAAGTTGGGATGATTCTCCCACCAGTTTTTTCCCCGAGGCTTCTGGTGTTTTCCTTTTTTCTTTAACCAACAGGCCAGCAACATGTCCGACACCATCATGATCGCCAGACCGTGCGTGAAGGCCATTTGGCAGCCGCTGGAGAACACCTCCTTCCGCGATGAGAACCCGCGCCCGGGATCCTTGCGCCTGCCGGCCTTTAGCTTTCAGCCGGGATCCGGCAGTCATCAGTTCAGAGCCGTCGCGACTTTTCAGGTGGGGAACTGGGCTCTACATGGTATTATTGGTTGAGTTAACCATGAAACACATGGTTTTATGGGGGTTTCATGGGGGTTTCTGCTTGGGGAGATTAGATCCATAGCAGACCAGCTATTTCCGTGAGGATTCCAGGCTTTGGACCCATCCCAATATCCTGTTCATGGCCAAATTCCTGGTCCCAAAGGAGTGCCACAGATTTATGGGGCCCATGGGGCCCACTTGGCGCTCAAAATTCGTGACCCTGCAAATTGGATGCCCATGGGGCCCACTTGGCGCTCAAAATTCGTGACCCTGCAAATTGGATGATTTGGAGAACATGAAAATTCCGTGGCTTCAAATCTGTGTGCTGATGCATATCCATATTTCTGCTGCTTAGACTCCAACTTTTGTAAAATCCTTCCAGCCTGAGGGGTACGATGGCCGCAAGCCCTCTGTGATATTTACTGTCAACGTGCAAGAGCGGAGCAGGCAAGAGTTGGGCAGATCATGCCGAGTCGTGGTTGGGGGAGCAGCACTTGAAGGTGGCGTTCCACTCAAATAAGTGGCCACACTTATAGGCGTTATGCCCCAACTTATAGGGGTTTTATCATGGTCATAGCATATTATTCATATACCCATCAAGAAACAAAACTGCACCCAGGTACAGGGTTGTTAAAGATAAGTATGGATTAGTTGACCAAATAGCATGAATGGGACATTAAAGGACAATATATAACAGTGATATTGCTAGCCGAAAAAGGGACATTGGGGCAAACCACCTGATACTGGATACCCAGCTACATATCTCAACTTTCTATTTCGGTGGCTGACGAGCCCACTGAAGAGGAGCTTGCAGCTGCGGCTGAGAAAATACAAACTTTACTTGCGCAACCGCACGAGAATCTCTTTCTCGACCCACAGCGAATCTGCCTAGGGGGGTTCAGAATCGACCAATGGTGGTTCCGTGGTGGGTGGGGGCTCGTGGCTTTCATTTCGCTGAGTAGAAATTCCATGTCACACGGTATGCAACCCAGCAGCAAGGATTATACTAACCAAACTTTAGTCAATTCAGACCCCATTTTTTTTAAATGGAACTTTGCAATTCAGAATAAGAATGTCTCTCCACGAATGGAAGAAAGTTGACAAAGACCTTTGACCTGGAGTCATTCATCCCAGCTATTGGGGGTCAATACGTTTGAGGCATCCCCGGATGAGGGGAAAATCAAAGCCGGAAAACCCTATGCATATTATTGGTTGGTAAACAAAATAGAGTTTCGTGTGACATTCTCCCTGAGCAATTCATGGAACATGGGTTTCTTTTGGTATTTGCCATGCCACCAGTCTGGCTTTGATGCCCAGAAGTTCCTGTTGGTCCCCTCTCCTGTTTGATGCATATGCATATATATACTGTGCTCATGTTGGGGGGCCCAAACAGTGCCATTCTGGGGCCCTGGCAGAGGCCGGTGGCAATCATCACAGGCCCCTCGGAAGTCTCTGCAGCCTGTCCTTTCAACCTCAGTGCACATGAGTCCTACGATGTGCCTGGGATTCTTTCTTTTAGCATTGGTACCCTCTGGTAAACGTTTACATAACTATGGAAAGATCCACCATTTTCAATGGGAAAATCCACTATTTCTATGGTCATTTTCAATAGCTACGTTAAATTACCAGAGGGTAGCATCGGTAAAAATTCAGGGCCCCAGATTTTCGCAAAAAAAACGAAGCTGGAATCTCCAAAGATGAGTTTGGAAGAGGATTCTCCGATTGGGAATGGTGATTAACATGGCTTCCATGTTAGACTTCAGAGGTTTAGTTCGCCATATTGGGTGGGTAAAGTGTCACTTGAATCTCGAAATGGTTGTGAAATAGCGGTTGGACCCCTCTAGATGATGTTGATAGAGGAATTAGAAGGAATCCTATTGCTGCAAGTACCAGAACAAAGGCAGTAACAAACATCTTGGAGCATGTAATCTGAACCTCTGCAGCGGGTCAACTGTTGGTTTGTTTGTTTTATTTGCCATGGAACAGGGGAGAGCTGCTTTTTTCATCTGTGAAGAGGTGATTTCTATGGAGCTGTTGTTTTGTTTTCCAAGGCTTCAGTGCCGAAGGAAGATCCCAGTCGCTTGGAATTTTCCTGGTCCTGCTTCGTGGGTGTCTTGACGGGACTCAACGAAACTGAACAGCTGGATGCACAGGAGTGCAACCTGAGCAGCAGCATCGATGACTGGAGAGAGCAGCCCACACTGGAGATGGAGGGCGATGTACTGGAAGAAGGAGACTACACCTTCATGGTCAAGGCAGGGCTGTTTGAAACAGCTTGAAGTAGGAAGTGGAGAAACAAGCTAAACCAACTGTGGTTGAAACGCGTTTGTCATAGGATTTGCCTGAATTTCCCATCCTCAACATCCAGGTGCGCCCCGTCCGAGATGTGCCCAATGGCACCCTTGCTGAGCTACCAGGGCCACAAGGGCCACCGCCACCACACCCTGCACCGCCGCCGCCGCAGCCCACAGGTGAGGCCTGGTGGGTGATGCGCCTCGGTCGCCGGCGGCTGCCACTGGTGGTGCTGCGGATGCCATGGGACGACGGCGAGGACGTGTCGATGCTGGGCCCGGAGGGCCCTGCCGTGGCCCAAGTCTCAGGCACCGCGACCTGCCCGGTGCCTTTCGACTGGAGGTGGCACTGGGTGCTGACGCAACAGGGACGGATCCTGGCAGCATTGAAAACCACAGTGCAGCTTGGCGTCCAAAGCTCTGTTTGATGCTGACTTGTTTTTTTATTATTTCGTGCCAAGGGTGTTTTTCTGAGCAAAAAGGAATTGAGAATACTTACTGCACTGCGAACTATTGGCAAGTTGCGAGCAGGTAAAACATTAATCTTTTGGCAGGTTTTCAAATCGTTGTTACCACCCCCCAAACACTGAGGTTTCCACACGAAATGTTCAAGTGAACCCTCTTTTCCTTTTGACCTTCTTGGTGGATCCAACGAGGCAATCTTTGGGCACTTCTGTGGAAGTCTCGAGCCATGACTTTCGTGGAGATCTGCTCCATCCAAGACAGTCCTACAGATATGCACTGGTGGCTACTTCCGAGGTACACCAGGCGATGAAAAAGAACTGCCATTGGCTGGGACGAAAATGGTACATATTTTTCGATGACATGATAATTTGTATATTATTATATAATTTTTATATGTTTATATGTCAGGCAGCAGCCCAAAAGAGAAGCCAATGCTGGTTCACTTGAGATTCGCAGAGACTGGGCCTACACGTGGCTCAAAAGTATTTTCCCTTTCTATGACTAAGTAATTACTTCTGAAGGAGAAATGCGAAGACTTCATGAACCAAATGCAACCAGTAGTTTGCACCGAGTCGACCTTGTCGCTTTGTTTTGTTTTTCTCACATGTTGACCCGCCGAAGCCTGAAAGTAAACGCACAGATAGCTATATATATAATATATATATAATATATATATAATATATATATATATATGGACGATTCTATGAGACGTATGAGGTAGCCCTAGAAGGTATGATGCTCAAATTCTCATTTCTTGTGTCTCTTTGTGGTACAACTTCTGCCAGATTTCTTACAGCAATTTGGAAGGTATCCTTTTCAGCTAAAACCTTCAACTAAAGTCTTTTTATGGTGCGGGAGGGCATTTTCTCCCCAACTGTGGCTGAGTTTCCAGGAAAATGCTACTGAAAAAACATGCTGTGTCCAAACATAGAGTACCTCAACATCCAATTCACCATCATTTCTAGCCATTGAAACTGCCAGCGGATGAACCCAACTGGATGGCAGACTGCTTCTACTGTAAACCCGTATTTCCCAGGTTTTCGGGTACAACTTTATACTGACCATTTCAACCACAGGTCCTTCCATTTTCGGGGGGCCGGCGTGGCTGGTGCTCCAGGAGCTTTTTTTTTTTCTTCTTTTGCCTGCTATATACATCCCAATTATTCTTGTATGGTTGGTGTTCAGTATCCCCAATCATCTTGGTGGTTAGTCCATCCCAGTGACTTCATCAAAATCACATATTGAAACCTAACTTCATCAAAATCATCACATATCATTCACTGGGATGATTTTCATTTTCATCAAAATCATCCCAGTCACTAGCCAAATCATCCTGTGAATCTTTTGGCCACTAACCCAACAGCCGCCTGCTCTGCGTCCAGGCACCCAGCGGCCTGCTTTCCGAGCTGCCGAAGGCACTGGTCCTGGAGTCGGTTGCCTTCGTGGCCAATGCACCGCCGAGGGATGGGCTGTTGGAGCTCGTGCCACTGTCGGGGGAGGGGCTGATCACGCCCTTTGCGGTGAACACCTTTGGGTGGGCAGATGAAGCAGAATCTGGGGCAATGGATGGTATGGATGTTTTTTTTTTGGTGGTGGTGATGATTTCACCATATTTCACCATTGTCATGATAAAACAGTGGTACCCGGACCATGAAAACGGCGCAAAAATTCATGGCCCAAAGTGAGTTGAATCCCCTGAGGAAAAGCTGCTGAGCTATTCTTTCGTCCGTTTTCCCTTCGAGTCCTCCCGAATCTCCGCGGATGGATCTGGTGGCATTACCTTTCAGAACGGCTTCCAATGGTCCGTTCCAAAGATCGATTGGCATAATGCCTCCAGCCCCATGTACTTCCGCAAGCAGGGAGGGCTCACACTCCAAACCTGGGTGCCTCAACATCAAGAGCATCAAACCTGGGTTGTACTAGAGGGGCGAAATCCTGAGTGAATGGAACTGAGAGATGTAATGGGAAATACCCGTGCTATCTGCAGTTCTATTATGTTCTATGTATCGAGACATCAAAATACTGCCCATTTAGATCCATTTAGCCATCACTTCAAGACTTAGGACCATCCCAAATTTCACGAATTTGAATCCGTGCTTCCATATTTTGTCCACAACTTGATCCCATTTTCCCACAAAAATCCGGCCCGGCCGAACTGCGGTGCGCCAAGGACAGCAGCAGCAGGGTCTCCGATTTGCTGATGGCTGTGGGATCCTACTTCATCATGGTACGTGCCAGGGACTTGCAGGGTGGTGAGGTGCGCCGCTGCGCGGCGTGGATGTTGCGGAAGAACTTCCAGCTGCCGGTGATTTTTCATGATGGGGATAATATGGGATAATACTGAGATAATGAGGGGGATAGAATGGATTTCTAACAAACGTGGGGAAATTCAGCAAAAGTCGGGAGAATTAGCATCTGTTTAAGCAGTGAATGATCAATTGATGGGGTTGCAGAACCAACATGAACCAACTATTTTATGGGGATAAAATGGGGAGTAAACCCCAATTTATGCCAAACATGAGTATGGAGGTATGACTCGATATCACTTAGTGACAACCCGTGCTATGAGATCACCATAATAGGGCTATTAGATGAGAGGATAACGGGGATTTAACCAACAAACATGGTGGTATCACGGGATATCATGGCATATTATATATACATATTGTTACATATATATATATATACATTGTTACATATATAGTGTATCTTTATACCCTTTGGCACTCAAACATGGCAGCTGGAAGATTCCCCATGTAGTTCGATGGTTTCCGATATGTTCGATGCACACTAAATGTGCCGGAATTTCCCAGCCAGCCGTCTTTGGTCGGAGGGTAATGATGTGTGCATGAGGAGTTCAATGAAGCGACATAGGGAGACCAGGGGAATCATCAGCCAATGAATCATGAATTGACTGGGGTATAACTGTATAACCACCTATTTTATGGGGATATAAAACATGGGGATGATTTCCCAACTTATGGCAAACAGGCTATGGCGATATTTTACCCCATAATAAGATATGCTTTTGTCCCAAAATAGCGGTAGCGGGCTCCGATTATATGGCAATGTCCATGGGGAACATGTTTTTCTCGACCGTGAGATCCGGGGTATTTCGGACAGACCCATCAAGTACTCTGTCCGCAAAATGGGGATAGAAGCATCAGACATCCATGAAATATGGGGAGGAGATACATTGGATGGTTTCGTGGTACAAAAAATGAGGAGTTCTGCGTGGATGGGTACCCTAAGTTTGAGCCACAGCACGTTCATTGTTTGAGTGGTGCCTGCAGCAATCTGCATTTTGATTGATCTTCTGTATTTTCATTGATATTCAAGATCATTGAGCAGGAAGTGGAATAGGCTTTGCAAAATGCTTGGAGTCATATTTGTGGCTTTTCCAGTGTGACGTCGCTGGCAGGGCACTGCAGCTGTGTTGGGCCCTGTGGTGGTTGAGCCAGTGAATGGCAGCAACGGAATGACTGTCTTGGAGGAGCGGCGTTTTCCACCCGAACGTTGGACCATGCGTGGGGAAAACCTGGTGAATATATATATATATATGTACATATATGTATATATATATATATAAAGTGCGTTAAACATGGGTCAAGCACCCTTTGGTACCACTTTTCAAAGAACGCATCTAGAAGTGGTGCATTTTCCATGGGTAGGTTTGATTCTCCCAAATCTACTAACATAGACACAAGTTCTACAGGAAAGTGAACTCTTTTTCAAGGCTAAGTTCCAATATTTTCCACATCTATGTGAGTTGATAGCTACCCCTTGAGGCTTCATGTTCTTGTCCAGGCCAGCTACACCGCACGCGATGCGGAACGGATCATGAACACCGTGGATGCGCTGCTGGCATCTGAAACGGTAGAATGGGACGCGTCTCCCACTGCATCCCTACTGGATGCCCTGGAGGTGTTGAGTAGGGCTCCGGGATCTTGAAGGTTTTACGTTTCTTTTTTGTGGAACATCCAATTTTTGCAGATTATATATACAGTGTATATATATATATAGAGTATAATATAGGGGGTTTCCTAAAAAGGTGGTACCCCCAAAACCATTGGTTTCAATACAAAAACGGTGTAATTTTGGATGATTTGGGGTACGCCTATTTTAGGAGCCCCCGTATACATGTATATATATATATACATATACACATGAGCATCAACGAATGAAATAATTGGATAAACAAACAGACAAACAAACAAACAAACAAATAAATAAATAAATTAAAGCCACAGCTGGGGCTGGAATTGTTTACATAACCCTGGCATGTTTTCTAAAGACTCGCAAGCGGTTTGCTTTTTTGCTGTGTGGGACTTTGCGGAACTTTGCTTTGCCCCTGGCAGGTTGCAACCAGCATCCTTGATCCTAGACCAGAAGCTCTGGAAAAAATGACGCAGATTCTGGTGTCTACGGTTGGTGGAGGTGGTGGAACTGCTGGCATTGTTCAAAATAAGGCGGAACTCGATCGAGCCGCGAATATCTTGGACAACTGCTTAAATTTGGCTGTGGCAAGCCCTGAGAACGGCGTCGGATCTGTGGTGGCCGTTGCAATGCTGGAGGCTTTGTCCACTTTCAACGAAGGGGGACGGCTTGGGAGTTTGGAGCCCAGTGAAGAGTCAACTAGATTCACTGAGAAGATGGATCGCCTCGCATCCAAAGTTGCCACTGCAGCTCACGCCAAGCTGGCAGTTGGAGACTCGAAGTTCCTAAGCGGTGCAGGAGTTCCCGGTCGGGTTCCCAATGAACCTCCCAGCGGGGTGAACTTGCAGCTGATCTCCAGTGCGAATTCGGTTTTGGTCGACAGTGGCCTCGACATGCCGCGACTCTTCATGCCCCCCAACCTGCTGCAGCCAAGCCCTGGCCACCCGAGCCCTGGTCACCCTGGTCACCGACGCCTTCAAGCTTGTGATGTGGCCATCACGGCCACCTACTGGCTGAGAAGTAATCCCTACACTTGGGCCAGCAGTTCCAAGGGGATGAACCAATACGTGACTGCAGATACTACGGTGGGGGTCCTGGAGTTTGAGACCTGCGGCATGCCGCTGGCTTTTAACGAGAGCATACCTGAAAGAACCCTTCGATTCAGGTTGCTTGGAACTGTGATTTGGATCACTTGACCAGGTTGCTCCAACTTGTTAAACAGCTTTAGGTAAAGGATATCCACAAAGGGAGAAAACCAATGACTTCTTTCTACCTCTTTATTTACATAAATTCATTATTTGGGGTGCTGAAAGCTACCCTCTTACGAACCAGAAGCATAGTTCCATATCTTTAAGATCCTCCGTGCGAGCATTTGTTCCGTTCTCAGACATTTATTTATATTCGCATAATTTTTTGGCTACAGTACCCTCTGGTAATTTAACATAGCTATGGAACAGAACCATTTTTAAAAATGCTAAATCCTCGAACTAGAACTACATGAGCATAAATGGGCCATGGCTTCCATAGCCATGTGAAATTATCGGAGGGTCGGAGGGTACTCGATTCAAGATCCCAAGAGCCTCATGCAACAATTCCACCAGCTGGATCCCATTCATATCCCACTAATACCCCATCAATGTCCAGGGTAAAGCATATATTCCATCCACATTTTTGATGCTGAAATCCCAATTTTTGATGGCAATACCACGATTTTTGATTGTGAAATCGGTTAAATCTCCAGTCCTTGATGGCTAAATCCCCACTTTTGCTGGTTAGGTCCGAGGACCTAACAGGCACTGCCACAATTTCGCGCCGCGTCGCTCAGGCGCATCACATTGCCCGCACGCCGTGCGCCAATGCGTGGCTTTGAGTGGGATGTGGCCTGTGCTCGGTGACCTGGCCTTTGGGATACCAAAATCCATCTATTTACTTGTTAGGATAAATCCCTAGTATATGATGTATCAAATCATATCTATGATTATGTATATATATACATATGTCTATACATATTAGCTTGTATTAATTGTACTGTGAATGTATCTATATACTATAATCATCAATCACGACAATGACAAAGATCATCATAACACTCATCATCGCAGTAGTAGTATTACTCTGACTCATGGATTTTTACTGATTGACATGGGTGTGTCTGAAAATAGTGTACCCCTAAACCCAATGGTTTTGCTGATCATTATCCCTATGAAAAATGGCTATTTGTTTGGGAAGATTAACCCAACATTTTCAGACACACCCATTTGAGTGACAAGAATCACCACTGGTCAGTAAATGTTCCAACACTTCCCAAATCCCTGTTGACATATCCACAATCCTCATCTCCCAGGTGGTCGCCCCTGGAGCAAGCCTGGGTCACCGGCGGCGTGGAGGTCCAGCGCCCCGTCTACTGGGACGACGTGGAGGTGGCCTGCGTGGTCTACGCGGTGCCCGACGGCAACGGCACGGCCTTCACGGCCTTCTTCGTTCCTGTGGAGATCAGCACCACAACCACCACGGTGGGGGGAAAACAACCGGGGGAGGGTTAGGGGGCAAAGGGCAAAGGGGGCTTGGGAGTGTTGTTTTTTTTTGGAAGAGCGTGGAAAACACCATTTCTTTTGGTTGGTAATTGCAAGAATTGTTTTTAAAGGGGAAACCAGCTGGTTTGGTGTGTGTTTTTTGAAAAAAAACAAGGAATAGCAACAAATATGCCGTTTCAAGATGGGGGTTTGACCAAGAGACATGGAATGTGATGGTTTCGTGTCGTATCTGCGGTTGAGAATGAAGGGCCACTCAGCTCCTTTTGTTTTTGTGGCGGCTTTTAGAATCCTGAACATATAGGGAATATTTCAGCAATAAGAATTATGGTGGTACTATGGTGGTATTAATGCTATTCATACCACCAATCATATTGTTCACATTCACTATAATTTATGGTAAATTTATACATATTTATACCACCAATTGATAGAAAATAGCATCAATTTATACCACCCATTTATGGTCAATTTGGGGATGATCCTGTTGCTCCAAAAAATGTCCCAGGTGGAGTGGACCTACCCGACCTACACCACCTTTGAGATCCCTCCGCTGCCTCCGGTCTACGTGATTTCCTGCAACTCGTCCCTACTGCCAGAGCCACCCTTGGGGTCAAGCTGGAACTGCACCAAACCTGGTGAAGGACAGGAATGCCGAGCAGTGTCTGGATGAAAAAATTGGCCATACACAGGGATTTTTTTCCTGTTTTTCTTGGGGGTTGGATGGGTTTCAAATCAAAAAAGGTGGTATGCTCGAAATTCACCGATCTATCATGGTTTATCATAATATATTTCCATGAAAATGACCATCAGTCCCAGATCGTAAACACATGAATGAACACTTGCGTCCAGTAAAAAAAAAGTGTTGACTTTTATGTAGCACAATTTCCCGATTTTAGTCCCCTTGGGGGCCCAAGAATCCCCTTGAAAATCTCAACAGAAATGGGCTAAACCGCGCCAGGTTTGTGAGGGCTTCCCTGACCAGATCACCAGCGTCACTTGCCTCAAGGGTCAGTCCTCCCTGGAGTGGTTCGTGACCAACGTCTGTCCGCTCTTCACCACGAGCACGCTGGATATGACCATCGACCGGCCCTCGGAGAACGCCATTCTGGGCTCGGTGTTAGTCTTTGTGCCTGGACGGCGAGGTAAAATGGTGGGAGGATCATTAGTGGCTAGTATTTTTTGAGATGGGTTGATGAAAACCCATCCATCCTGAAAAGATGGGTGGATGTTCCCACTCGATGACCTTTCTAAAGCTTGTCTGAGAACAGGGTACCCACCTTCCATCCACGGGTTAGTGATCATTTCCCAATAAAATTGCAATTTGGGGATGTAGCCCGTTTTCAGACAAATCCAAATCAGGTTTTCATCATCATCTTCTGCTGCAGCTTCGGGATTTGTGCGCTCATGGCCTATGGTCTCTACAAGTTCACAATGAACGAAAAGTCCAAAAGCCGCATCAGTTCAATGCAGCCGCAGCCGGTTGAGGATATGGCCGCCGCGGTTTGGGTGGTGGATGGATTATATGGACAGATGGTTACCCTCTGGTAAACTAACATAGCTATTGAAAATGGCCATTTATAGTGGATTTACCCATTAACCATGGTGATTTTCCATAGCTATGTTAAATTACCAGATGGTTATTTGATTATCGGTGGGTTAACATGTTTAAACACTAATCCAATCCATCCTTCTGTTGAACATTTCTCCATGATTGGACCCCCAAAATGAACAGATCCAGTACCAGGGTAATATTAGGGGGACGGGATTAGTTAACACATGGATGATATAGGGATTACCAGCATTACATGGGAATATCATGTGAGCAAAATTTGCAATTGGTGGTTTCTCAGACTTTTTCGTTCTTATTTGTTTGTGATGATCCCCAATAGCTTTCAAACTTTTGGGCTAGGTTGAAACCATCAATCAGTTTTTTGTGGTTATGGACAGTTATGGATCAAAACTATTGACCACCTGAAATTGATGGTTTCATATTAGTTCATAGCAATTGCCAAGAGTGGTCAATAGTGGTACTCCATTCTTGACCCATAGCCAGGCAAAGGTAGATATCGTGTGGGTTAGTCCAGAAATGAGGCTTACCCCCAAATGGTAATTTCCATAGGAAACAAATGGAGACATGATGAGAAACCACTGGATTCTGGGGATTTTCCTTTTCCTCCAACCTTTTAAAGACAACTTTTTGTGTTCAGGAGGAGGAGGAAGAAGAGGATGTGGTTGATCCCGCTTTCATGGATTGGGCAAAGCACTGGGCTGAAAACCCCACCGTTCAGAGTGCCGTGCTCGAAAGAAAGCTGAAGGCAAAGCACAGGGAGTCGAGTTGTGAGATGCGGCCCTGGTTCATCTCAAAACGTGGGTATTGGTCAAACTGAAGTCCCAAGGAACCAAAAGAATGAGTTCAATGGTGAGATGAACCATCCATCTTTTGGGTTCCTAGTTTTTTCGCCCATTTGTGTATCCTTCCTGCTGGTGTTGCCAGGTGAGGTTTGATTCGGAAAATGTAAAATACTCCAACATATTCTGGTTATGTCCTAGTAATTTAACATAGCTATGGAAAATCACCATGTTTAATGGGAAAATCCACTATAAATAGCCATTTTCAATAGCTATTTTGACATAACCAGAGGGTATATCCTAGTTATATCGGCAACTTGGCACCAACAGTCGCAGGCCAAGTCGCAGGAGCACTTGGAGGCAGCACCTTGGTCCAAAGGCAGTGGCTATAACCACCTTGGGATGATACCCTCTGGTTATGTCAAAATAGCTATTGAGAATGACCATTTATAGTGGATTTTCCCATTGAAAATGGTGATTTTCCATACTTATGTTAGTTTACCAGAGGGTACCCTTTGGCCTAAGCAGGTTTGTGGCTGTGTTTTGCCTACAGGGTATACGCTTGTACCCGCAGGGAAAAAAAGAAAGAGAGAAAGAACTCTTCGATTTTCACCGTTTTTACCGCGGATGTTTGTAAAATTTTCGATTTTTATAGTTCTTACCACGGATGTTGTTAACTTTTCGATTTTTACAGTTTTTTTGCTGCGGATGTTGGTAAATTTTCGATTTTACCATTTTTTACCGGGAATGTTGGTAGAATTTTCGAATTTTACTGTTTTTTTATTGCGGATGTTGGTAGAATTTTCGATGTTTACTTTTTTTCTTTACCGCGGATGTTTGTAAAAGAATCGATTTTTACCGTTCTTTCCGCACATTTTTGGCCATGTTTACCACGGATGTTGGTGGTTCTTTCTCACATGTATACGTATATATATATATTATATATATATAATTATATTATACATACAGATAGTTATATGTATATATGTATATATAATATATTTATTTTCCATCAGGAAGAACACGGTAAACCAAATCGATGTTTACGCTTTTTACCGCGATGGCTGGCAATTTTTTAGATTTCAAACCGAAAGGGACACCTGTTACGGATAACTTGAAATACATGGACAGAATTGAAACACAAGAAAGGCGTTTGACTGGAAACGAAAGGATAGACTTGAAACGAAAGTCACGACTCGCAACAGAAGAACATGAATTACGGGCAAGACATGCAAGGGACCAGATATGAACGGAAGGTGATGAAACCCCCGAAAAGGAAACAAAAGGCTGAACTTGAAGCGAAAGGAAGGCATTAAAGCGAAAAGGGATGATTTGAAATGAAAAGGGTTGACTTGAAACGAAGAATAGACTTGAAACGCAAGACAATATTGTTAGGCGATGATGCAACACTATAGCAAACCTGAGATACATCAAGTCTACAAATCCCTTCAGTATGATCTGAAAAATAACACAGGTATGAAAAACAACTTTTCCGATATAGAAAATCCACTACTTGAACTTCATGTGCGCTGGCACAGCAATGCTACTGGAACTTTCCATGCACTGGTACATGGTTGATGCCACAATATTTGCAGTTAATTTGCAGTGACACATATACTGTGCTTGATGCTACGCTACTCGAAGCTCACGTGCGCTGGTGCACTCCGTGCCGCGCTACTTTGAAGCTCACATGCTCACATGCGCTGGTACACTCGATGCTACTGTAATTATGCCACGGTGTTACGGTGTTTGAATTCATGTGCAGTGGCAAGCATATTGGATGCTACGGCACTTGAGATTCATGTGCAAACTTGACACTACGGTATGTGAAGTTCATGTGCACTGGCACAACAACTTGATGCTATGGTACTTGAAGTTCATGTGCGCTTGCAAACATACTTGATGCTACGCTATTTGGATTAAAGGAAAATCACTATTTTAATTAGAATTATAATAGTTTAATGGAGGGTAAACCTCCTACTGGAATTATAAGCCATTTTGCCAAGTGGGTGTCTCTAGCATTTTTGCACACAACCAGGCCGTCCCGCATGAGTCTCCTGCTGAGGATGCGAAGGTTGCTTGGCTCAACGTAGTGACTGTATGGAGAGTCACCCCCAAATATCTACCACTTGTTTTCTTAGAATCAGAACGATGAAGAGTGAGTGTTGGCCCATAGATTGAAATTGTTTCAATCATATTTCTCTCCATTGTGATGGGTTTTATATTTTCAGCGGTGTTTGGGGAATCCCACACTTTTTTAAGTCCGAAAATGGGATACCTCCAAATCTATGGTGAATGATTATTTTCCAAATCATAGCCAGATAACCATAGAATGGGGGTGAATCCCTTTATTTTCCTGTCCATGTAGTCATGAGTAGTCCCAAAGGGCCAGAGAGCACAGAAGGGCCATGTTGGTGATAGAACTCCAATCATTTCAGTGGGAAGCCCCATTTGGTAGCTGGGTTATAACTAACTAATCTACCCTCTGGTAATTTAGCATAGCTAGTGAAAATGGCCATAGAAATAGTGGATTTACCCATTGAACATGGTGATTTTCCATAGTTATGTAAACGTTTACCAGAGGGTAACTGGAGTATAGCCTACATATATTCATATATGGAGATTTCCTAAGTCATGGGGGTACCCCAGTCGTCATCCAGTCATCATGATCGAAACGGATCCGATTCCTGGGCTCAAAAGTGTACTGATTCACAGAAAGGCCAATTGGTTTATGATCTTTCGAGGGTTATCCTGACCTGTATATGTATATGTATATCTATATGTATATCTATATGTATATCTACATCTATGTATATATATATATATACACCTATAAATATATATATATATATTTTGGGGATTATCATAATCCAGGATTTAGCATTTCCATTCTCTATGTCATAAGCAATCATAATTCCCGACCAACCAACTTTCAATCATAGACCCTGACATGAGTTGGGACGACTACTTTCCAACCTGAAAAAAAACAGGGGCAACTTTCGGCTAAAAAAACAGGGTGCAACTGTTAGTTTGGGGGACTGGTGAATTTTAGATTTATGATTTTGGCAGGATTGAAACAACCAAAACTTGGGTAGCTTGACATACCAAACATACCAAATTATCTTTTTTTTCCCTCCCTATAATCGGTTTCGCCTGTTTCACCTCTTTCACCTATTTCCGAGACGAAGGCGACGGCATCCTCCGCGTTCACGAAAACGGCGGGGAGCTGAACTACCATTTTGGCTGGAGATGCAGTGAGAAGTAGTAGTGTTTATGTAATCCATGTTCTAACATTTTATGGAATGCAATGACATGGCCGAAGCCTGTGTATACATACATACATATGTACGTACGTACGTACTTGCATACTGACATACATACATACATACATACAGACAGACAGACAGACAGACAGACAGACAGATACATACAGATAGATGCATACATACATACCTACCTACCTACCTACCTACATACATACATACATACATACATTCATACACACATTCATACATACATACATACATACATACGTACGTACGTACGTACGTACGTACGTACATACATACATACATACATACTCATACATACTCATACATACTCATAAATACTCATACATACATACTCATACATACTCATACATAATACTCATACATAATACTCATACATAATACTCATACATAATACTCATACATAATACTCATACATAATACTCATACATAATACTCATACATAATACTGATACATAATACTCATACATAATACTCATACATAATACTCATACATAATACTCATACATAATACTCATACATAATACTCATACATAATACTCATACATAATACTCATACATAATACTCATACATAATACTCATACATAATACTCATACATAATACTCGTACATAATGCTCATACATAATACTCATACATAATACTCATACATAATACTCATACATAATACTCATACATAATACTCATACATAATACTCATACATAATACATACACAATACTCATACATAATACTCATACATAATACTCATACATAATATCATACATATACATACATACTCACACATACATACATACATATCCATCCATGCATGCATGCATGCATCCATGCATGCATGCATGCATGCATGCATGCGTCCATGCATTCATGCATCCATGCATCCATCCATCCATGCATGCATCCCTCCATCCATCCATCCATCCATGCATGCATGCATGCATGCATCGATCCATCCATCCATTCATGCATTCATGGCATTCATGCATTCATGGCATTCATGCATTCATGCATTCATGCATTCATGCATTCATGGCATTCATGCATTCATGCATTCATGCATTCATGCATTCATGGCATTCATGCATTCATGCATTCATGCATTCATGGCATTCATGGCATTCATGGCATTCATGCATTCATGCATTCATGCATTCATGGCATTCATGGCATTCCTGCATGCATGCTTTCATGCATTCATGCATTCATGTCATTCATGCATTCATGCATTCATGCATTCATATTTTCATGCATTCATGCATTCATGCATTCATGGCATTCATGCATTCATGCATTCATGCATTCATGCATTCATGCATTCATGGCATTCATGCATTCATGCATTCATGCATTCATGCATTCATGCATCCATGGCATTCATGCATTCATGCATTCATGCATTCATGGCATTCATGCATTCATGGCATCATGCATTCATGACATTCTGGCATTCTGGCATTCATGCATTCATGCATTCATGCATTCATGCATTCATGCATTCATGGCATTCATGGCATTCATGCATTCGTGCACTCATGCATTCATGCATTCATGCATTCATGCATTCATGCATTCATGGCATTCATGGCATTCATGCATTCATGCATTCATGCATTCATGCATTCATGCATTCATGCATTCATGCATTCATATTTTCATGCATTCATGCATTCATGCATTCATGGCATTCATGCATTCATGCATTCATGCATTCATGGCATTCATGCATTCATGCATTCATGCATTCATGCATTCATGGCATTCATGGCATTCATGCATTCATGCATTCATGCATTCATGCATTCATGGCATTCATGCATTCATGCATTCATGCATTCATGGCATTCATGCATTCATGCATTCATGCATTCATGCATTCATGGCATTCATGCATTCATGCATTTGTGCATTCATGCATTCATGCATTCATGCATTCATGCATTCATGCATTTATGGCATTCATGCATTCATGGCATTCATGGCATTCATGCATTCATGCATTTATGGCATTTATGGCATTCATGCATTCATGGCATTCATGGCATTCATGCATTCATGCATTTATGGCATTCATGCATTCATGCATTCATGCATTCATGGCTTTCATGGCATTCATGGCATTCATGGCATTCATGGCATCATGCATTCATGCATTCATGGCATTTCATGGCATTCATGGCATTCATGGCATTCATGGGCATTCATGCATTCATGCATTCATGCATTCATGCATTCATGCATTCATGGCATTCATGGCATTCATGGCATTCATGGCATTCATGGCATTCATGGCATTCATGGCATTCATGGCATTCATGCATTCATGCATTCATGCATTCATGCATTCATGCATTCATGCTCATGCTTGGGTGTTGTGGGCAAGATTCTTGGGTCACACCGACCAAAGTCATCCTGCGCAACTGAGAATTCAACAGTCATTTCCCCAGTGCCATTTCGCCTGCGCAGCGCACGGCTGTCAGGTCGAATTGGAATTCCACGAGTATTGGAAGTCAGAGCTGGAAGGCATTCTGTTCTCCAACCAGATCCCATTGGATGCTGAAGGCCGGTAAACCCGATGAAAAACCAATGGTTGGCCACGAGGATTTCATGGATTTAATGGGATTTAATGGATATGCAACCAGTAAAAAAAATGATATTTGGGTCTGTCCAAAATTGGGATTTACCTCAATCTAGGGCTATCTTTACAGTTTTTTTTTTTTGTAAATCAACATTTTTTGTGGGTAATTCGTTTTCAGACAAACCCACTTGATTCTGGGGTATCGACCATTCAGAAAATAGGTTTCAAATTTCTATTTTGTTTTCGAAAGGAGCATCCTGAAAAGCCTGTGACCAAGCGCTGCTCAGTAGAGCCAGAGATCCTTTGCGGCACGTTTCATCCAGGGTAAGGGCCAAAACTCAAGACCCGGGGAAACCATACGGGTCCGGAATTTTGGCCCAAACCCATGCACCAACACACACACAGAGATAGATAGATAGATAGATAGATCGATAGATCGATCGATCGATCGATGGATGGATGGATGGATGGATAGATAGATAGATAGATACACATACACATACACATACACATACACATACACATACACATTCGATATATTATATACTGGGAAACAGTTGGCCATAAATATTTGGTGCCTTTGACCGTCCTTTCAAATGGTTATTGTTTTGGCCAACCCTTCTGGCCCCGCAAATCAGCCCCGCTACTGTTCATCCCCGGTTTGTTGGGGAGTTGAGTTTGGAAAATGAACCCGAATTTGGGATTCACCAAACTGTTCATCCCCATCATTCCCTATGATGGTTACTGATCCCTCTTCCACTTGGATCAGCCACCATGAGTCTTCCGTCTTCCTTTCGCGGCAATGAACATTCGTCCCATCGAAACGCCCCATTTCGCAGGTCGGCTCTACTGGGTGGTGAACAGCGTCTGGGAAATTCTGCAGGTGAAGGATCTACAGAGTTTACACCAGGTGAACTTCCCATTGACCGTGAGAATGCAGGAGAACCCCTCTGGGTATGACGCAGAAGTCCTGGTTTTTTATGGAAAAAAAGAAGCCGAGTCATTTGGCCAACAGGGATTTGGGAAGTGTTGGAACATTTACTTACTGACCAGTGGTGATTCATGGTTCAACCCACAGAAAAATGTATGGTTTGATCACTAATCCCCGTCTGAAAGTGGTGGAGGAGTGAAACAACTTCGGCAGTGGGAGAAGAGTTTTCGAGAATGGAAGATGTGAATTAGAATGTTAATCAGTTTTAATGAAGTATTAATTAGAAAAATACAGGTTTAAAGTTTAATGGGATATTAATTGGATTTACCCCCTGAAATTAAACATACACAATTTAATTCGCTGATTTTGACAGCTATAAACCAGCTATCTAGGTTTGATTACCAGAGGTACTACCACGAGCACTTGATGGAATTTCACTAGATGATCCATTCGGCAGCTTCAGTCTTCCCTTCTCCACTTGAGCAGTGCCCAAAATACCAAGTACCTTCTGTAGTTATATCAGGATTGTTGGAACCCATTCTGAAAATCCCTTTCCAACCAGCGAATATACCCTCTGGCGGTCAAGCATGGCTTCCCGCACAATTCCCCATTTATTTCGATGCTTTTCCCGCAAAAATATTCCTATTTAGTTCGGGGATTTCCCAACAGTCCACCAGGAGTCACCTCCGCAAGTGGAAAAGGCTGAAGGCTTCTACTTTTGGCAGGCAAGGTTTTTGAACCCTTGAGTAATCAAATAGGGAAAACACATGCGGAAAAAACCAGAATCATCGGGATCATCATGACATAGCTGGGTTAAATATTGTTGATAAGACCTGGAAAGTTTTTTCCCCTAGAAAATAGGTAAATTCATGGGAATACATCTTCAAATAGGATGATTTTCTCTTTCCAAAATCAATGACCAGAGGGTACAAGCTGTCTTCCTTTTGCAGTGCTGCCACCACATCCATGAAGACCCTTACTTGTGCTGTTTGAGTTGCTACAACCTTTGTTAAATAATGTTAAATAGGCGATCACAATGGAAGATCTCCAGCTGGAAATGGACCATTTCCTCCATTTCTCGATGTTGGAGTTCTGGCAGGTGGAATGGGGAGCATTGAAAGGTCCAGCCAATGCAACAAAGAAAGATGACATGGAATTTGATGCTCCGGACGAAGAGAAAATCGATGGCATCGTTCCAGAACTGTCACAAAGACAACAGGACGCCGAGTTCCGGCGTAGTGGTGGGTTGCGGGTCTCCAGTGTGTAGATATAGACCCTTTGAACATGGAACACGGGCCATATCCAGTAGATTCCAGTAGTAAGATCATTTTTGAAGCCCGGCTTTTCCGATTGGTAGATTTAGGGGCCAGATTCCAGGGTGTTGGGCCTGAAATTCGCTGACAATCATGGGCATATGATCAAAGGAAGCCCCAAAGCAGGACCACCATGTCTTCTGAGCAATGCCCAAATCCATCCAGCTCTCAGCTCGTATAAGCGTTCGCTGAGGCACCGCCCATTCTTTTTTGGATTTCGCCTCAAAAGACCAGGATTTCAGATGGTTTATAATCACATCTCTCAAATACACACCATGATATATATATATAATCACATCTGACATTCATAAAACTTGAGATTTTTGAGCTTCACGCTAGATCTTCATCAGTTATCTTCATCACTTCCAGGAGCACGAGGATTTGATGAAGAAGTGGAAGGAGCAAAAGGCGCAGGATCGCTTGCGACAGACTGCAGATCCATCAGCTCCAGGTGCCCTGAAGCGGGTCCCAGGATCATCCCATAGGAGTTTTCTATGGTAGATGTATTGGGAATTATTGGGATATAACCAATGTCAACGATGATAAAAACAGGACCCCAGGAATTCGAGATATCTATCTATCTATATATATATATCTCTATACACGTAATATTAGATGTTTATAGGATATCCATTGTAAAGAAAAAACAGGGTTAACTGTTATAGAACGGAGATATCTTATGGGATATATGATATGGATATAACCAACCATGTGACATTTCCGGATATAACTGCTCATAACCAATCGTATTTACTTCCAAATTGCCATAAGCATGGGAACATTTGCGATCCCGATTTTGAGACAGGCCTAATTAGTAGCTGGTTAATAGCTGGGATGCGGGTGGGAGGTCCCCACTTCGTGGGCTTCATGGGTGACCTCGGGTGGGAAGTCCGACATTTTCCGTGATTTGGACAAGTGGGGGGTTTCCTAAAATGTGGGACCCCGAACAACTCATCCAAAAAATGGATGGTTTTGGTCGGGGAAAAAGCATGGTTTGGGGTACCTCGAATTTTGAGCGTGGGTTGTAGTGACCATCCAGCCGGCTGCGGTGCTGTGCTTCCCGCGCTCGCAGGAGATAAGGCCAAAAGTCCCAAGACACCAGGAGCCTTTTGCGAAGGAATTGTGCACGCACTTTGCTGAGTTGCAGACATCCATAACTATTCACCAAACATCTTTACTATTGAGGCTACCGGCTACCCTATATATACATACACACACACATATATATATGTACGTATATATATATATGGAAATAAACTCCAACATATTTGGTTGATGGTAGGTTCATTTCATGATCGTTCATTTCCAACTCATTCGGACAGATGTCGGTGTGGGTCAAATACCATCCATCGTCTGAAAGTCTCTTCAGTTTTGGTTGGAACGATCTTACCAAATATTTTGCAAGTTTCTTCAATTCCAAAAATTGGGGATCCTCACAAAAAAATGGTGGACATTCTCCATCCATCCAGGAAAGAGCCATGGCTATCCACCAGCCCTGGCCCCAAGTTCGCCAAGCTCGCCCACCTTGGATCTGGGGGTTCAGACAGTCCGAGACCTTGGTATTTGGCGGTGGGTGCTGGGTCATGGGGCTTTTTCATCTGAATTCATGGTGGGATACCGGTTCACCTCCACAGAGGAGATGGGGATAACTACGAAGCAACAAGAACGAGGCATGCAGCGTATGTGTACTGTATATACACCCTTGCCTGACCCTTGCCTTCACATTTTCCATTGGCAACATTCCACGTTGACATGTGGTAACCACACCTAACACATCAAAAGGCGCTGGCCTTTTTGGTTCACTCCCAGACTCCCAGCATGTCTCCCTGGCAGCAAGCTCTATGGGAGCTCAACACAACGCCTGCCCCCGGGGCTGTGGTGTGGAATGTGGCCATCACAGCATGCGGCAGGGCGAAGCAATGGCAGAGGTCCCTCCAGTTGCTGCACCAGCTGCGCGCGCGCAACGTGGCCACGGCGGTGTCCTTCAATGCGGCGCTGGGCGCGTGTGAGGCGCTGGGGTTGTGGCAAAAGACCGTGCAATTGCTGTCGGAGTTGAAGGAGGAGAGGTTGCAGGAAAGTGTGGTGACATATCTCACTGCAATCAGTGCCTGCGGAAAGGGTGAAGAGTGGCAAAGTGCGAGCCACTTACTGCAAGAAGCTGTCAGGAAGAAGGTGGATACAGTGGAGGTCTACAATGCAGCCATCACAGCAATGCATCGAAGCCAGCAATGGGAGACAGCATTGTACCTTTTCGGCCAAGTGAATGAACAGAAGCTCAGTGATGGCATCAGTATAAATGCAGCATTAAGCGCCATTGCAAGCGCAGGGATGGCCTCGGGGATGTGGCAAGCAGCTTTGCATCTGATTTGTGGCATGCCAGCCTCGCGTCTTGTGGCTGATCTGGTCACGCAGAACTCGGGCATCAACGCGGTGAAGAGCGATGCCTGGGAGATGGCTTTACACCTCTTCAGGCATGGGGATGTAACCAAACAAACATGATGGCATATTGGGAATATAATGGGGATATAATGGGATTTCAATAGATTTCATGGGATAATCTTGGGTATTTGCTGAGTGATTCGTTGCGTTTTTCCATTGGTTCATCCACCAGCAATGGGGAATCTACTGGGGTTATATATTGCTTTTGATGGTCCCCGTCTTCAGCAACTCCAAGCAGGGAAGGCAACGCCCGGTTGGATGCCACAAGGGGATTGCCATTTCACATCCCTTTCCAAGAAGGAAAGGCTCCTGGACTGAGGACTGACAGAACCTGTTGAGCTGAGAGGTCATCACTAACTTAAGTAAAGAGCTGTATGAAGTTAGACACTTTGACTCCATTATAGAGGTCTTACATCAGATCGAGCAACAACCTTTATTCAAGGAAACAATTCCGAAAAGCAAAAAACGTGGAAATGAATTGGTCCTCGGAAGACCTAAATCGAAGTAGTTTTGGGACGCTGTATGAAACGAAAAGATCCTCACTGCCAGGATCTCTGTAGACACTCTGCTTTCGCGCTAGATAGGGAGGACTAAAAAGGTTGTTATGCATCATTGCAGTAGCATTTTGCCAGAGATTTGTTTCAACAGATTTTTGTCGAAATCATGTTAACATAGGATTCGTCCGTTCAGAAAACAACTCCTTTATGCAGGAGCGATGTGATCAGTTATGGCGCAGCAACCAGCGCCTGCGATCGAGGGGATCGATGGCAGCATGCGTTGCACTTGTTTCGGGAGAGTGGAGGTTTCTTTGCCTCTCAGTCCGCCGCTGGTTGGTGGTTTTCAGATTTTTTTTTCAACATGTTCCATTCCTGAGAATCTGATGATCAAATTGACTAAGTCGAAATGTTTCAAACAGGTCGGCCCAAACACCAAGTCCCAGAATTGCTTTAAAAAAACATGTTAATACGGCTGGCAAAAACTTATCAGTTTCCTGCCATTTTCCCTTCAATCCAATCAGCTTCGATGCAATTTCTGGTAAAAGCACATACTGTAATTCATCGGGGCTTAACTTCCCGCTTTTTCATCATTTTCAGTGATGAAGTCATCTTAAATCCATTTAAATCATCATATTCTTGCGCGTTTTATCCCTTGACCCAGGGCAAATCCTTGTCCTACTTCGCCACATCCTGCCTGGCTGCCAGCGCACGCAGCAGCCGCTGGGAGCACGGTTGGGGACTTCTGCAGGCGCTGCGCAGCGTGCGCTGCGAGCTGAGCGTCGTGAGCTGCAGCGCGCTCTGCCAGGATGGGCGACGCTGGCAGCTGGCACTGCAGGCAGGGTTGATGGTGATTCAGCAATTGTTTAAATATGGTTACTTGGGAGATTCATTGGGAACATTCATGGGATATAGATGGCACAGAATTATATCACCAACTTAATATGATATTTGGGGTTGTCTGGGGGGTATACTACCTTTTATGGTGATTCACCAATGGTTGGAAAGGGGTAGCCAATTTTCAGAGAAACCCAAATGAATAGCAACACACAGAAAGATAAGATGTTGGTTGAATCCTACTAACAGTATACACATTTGTACACATGTACAATTGTTACAATGAATCGATGAATCGATGATGACTTTAAGTTTTTCTTTCTTGTTTGGTTAACGGGTTGTACGAAGTGACGAAGTGGTTTGTTTTTATGATCAGAATCCATTTATACGGAATACCTTGGTACGGCGGGCCTTGGTTTTAAGGTTTCCATGGATAAAGATACAGCAGGTCTACATTATCATAAATTATACATCATATATTACAAATATCATACTCATAAATATCATAATCATTATCATTCTACATTATCATAAATTATACATTATATATATATCATAAATATTCACAAGTCCTAAAAGCCATGGTCAAGTCGCATGGGATTAATGGTTCAAAAAGTCATCCATCCCATTTCATGGGAAATCCAAACAAACATCATGGGCATAGAAATCACTATGAAAATGGATGGATGATCATTGCCTTAGGTGGGTAATCCAAGCTTGAACCATGGCACACATATCATAGATGTAGAAAACCCGACAGAAATGGCCTTCCCCATGGCTTTCCACATCGGTGTAATCCATGAAATCCCATGGTAATCCATGTAGATTGTAGATTCACCATGAAATCAACATAGTTGTAGGGGCCCCATATCCCGACTTATCGAGGTTAAAATCCCATAGTTATACCCATATTCATGGTTGATTTTCCCAGCAACCTCCTTTTAGTGCCGGGATTTCCCAGCCACGTTTGAGACCGGAGGGCATATCATGGGATGATTGTTCCACCATAATCCCTGTTAAACCATATCAAACCATATTATCACATCTATAGTCTATAGTTATACCCATTCATCCCATATTTATGGTTGTTTTCCCCATTGTTTCACACATAGTTCTACCATAGTTATGGAGTGGATATTCCATTTGTAGTGGTTAAAATCCCACAGCTATAGCCATTAGTAAGCATATAGCCATTAGTAAGCATATTTATGGTTGATTTTCCCAGCTATCAATCTCCATTCATAGGGGATTTCCCATGGCATATCCATAGCATATGTTATAGGAGCCATACTTGCGTAGCCACAGTTAAAAAACCCTTATACCCTTTATATAATATTCTATTGTTATCCCACTATTGCTATCCCACTATCCCATGATTATCTCATGATCTCCCATTTTTCATTCTTAAATCAGTTGTTTTCACAGTTAGATGACCGTTTTTCATGGTTAAATCATGTTAAATCCCTATTATCCCAGGTATTTCACTATTTTCCCATTATTTTCCCATGATTATCCCATTATTATGAAACATCATGGTATAACCAATCATGTCAAATCCCAATTTCCCCATATTTTCCATGTGTTTTCCCATTATTATCCCATTGTTATTGGTTATTCTCCCATCTAAAACCCATAGGATTCACCAGGCCAGCAATGGCGTGGCCTGCGATGTGGCCTTCTACGGCGAGGTCTTGGGTGCCATGGCCTGGAAGGATGGGATCCAAAGGTGGCCCGGCAGAAAAGTGCTGGATGTCTTTAGTGAATTTCACCATGAAAAACCCATGAAAAACCTATGATGATTCACCAGTGGATGGAATGGGATAGCCATGGATAGCCTATTTTTTCGAACATCAAATTGGAATATCATGGGGATATTGGGGATGTAAATAGGATACAGTTCGCCAATCATCTGCTATTTAATGGGATGTACAGCCAACTTGATATGATATTTGGGTGTGTCTGAGATTGGAGGATTTGCCCCAAACATAGCCTTTTTAATGGGGGAAATGATGATTCACCAGTGGATGGAATGGGATAGCCGCATAGCCAATTTTTTTTCGAAGATTGCCAGTTGGCAATCTAACAGTTTGCTCTGGAGCTAGTGAAAGTCGATGATTTAGATATTGAACATGTTGGCCTTCGCAAACAAAACGACATTCACATTTTTTAACTTTTCCTCAGTAAATTTACGATGTAAATGTGAGGATGATCCCAATTGACTTTCATTTTTTCGGAGTTGAAAGCAAAAAAAGAGGTTGGATCACCTGCTGAAAAGCACAGCGTTGCAGATGAATAGCGTGTCTTACAAGGCTGTCATGGGCAGTTGTGAACGCTGGGAGCAGTGGCGAGAATGTATGAGCTTGCTGGTTGACCAGCACTTAGGTGGAATCAAAACAAACTTTGGGGCCTATGCGCTGCCATTTTTGGCGTCGGAGAAGTCCAAGTGGGAAGGGGTGTCGCAGTTGCTTCGAAATGCCGGAGACCAACGACTTGACTTCGACGCAACCTTGAATGGTGCAGTGGTTTCATCCACCAATTGGAAGTGGTCCATGATGCTTTTGCGGGATTCAAGAGTCCTGGTTGACTTAGACTGCCTGGAGGTTTCAAAGCCATTTTTTGATGGGGCAGAGTGGTCCGTTGCATCTCTGCTGCTTTCGGAGCTGCAAGAGATGCAGCTCCAGTCGGACTCCGAAGCATCCTTTTCACTGGCCTCCAGCCTTTGCAGGAAGGGGATGTGGTGGAAGTCGCTCCTCGTGAGCCAAGAGCTTGGGCAGTTGGGAGTTACCTCAGAGGTCCTGGTCCTCAACAGCTTCAGTACAGCACTGCAGTGGAGCGAGGCTTTGGCAGCTCTTGGGCGGATGGAGCCTGGACCTGGACTGGTGGACTATGACGTGTTGGTGATGGTTTGTTGGAAATGTGAAGAGAATTTCCTAGCGGCCCAACTCCTCAGGGAGTCCCAGGGCCTCCGTTCTCCCATCTCTTTTCTCTGGGGACTTTCTGTCATACACGAAGCGGATCCCGGGGTGATTCATGCCGCGTGTCTGGATGCCTGGGTGGCACTGAGGGAAGCTACAGGACCATCGGACTTCGACTTGATCACTGCATGGAGGGCCAGTGCAGTTCTGGGCGCTGGCAATGAGAGGTTTCACCAGTTCTTGGTCGAGCGGGTCAGAGATCGCCTACCAAAACTGACCTTGGAAGAGTTAAGTTTTGCGGTGCAGGGGGCTGCTTCTACAACTGCACCCGTGGATTTTTATTTTTCCGTTCAAGCTTGTGGCCTTGAATTCTTGAGGGACGGGCAGGTGGACTTATCCTTTTCAAAGGACGGCCAGGAGATCCTATCGATGGTTTTTGCATGTAAAATCGCAGGGGGAGAGGCAGGGGAGTCAGAAGACCTAGATCGACATGGCTCGTCTCAAAATTTGGAACCCCAGAATCCAAGGGCTTATCATCTGTTCTTCATCAAACTTGGAATTTTGGGTCCTCCCCAACTTTGAGACAACACCATAGTTTGTCAAAACCACATGTCATACTGTTGGTCACCAAACATCCCAAGATTTCCCAAAGAACACTTCCCCAAATTCCCTAATTCACCATGGCCCTGGCAGATCTCTTTCGTGTCTTCCGTGTTTCTTCGCGTCTTGCGTGCTGCCCTTCGGCGTCGTGGACGATGGATGGACCGCTCCGCTCGGAAGGACGTCCGCAAGGAGCAATCGGTCGTCCCCAGTGACCTCGGTGACCATGACCTGTGAGGGATAGCCAACAGTAAACCATCCCCAATAGAGGTATAACGGTATAACCATCGATATTTTTTTGGGATTATAATTGGGATTATGAATTGCTATAACTTCATGGTAATAACATCCATAAGTTGTTGAAAAAGCAATGGGATCCACTATCCCTAATTTTACCTTAAATGGGTTGTACAAACCATCAAAATATGGATGGTGTATTACTTTTTAATGTGGGTCTCACCCTGGCTGCCACAAACAACTACCATGACTGGGGATGGTTGAAATCCCACCCATAAAAATGGTGATGACTTGGGGATGGTTTATCATTGGGTTTACACACATGACTGTTTTTTTCCAGTGATAGATCCGCCAAAAAACGGGGTTCTGCTATTGGACTATGTACGTGGATGGCCGGAAAACCCTCATGCTTCTTTATGAATTTATGACCATTGTTTTTTTTTCTTCTCCTTCTATAATATATAGTGTAAACATAGATTATTAGACAATACGATGAACAACTAGTAATTATGTATATGTATATACAGTACACGTACATTCATGCACTACATTATGTTCCATTATGTTACATTACACTACATTGCATTGCACTACATCACATCACATCACATCAATTCATACATAGCATAACGTAACCCAAGATAACATAACACACCGTTACATGTCATGACATGACATTACAGCACATCACATTTCATCACATTACAACACATCATACATAACATAATACAACATAACATAACATCACACCACACTACATCAACCCATACAGTACGTTACATAGCATAACTTACCATTGCATTGCACATAACATTGCATTGCATTACACACACATAGACAGATTTATTCGTTTTTTTTTTTTTTAATAGGCTGCAGATCAGCAAAGCAAGGTGACAAAGTGGAGGTGCCAATCATCGCCAGCGGCGGTGCTGACCGACCTGTGTTGTTGAAACCTCCAGGCGGGGCACCCGACCCAGGCGGCTGTTGGTTGGGTGAAATGGGTGAAATGGTTGAAGATATTTGTATATGGGTATGGATCAACCATTATTTTATAATAACCATTATTTTGGGATCCTTATTATGGATGGGATGACCATCAACCATATAGTGAGTATCAACCATATAGTCTGAAAATGTTGTGTACCCCTAAACCCAATGGTTTTGCTGATCATTATCCCTATGAAAAATGGCTATTTCATTGGGAAGATTAACCCTATTTTCAGACAAACTCATATAGCCACAAGTAGATTGTGGAATAAGGATACCTATAGCTATGTTTTTTTTGGGTGTGTTTTTTGCTGGATTGAAGGTAAAATTATGCTAGATCCCTCATTTGGGTATGGGTCAACACCCTGTACAACAGGTTTTGATCCATTCCCAAATTCTTAGAATATATATTTCCATATATTCTCATGATTGTCAGCTAGGCGCCCCAATTATATCTATATATCTTTGATTATCACCCCCATCAGCACCCTTATCGCCTGCTATAGTTTTTTTGCCCCAATTTCGAAGCGATTTTCCGGACAACAGATCCATTTCTGGGCTCCATTTCTGGCTTGGTAAAGCCCAACTAAAACTCAGCTCGAAGCCATTTAAATCCAATGTTGGATATATGTTGGATATATATATACTATATATATACTATATATATACACTATATTTATACTATATATATATGCTCTAGTTTCGATCCAATGGGTTTATTTCTGCTAGTCATCACTTCAACCCGACGGAGCCATGAGCCAGGCTGGGAAGTCTACAACGAGAGGGTCGAGGCATGCCCTCAATTGCTGGGCTACGTGCAACGAACTTTGCCGCTTCGCCCCATACATCAGGACCGGTGTAAAAAGGGCTTCCAGCAGCAAAGAAATGGAAACGTGGCTTTCGGCTTTCGTAACGGATCAAAATGGGGTTGACACCTTTTTTGACTGGGGTGAACCTAGAAACCATCAGAAAACCATGTTTTTGACCCATGCAAATTTTAAGCCCTTTGCATGAGGATTTCATCAACAAACATGGGGGATTTTGAACCAAGATGAATAGGAGTCACGCAAAAGATGCAAAGGCTAAGCAGAGCCCCGCCACACACCCCAGTTGGTTGATGGCTATTATATGAAATTATACTACAGAATTATCTAACGGTTTAATGGGAATTCTCATTGGACGGTTTAATGGGAATTCTCATATTCCAATGAGGACCACCGTACCAACCAGTGAAGAGGAGTTTTCCAGGCAAGCAAACCGCATTTGTTTCAAGTTCGGGGCAACATATTTTGGGAGGGTGTCTGAAAATGAGGTATACCCCCCAAATTTCTACTTTCAATAGTGAAAAATCAGGAGCCTCGTTTTGGACAACTCCATGTGGCAATTTTGGGTTTCCCATCCTGTCGCCAATGTTTCGAGGACGTGGACCATAACTATGGCTTCTTACATCGCTTGGACGTGCCGAGTAGCGGCCTGATTTTGTTGGCGCGAAGTTATGAAGCCTTCTACGATTTGCAGTTGCAACTATACAGCGGGTGGATGGTTCGCGAGTACACTGTGCTGTGCCATGGCAGCTTGTGCTTGACTAGGAACTGGTTGGATTTCAGGCTGTTCTATCAGGGATCAGCACCAACCAAAGCTGGTGGCAGAGGGAAAAAGTCCGTTTCCCGTTTGTCAGTGGAATCTTTGTATTTTGATGCCTCTGGCGCTTCGTTGACGCTCACACTTTGGCGCATCGAAACTGGGCGACGGCATCAAATCCGTAGCCAAGCAGCTCATGTGGGTCACTGCACAGTGCGAGATAGGACTTGGATTTGCTCTGAAGATGATGATGTTTTGCAATCTTTGGGTGAATTTCCCAAACCCGAAGAATCTATAGCGAATCCATAGTTTCTGTGTTTTTTTTGGAAACCTTGTCAGAAGGTCCCCATGGTCCACCAAATCCACAGTAGGACCTACGGCAGTTCAGAGACCTTTCTGGCCGATGCCCAGATCTGCGAGCGGAATTGGCTGCACCGACATAGCTTGACCTTCGATGTCGACGGCGAAGTCTGTGAAGTGAGTTGTGAGCTGCCTCCGGACTTGCGACGAAGCCTTGCAATGTTGGTGAAAAAGGGGATGGTTGAAAAATGGCCTAGGGAAAAAAAACACCAAAAATCGTGGTTGCATGAGGGTTGAATGATGGTTTTAAGCATAAATCCCGGCTATTTTGATGTGAATTACAGGCGATTCCCATCGGGTCAAATGACCGCCAAATGGTGGAAGGTGCCTACAAGAGACGGGCCAATCCCACATCACCATCACCATCACCATCTAGCTATGGAAAATCACATTTTTTAATAGGCAAATCAGAATACATCGTCTATAAACGGCAAATTTCCATGGCTATGTTCAATAAACCAGAGGGTATCATCATCATCATCATCATCATCATCATCATCATCATCAGAACTCCAATGCAGATACTGAGGTCCAAGATCACTCTTAACCTAATATGCAGTGGAAAATCCACCATTTCTGGACGTTTCCTATATTTTTCCCAGTAAATCAGTCTGTGTATGTCTGTGTACTATATATTATATATATATAAACATCTGTTGTAATTCTTGACTACTGGAGGGTACTTGGATGTACGTCCTGGTTAGCAACTGGATTTCAAATTACAAGAGATCGCGCATGTCTTGCAAGATGCAACATACTGTATATATGTGTATATATATATAAATTATAGATATACACAACATATATATATATAATATAAATTATAGATATACACATACACAGTTGCTTACACATGGTCATCCCGGAGATGGAATATGGGCAATTCCAACAATCCTCAACCATGCATATGAACCACTTAGTGGCAAGGATGGGTTTCCATTAATGAACTGTTGCTTGCGCGCTAATCCCCAATGCATTGAATAGTATCGCCCCCGTTAACTAATCATCAACCAACAGGGGTTTTGAACACTGCTCACTTACTAGTTGCCAGTTGCCATGTACCCTAGGGTAAACCAATATATGTAGATGTGGACAACCCAATGGTTTCCCTAGGAAAAATGAACTACACATGGCGGGTTCTCCACATCCATATTAGTTTACAGGAGGGTATATCACGGGTATATCCAAGATGTTGGTGAACTCACTATTGATTCCAGTATACCTCAATTACACCCCCATCATACACGTCCTTTTCCCACTGCTTGGTTGATTAATGGAGGGGTACCCTCAATCAACAACCAACAGGCACATGATAGTAAATAGTATGCCACGCCGGCGCCTGTATTTTTCCTAAAATGGCAATATTGATCCCTTATTTCGAGTAGTTTATTATTGGTCGGATGGGATTGCTAGATTACTTCCATTATTTTCCCACAAAATCATCACTAATTATATATCAATATGAATGTTGTTGATTTCATCATATCTTATCCCATTAATGTTGGCAAAGCAAGAATAAACCATCAATGCTTTGATGGTTTGAATCCTAGCCATTGTAATTTTTGGGATGGATCCTATTGCTTTACTAACATCGTATCCCGCTGCAAACCCCCCAGGCTTTACATCGTTCGGCGAAAGCGGGACAGGTTGGGCGCCCGGTAAACAGCACGCTTTTAGGGGAGGTTGGAGGGAGGTGAACCAGGGGCATAACCAATAGATATGGAGGTTAAACCAGCAAAAAGGGTGATTCATCATCAACAATTGTGTTTTTACTAAATCACCATGCTTGATGGTAATTTTTGTTTTTACTAAATCAACCATGCAGATTTCGTCAATAAACAAACTGGGATTTCATGGGGATTTTCACCATCATAACCCTCCCGAAAAGGGATGATGATCCCATTGAGTCAGATTTGAAACCATGGAGATACGAATGCCACAAATGAGTGAACATGATATACTGCTAAAGATCTTGTTTCGTGGGGGATCTAAAATTGGCTGTGTGAGTATCGGACGGTCTTTGAAGGTATAGCTTGAACTGATTCCCAGTTTGAGATGGTGAGATACTACGGTAATGTCACATCCCCAAAATGGCAGCCCCAATTCAGCAGCCTAAGAGTCTAGAATTTTGGGTGTGGTATTACCACAGTTTTGACTCATTTAGGTTTGTCAGAAAATCCGGTACCCCCAATTGCAAAGAATTCTCATCCATTTTCCTATTTTATGAAGGGCGATACAATGCACTATACCCCATGTATCCCCAAACAATTGGACAGCATGGACAAGCACACATATCATATCAAGCCATATCAAGCCGGTTTTTCAAACACCGTTCATATCACATCAATCGTCCGTGAACCTCCCATGAAATCCCCCATGTTTCGTGGTGAAAAATCGTCGTTCCCCGAGCGAGGTCCGTCTCTCTTCAGATTATGGCGGTGCATTGGCGCAGACGGCGGCCCAGGCGTTGAATGCGGGCTACCATGAACAGATGATAGTCAAATGGTCATCAAAACTGAGTATTCAATGGGTATTTATCCTAGTGGATAATGATGGGTATTCAATGAGCAGATGATGATGCGTATTTATGAATTTGTCCTACTGGATCTAAAAACGGACGCTATCAGAAACATATTATTCTCATATTATCAGACCGTAGTGAAATGGTCGCCCATTCCCCAAATTTGATACTGGATATGGGTTTGTCTTAAAACCAGGTACCCAACATTTGCTGGGAAAAATCATCATCTTCCGCATTCACATTGCCATAAAACGGGGTGTACCCCCTTTTCAGACGGACCCTTACTGTGTGCTTTGCAAATGGGTATTTTGTAACGGTATTTTATAGGTGTACACGGATTGATGAACTATATTAACTAACCAGCAATAGCAGGGATCTAATGGGTACATATATGGGTAGCGTTCTGTAAAATTTAATGCGTCTTGGCCATCCGGAAGCCATATTTCTTGGCCAGATCTCCAGCGACCCCATACAGTGTTTGAATGCCATGGAGCTACAGCGGTCATCAAAGAGATACTGTGGGATGGACCATAGAAAAAGGGCCATTGGGATTATATTTTGTGAAATTTAGCCCTGAAATTTGGACCATTGTATAGTATATTAAGTATATTAAGTATATTCTATAGGGTAGTACCTCCAATAAACATCAATAAACCGGTTCCTGTTGCGCCAACAGATCGGTTAAACTCTTCACATCCATGTCGCCAGTGGTCCAGGCATCGATCTATGTTCCGGAACTACAGGATCAGCTGTACAAGGCCGTCGGGATTGGTTTTCAGTGGGTTACTTTCATAGGAACGGATAAACCAGGGGATTTTTATTCATGGGGACCCTATTTTTTGACAAACTTGCTAGTGTTTTTTGAGTAATATGAGACCAAAGATCAGAATTGTTCGGAGTTGTCAACTAGTAATTTGTATCCAGCAAACAACGGACACGAAGTTCTTGAATTGCCCCAATTGTTTCTTGCTGAAGCTCCTTCTGCTTCATCAAAAGATGGGTCATGCCCAACATGGGACTCCATGCCCCGAGTCTGACCACTGCTCCCGGAACTGGAAAGGGACAATTACAGGAACCCTAATTTTTCATGGCAAAAACCAGCATTTCGGTAGAAAAACCTCATTAAACAAAAACTACCCAAAACAAATGGGACGATGATCTCCAATCACTAGTTTTCAGATGGGCGGCTCAACCACCAACTGGAAGGAACAGGTGGGGCAGTCCATGGAGGATGATGATGATGGCTGCAAGCTTAGCGTCCAACTCATGGCAAGATGGCGTTTCCGGAGGATTTTTTTGGGGCTTTAGGCAACAAACATGTTGATTAAATCCACGAACATGGTGAAATATGGGGGATACAACCCGAAGAATCTCAACAAGAGTTACTGTATGCTTATATATATATATATGTATATTTATAACCATTTCCAGCCAGCAAAGAACAGGGGTTTAACGCAAAAAAATACCATGGTTTCGTCGAAATTCACCCATTGGGATGACCAAAGATGGACTTGTCACGGGGAGTAAATCATTTTTTTTGTTTTTTTGGTGCACATATTTTCACCAAGACATCATGGTAATAATGATTTTCATCTGCCGATTTTTTGTTCTGGAGTCCGAACTTCGATTTCTTAAACAACTGGACAACTTTCTGGTTGGTGGTTTGGAACCATGGAATTTTATAACTTTCCATCTATTGGGAATTTCATAATCCCAACTGACTTTCATATTTTTTAAAGGGGGTTGAAACCACCAACCAGTTTTGATACATACCAAAAGCGACGCGATCAAGTCACTTGACTTTGTTCTTTCTCTGATTTCCGTCTTTCCGTGCAGACTTACAGAGCACACATCACCAACCTTGAAGCCCGTCAATGGCGAGAAACTTATTTATTCCCGGGCAATATAGAGTTCAAGCAGATGATTCTTTTCCTGTCATCAATGCATCCTTAAATTTCACCATTCTACAATTCTACGTTGCAAGGACCTTCAAGGACCTGCAAGCAGATGTCGCAACAAATCCCAACCTCTTCATCTGACTGTGAGTTTTGAAAACATGTTCCTTCCACTGCCAAAAACGTCCCTTAAAACTGCAAGAATCGTGGTTCCCCTGAGATAGACTTACATAGATATGGAAGACCTATGGTTTCCGCGTTGCGAAATGATCCACAGAAGATATGCCAAATCTGTCAATTTATCTTACCATCTCCCAAACTAACAGAGACACTCAGAATCACCAGTATTTTGGGGGAGTCTTCCAGCTATGTTAGTTGGGTAGCTTATCACCTTCGAGGCTGGCTCGAAGTACAGTCTCCATCTGGCAGAATCTACTACTGGAATCAGCTGCTTGGACGGACAGTCATTGGCAGGATTTCAATGCTTTCTGACTTGGATATACATATATATATATATTGTGTATATATATATAAATATGTATAATATTTCTGTCATGAGATTTACTGTACAGCACTTACCATCCCTTCAGACCATCTGTATACTGTATATACCATTTGTATTGATACAATATTTGTTTTACTGTCCAGTTGCTGTAGTGTATCTCCATTTCTAGTATCTTTTTTTTCATCATCTGCTTACAATGATGTCCATTCATGTCCATTCAAACTGATTCAGTTCCATTGTCCCAAAGAATATTCAACAATAGAGTTTCGCCCCAAAATCCAGGGCTTTTCTGCCATTTTCCGTTTTTCTCCCTAGCAGTTGACACACCTGGGGACTGTTTTTCTCCTGTCGATCGTCCCAGTGCTCAGGTTCACCAACGAAGAGTGGCCTGGCATTTTCAGCGATGTTCAAAATGGGGGGGAATCACCCACTGAGCCATTCAAAATAGCCAGGTTGATTGGTCAACATAGGGATTTATACGACCAAATTTATTGGGGATATTTGGGGATTATGATACTGATAACGTATACATATATAGTAGTATAATAAATAAATAAATAAATAGATAAATAAATAAATATATGTATATATATATATGCATGGATATATATATACACATAGTTAGTAGGGAAAGCTATCAATCAACTAGTATAATGAGATGGGATAGGGGTATTTTTGATGGCCCAACTGTGGCTGTTTCTCGTGATGAACACCTGCTCAGGTGGGATCCACCGGCAGAAGATCTGGAGCCCGAGTAGCGCCACAACAGTCCTGGCTGCTCCAGGGGTTCTGCACGGGAAAGACTGGTTGGTGGTTTCAAACATGTCTATTTTCAACCAACCAGTTGAGAACAACAACCTAGTTGATATCTATTTCAAACATATCTATTTTCAAATTTTCAACCATATTTGAGACGATGTTCCTAGTTGAACAAAAAATGCAGGATTGAAAACCACCAATCAGAGGAATTTGTGACAAAGAAAGCTCAGTTTAGGTTCAGGTACGCAGTCTTGGTGAAACCAAAGTTCTGCCTTTTTCAGTTCGCTACGTAACGTATCACCCTTTCACGTTCTCGTGACGACCCCAGTCCATTGGTCATGCCGTCATCACGGCAGTTGCTGACCCGTTAATGAACCAGGCATATGTCCTGCCCATGCAAATGCGAGTTCCGGTCTGTCACGGGGAAAAAGATGGCGACCTGGTGAAGTTATCTTTCTTTTTCTTGCCTTGGCTGGTTAATGAGTGGGTCGTGCAGGGCTCTGCCCTACTAGGACATGAATTGATATGTGAAGCTCACGTCTGTGCTCAGGCCGCTGCTCGTTGCTCAAACCGCTCTTTGATGCCATCGTTTGAACCTGGGAGGTGGATTTCGAAAGGTCCTCTACTACTTGGGTTTTCACAAACATCCAACATATTTTGCAGAACTTTCATCTTCTCCGACTCTTCGGATTTTTTCTGTGGGAAACAACCCACAGTTGGTGGTGCGAGTTCGGGGCCATGTCATCCAAAGAGCGAAGCGGAGTTGCCGGGGGGGCGGAATTGCCCAGCTATTTGAAGATCGTCAAGCAGCCAGATGCTCAGACTCTCTCCATGGGATGAGAAGATGGAGACGACTTTGGGTTAGCTAAGCATTTTGTATCCGATTCTGGGGATGACAAATATATATATATATATACATACATGATTATACATATATATATATACATACATTATTATATATATATAGTTATATATATATATTATCAGATCTTGAAAATGGCTGTTCGAAACAATTCCTGCATTGCTTGGGTGATATTGAAATGAGAGATTTTATCACCCGACTGGTGCCCATGAAGGGCACATGTTACAGCAATGTGGCAATGCCATAGGCCACCCCCAATGACTCAGCAGAAATGGTCGGTTCATGGCAGCCAGGGTCCGGAATCACTGGAAGTGCCAAGATTTGGGCTGCAAGTGGTCTTTGTTGGGCTGTTTCAGTTCTGTCCTACCCATGTTCTTACGACACATGAGCTTGGCAGTTAGGACATATTTTCTCGGCTGTTTCAGTTCTGTATCTACTATACTCTTTGCAGGCCGTCAAAAAATAACATGGCGTGGCAGTCATGAGCAGGAAAGGATACTTCATTTGCAGAAGTTGGGAGGCCAAATTTTGAACTGGTTCGTACAAGTTTATGGTCTCAAAAGATAATATTATACCACATATGTACATATATACTGTATAGATACATACATACATACATACATACATACATACATACATACATACATACATACATACATACATACATACATACATACATACGTATATATATGTATACAGATATGTCTAAACTTCTGTTTTCCATCGTTGAGAACTTTTCAGCTTTGATTCAGCCTGTCAGGCTGGGCCGTGGTGCATATGGTACCGTGTACCTTTGCGAAGACAAGAAATCTGGGGAGCAGGCACGGCGCAGATGGAAGTTGGGAGTGTCCCATACGGCGTCCAACTGATATCGGGGCATAGTCATCGATTCGTGAATAGAGATTGATACTAGCGTTAGGAATTGGGGTATTACGGCTACGGACCCCAATCCCCAACATGCAGATATATAGAGTTATATCTATATATACACACATAATATATCCACACACATATTCAGCCATTGTAAGGAATCCCTCATCATGGTGGGGTGACCACAACCCACATACCATGTTTTGACCGCAGCACGTGTGAATCTTTTAAGACTGGGATCTCACATTCACTACGGGGAAAGGTGATTCAGTGTGCTATCAATGGGTCAATTGGTGTTGCAAATGTAACCGTGGCCGTTGGAACATGGACTTGTCCTTCATCACTAAAATTGGATCCATTCCTTTGATTTTTGTCTGAATTTCTGCACAATAAATGTTTGGCAACCTTGAACTCGAATAGACAATCGCATCTACTCTCAATCTGATTCTCTCCTTTCATTCAGCTAGGATTTTATGCTAGCGTACTAGATTCGCAGGGAATCCAGCTTTGTGGGGGGTTCCTTTGGAATATTGAAAAAACACCCAGCTTTTGGCGCTCAAACATTGAATTTCATTTTGGGATGGTTGGATTTCCTGATGGCAAACTTTCAAAACGGAGCGGCCACGGTGCAGGTGGCAGTGAAGCACGTGAAACAAGCGGCACGCCAAGGGAAGAGCATGCTGCGCGAGGCCATTGGGGCCATTGGGGACGGACAGGTTTTCCATGGAGATTCGGAGGATTTTTCGGAATGATGGGATTTTGGGCTTCCAAATTTTGAGAGCCCATGTCATCATGTTGATATGGCTCGATCGACTCCCAACATTGGACGGTTTGCTGCAACTGGCCTGATGGATGTAGTGGTACCCCAAATTGGAGCCATACCATTACGCATGTTTTCACAAGTTCAGAGTTTTGCGAGACTGTCTTGTAGACACTCGAGCAAAAATTCTGTGACCGGAGGGGTCATCTTGAAGGCAAGGACAACAACTTTTTTTGGGCACTCTTCTCCCACCCAAATTGAATGGTTTTATACTCCCACTGACCAATCTGTGGGTCAATAGATACCCCCAATTCCAGGTCGGTAATACTTATTTTGATATCCCTTGTCCTCCAAAACCAGCGCAATGGAGGTTTGAACCAACGATTTGGGAATCATATCTCTGAAATCCACAATCTCTGCTAAAAAGTCACCAGTTTCAGTTTCATTCCCAATCTCTGCCGAACATCATCATTTCCGCTGATTCTAGACATTTTCCCATATCTGGGTCACATTTCAGTTGCTTGAAGACTCCCCTATATTCCTTAGATCTGTCGGCCCTGGCCTGTCGGGCCAAACAAACGTCGCCAGATTCGGCTCCTGGCGCGGCTGCGCCACGAGAATCTGCTCTTTCTCTTGGACTTTCCAGCAGTAACTTTGCAGATGGGTTAATGGTGATGTGAATAACTGGTTGGTGGTTTGGATCATTTTTTATTTCCCCCAATAGTTGGGATGATGATAAATCTGATAATAATTATACCCTATGGCCCTATGGTTATTTAACATAGCCATGGGAAATGAACCATTTATAGATGGTGTACCTATTAAACATGGTGATTTTCCATGGCTATGCTAAATAACCAGATGGTATAATTATTATTAATAATGGTAATGTAATGGTAGTGTGATGTATGTAATGTGTTATAATGTACTGTATTGTAATGTATCTATTACTATTATCCATTGTAATCGAACTATTGTAATGAACTATATGTAATGAATTACTATGGATATTATTGTAATGTAATAGTAATACTACATTATTGTAATCTATTATTCCATTGTAATGAATTGTAGGAATGGTGAACTATTATGGCAATCTGTTTGTTTTTATAATCGATGAAAAAATCCTTAGAGCTTCCAGGTTTTGGGAGAGGCTGATAGGATGATCATCTCTGGCAGTAACTTCTCCAATCGGCGAGAAATTTGGATCATTCAGGTTTGGCAGGTGATGTTTTTTTTTGCACATGATTTGGGAACCATAAAAATTATGGTTTATCCACAAACTTTCATTTTGTTTCCAAGGAAAAGTTGGGACGTAAACCAATGGAAATATGGTGACTTTATGGGGACAATACTGGGAAAAATCATGGGAACATTTTTTTGGATTTAGACTAAAATAGGGGGCCCGGTGTCCAACTCAAGTGGTAATTTTTCGGAGCATGAAAAATGGGGGAGACTTACGCAACTTACTTTAACTGTACGCGTTTTGGATTTCACAGACGAGTTGTCACAATGGATTTAAGCAGCAAACAGTAATTCACCCACTAAAGTGGGTTATTTCACTAAAGATAAATGTGGATACACTCTGGTTTCATCAAACGTGGCAATGGGACATGGTCCATTTTTCCTGTCTATGAAGCTCCATTTATATCATTTATATATATCTAGTGATAGTGGGATTTTCCAGCCATTGCGGAAGGTCTCCTGGAGTAAGTCTAATAGCTGGGTGTGGAAGATGATGATACTACCAGCAATTAAACACCATATCTAGTAACAGTAACCCCCAAAAAGATAAATTTTAGTAAAATCCTACTACAAATCGTGATCAATTGAGGCTTTTCTGCATCTTTTTTGGGGGTAAGGAGAACACCATGGACAGGCTGGAGATGATGGTCATAACGGAAATCGTCTATTTAAGTCTCCTGCTAACTGAGGTGTCATCCCCGAACTTTGAGGACATCTACCTGGTTCTGCCGTGAGCGGACATCGCAGCTGAAAATTATGAGAGTAACAGTATTCCCATCCTCTGACTATCAGCCGCCCAGTAGCAGCATGGTTTAGTATTGGATTGGAACATGGGGATGTGAGTCATGTGAGTCATTGCAGATGGATTTGCCCACCATCCTGTACTCCACATGATTGTGGACAAAAGGAAGAAGCTGCCATTGTTCTTTTGGTATGGCCAACAAGCACGTACAATTTTGGAAAATCCTTAGCTTCTCTACCAAAAAAATTTCTAGATCGTCAAACCATAACTTCGGACAATTTCAATGACCAACAACTGTCGGATGGCAAACATGGCAAACACCTAGTGTACACATAATGTACTATATATCATTGCCGTCCAGTTTTTATACAATAGATACGACATAGCATCGTATATCACATGTATATACAGGTTTGTCTAAAAATAGGGTACAACTGCATTTATTCCAATGGTAAATCATCATTTTCCATATTGCCATGGTTATTTGGGGACCATACCTCATTTTCAGAATACTACCACCCGCCAGTTGTTGCACAATACATACTATATAACATCTACAATTTGTATAGACATATACATATTCATATTCATATTCATATTGATATTCGTATACATACACACACACAATTACCAGGATTTCCTGGTGTTTCCATCCGAAGTTGGATTCCCGGGCTCGCGAAGTCGCAGGTACTTGGCCTCCGATCTTCACAAGATCATCCAATCGCAGCAGGTAGGCCGAATTCAGCAGCCTCCATTCAGCTGTAGCATCACTCCATTCAGCTGGGAGATCTTCAGGATCCAATTGATGGAGGTACTGGACGTTAGTACCATATTTTAGGCCATATCAATTCTGGGGATATTCCCTGAATTTGAGGCCATATTTATAGGCCTTTTTTTTTGGTTCCTCCAATAACTCGGTTCCTGAAATGGCCATTGTTCCATGGATCAGAAGCAATTGCCCATCTGAAAACAATGTGAAAGTTGACCATTTCCCCAAGGTAAACTTGCCAAGTTTACCATCTGTTTTATTGGTTCAAAAACGATTGGAGAACAAATGAACACTAATGTGGGTTTGTCTGAAAATAGGGTACCCCAACATTTGATACTTAATCCATCATTTTTGCCTATTTGTTCTCATGGTAATAACTGGGGGTACAGCCCATTCTTAGACACGCCAAGATGTCATAGTGTTGGTTATATATCCCATTAACATCCCATTGACATCCCATTCAGATCTCATTCATGACCCATTACAGTAAATCCAATTTTCGAATGATCCCATTTATAATCCATAAGTAGCATTACCATCTCATAAATATATATATATGATTATAACTGATTATATCTGAATATACCATTAAATTCCATATTAACCCACCATTTTTGATGGTGAACAACATATAACATATCCCATTCATCCCATTCAATACCATTAGTATCCCAACAAACCACATTAGGTTCCCAGTAAGAGTAATCCCATGAAAGTCCCATGAAGTTCCATTTAAACATGGAGAACTCTGCAGGCCTTGACTGAGAAGCACGTGCAGGTGATCTTGGTGCAGGTCGCTGAAACTTCGAGTCGGAAAGCAGCAATCTGGGGATGATGTAAACAGAAAAACGAGTTGATCTCCGAGTCTATCTGTCTGGCTGTCTATCTACCTATCTACCTAGATATGATTTGAAAGATTCTAAATTGACACATTTTTGGGTGCAACAAATCACTGTGGCTCGCGCCTTGGCCTCAGATCTTGCGCGCCATGGAGTACCTTCACGCCAGTGGGGCCATCATCTCAGCACGATCCATGGCAGGGTTTCTGGGATGATGCGGGGCACACAACGGCCATTTCAGGTACCTAAGTATGCCACCAGCATATTATATGGTACACCTCCAGTTGAGGTACCTGAAGTGGCCACTGATATAATTAACTAGGAGGACATAATCCATGATATTCGGCATCTATGGTGAAAAACACCACTGAGTGGCACTAGGTGGTAGTATAATGCCCATATAACTCTTGAAGCCACAATGGTTTTTTCCAGTCATTGGATGACCTGATTCAGGTTGCCCACCGGGACCTGAAACCGGCCAACATCTTGCTGTCCTCGGATTGTAAACTGAAAGCCGCCCAGCCGCAGCCGAGACGGGGGGAGACGTTGCCTCATGGTGGCTGGGGGCCATGGACGACCATCAAACATGGAGATTTAACGGTAAAAAACCAAGAAAAATGGTGGAAAAGATGGAAATTTTGTGGGATTGAACCAGCAAAGACGGTGGGATTTCATGGGGATACTCCCTGGGAATATCATGGGGATATTCTGGGATAAACTACTGTATATTGGGACCTCGTGCCGTCGCGACGGCGGGACTTTTTATGAGGATTGGGGGACATTTATCCAGATGGGTCGCCCGTTCAGAAGAATAACAGCCCCATTGTATGGTCCCAAATATGTCGTTTTATCCCCTCACTAAACCATGGTTACCATGGTTTCTGGGGGGTGTTTTGAACGGGGGAAGGGATTAGATTCTCCCAATAGGAATTTACTTCTTGATCTTTGTTTGCAGGTTTCACGGCTGGTGCTCTTGAATTCGCCTCCTTTTTTCGCTTGGAAGAAACCCATTGATCTCACGTGCATTGACAACGCTTGTGCCTGCCTTTTTTCTTTGTCCGAGTTTAAGCCAATGAAACAGGGCAAAATTGGTCATGGCTTAGAACAACATCATTTGTAGGTCCTCTGGTACAACACAAATTCGGCAGCACCATTCTTTCACCCATTTTCACCCTCCGTTCGTTCGGCGAACAGCTTCTTTTTGTTGGTTGAATCCCATCTTTGGAAGGTCTGCGACTTTGGACTGGCGCGTGGCGGCCTGGGCATGGACGGCGATGAGCCAGAGGAGGCACCAGCGATGCTGAGTCCAGCAAGACTTTTTTGCAAACAAAAGACATGGGGATTGTTCATGATTATAGTACAGTATACAGTATACAGCATATAGCATACAGCATACAGGATATAGGATATAGTATATAGTATATATAGTATCTAGTGTCTAGTATATAGTCTATAGTATATAGCATATAGTATGTATCCATCCGAGCAAGAATGCATTTGTTTGATGACTTTGAGGAGCAAGCAGAGATTTTTACCCGCAAGAATTTGGTTTAAGCCAGGCCACTCCTCGGTGGTCCACCATATCCCGAAAGCTAACATGGAAACCCAAAGGAGCCCCCAACCAATGGGGTCTGGAAGATGATGTTCTGGAATTTTCATTTTCTGGATCGAAGTTTCTTTTTCAGGGATGTACTCATGAACAACTGATATATATACAATTATATATATATTTATGTATATATATATATACATAGATACACATATTGTAAGACACTCTGACTCTGTGGGAAGAGTTCCTACCAGCGCTGGCGCCTGGATTCCAGGCATGTGGAGTCTTGACGGAATATGTGGTCACGCGCTGGTACCGGGCCCCGGAGGCCCTTCGGATTGTCCGACAATTCAGGTACCCCAAGTTTGATCCAAACATCCAGTTGAGGGAAACAATTACGTCGGAGACGCCATAGAACTTGGAAAAAAAACCCATAAAACCTCAGATTTTGGTTTTGGACGAATCAAACCAGTGAATTCTTGCAGGTGGTTTCACATGTGTCATTTCCCTCAAGATGAGATGATTGATGCTCCCATTTTTTTTAAAAATGGTTCATATATTTTTTGGGCCCCAGTGGTCTTGATCAACTACCAGCCCCCCAGAATTGGATGAGGGGAACATTTCATAGGCATCCCCTATAATTACTGGGAAGATGGAAAAACATGGTCTCCTGCAATTTTCCGCTTAAACCAAGCCATCATACCAACCAGATCTGCAGGTAATGTTGCTCCCCAAGCAGTATTCAACAGCCGTGGACATTTGGTCCGTCCGCCTCTCAGTTTTCACGATTTTGAGCACTTGCTGGGACTTGCTGGGAGCTGCCATACATGAAAAAAAACTCTGGTAATCCAGCCTGCCAATGGACCATTTCTTCATTTATAGTGTCCGTGTCCTGCTAGATTTCTAGGGATTTTCCACCTCAAGGTCCAAGGAAATGAAGGGAAACATCTTGAAAATAGGCAGATGAACATCCAGTTGTGACTCTAAAGATGCAGTCCACTCCGGTGAAACGCCGACACCCCCCACCTGATTCGAGGTTGGTTGCATCCTTGGAGAAATTCTTGGCAGAAAGGCGGTTTTCGTTTTCAAAAAAAACCTTGGCATGAGCAGACCTGATCAGCAAACAGGTGGAGTTTAACCACCAAAAATGTGTGGATATAACCAGTAAAGTCAGCAAAGATGATTGCTTCATCCACAGAAATGGGGATATCAAGCAGCCTCAACTGAAATATGACCAGCAAATCTAAAGACTCGAGAACGCGAGATGCGAATCGCAGGCCATGTTTCCCGGCAAGAATCACATTGACATGGCCGGGGGCCCCTAGACCAACGAGCCAGCGGCTACAGCTCTCATTTTTCGATTTCAATCTGCCGATTTTTTGTTCTGGAGTCCTGCTTCGATTTGTTCAACAACTGGAAAACTTTCTGGTTGGTGGTTTGGAACATTTTTTATTTTTCCATATATTGGGAATTTCATAATCCCAACTGACGAACTCATATTTTTCAGAGGGGTAGGTATACCACCAACCAGGACTTACTCCGAATGTCTCCGAATGGTGTAGTCCGTTGGGCTGCCACAGAACTGCCGGTTTTTCATCGAACCTGGCCATGGGATGTGCCCATTTTCAAGAGGTAGATCATTGACCTGCATAGACAGTTCCCCTCCGTTTATGGACGAATTTTGTTCCTTTCCCCATTCAGCATTCTTTTTTTGAGCCAGGTGAGGTTTGTATATCACGGTGCATCTGAAATCCCAATGTCTTTTATTTATCCCAGAATCGATGGGAACATCTGCCAGGAAAGCCCTCTGTACTTGGCGGCAACGGGGTAACGATCTGGGTTTTTCCTGTAAGGTTTTCCCAATAAAACCAATCGACTGAATGTCATAACATATAGGTTTGTCTGAAAATAGGTACCCCATTCCATCCTCTGGTAAACCGTCATTTTCCCTATTAAATGGTCATTTTATGGGTATACCATGGTATACCCAATTTTCACAGACCTATATTTGTTGGTCGAATCTCATTAAATCCCACATTTGCCAATGGATGCTGCAATGGGAGGTCTGCATGGTGTCTAAAGTCTTGGGCAATCCTGCGGACACCGATCTGAATTGGCTTCCCAAGGTGCGCTTTGAATCAGTTACACGGATCATCACGGATCAAAGTTGGGGTACATTATGACCCGAACATCATCCAAAATGTCATTTTTGCTGGGGAAAAACAATGGTTTAGGTGCCCCAATGTTGAAGGCTGGCTGTCCACTGAAATGAGAAGAGAGGTATCCGCCGAAATTTGCTGGTTCACCTCTGGCGTGTCCATATCCATTGCATTCCATTGCCATGTATCTTGTCATATCTTGTCATATCTTGTCATATATTATTAATTATCGCATATTATCGCAATGATCAAATTTCAAAGGTTAAGTTTGGGCAGTAATTCTTGAATCCCTGCGCTGCCCTGTTTGTCTCATGGATGAATCGGAGCGTGACTATGATGAATTGATCCGGCTTCGTGCTGAACGAGCTGCAGTGGATCGGCGAATTGCCGAGCTGGAAGCTGGGAACCAGGAAGCTATCAACAACCATTTCAAGGAAATGCTGGAGTGGATCTTCCAATACAATAGTGAGGCTGCTCGCCCCGATCCAAGCCAGCAGATGGAAATCGTGAGGAAGATCGAGGAGCTGGCAAAGACCACTTTGTATTTGCTTGGTTCCAACATGCCTGATGCCTTCACGCCAGACCACTTCATGAAATCTGCTCCTTTGACTACGCTTATAGGGCAGGGAATGGTGAGGGCAGTCAAGTAAATGCTGCTCGGCAAATTCTGTTCCATGCCCGGGAGCTTGAGCATTGGCACCGAGCCAACCCCGAGAGCAACCTCCTGTTTGCCCTTGTTGGTGATGAGGAGGCGTTCACCATCCCAACCACATGTACAGCTCCAGACGCACCCTTGGAGGAATATGAGTATGAATCTTACTTAGTGCCTTACACAGAGTCTTGGGCTGATAACCTTCGAGATCTTCCAGCGTTTGTCGGCTTCAACAATGCGAGGTATTTTGCTGTCAAAGATGCCACTGGAGCAGTTCTTACACGATATCCGAGTGGCGAGCTCCAGGATGTACCGCAGCCACACCAGTTTCCATTACAGGTCATGTTTTATATGCGTCGAGCCACAGAGTGAAGCCACATGCAGAATAGTCTGTACAGATCCGTACAGCACGTCAGGTGATTTTAATGTTCCCATTCCAACTGGAGGGACTTGATGCTAGGAAAGGGCCGCGCCTGATTTTGTTTAAGACCCAAATGCAGCTTGGAAAAAGAGATGGCTTGTCATGGTTTGTCCGAAAATGAGACACAATTGCCTAAAATCCAGTGGTAAAGAATGCTTTTCCCCATCAAATGGCCACAAGATCGGGGCATACCCCATTTTCATGTACAGCCATATACCTGTTCGGAACGGTCATGGTTGGCTGACCATCCCCATGTGTTGCTTTGACCATGCTAAAATGGTTACCATCACCATTTGTTGTCGACAGGACACAGATGCGTACCGGTTCCTGCGCAAGGCGCACGGATCAGTGATTATCAGTGGTCCATTGGGGTGGAGCACCGAAATCCCAAGTTCATCATTTTCACCCTAAACATGGCAATTTTGGAGTATCCTGCAATTCTGATACAAACCCGGCCAGGTTTGTCCTCAAGGTTCTGGCGTGAACTTGGGTGCGCCCCTGCTTCGGCACATGAACTTGTTTGCATGTTTCAAGAACGGGGAAACTGCTGACACTCCTGGACACTCAAGGAATTGCTGAAGTGAAAGTCATGAAAACGGCACTTTTTTTGTAGTAGTTTCATCAAATTTCATCCTTTTGTTGCAGTGAAACTCACCCAGTCGTCCCAACGGGACTTCCCTCAACCGCCAGCAACGATGTATCCGCGCGCTTCTTCGTCCTGCTTAGACCTGCTGAAGGCTTTGTTGCGCCCAGGGCTCAGCTGGATGGGTCTGACAGGGGTAAAAACAAAATAAACAAAGGGCATGATGGTGTCACTGCATAGAACTTGCCTGGGGAGTTTATTTTTTTTCTCTTTCTTACAAATGAATATATATATAGATAGATAATTGTGTATATATATATTATACATAGATAATAAGTATATATACATATATAAGTATACATATATGTATATATGAATATTTATGTATAAATAAGTATATATACATATATTATATATATGAAGTATATATATATATGTATATGTATATATATATATACATGTATATGTATATATAGATATAGATATAAGTATGTATATATATAGATAAGTATATATATATAGATAAGTATATATATATGTACATAAGTGTATATATATATATATATGTATATTTATACATACATACATACATACATGCATACATACATACATACATGCATGCATGCATACAGACATACAGACATACAGACATACAGACATACAGACATACAGACATACAGACATACAGACATACAGACATACATACATACCTACATACCTACATACCTACATACCTACATACCTACATTAGATTACATTAGATTACATTAGATTACATTAGATTACATTAGATTACATTAGATTACATTAGATTACATTAGATTACATGAGATTACATTAGATTACATTAGATTACATTAGATTACATTAGATTACATTAGATTACATTAAATTACATTAGATTACATTAGATTACATTAGATTACATTAGATTACATTAGATTACATTAGATTACATTAGATTACATTAGATTGCCTTAGATTGCCTTAGATTGCCTTAGATTGCCTTAGATTGCCTTAGATTGCATTAGATTGCATTAGATTGCATTAGATTGCATTGGATTGCATTAGATTGCATTAGATTGCATTAGATTGCATTAGATTGCATTAGATTGCATTGATTGCATACCTGCACACATACATGCATACCTACATACATACATACAGACAGACAGACAGACAGACAGACATACAGACATACATACAGACATACAGACATACAGACATACAGACATACAGACATACAGACATACAGACATACAGACATACAGACAAACAGACATACAGACATACAGACATACAGACATACAGACATACAGACATTGACATACAGACATACAGACAGACATGCAGACATACAGACATACAGACATACAGACATACAGACATACATACAGACATACAGACATACAGACATACAGACATACAGACATACAGACATACAGACATACAGTCATACAGACATACAGACATACAGACATACAGGCATTCAGACATACAGACATACAGACAGACATACAGACATAGAGACATACAGACATACAGACATACAGACATACAGACATACAGGCATACAGACATACAGACATACAGACATACAGACATACAGACATACAGACATACAGACATACAGACATACAGACATACATACAGACATACATACATACATACATACATACATGGTAGTTATCAATTTTATATTTGTATAACACCAGCTAAACATACGTACATATTCTGCAGGGTATCTAAAATTTGCCATGGCCGACTCCATTTCCTTCGTTGACAAGAACAGAAGCTCAGCGACGGCCGAGGCTGGAGCCCCCAAGAGCGCATCACGGCATCCGAAGCTCAAAAACATGAGTGCGCGGGGCATGTCCAGATGAGCAGATAACACCCCTGACGTTGGTTGATGTTTTTCTCGTTTGGGTTGTACTATACGATATTACTATATCATAGATTATCATAGATTGTCAAAGATTATCATAGAATACCATCGATGATCATAGATGATCATAGATGATCATAGATGATCATAGATTGCCATAAATTATCACAGCTTATCATAGTTTATCATTGTTTATAACATATGATCATGAATTATCATTGTTTATCACAGTTTACCATAGATTTTAATAGGTTGTACTAGATTATCATGGACTGTCATAGATTATCATTGTCTATCGTAGTTTGTCATAGATTATCATAGTTTATTATCGTTTATCAAAGTTTATCAACATGTATAATAGATGATCATAGTTTATCATAGTTCATGAACTGCCAATCCCTCGTAAGATCACTAAACAAGCATTGGTTCCAGCTGGTGCTTCGAGCGGTGGTTCCAGCGGGATGGGTCCCAGAAGCCAACCATTTTTGTAAATTCTGGTTATAGTAAGCATCAAAAAGAGAGATTTAGTAAAGTCCTACTCAAAAGATACAAAAATAATGGTAAATCACTTTTCTATCTTTGCCAGGTTGCTATAATGTGGGGCTAACCAGATGGTCATCATGAATAGTTCTTTTTTTGGCTATGCTTTTGATGATGGATATATATATGGGTAGCAGGGGTACAGGTTTCGGACCCATACCCAAATTTGAAATAGAAAGAATGGCAAAACTGTAGGATAGAGGAAATGGCGAGTACATATTGGAAGTCTTGTTCACTTTTTTTTCAGTGATGTGTTTGCAGGAGGTTCTTTGTGGGTAATGTATGCGCACCGCCTTTTCACTTCAAGCATGTATAATATATATATATATATCACACACACACACAATCACATATTTCCAGTTGCAGGCATTCCCCCAGCTTTTCCATGCGAAAAATCGCTCCAGGTATGTGAAACACTACTACCCCCGTGAGCCTCCTCAGCCCCCAGAGCCCTTTGACTGGACCGATTTTGGCCACGGCTTCAGTGACTGCTTCAATGGTGAATTTTCTCTATAATGAATTGTCACTGAATGCCACGGAATCATTCACTTTTTGATATTTTGTCTCTTTATCGATCTTTCTTTTAAATAAACTGTGTGTGTTGAATTTGGTAAACGAAACGGCCCAACGGAACACTGTGGCGTGAGGACCTTTGATGGCTTCAAACCAACGGCGAAGACAGTTCAGGCCTGGTTACCATTTGGGTGTGTCTGAAAACGCGATATATATACATACATACATACATACATGCATGCATGCATGCATGCATGCATGCATGCATGCATACATACATACATACATACATACAGACACACACACACAGACAGACAGACGGACGGACGGACGGACGGACAGACAGACAGACAGACAGACATACATACATATACATCTACATACATACATATACATCTACATACATACATATACATCTACATACATACATATACATCTACATACATACATACATACATACATCTACATACATACATACATACATACATACATACATACATACATACATACATACATACATACATACATACATACATACATACATACATACATACAGACACACACACAGACAGACAGACAGACAGACAGACGGACGGACGGACGGACAGACAGACAGACAGACAGACAGACATACATACATACATACATATACATACATACATATACTCCCAAAGAGCAGTTTACATGGGGAACATGATGATAAATCATTGGATTATGGGGTATCCAATTTTCAGACAAACCCATTCGGGGATGGTTGAAGTCCCACCCATTTTATGGTAACATTGGGAATCGGTTATTATTGGGTTTACCGCATTGCATATGAGCGGGAAAGGATGCTGAAGAGATTTGGCACTGGCTCCAAAAATTGCCGACAGGAATTGGATGTGAACATTGCCCTTTGATGAGACATCCCCAAGAGTCTTCCACTAGTCTTTCTGCACCAACTTTAATGTTCACTAAAGATGGCCGGACTTGTGGTCCTTTTGGCAACTCTTTTTCTGAACCATACCCATTTCTATAGGCAGCTCGTTTGCTGTGTGAATCTCTCAGCTTGGTGGGAGGCGAAGTTGTACGAAGAGCAGCCAGCTCAGGATGGGCGTTGCAGGATTCCAGCGCTCGAAATGAATGGCCAATTCCATTTGCACCTGACTGAATTGGACATGGAACGCACTGATTGAGTTTTGAATTTCAATCTCTCTAGTTGTCTCTCTCTCTATATTTATATAATTTTATATATGTGCACATATGTACATATATATATATATAGATATGATTACAATTGATTACATGTGAATATGTGATTTTACATACATATTATACATACAAATTTTTCCGGTTGAGATTTCCGAGTTGAGATCATTTCGCCGGTCCTGTGAGGTGCGTCAGGTACCATCCCGAGATCCGTGCGCGCGATGGCTTGTCACCGCGCGGAGCTGCCGCTGCAGGTGCGGCGATGGATGGATCAATGCGATGGAAAACATGGGATCTTTAATGGAGTCTGGTGTTTGAATCAATGGGATCATATTTTTTTTGTTCTGGAGTCTTGTTTTTTATTTAATGATTCTCATAGTTTTGAAATGTAGTTCTAAGTTTCATTATAACTCACTGTTTTTTTTGATGGAGGTTATGTTGGGGTAGAGCGGAGATTCAATGGGGAAGGTGGATGGATGCAATAGAACTGGAATATACCCTCTGGTTATTTAACATAGCCATGGAAAATCACCATTTTTAATAGGTAAACCCAGGTAAACCATCTATTTCTATGGGCCATCTATACCATGGCTATGTTAGTCATAACCAGATGGTAAGCGGGGATGTTTGACCAGCCATTTTATGGGGGCATGGGGACATAGCTGGATATATGACCAACAGGTATTGGGTTGTCCAGAGATGGTTCAATTCTGCAGGGATGGTTGTCCCCCGATTTACGGCAATGCTCATTGATTCATGGGGAAAATGATTTTCTAAACCAGGTGATGAAAGATTAGCCTATGGAATGACAGGCGGCCAGATATCAAGCTGCTGTTATCACTTCCCTATTCCCACTTTCCAGTCTGCCAGGCTACCCGAAAGCTGCTGATACTCAGGCAGGCTTCCCTGCTTCTGAAACCACCAAGATCAAAGAACTTCAGGCAAAATGGCCCATAGAAATAGATGGTTTACCTAGCTATAAAATGGTGATTTTCCAGTTCGCAAACTGTTGGTTTACCAGAGGGTAATCACCATATTATCACCATTAATCGCCATATGATCACCATGTGATGACCATTAATCACCATGAATCCTTATATAATAGATTCCATTTTTAGCAGGTAAATCCCAATGGCGGCTTCAGATCAAAGATGGATCACTCGCTATGTCGGTGACCCTCCCAGGTTCGCTCAGATCGATCCCCGAGGCAAGCCCGGGTGATGGATGTTGTGGGATGTTTTGGGCATCAAAATTTGGGGAGTTTTTTGTTGAAAAACACAATCTCTCTTGGGGCACTTTCAGAATTTAAGAATTGTATAAATCATATGTTTATATAAATTACATATATATATGTAATTGTATAATGGTTTAGTTTTGTTTGGATTCCCTTCCCATTTTTCTTGTGTCAAGATGGGGATCAGTTTGACTGCCGAACTAAAAAAAACATGGTCAACTCCCTGGCATGATAGGATATCAGAGCTATCGATCCCCAAACCGGGTTTGAAGATCCATTTACCCCAAAATATCTCTAAATATATTTGGTATTATAGATAGATATCATAGAAAAATATCTCTAAATCTCTTTGGTATTACAGATAGATATCATAGAAATACATTTAAGTCATACTTGAAATGAGTGGCTTTAGCGCCCCCAACTGCTTGATGAGTCCGGTGCTGATACGATCACCTTCCAGGAATTCTCAGCGAGACGTGCCGAGCTCTGTGACATTTTCATTTGACTTCATGGGAGTTGAAAGGGGATTTGATAAGAAGTCAATGCGTTTTTTTTTTAATCGTTTTTTTTTTTCAGAATGAAATTCGGATTTAATGGGACGTCACCAACATCTATGATATCTGGGTGTGTCTGAACGAGGGGTATACCCCAAGAGGGTAATTTTGATGGGAAAATGACGAGCCATTGGATTTGGGGTACCATATTTTCGGACAAACCCATACGTACGTATAATTTGATATCATTGATGTGTACTGACACAAATCAAATATGACACATGAAACTTGTTTCAATGGACTACTTTGAATTTTACTGGAACCAATGATCTTTCTGCAAACAAATGTGGGTTTCCGGTAAATGTTCACTGAAATCGATCCACTGTCTGGATGGTCTCAATCCCCATTCACAAACGAGAGGATTTTTCCACTAATAATCCTATCGTTTTTGTTGCCCCAATGACAATCCAGATATTTTCCCAGATCAATGCGTGTCTTTGGGATTTTCCAATAGGTTGTAGCTCAATATATCCCAATATATATATATATATATCCCAGTATATACATATATCCTCATAACATGGTTACTTATGTCCTGATGTATCACATAAAATGGTTGCCCATGTCCCAGTCTCCCGAGGCAACTCCAACCAGGGCAGCGGCAGCACCCAGATCCATCACACCAGCAAAGAGCTAAGTCTGGCAGGCCAAACGCTTTTGAGGGTCCGTTTCCAAATGATTTTCCTCGCGCAGAAATGGGAATTGAAGTAAGAACCCTTATGAATGCAGTGAGAATAAATTGAATCAATTGCTCAGAAAAAACCATGACTGGTTGGTGGTTTCAAACATTTTTTATTTTCCATAATATATGGAACAATCCTTCCCATTGACTAATATTTTTCAAGAGGGGTTGAAGCCAACAACCAGATGATGTTTGAAACAACTGCAGGAAAGCCATAGTCTTTCACAAAGACCTGTCACCAAGGTGCGGGGTGCGCTCAATGGTTTGGCTCGGGCCTGGAACTGAGTGGTTCACGGAGTGAATCCATGCTGACCTGCAAACATCAGGGGTTTAGAAGCGGCAAAAAAACCAGGCTGAATCAGCCTGAAATTTTCAGCCAACAAAAATGAAGGGATAGGGTCTGGTAATCTAGCCTAATGAAGGGATGGGCCATGGCTCTATCTCCCTCTACGCTATCCCACTACCTCCCAGAAGAATCCAAAACAGGGATGTTCCATGGCTTACACAGCTTATACACCTCCCATAAACAAACCATTGATATATGACATCAGTCATAATTTGTGTCACTCCTAGGACTTGGATCCAAGTTCAAATTCTCTGTTAGCTAAGTCCAATGTAAAAATGTCAAATCAAGTTGGTCGTTTACCCATCTTCTGAGTTTTTATTGGCGACGCGTTTGGGGCACCATTTTCTGTCGATGCCATGATGTTGGCGTTGCCTCAGGCGGCGATGCGTTTCCGCTCCACCACCCCGCCGCCCAATTCCACACCCCGCGGCTCGGTGCGCAGCCAGGCGCAGCCAGTGAAAGTCGCTCGGCCGCAGCAAGGCCGAAGTGGTTTTTTCGGTAACGACGGGGCATCAAGCCACAAAAAACAGGGGTTGAACCTTCAAAATGGGGGAGAGAGCTTCTTGGAATCAAACAAACATGGAGTTTGAAGCAACAAAACTGTGGATGTAACTGTGAATTAAGCATTAAAGATGGGGAATGTTCCCTGTGGTAATCAAACACGGCCATGGAACATCTCCCATATATATATATATATACACTGGTAGGACAAAAGTTGCGCTTGTTGAGCTTCCGACGGTGAACATGTTTGGTTTCTTCTTCTGCACACCCTTTCCCCTTAGAATCCTAGCATGGAGCTTTGTCGTACCCCGGTCGAATTTCCAACCTCCAAAAGCTTTTAATCTTATAGATTTAAAAGCGGGTGATAATTGACAGTCCCACACCTGCCACACGAAATGGACTTGGAAATGTGATCCGCGGTTGACCGAGATGGATGCTTTGTCAAGCTGTCAAGAAGCATAAACTTTTTTCCTCCTGAAGTATATATAATTATATATATGTATATATATATATACGTATGTATATGTACATATATATATATATACATATATATATATATATATATATACATATATATATATTATATATAGACATAGACATTAAATTACTGTATATTACATAGACATTTCTGACTGATTAAACTACGGGATCCCATTGCCATTTTTCAAAATACCAGAGTAACTTTAAAATGTTTGTCACCCAAATGTGCTATTGTCGGATCAATGTCGTGGCCCAAATTCGATGAATGAAAACTTTTCTTGGATGATCCAAGTGATGGCTAAATGGTTGGTAGTTTGGGTCGCTAAAGATGGAATATATATATATATATATGTATTAAATTAGATTAAGATTAGATCAAGATAAGATAAGGTTTGATTAGATCAGACTAGTTGAGGTTAGATCCGGAGACACGGACTAGTCCCCAGAAATTCGATGCCAAAACTTGTGACTTCGTCCCTGAGGCATGAAGCCAAAGCCAAGGCACGGAAAATCCAGGGGAAAATCCGGATGGAACTGGACAAATTATGGGAACATGCTGGAACAGGGGGGCGTGTCCGAGTTTTCTGGAGATTTTCTCAGGAAAAATGGGAACAATCCGAGTTTCCTGTGGATTTGTTCTTGTTGAAAACCGACATTTGCGATGGCACATGGTAGTGGATCCTGTCCCACCCCTCCAGGCACTGAGGCGGCAGTTTTTCCGCTGCGGAATGCGTAGCTTGCGTAGCTTAGCTTGCTCCTTGGCACTCCATAGGAGTGCGACCTGTCTTATGCCAGTGTGAGACTTTGTGCCAAGCACATGCGACAGGTGCGACGCTGTGTGACTTGGGCGGGCTCCTCCTCCTTAATGCATTGGCTTAAGGAACCAGGAGCAGCCTCTTGCCTTTCGGAGGTATCTGCCCAGGCAGTAGGGCAAAGAAACAAAGCTTTGCACTTTACAGTATCAGATTTTGTCGAACATCACCAATGCCCAAACACCCCTGTTGGCTGATCGCTGTAAACTGTAAATGTTTTTTTTTTCATTTTTAGCATGGATTTGTGTACTCCAACATGCGAGCCATATATCAACCTGTCCCTGCGCATCATGCCAACTACGGCACGGATCTATCTCCATGACTCAAGCAGGGAGGTTGGCCTTGGATGAAAAATCAGAGTATCCCAGGGAACCTTAGAAGGAAAGCACACATTTTATCAGAAAAAATCCAAGGTCCTGCAAAGTGTGACAGAAAACCAGCCCAGAGTTGTACAATCTCGATTTGCGTTGCAGCTATGCCTTGCTGCTCGAGTGTTGACTGAGGCTCGGTGCGGCAACATGTTTCGGGCAGAATCATATGGTACCAGCTGAAGGAATCGAGCAGAAGGTCACTTCCCACTTATGAATGGGCTTCCAGCCTTCATAACGCTCACAAGTGCACTTTCCAAGGGTTTGGTACATGTCCCGTGTATGATTTCAAACATCAATAAGTCAGCAAAACAGATGGTACTCGGATGTGCCCAAGAATTGGGCTTTTGACACATCCCAAAAATGGGAGTTTATCCAAGAATAGGGTCCGCCAAGAATTTTACCGGTTTAGCACCATTTTCCGGTGGTAAACTTGCAGCTTTATGCAATTTTGGTGTTGACCTCATTTCTGGTCAGATCTTCATACATCCAGCAATCGATTTAGCTACCCAAATGGCCGGTTATGTATCCGATGATATCCCCGTGATATCCCCAGCCAAATGGCTTGTTTGTCTAGCCCATGACACCAATTCTTCTTGTTGGAAAAGCACCCATGTCCCACATCCACCATTAGTTCCACCATTGTTGCTGGTTGTATACCCATATATTATCACTTTTGTTGGATGAATCCCCACTAATCACAATTTTTGTTTGATATACCGCAGGCTTTCTTGAGCGCCAAACGCGATGCAGTGGCGACCTCGGTGAAATTATGGAAAAGCCATAGGTTTGGTGAAAAAACACGGTGGATTTATATTTCTATGGTGGTTTTATATGGTTTTATATGGTTTTATATGGATTTTCTATTTCTTAATGGTGGATTTTTTTCACCCCAAACCATGGTAGTTTTTTTTTAATGGTTTTAGACCCCCAAGATCTGGATGAACAAGGGATGCAGCAGCAACCAGGACGACCCGTGTGATCATTTTTTTAGGGGTGGTTTCAAATCGTTGAAACAAGATATTTGAATTGTCAACAATATTTGGAATGACGATCCCCTGAATGACACAGACATTTTGGGATGGGTTGAAACCACCAATCAGATCTCCATTCCATGATGATTTGCCCAAAAAACCAGGAGCTTTTCGGGCCTTCCACCAGCGCTCCGTCCCGGGCCAAGGGGTGAAGCCATGGGTTAGCTGCTAGCTGTACTCGCAACAATATGTATGACATATATTGACATATATATATATATATACGTATAGCAACCTTCAAAAAGATGCAGACATATTTGAAGCCTCGAAAAAATGAGGGAAACATCACCGTTTCGCCAATCTGGAAATCCTTAAATCTCACAGGTCCAGCGGGTTTTGTGTCACCCAGTTAGCATGGAGGCATTGCTTCAGTCGTCGCCCACTGGTTGTTGTTTTGCCAGGATTTTCCAGGTCCGCATGCCCAAAATGATTGCTGGTGATTGCTCAAAGCTCTGTCGCAATTTCCGCGCGCTTTGAGCAGTTTTACATCCATACGTGGTGCCAAAAAATCAAGTTATTAACAGTTTATGATGTTTCCTGAAGAATCTTCCCACCATTTTCTGCAGGTGACATGACCGTTTCATTTTCATTTTGGGATTCCGATGAGGATTCCGATGATGTTGGAATTTTCATAAAATGGCATTAGGATGACCAGGCATATACCTAATACATCCTAATGCTATTATCTATATATATATATATATTATGTACGTATGCATCCTCATATATTCCCATCTGGTTGGTGGTTTCAAACATTTTTTATTTTCCATAATATATCGGATAATCCTTCCCATTGACTCATATTTTTTCAAGATGGTTAAAACCACCAACCAGTCCATAAAAATTCCAATGATTAAGCATCATTAACAGCTATTAACCACTATTAACCATGAATATTCCCATGATAATGGTTAATTATTCATGATTAACAGCTGATTAACCCCTATTAACCATCATTAACATGATATTTCCATTAAGTGCCATTCTTGTTGTTTTTTAAGCTGGCTGACCATGGCATCCCAGGCCAAAAGGCCGCGAATTTGGCCACATGGTTTCCAGAGGTGCCCATGAGTCGTTCTGGGAAGCCAATCATATATATATATATAGATATATCATATATATATATATTTCTATATATCCCATAGAGTAACAGGTGGTTTATCTATGTTTATCTATGTTTATATATGTTTATATATGTTCAAATGATTGCGATGACCGTTCATAGCATGTTTCGAAGCCTTTCGAACACATTTTCTTTAAGTGGGCGAAAGTAAGATATTATGAATAATTCTTGTGCACCATATATAACTTACAGGGAGATTTTCGCGAAAGTTCCGCGAAGTTACGCGAAGGAGCGGGCGAAAGTGAAAGTGCATTTTGAAGGGGATGGCCCAGTAGGCCTTACAGATATAAACCCAATAAGAGCGCATCTGCATGTTTACAAGGCTATCATGAAGTATGAAGTATCCATGACAATCTGAGAGGTAGTGACTGAGTCTTCCTAAGAGGTATTGTTGCCCTGGGTCCGGTGAAAGATAAAATTGGAGTTCGCGCTTATATGTAGTAGCTGGATATTCATGTGGAGGCTTCCTAAAAAATGGGGGTACCCACAAATCATCCATTTTCATAGGATTTTCCAACAAAGGGGCACGCAGTGGACATGAACTGACAGAACTGACTGTGTTGTAAAATGTGGAACTTTGCGATTGACGGTGGCTGGCTTTTGGGACGGGGCAAACTAAGAAATGTCTCTTCTTCTCCTGACCAGCATTTTTGGTGCAACCATAATAAATAATACAAATGTGGGTAAAACCATGATAAACCATCCATTTGGGAATGGTTTATACCACCTATTTATGGTGATGATTGGGGGATGGTTTATTGCATTGTTTTACCCACATTATTTCCTCGGTGTTTTTTTCTGCCAAATTCCGCTGTTCTGCTTCTCGTATCAAGGGACGGGCATTTGTCAAGTTTGGGTACGTGCGCAATGCTACGATATCACCATCCTGGCTTATGTCATTGGCATTGTTGAAACCCTCTATTGTCAATGGGAATTTCAGGATCCTAAAATGGAGGTACTGTACCATATAAGGCCATATTTTGGGGGGATATTCCCTTACATAGGCCTTACATAGGCCTTATATATGGTAGGTACCTCCAATTTAGGTTCCTGGAATGGCCATTGATATTGGTTCATTTTTTTTGTTCAACTTTTTTTTTTGCATGGAGGTGTTGGCAATCTCTGGCGCACCAGAGGATGACGACTCGGGGGGGGCATATGGCATCTATTTGGAGAACCCTTTGGTGGTAGGCGGGTCAATTTTGGGCAAAAAACCAGAGGACCAACAGATACACTGCATTTTTTTTGGATCAGTTTGGCCCCAGCTTTCAGACCCTGAGAACCGCCAAATTTTGAATTGCAAAAATTGTTTTTTTTTTTCCTACCCCCAAAACAGCCAACAACTATGGTAGGTGGAGGGATGGTATAACCTTCTTGGGCTCAGAGAAGCCATCTCAAGGTCTGGTGGAATATGTTGGATCTATTCAATCTATGGGTTCCCTGGGATGGGAATGAACTATTGGGATGGCATGGATAAACTATTTCAGCTGTTTTTAGCAGGATTTCCAGTTAGAAGTGAAGAAATGTACCAGAGGTTGGCGAATTTCTGCACCTCAACTCAGCTGGAAGGAGAATTTCTCGGGGGCGCATCTGCACGTCAGTGAGAGTTCCACATCCAAGACGCTTGAGGTGCGATGCAACGGATGTTGGATCCAGCCTGATTTCAGCGGCATTTCATGGCATCCGGAATCAATTTTGAAGGAAACCACCGGCAATGGAATCTACGGAACACGCTTCTTTGCACCAAGCAATGATGGTTTTCAGAGATATCTTGCCCATGGCATTCTCGTGCTGTGATTCAGTGCAATTTTCTCACCATTGCCTTCGGCGCAAGGTGATACTTCCAAAGAAGAAGCAACCTCAAAAATCAGAGGCTGGTAATTTCACTAGAAAGGTAGTTAGGTGGTGGGAAGATCATTACTTGGCCTGTTCATAGTGTCAAACTTCATGCATGCGGTTTCGAGCGTTTATACGGAAAACAACTGTCCTTTTTGAAGAACGGTTGCAAAACCAAAGCATGTCTCAGATAATGTTCCTGTGTTTGTTCAATATCAGCAAAACATGCCTGCATGAAAGGCTGCAGTTTGGTCAGCAACAGAGGTACTCCACATGCAGTGACCTGTTTGGGTTTAGTTGTGACATCCCGGTTCCATTGGCAGGACCATTTCAAGGGTTAGCCATCCATTTCAACGGTTTAAATCACCATTTGAATGGTTCAAGCACATTTTGTTCACGCAACAAAACACATCCTCCCGCCAGTATGAGGGAGCTCTAATTCTCTCCCCTAACAATAGACACCCAAAAAGATTTGCTGTTGTATATTATTTAATATACAGTAATATAATGTAATATACAATATATATATATATATTGTGCATCCATTGATTTTGCAGTCCCATTCAGATGTGTTCATTAGGAGGATCGTATTGATATCATTCACACACACACATATCCATCGGGTTCCCATTATCCATTGCCAACTACAAGGTGGGGCGAGCTGTATGTTGCCATCCAACTTAGCGATCAAAATCACAATTCAATCACCATTAAATCCCATTAAATCATCATCGTAATCCACCTTTTCCCACTCCCACCTTTGTGGACCTCCACATCAAACACGCGCATGGCATGAGATTCAGGCTCTCGGGCAAGGCGTTCAGGAGCGTTTGGAACGACTCGATAGGCGGGATGGGCGGGCCTTGTGAAGCAGCGTGACGTGAAAATGGTAATAGGAATGATAGGAATGGTAAATATCATTAGATGGTTCAACGGATTGGTTTGTTGTGGTAAAATCGGGATTTAGTGGGATTAGTAATGGCATGTAGTGAGACTAGTAATGTGATTTAGTGAGATTAGTCATAGGATTTAGTGAGACTAGTAATGGGATTCAGTGGAAATGGATGGAAATGGTGACAATGGTGATAGGAATGGTACAGATCACTAGATGGCTCAATGGATTGGTTTCTTGGGGAAAATCTGACCCCGGAAACCATGGTTCTTCCCATTCAATGGTGGATGTAGACCGATATTTCGGTAGTTGGGCTTGTTGGGGAATCTTTGTATCCCCATTGGGTCCCCTGCGAACGCGAACTGTTGACGCTATCCTGAGGTTCAGGTGTGGCGATCGCAAGGTCCACATGTCTAGCCAAGGTCAAGTCTTTACGCATGCTTGGTGCGCTTTTTGACTCTTCTGGTTTCAACGGTCGCGTTTGTTTGTGTCCCTGTGCGCTCAGGATCTTGCGACCCTATTTGTTTTTCACCGCGACTTTCATCTCTGCGGGTGCCTGCATTCAATCAATTTTCGGCAAAGGTCCGCTCGCTCACGAAACACTTGTCGGCGGGTGCACCCGGTCTCACACGCGAGCGTGACTTTGAGACGAATGTCCCAGAATGTCCCCCATGAACCTACTCCGATGTTCGAAACCATAAGAAAACGCATGAGAAGCTAATCATATCGGAGTTTTTTCGGGACCCCCACTGAATGGAACGTGTCAAGCAATGGGTATAGGTCAAAATTTTGGAGTCAGACCACAGATAATGGTGATATAATTAATTCGGATATAACGAGGACGTAAGCAACAATGTGGTAATTAGGGATTTATCCATATTTATCCAATGAGTGATGGAGATGGATCTATCCATAAATGTGGTATGCCCGCAAAGCGCAAATTGAATGATGAAAATGACGAGAATGATGGTAGACTACAGCCGAAACATGATTAGGGTTCCGCCTGAAATTCAGCGGTATGTTCATGGAGATACAACCAACTCCCCAAGGTGACCCTCCTAATAGATGGTTAATATTTTTCGCCCTTTCATAGTATTTATAATTGTGGTTGTTGGTGGTTGAGACTTGCCCTTAAATCCAAGCATTGTTGGGCGGGTCACCGAAATGAGGGTGGTTGCTTCCAATTCCTCACTGAGATATCGAATCCTTGGTGAACAAAAACAAAACACTGCACTCTGCCAACAACCCCTACAGGCTTGCAGCGGACTTTGAATCGCTGACCAGCCAACTGCAGACGTTGAACAGCGCTGCCATGCGTTGGAGCCTCGGTTTGGGTCCTACCGAATCGCGTGGCATATTTTGTGGCACCACCGACCACCTCGAATTGCGAGATTTGGACATGCGAATCTGGCGGGTGTTTTCGGGTCTTGTTGAATTATATGCCCCAGTTGATTGTTCTTTTTCTTTGTCGAACGCTCAACCAATCAGTCAATCATCAATGTTGGCCAGTACATCCTTATGATGTTAAATTATTATCATCCCCATTCACAGGGATAACCCTGAAACCTGTGAACCACTGCGATTTTTCAAACTGGCACTTGTTCAAAATTCGGGCAATGGCCATTTATATAATGGAGTTTCATTTGGACCATGTTGAGAATCCATTGGAATTGTGTTTTTTTTTCCATGATTTTTCAGGCAATCCCAACTGGACCCGCTGGGTCAACCAGTCAATGGGGCGGTATCTGACCAGGCCCTGGGTATTTGTTTTTGAGGCCTTCAAAGAGAGGCGGTGGAGGAATCGTTGATGCCTCAGCACCAGACCAGGTTTGCAGTGCGGGTTGCAGATGGGTTCCTTGACTCACCAAAAATGTGGATTTTATCAACCGACATCAGGATTTAACCATGAAAAATATGGAGATTTAACCATGGAAAAAAAATAACCAAGCATTTTATAGGAATTTCGCCAACTAGATTTTGGTTCTGATATAACCAACAACTGGCAACACGGTGGTGATGGGGGTGGTGGTGGTGGTGGTGGTGGTGGGTGGTTACCCATTTGTAACACCTACACGTGCGGAAAGCGCCATGTTGCCATGTTTCAACAGAAACATGTACAATACTGTATACAGTAAGTATATATATATACACATAATATAATATAATATATAATATATAATATATAATATATAATATATATTATATATTATATATTATATAATATATAATATATAATATATAATATATAGTATATAATATATGATATAATATATAATATATAATATATGATATATAATATATAATATATAATATATAATATATAATATATAATATATAATATATAATATATAATATATAATATATAATATAATATATAATATAATATAATATAGTATAATATAATGTAATATAATATAGTATAATATAGTATAATATAATATAATATAAAATATAATATAATATAGTATAATATAATATAATATAAAATATAATATAATATAATATAGTATAATATAGTATAATATAGTATAATATAATAAAATATAATGTAATACAATATAATATAATATAATGTAATACAATATAATATAATATAATGTAATATAATATAATATAATGTAATATAATATAATATAATATAGTATAATATAATATAATATAGTATAATATAATAAAATATAATGTAATATAATATAATATAATATACTATAATATAATGTAATATAATATAATATAATGTAATGTAATGTAATATAATAATATAATATAATATAATATATAATATAATATAATATAATATAATGTAATATAATATAATATAGTATAATATAATATTATATAGTATAATATAATATAATATAATATAATATAATATAATATATATATACATACATACATATACACATAACATATGTATATACATATAAATTATTCGTTTTCCAGTGCCGGGGGAAGAAGCTATTTTTCAAGGTACCATCGGGTTGCCACGGGCCAGCGACTCACAAGGTCGATGGGAACTCGACTGGATGCAGCCACCGATGAGGCCGGCGCGGTCGGGAAAAAAACGGTTTGTGTTGAAATGGGCAAACAAGGAGTATTATATTACATTATTATAGAGGATATAGAAGAGTAATACTCCCAAAAACGGTTATAATCCCCAGAGTATAATATAATATATTAATAATCCCAAAAAAATATAGAAGAGTAATTGCCAAGGATAATCCTGGTAGGATCTTATTTTTCTATCTTGTTGGGTTGCTAGGGTCCCCAATATGATGAAAAACCTGGCATTCGATTCCTGGTCAGATTAGTGGTCCGAACACCCCGGCATCGTGGCAACGTCTGGATGTGCATCCTATAGGAAGTGAATGGAGAGCAAGCAATGAGAAGCTGCTGATAAGCTATCTGCATACATATGTATGTATAATTATATATATATATACACACATTACAACTTGTACACATACACTATATTAGTGGTGGGTATATCTCGTATGTCGCTGGGTCATACAGCAGGTCAAGTAGGTGCCATTGCTTCAATTGATGTACTCACGGCTTGTTCAAAATGGATGTAACTTTGCCTTGGCTTGTTCCTCCACTGATATAAGTTGCATGGTTTCATGTTTTTTTTTTTTTCAATGAATATATGTTTCATGTTTTGTTTGTGACAGTAAAGACTTTTCGAAATCAATTTTTCCAATGGTTCGTTCGGATCCTCAAAGAATGGCCTCTTTAGGATCCCTTCGATTCTTACCCGGAAAATCATCCATTTATAGATGGATTTTCCATGACCCTCTGGTTATGACTAACATAGCCATGGTATAGATGGCCCTAATCGAAATAGATGGTTTACCTAGCTATAAAATGGGTGGATCTTTCCATGGCGAACTGTGAATGTCATAACCAGATGGTAACCACTATTAACCATCATTAATCACTATTAACCACTATCAACATCTATTAACCACTATTAATCATTATAAATCACTATTAACCACTATTAACATCTATTAACCATCCAGCTATTGGGGATCGCTCCGCAGTTGTTGAAATTGACCGAGATCTTGAAGGCAGTCAGTTGGCGATTGGGATCACCTGGGGATACCCTGATTGTAAGATATTGTAAGTTGTGTTTGTGATATACCTTCAATTTGATGGGTTTTCGTTTTTTTTTTTTAAAGTAAAAAGAATGCTGCTTTAAAGCATGTTTTTTTTTATGGATTTTATGGGTACCTGGACATCCTGGGGATAATATGATACAACCAACCAATAGTGGGACAGATGGACGATATACAGCCCCTTCCAACAGATGGTTTAGGCTGCTAAGAGCATTTGTAGGTTCATTGGTACCCCATTTTGATCGCCAAATCCATATAATTATATATATATAAGCAATTATATAAAACTGAGAGACACCAAGACTTGTGTTTTTGTTTCCAATTTTGCGTGTGTTTTTTTGTCCATTGGTGACTTTGGTGGTGGAATTTGGTTTCATTCTGGATATGGGGGCTGGTCTGAACCAAACTGCGATGATGATCCCAGATTGATTATGAACTGAGTGCAGGAAATCATGGTTCTTGCCAGTACCCTCTGGTAATTTAACATAGCTATGGAAAATCCATTATAAATGGAGGTTTTATTGGGAAAATCATCTGTAAATGGGCCATTTTCCATAGCTATGTTAAATTACCGGAGGGTAATTTACACGGTTTTCTGTGAACATCCAAATCAAGAAAGCCTTGGATTGCGACCCATCTAGACATAGCTGACATAGATTTTCTTTTTTTCCAATCAACTCTACTATATGGGGTTTCCTAAAATAGGGTACCCCCGAATCATCCATTTTTTTTGGTGGGATTTTCCATGAAATAAACCATCCAGCTATTGCGGTACGCCCATTTATGGAACTCCGCATATGGCAGTGTGTCAAAACCTTGTACCCCTGGTGAACATCAAAATAGCTGGTAAATGGATGTTCATCCCACTAAAAATGGTATTAATAGGTATTGATCCATACCCATATAACGAATGATGTTTCCCTGGCATTTCGCTTGAGAAAGCCTGCATTTCTGCCAGGCCAATCCACTGAAGGCAGCTCCCCAACTTCCGAACGATTCGCCCAACGAAGGTGCAGCTAGCGATGTTGGTCGCCGACTGCAACCATGAAAAGATGGGGATATGATGATATGAATGGTTTTATGTGGCTTGAAAGTTGACATGTTTTTTTTCTATGTTTTTTTTTCTGGTTTTATATGTTTTTCTATTTTTTTTTCCCCATGGTTATTTCAATGGTTTAATAGAGATAATCATGGGAAAAGAAACGATAATAGTGGGATAATAATGGGATATTAATCGTATAATTTCCCTCCGGTGTCATCAAACGTGACTGGCTGCAAAATAAATGGAGGTTTATAGCTAGGAAATTCCTCTATAAATGGAGGTATTCTCCTGCACGCCATGTTTGAGGGGGGAGGATAACTGATATAACTTATAACCAACAATTCGTAGGACACGACCTCCATTTTTTGGTTCCTGGATTTCCCGTTTTTCAGCTGCTAGTTCTGGATGTTCTCACAACAATGTCTTGACATAAGTTTTGACTTAGTAAGTGGTTTATAATCCATATATAAGCTTTTTTTCACGATTTTACTAAAGTGGCATCTAAAGTGGGGCCCGCACCCCAAGTAGGGGACATAGTTCTGGGTGCAACTCTGGTTCCGATCACAATACGGCAGGATTAGCTTAGCATATGGAATGGATAATTCTTGCTGGAGAATTACCATTTTGCAGTCTCCGATGAATTTCCAATTTTGGTTGACGGGTGGCATAGTAATATCCCCATCTTCGTTGGTAAACATCCTAAGTTTGGGTGATCATATCCACACTTTTTGGTCGGTGAAAACCCAATCTTTTCGTTCGTGAAATCTCCAATTTTTGGGGTACCCTGGGATCCCTGGGACGCCTGAGACCCCTGGGACCCCCAAAAAAGTCCACCTCACCCACGAAAAAAATCGCGCAGGTTGTAGCCTGCCCCCAGCCGAAGCGGAAAGCACGAAGGCTCCGTTGCAAGCCCAGGTACGCCAAGGAATGCTGGACGTGGGATGACGTGGGGGACTGGAGTGTATACGTATGTAGTGGTGATTTAACCAATGTCTCTTAGGGAGTGATGTGGGATTTAACGGATTAATTAATGGGATTTATGGGATGTAAGCAAGAAAGATGGTGACTTCACCGAGAAAAATGGTGGCAGAATTGGGAACATGATGGACATAGCATGGGATACACAACCAACAATATCAACCTCTTGTTGCTTTGATCGCTTCTTCACATCCTAAGTCCTAAGTTTGCAGGCACCCCGCGAAGCAAGGCGCAGCCTGCATTGCATCGTATGTTTCATGGGGTTGAGACCTCAAAGCCATTCTCCAAAATGGGGTGCCAATGGACTGGTCATAGTGGAGGTATCGATTTTGGATAAAGACATTCTTGTTGTGAATTTGGAGGTACCGAATTTTGGAGCTAGAAAACCATCCATTTTTTTGGGGTGTGTCCGTAATTTTGAGCCACACCCGGTCGATTGGAGTGGCCAGCCACCATGGAGTTGCCACCACCCTTGATGGTACCCTTGAGAGTACATGGGGATATCCCAAAAACATGCGAACAAAATATGATGAACCACAAAACATGGGTACGATTTGTACGCCCGTGCTATTTTGTGATGCCGCCTTAGCTCGCTGAAAACAGCCTTGTCTACAGAGCCATCACTTTGTTTGTCGACTTGTGCTGGGTAACTTGGACAGATAAACATCTGCAAGGCTGCGAGAATTTGCCAAGATTCATATTGTTGCGATAGCGTTCCATATCAATTTGATGCTGCTCCGTTGTGATTTCCCAGCTGTTTGACAGCATTTGTTGGCAACGTAGAAGCAACATGAAACATATGACTTTGTCTTAAAATAGTGAAACCTCCAAACCTGGTGGTGAATCATCATTTTCCCAAAAAGACATGACCATAAATCTGGGGGTCATCCCCGTCTTCAACAGAGTCACCCTGTTCCAATGGGCCCTTGATGCCATGGAGAAGCTTATTGCTGCGCTAGCAGAGACCCTTGGCCAGCACAGCTAGTTGCTGACCCAGGAATTAGTTAAGCCCTCTGCTCATTAGTCTGGGCAAATTATAGTGACCTCACTGTGACCTCAGATTAGTAAGGGGAGTTATCCCAATATAGCCTTAAATGAGGTAAATGACTTATTATAATTTACCCAGATTAATAGGGGGTATGAAGCAACAGAGTTTTTTCTGATGAACCAGGCTGCCATTGGCTGACAGATGGTGTGGACTAGTGAGCATTTCTAATCAACAAAATTAAATGAATCTCTTCCCCCGTTCATAGTGAACACCCCCTTTTTCAGTGGTCCCAAATTATGTGGTTTTCTCCCCTTCAAAACCAGTTCTTTTTCTTGGGATGTTGAATATTGGGGGATGGGATTAATGTCCATTTCAGCTAGGCGGGAACCCCAAAGTTTGGTGCTTTGTCGTCATTTTCTTCATTAACATGGCCATCAATTTGAGCATTCGCATTTCGAAAACAACACGCACACACACACATACTACATACGTATATATATATATACATATTATATATATATATACATATTATATATATATATATACATATTATATATATATATACATATCCACAAACATATATATATAATATGCATACCATTGCATTCATTGATTCATTGATTCATTGATTCATTCATTCATGCATGCATACATACATTACGTTCCATTGCATTCCATTGCATTCCATTACATTCCATTACATTCCATTACATTCCATTCCATTACATTCCATTACATTCCATTGCATTCCATTACATTCCATTACATTCCATTACATTCCATTCCATTACATAACATTCAGTTACATTCCATTGCATTCCATTGCATTCCATTACATTCCATTACATTCCATTACATTCCATTCCATTACATAACATTCCATTACATTCCATTACATTCCATTACATTCCATTCCATTCCATTACATTCCGTTACATTCCATTACATTCCATTACATTCCATTCCATTCCACTACATTCCATTCCATTCCACTACATAACAACATACGTACACACACACACACAACTTACATATGTATATGTATATATATATATATATATTATATTTTTCAGATTTTTCAGATTTTTGGCTGTTTAAAGCCCGAATTCGCTCCATATCCCCATGATCTCGCCATTTTGCGGCCAAAGCCGCAGGAAGTTGCCGGCGAATGCGGGTCGCACCACCGTGGAGGACGAGCAACCCCCCCCCCAAAAAAAACAGGTGGTGATTAAACAGATATATATGTACATATATATATATATACACACTCCAGGCGTTGATGATGATGATGATGATGATTATTATTTTTATTTATTATTATTATCATTATTATTATTGTCATTATTATTATTGGTTTTATTTTTATTGTTCATGTTTACCAGGACACAGTAATGATCGTGAAGAAAAAACGAGCGTAAATTTCGACAGACCAGTGTGGTCGGCATTTTTGGGCATCTCTCGCTAGATGCTTGTGCTCTTGTACTCAGCACCCCTTTCTTGCGTGCAGTTGGCTTTCCGCGCAGCTGTGGATGCATTGCCGAAGGCAGGTGAGCAAAGCAAGAGCAACAGTTGAAGCTTTTCATGGCCTAGAAAGGGATGAACAGCAAACAATCTTTGGATTTCAACATTATAAATCATATAATATATGCAAGACTTTTGCTTTATCAGATGGTTTTTATTGTTTTTCAGAACCAAAACTGGATCACTGCAATCGCTGCACCCGGCTGATCTCAGTTCCTCTGTTGGCTCCGGCGTCCACTGCTCCCCCGTTTTGCTCAGTCGAAGCTTCGAAATAGCGCGCTATTGAAGCAGGTCTGGAGCTGGAGGTTTCGGATTGGGATGTGATGTTTCTCAAAAGCATCGTATGTACTGGATTTAAGATTTTAATTGTCAAACACGGGGACTTAAGAGGATATATATATATATAATGCGATGTATCTATATGATATCAACCAACAACAGAATTGCGTAGTATGGGTTTGAACTATCAAACACCGAGATGTTAACCAATCATTCTTATAGGTGTGTAATGGGAATCAACGGAATATCACGTGGATGCCCTGATTACTGACTCATATTTGGGGTCCCAATTTACAGATACTTTGGGGTCAAAACCACCCAACCAGGATAGATTTTGCTTCCATTGGTTTAGGTCTGAAGTGTTCTTGCAAGTCGGCAGTTGTGTTTCTTGGTGCATTTTTTTCCACTGCCCCTGTAGTTCAGGCTTTATGTCTGGACCAAAGTGTGTGGATTTGTCTGAGGAATTCATATAGAACTTACGTAACACAAGATCGTTGAAAAGGCATGTAATTTTCATCATGTGTGCCATGGTTGAAGGTTATCAAATAATATATTATATATAAAATATATTATATATATATATTACACATAATATATATTATATATTATGTATTAAATGATATGATATTATATTATCTTTATGTATTATGTATATTATATTATGTGTTATGTATATATTATATTATATTATATTATATTATATTATATGATATTATATTCTATTCTATTATACTATTATATTATATTATATTATATTATATTATATTATATTATGTATTATGCATATATATATATATTATATTATATTATATTATATTATATTATATTATATTATATTATATTATATTATATTATATTATATTATGTATTATGTGTATATATATATTATATTATATTATATTATATTATATTATATTATATTATATTATGTATTATGTGTATATATATATATTATATTATATTATATATTATATTATATTATATTATATTACATTATATTATATTATATTATAATATCATATTATATATTATATTATATTATATATCACATATTATATATTATACATTATATATTATATATTATATATTTTATATTATATACTATATACTATATACTATATATTATATATTATATATGAAATATTATATACTATATATTTTGTACTATGTATTATGTACTATGTAATATGTATTATGTATTAAATATGATTATAATATATATAATATATCATAAATATTATGTGAATAGCATGCAGACCAAGGTACACCAGCATTTGGAACATGTAATTCAAGTGAGAGGCAGCTGACTTCAAGCCGTCCGCTGCCCGGCTCAAGATCCGCGCCCCATTGCAGATCGAGGAAAAAGACTCAGCAGACGGCATTGCTTTCGAGGAGAACTCCAAGGACAAGGACTTAAGGACCGAGGCCTACACGGACAACAATAGGACAACAACCTATTCACAGGTTATCAGCCGCAGGCTCTCCCTTTTGAGCCTACGGTGGTCCCACAAGAACATCCTCATCGGCATCTAGGTCTTCCTTTCCTGCCCTTTTACAAGTCATCGACCTGCATTAAACGGAGGTGGACTGCCGAAAAGTGAAGAGATGTCGCAACAACCTCAATCGAGCAGCAACGAGACGAACTTTTCCTTTGCAAATGCAGTTCCTGCTCAGGCGATCAACGACACGCCTGGATCTGCAGAAAGCGGGGGCGGCGGTACGGTCTCGTACCGAGGGCCTGAATTCAAATAGCTTCATGCAGAACTGGTTCCTTACGAGGAAGTGCCAACAGGTCGACGTCGGCAAGATCTCCTCGCTCTACGAGAACCCGTGCTCCAGATACCGGTGATGCCAGTGGCCGATGCCCGTCGGGCGCGGCCACGCGGGAGGGTGAGGTGAGCAAATCTGCAACCTCATCCAAACGCAAGTCATCTGGTAGTGCGGCAAGGAACGAGAGCGAAACACGACTTCGACGTCAACTACAACACAACATCGACAAGCTGTAAAGAAGTGAACAAGCTAGGACTGAATTGGAAACAGATAGACTCTATATCAAGATGCTCTTGTACATCGTGATCAGATGATTAACAATGTAGAGGTCTATTCTCACCAACATCATGAAGAATATCAGGAACATGTCAACTCAGAGATGGAATTTATGAGAAACTCCCTCATTACAGCATACAACCTACTGGACGAACAATCCAATGCTCTGGCCGAGGCACATCTTATGGATGAAGGATCAACCCAGAGTATCTACGAGCTTGGACAACGTGGCGAACTCGCAGAAGCAGGTGCGGCTCACATCGTTCAGGAAAGTATGGCTATGAGGAGACGGTATCACTCTGAACTGGAGAATGCATCGCAACTTCTTCGAGAACAACAAGAACAGTCTGAAGCCATGGCGAATCATTTTCGTCAAGGCGGGCTACAACTACGTGAAGCATGTGCACAGTACGTCAATGAGAAGGAGATGGCGAACAAAGAAGAGATGGAACTCTTGAAACAGAAATTGGTAGAGAGTTCGCAGATGATGGTTGCCAATAATGAGATGGTCATGGAACATGGTCAACGAGCTGTTGCACTACGAGATGAACGAGTGGCGGAGATGCAAACAGCCATCAATGAGCTAACAGCAAGTCTGACAAGGAAGGATGACATCATTGCCGCAAAGGACAGAGCAACACGTGATCATTTCGCGAAGGTTCAAGACATGACGAAAGTGGCTCGTCAGAAGGATGATGAACATCTATGGGAGAAAAACAGACTTGAGGTGGAGATCAACCATCTTATGATGCTAAACGAGAACGAGATTGCTTCGAAAGAATGGTATGAGAATCGGTTCACGGATGAGAAGGCCAAGGACCGACAGTTCAGATACACTGAACTTCAGGTATTCAAGGATAGAGAGGTCAACATGGAGGCTGTCAAGGATGAGTTCATGGATGAGAACATGAAGTTGATCGAGTCGAACAATCAACTCCGATCCCGAATTGCCGAGCTCATTGGATCACGATTCGGCACTGGCGGTGACGAGGCCAATATCAAGGTGATCGGGGAGTTGAAGGACGAACTTCACAGGGCGAGCCAAGAGATTCATCGACTTCAAGAAGGGATAGAATGTAACCCCAACTTGACAGAGGCACTCGTCAACGCAGAAGAAGCGGAAGCGGACAGATGGAAAAAGATGTATCAGACAGCTTGTGCTGAGCGTGATGCAACAATCAGGAAGAATGACTCTCTGAAGCTATCACTCCATGATGCCAAGTGGGCTATGAAATCAATGCCGGCCTCGTGGAACACGGTGGCTCCAGCTGCTTCCGTGCCTGCATCGCCATCAGCCTTGCCTCCTACAAATTTAGCTCCGCAGACGTTGACATCCACAGCCAAGACCCCTTCATTCGCAGTATCAATCTCGACACCTAAAGGGACTCCCAAAGCTTCATCATCGACAAAGAATCATGGATTCGCACTACCACATCCTCCAAGTGTGAGTAGCGCCATTGACAATAAGGCCAGCAATGGGATGGATGATCTTCGTGAGAAGCTTCGTTTGTCTGAAGAACGAGCTCAACAGAACTATGACGAGATGAACGAATACCAAAGTTGGCTACAACAGGTGGAAGAGGGCCAAGAGACGTTGAAGGGAGCAATTCCCTGTCCTTTGTGCTATCTCGGTGGGCCTTATTTCTGGCAAACCCAGACTGTCATCGCTTAGGCCAGTCACAGACGAACATATTCTCCTATCAGATTTATTTATTCAGGGTCCCCATTGTAACCATAGATGAATCAACTGACTGGGACGATGAAGAACTGCCAATTTTCCACTTGGGTTCGCCCCGGAAAATGGACCCCACCAAGTGTCAAGTTTCCTTTGGGAAACTCAGGGAAAAGCTATTTTTCGGGGGACTTGGTGGGGTCCGTTTTATACACTTTGAAGGGGCCAAGCAAAGTGGCAAATTGCCGTGAAGAACCATGGACTCGCGAGAATCAGCATTTGGTGCAGCTCACCGGCCCGTGTTATCATTTGGATTGGCAGCCTGGCGGATGCAGACTTTGTAACCTTTTGTTTTGGCTTCGGCGCCGCGCAGAGCGAAGCCATGGAGTAGAGAAAGGCATGGCTTGGGTTAGGTTTGTGAAACCGCCTGCGGGGGAGATTTGGATCTACAGCTGCTTGAACCCTCAATGTATTCTAAATATTATAGAATATATTATATATTATATTTTTTTCCTGAATCATATTATTTTTTATTTGTAGAAAAAATTATAGATGAAATTATTTACTATATTATATTTGATATTCTATGAAATATAATATTTGATTTTATGCATTATATTCTGTATGGTATTATATATTTTATTACAATATTTACTTTATTTTACTTTCTATTATAGTAAATAGTTTATTTTTTTAATGTTATATTATATATTATGTTACATTATGTATTACATTTCATATTTTAATTTCTAAGAATATAAAAATATGATATATTGTATTTTTTTGCAAGTATATAATATTTTGTTTTGATTATTTTTGACGATATTGTATCTCATATAATTTATTATATATATATAGTTAATTGTTTTTTGTATTAGATTATATACATTATATATTTTTAATATTATATTTGATTATATATATATATGCACATTATATTGTTTGTATGATTATTTATCATACTATTTTTTTAAATTATTTTATATTATATAGTATTTTCTTGTATAACATTACTATATTTTATGATATTATTTCATGTAATAGTATATTACATAATTTTATTAAGTTATTTTTTTTGAAATAATCTAATATCATACAATACAGTATAGTATAATATAAAACACCATTTAATGTTTTTTTTTTTAAATATGATACAATATTTTAATATAATAGAATATAATTTAATAAAATACATAATACAAGATTACATCATATTACATCAAATTATATCATATTATATTCAATAATATGATATATTATAGTTTATATTGTATTATTATGATTTAATTATATATGTATATATATAATAATAAATATATTTGATATATAATTTTTAATATAAGACATATCTTGTATTATATATGATATTTTATATATTATATTATATATTATATATTATATATGATATTTTATATATTATATATTATATATTATATATTATATATGATATTTTATATATTATATATTATATATTAGATTTTATATATTATATATATTATATGATATTTTATATATTATATATTATATATTAGATTTTATATATTATATATATTATATATTATATTATATGTTGTTTATTATATATTGTATATATTGTAACCGTATTGGGGGCTCGTCATCCAACTATCACTAGGGGCTAGTATGTATGCCCAGTACATACCGACATAGAATCCCCATGATGGGATAGATGACCATACCTCATATACCCAATATGTATATAACATGTGATCTCCCAGCAGCGATGTTGATCCCCAAGTCACCTTGGTTGTTTCAATGCTAAGTCATGATCATCCAAGACGGCTGGATGATAACTGGGGGCACCACCATGACTTGGGAAACCTCCACATCTAGGGCTGAACATGATCGTCTTTCATTTTTTCGGATGGACACGAAAAACGACACAGGTTTTTCCAGGGTCCTTTTGTAGCCTTTTTTGGGCCCCAAAGTGGCAGCAGCGTTTGACTTCATTTCCTCAGGACCGTTTGATTGCTCGTTTGGTGGCCCTGGTTCGAAAGAAAAAAACCGAAGAAATTCCAGGCCCTGGGTTGACGGGGAAGAAAACGTTGGGTCACGGGTTGGTTTGGTTGAACAATTCCAGAAAAAAACCATATATGGATAATCTATGATAAACTGGGATCCTTGGGGTTAAACTGCAAAATTTCTCTGAAACCAATCCAATAAACAAGGGTCTATGTGAAGATTTGGCATAACCCTGATGGAACATATGATTAACTATGAATTCTTGGGTACTCTATTTTCAGACAAACTCACATGTTGCAATGTGGTAAATCATGGTAAATTCAATCCCACACTGTACAACAATTTACCCAATTATTCTCTATATTTTTTGGGGCATCAACGATGATTTATGATTGGGGGTTTATTATTGGGTTTACCGGCCCATCCTTCCATAGTAGCTGGTGCCGAAAAATATCAGGAGTCTTTCTTGGGTTTCCTTGGGTCTTGATTCTTGGCCCATATTCATTTTGTTTGAATCCCCGAAACACTGTATCCAAGGTACACACCTTGTAGCATTTCCGGCCCCTCCTGTTTTTCCGTGATTAATGGTCCATTATTACCATAGTCATTTGATACCCATTCACAAGTGTTATTCCCATGATTTCCCCCGCATTCAGTATGGGTAATTTCCACCGCCCCAAAATGGGGGTCAATACTGAGTTGAGCCTGGACGCGAAAACCCGGGAACGGAACCCTGGAACCCTGGAATGCCTCAAGCTACTGGTGGCTTGGAAAGCTGGGTTGATGAATGGTTTTGGTGTTTCTGTTTATTTCTTAAACCATCGTTTATGCGGGCAAAACCCTCAGGTCTTGGACAGATACCCCTCCCAACACGTTGATTGCCAAAACTATGTGTTTCTTGGTTCAAAACCATTTTGTTGGTGAAACAACATTTTGCGTGAACATTTTTTTTTCAGGACAAGACCAGCTTCCGTTAAATCCACTATATTGTCGGTAAACATCCCAAACATGGATGAATCACCTATTTTTTTTTGCTTAAACCACCATTTTTCGTTGTTGAGCCTTCTATTTTTGATCATCATAGCCTGTTTTTAATTGTCATATCCAAATTTTTGTTGGTTAAATCAACATTTTTAGTGGTAAAAAACAAGGATTTGATCAACCTCTCTACCCTTCCAGGAGAGGCTGAGCCTGAGGTCGAGGACCAGGAACCAGGCGAAGTGCCTTGAGCAGTGGATTTCAGCCAAGAAAGGTTGGGATGTAATCAGCAATTGCGATTTATCTATGTTTATCTATATATTATTTGTACTTATCTATATTTATCTAATGAACACCAAGTAGGATCTAATCAAGACGATATCAGCCAAGCATTGGGATACCAAGTGGGTAAGCATCGGTTTCGGATTGGTTTCGGTACGTTCAGAGATGATTCTTTTGCCTAAAAATCTCGGGGGAGTACCCAAGAAACAGACTAGTCACTGATTCAACAGTATCAAATAGAATAGCAACGTGTTATGTGTGTGTGTCATATTGACTTATCATGGCATATGTGACAATGTGCCATGATCAAAAGTTGGATCATATAGCATATAAGCATAGAAGAGGATGGTCACGATATCATTAGGGAATTATAATAGCCAATATAAGGATCCCGTTATAGAAATGGATGACCCCAAACCACGTGAGACCATGTTTTGAACATGGCACATATCAAAACTACTTATGGGTCGTTCCTCGTATCGCAAGGCAGAGGTGTGAACAAAGCATATGTCCGCCACTGGCAGGCCTCCACAGTTGCTACGAAGGTGCGTGTGGGTTCCAACAGCAGGTTGGTTCAATGATTTCCGGGAAAGCATGGTTTCCAGGCGTGCCAGATATTCTTTTCCAACTCTCCCATCTTTCACAACGGCATTGGTGACAGGCGTTGACACGGATAAGCCGGGAGATTGCTTGCAGCACTGCAAGAGTCTTCTGCAAGATGCCTTGGTCGGGAAACTCACAGGTGAACCGTGGTTTCCCAGGAAAGCCACCGTCACCATATTTCATGTTTATGGCTGGTAAAATGTGGCTGGCAAGACTGGAAACCAGGAAAATCAGCACAATTGGGTGAATGGAACGACTATGCACACGAAACCATCATAATTTGGCTGGTAACACCATGGGTTCCTGCGACATTTCCCCTAATCCCAAAACACTTGACGTAAGATGCGAGGATCCCCACCCAGAAGCTCTCCATCTTAGTCGACCTATCTGAGGGTTGCTGGGAATCTATAGGATAAGATGGACTTCAGTACTTGTAGCATCTTGTAGCTTTGGACACTACAACAATTGGGGAAAAGGCTCTGGTACCTCCAAGAACTATCCTCCGGTAATCAAACTTGGCTTGCTTTTGTAGATGTTTTTTCCGATGAAAGCCTCCGTTTAGTGCGGAGATTCTTGCGTACCGGAATGGTAATTCAATTCATCATCCTATTAACCATATTTGACATGTTCAACCACTATTAACCATTATCAACCATTATCAACCATTATCAACAACTACTAATCACTATTAACCATTGTTAACCATCTATAAACATTGTTTTCCCATTGCCAAGGTCAGCTCTTTCCAAGGTCAGCCTGGATCCCGCCGCTCGGGCGGAAGAGGCCCTGAGAGACTTCGTCGCCCTGTTCCCTCCGGAAGCAGACTGGAGGCCGCTGCGACGTGCGCGGAGAACGTGGGAAAGCTGGGTGATGACTCAACCTTTTCAACCCAGAAAATCCCCAACTAATATGATGTCATATCTACAATCCATCAGTTTATAGTTTTAGATAGTTTTAGATTGATACATATATAGGTAGATATACTTGTATATATATATAGATTGACCCAAACCACTTATATGTATTCTTTTAAAACCTCTAGTAAGATATGACACAGATACGGAAACCCAGCGGCTATTTAAGTGGATCATTCTCCCGGAGGTTTCAGCGGGTTGGTTTTTCTGATCCCTGAAAGGGTGTATCCCACAGTGTGTGTTCCCCCGAGGGGAAGTATCCCATTATATCCAATTGGATATATGGGTTGTAATACCCGAAAATGGTGATATCATGATATTTTCTGATTTTATGTAACCATTTTCGTTGGTAAAATCTCATTTTTGATGCCTATGTTGTGTTGAATAGAATATGAATCATAGCAAATATCATGAAATCCCAAGTATCCCCTAGAATATCCCGATTTTTTCTAGAATATCCCATTCTGCCAGCATGTTGAATGCTTAAATCCAAAATGCTGAACAAATCGCAAAATTTTGCTGGGTGAAGTCACCTTTTTTTTCACGTGTTTTTTCATGAATCCCCATTTTTCCATGGGTTTTCTCAGGCTGGAGATCGGTGACCTCCAGACGCTGGCCTGGCCCCCTGGGGCCCCCTGGGAGTGGCATCCCATAAGATCCCCGGTTAGTTTTTTCAATGGTTTTTGAGCTGGGTAAATCAATCAGAAATCATAGAATTGGATGATGGGAAAAATTACAGGAAAGCCCTATATTTGATGGTAAAAACCATGGTTTCCTGTAAATTTTCCTATAAATGATGGGTTTTGACCAAAATTTGGGTGAGGGATAAATGATGGTTGGTCAGGAAACATGGAGATTTCTCCATTGAATATGGGTGCTTAATTAAGCATTCAAATGTGGAATTCAAAGTTGATAAATGATGTTTGATGGGTTCTGAAATACTCCAGGTAGATTGATTGTGGAGATTAGTTCCCTATCTCCAGTTCACATCAATTAATCATCTTGGTGGGGTAAAAAAAAGTGGGTTAGTAACCTACGTTTGTTGGAGATGAATCCCTTCCCCCCAAAACTAAAAGTCCAACATATTCGTAAATCCCCTGCGAAACCAAGGTTTCCGAGTTGTGTGTATACCCTCTGGTAAATTAACATAACTATGGAAAATCACCCTTTTTAATGGGTAAATCCACTAATAATGGTCATTTTCAATAGCTATGTTAAATTACCAGAGGGTAATTATGGGGAAGTACTTAAATAGTTATACCGTATTATACCATAACTCACTCATAACGAAGTAGCTATCAACCATGGCTCACCGCCCAAATCGGCTCCCCAGCGAGTTGGAACGGGATGTAGGTGATGATTGCCAGTGACCAAAATGGTGACTACGGAGCTCGTTTAAGTGGACATCAAGGTAGTAAGGGTCAGCCTTTGGAACCTCAAAGTGAGATGTTTTTTTACTCGTAGCCAGGGTGTGTGCTTCCCAGAGGTTTTAGATTTTGTCCCATGTCCAATTGCGTTTACTGTCAAGTATATTTTTTGCCCCAACATCCAGTGGTTCATGGTTATTTTCCATTTGGAATGGAGATTCAGGGTGTGTACCAAGTATATATATATATGTATACATACATACTATATATGTACACATACTATCTATATATATATATATACACATACTACACACACATTACTGTATATATATATATACATATACACCCTCTATATATAAGCATACACAATATATATATATATATGTGTCACACACACACAATAATATACTAATATATATATATATATACATACTACCACATTTCCGGCCAAAGCCAATGTAGGACACACACACACACAGACACACACACACACTGTGGACACACTGCCATGGCCCAACGAGGCTGAAATCTTGGCTCTGGCAGCGACAGTTGGGCTGGAGGATACAATCGTCAAGACCTTAGGGCTGGTCACCATGGTTGTTTCAATACAGAGCCATGGTCATCCCTGACTTGGATGATAACTGGGGTAGCCCCATTTCAGGAAACCTCCATTTCAAGTAGAACACATTACATTGACATATATTAATTAACTGCAGCCACAGCCAGATTGGATGGGACGATGTTTGCCTCATCATTTTCGGGTTCCAACTGGTCTATCAATCATTTTGGGGTTGTCCAAACTGGCATCCCTTGGATTCTCCCGGTTGTACCAAACTCGTGAGTTTCTGGGATCCCCAGGTCCCAAAAACCTCATGGTTTCCTGATGTTTCCTGTAAACTTTGCCTTAAACCAATCCATCGAACAACCATTTTCTTGACCCTCTGGTAATTTGATGTAGCTATGGACAATCACTATTTTTGATAGGTATAATAAATCATCGTAAATCTCATATGATAAATGGATATAAACGGGTCATTTTTCATAGCAAACTCTTATTTTTCCCTTGGTAGCGGCTGAGGCATGGACACGTTTTCTGGGTTTGTCGATCTCCGCAGTCCTGCGTGTAGAGGAGCCAGGGTGAAGCCTGGAGGATTCTCCCGCAGGATGGGGCCCCCGTAAACGATAGCCGCTAGCCTTCAGTTGCCGAACATGTTTTTGTGGCTGGATTCTATGGTTTATGGTAGATATAACATGATATAACTATGATTATAATGGGGTTTATGAAGCAACTTTATTTTTCTGGGGCACCATCCTGCACTTGAATGCCCATTTATAGACAGACATACTTCACTGGAGGGTATAAGTATCACTGGGTTGTATCAATGGACAGAAACGGCAAAAACCAAGGATATCCAAGGATGGCGTACCCCAACAAATTGTGGACTTCTTTAGTTGGTGGCTCGTCTCAGGCACTCACAATCAAGTTGCGGATCCATCAGCGGTTGGGATTCATGTCTCGTGGTTGGGGACTTCGAAGATGCTTTACAAACATTACACCAAAACCGATGGTTGTTTATAGAGAGATTCTTCCTTAGTTTAAACATAGTTGTTTTTTTGGGTACCATTTTACTAGCAGATTACATCACTATTCAGGGGCAACCCTCTGGTAAACTACAATATCTTGGAACATCTCTCTTTTGATAGGTGTGTAAATCAACCCTAAGTGGGCTATTCTACATAGCTATGTTAAACTACCGCAGGGTACCGTTTAAAACGCGTGTGATATTCAAATGGAACAGCCATCACCTCCCCCGTCCGCAGGAACAAGCACCAGAACGTGACAGCGGCCAGACGGATGAGGTCGTGCAGAGATTTCATGATTTCATATGATTTAATGTGGGATCTACTGGAAATTTAAGGGGATTGAAAGGGATTGAATGGTGATTTCATTGGGATTTCATGGGTATTTCATGTGGACTTGATGGGTATCTAATGGGATTTAATGGTATTCGAACCAACCAACATGAGGACACAATCCGCAGATATCGGAGAACACGGTCTGACAGAAACCACCATCAAGCATGAGAAATGGCGGTTCAAACCAAGCACAAAGGCAATTTTGCTGTCAGCAAATTAATATAGCATATATGGGTATGGATATTTCTCCCCACAATATCAGAATATGGATTGAAATTTGATTGAGGCCCGAACAATCATAGATAGAATGATGGGCTTGTCACTTTGAGTCGCACACCATCAGGTTGTTGCGTTACCCGATTTTTCTGCACGTTCATCAACTTGCTTATAAATCGCATAGGTGGTTACAGGTGGTTCTTGGACTCAAAATTTGACCCTTGCTCATATTATGATTGGTATCATCCTTTTGCTGATACATCAAGCCACACTTTTGTTCTAGTTTCAATGAACGGATGTGGGTATGGATCAATACCTATTAATACCATTTTTAGGGGGATGAACATCCATTTACCAGCTATTTTGATGTTCACCAGGGGTACAAGGTTTTGACACACTGCCATGTCAGGAAACATTTACGGGTCAAAATCCCTTCGAGCCCAAAGATGAAAACCCACGGGTTGAAGCTCAAAACGCCACGTCAGGCGCTCCAACGCCTGAGCTGCACAGTAAAGCTGCTGGTGCAGCAGCCTTCGGTGGCTCGTGCGGTTGGGAGTCCAAGATGGTGGATATATCATTAGGAATTAGTATTCTTGATGGATATATATATATATATATCAATGATATGTATCACCTCATGTCAATAGGTAATTAATGTTCTTGGTGAATATATGTACATAATTATATATATGATATGATTCTATGATATTATAGTACATAATGGTTCATGATGAAGTGCACCTAATATGTCACCAATGGTGGTTGGGAATATGATGGTGATATACCCATTGTTAGGTAAGAATTCTTCGAGGCTTCTTAGACTACACAGAAAAATGCCCTGGAATTGTGCCTATTCAATGCCAATTTTACCGGTATCCCCCATTTGTACTATGTAATTATTTTGTGAGATACCCAGATATACTATGGTTACTATGGTGATGTAATAGTACATAGATAACAGTACTGGTGATAGCAATGATGCTACTACTACTACTACTGCTACTACTGCTGCTGCTGCACTGCTACTGCTACTGCTACTGCTACTGCTACTGCTGCTGCTACTGCTACTGCTACTGCTACTGCTACTGCTACTGCTACTGCTAGTGCTACTGCTAGTGCTACTGCTAGTGCTACTGCTACTGCTACTGCTAGTGCTACTGCTACTGCTACTGCTACTGTACCGCCGCCGCCACCACCACAACCACCACCACCACCACCAGCAGCAGCAGCGGCAGCAGCGGCAGCAGCACCAGCACCAGCACCAGACTACTGCGACTACTGCGACTACTGGGATTACTGTCTTGTCTATGGGGAGGGACATTCCTTATAGGGACACTCCTAAAACATTCCTTTTCATTCTTTTAATTCCAAACAATTCCATTTCATATTTTCTTTGTATCAATATTTTTTCAGTTTTTTTTAAATTTTATTTTGTAGTTTAAAAGATAAACCAAGGAATTGTTTTTAGAAGTTTTTTGGACTTTTCGGATTGTTTTTTTGACGTTTTTTTTTTTTTTTAATTTGTTTGGTTTTTTTAGTTTTTTTTTTGAATTCTCGTTTTTTTTGAAAGGATAGCAACTTTTAGGAGTAGCCCTGTTAGGAGTATAGCCCATGGGCTCTTTAACGATACTCCGACTGCTACGACTATTGCGACTACTGCAGCTACTACAATGCTACTCTGCTACCATGTACAACTACCACGACCACTACCACTCCTGCCACTGCCACTACCAACAACGACAACAGCAGCAATAACAATAAAAATATCTTCAACATCACTTTTATGGGTTAGATACAAGTCCAATATATATCTCAAATCAACGTCTCAAGTCACATACACTCCCATTCCCCTAATACTAAATACCCCACATAGGGTCCCCCAAATTGAATAGTTCCAATACATTTCACCAGATTGTCTCGTTTGGGGGGTATTGAATATGATCTGGGGAAAGGATCATGTGTATATATACATATATATATATACATTCATATATAATATGCAACTTTGTATATGTACACATATATACATACATAATAATAGCAACAGCAATTCTCATAGAACCGGACGTTTGCCCGGAGCTTTTGTTTTCTCGCGCGAAACAGCCTTTCTTTTTAACGGACCCAGACGAAGTCTGCGGAGGGGAAACGCCATGTGGCATATTTGGTATCCCATGGCGAGGAGAGACACCTATTGTACCATCCAGCCATGCAAGGCGGTATCTTTTCAGGGCGGTTTTTAATAGAATATCAGCATTATAAGATCCTTGCAGCACCTTGCACGTATCGTTTGAAGGGGATGGCGGATTTATATCCTTCACGTAGTGGATCAAAGTTGTATTGAAACCGTGGGAAAATTGTGCCCCATGGGGCAGCAACCTCTAGGAATTCATGGAGGTACCCTTTATGAAACCGGTTTCGGTGGAACCGTGGCAACCATGAGATATTATGCCATCTTGGGCTCAACCATAGGATACTGTAAATGGGGAATCGGAGAGCAAACATGTGGGAAATTAATGGACATTACGGTGGTCGTGGATAAAAATACGTTGAAATAAACCGTGGCAAAAATAGGAAATTATGGCATCTTGGGCGAACGTTAGGTTCTGTGGGTAGTAATAATAGTAGTAGCAATAGATAGCAATAGTACAGTAATAGTAATAGTTTTTATAATATTAAGATTATATATATATATATATGTATAATAGTATAATATATACATATATAAAGTATATATATATACACAATACTTTCTCTCCCCCTCTCTCTATGTATATAATATAACATGTCGAATCACATGCATATCTAGCGACGCCTCACATTTTTCCCCCACTGAGGCAGTGCGGATCGCCATGGCTGGCGGCTCGGTCGACGACGCAGTGACACTGCAGCGGCTGGCGCGCGGGGTGGCGCGGTGGGTTGGGGTCAAAACCTGGGATTTTCCCAACCAAAACGATGAAAACCCCACCATTTTTATGATGATTCAACCACCAAACATTGGGACTTCAACGCAAATTGGAATTTTAGATGAGCAAACTTGGCATTTCAGCGATTTCAACATCGCACACATTGATTCTACTAACAAAGATGGATATTTAAACAACCAAAATTATCCAAAATGGAAAGTGGATATTGCGTATTAGCCCTGAATTTAGGCCAGGAGAAAGTGGGAGATGGGGAAAGGATGTTCTAAACCAAAGTATGATTTTGGGCTGGCGAGATTTGTGACGACCCCTGGGGCAAAAAAAATAGAACATGAGTGAATAAGAGGTGTGGGTCGAATTTTTGGGCCTATGGAACCAACAAAAAGTGGGATCTTAACCACACACGTCATGATTTCAACGAACCTATACTGGTCTAAATCAAAATTTAAGCACCACCGGGGCTGGCCATTTTAACCAACCCAAGTCCTGCCTGTACCCTTGTATTGGTAGCCACGCTACTGGAAGCAGACATGGTCGGTGGTTTCAACAATTTTATGAAAAAGAATCCAGCCTTACTTGGCATGATGGTTTCCAATGAATCCTATACTTTTCCAGGTGGATGAAAGCACCAGACGGATGAGATGGAAAGGGGCCAACATAGAAATCTCAACTAAAAAACACAGATGTTGACCATGTTTAGCTTTACTTCACCTATCCCCGGCATCAGGGTCGTTGTCCAGGTACCCATCCTGTTACCTTTGCTGCGCAGTGGTTTCTTGAGAGGTGGGATGGCAGGAATCCGGGCTCTGTTTGTCGGATTTTTGTTCCCTTCTCTTCCCATCCCAAAACGAGCAAGAGAGATGATATCTTTGAGAGGTTTACCCTCTGGTTATGTCAAAGTAGCTATTGAAAATGGCAATTTATAGTGGATTTTCCCATTAAAAATGGTGATTTTCCATAGCTATGTTAAATTACCAGAGGTTTATCAAGCCTCATTTTTGGTTTCTTAATTTTTACATATTTTTACCCTCAATTCAACATAGGCAGTGGAAAATCCCTGAACTAAATGGAGGTTTCGTTCGCCGGAAAATCATCCATAAATGGTCCAGGCAGTGGCGCCGCGCACCGCGGAGATCTCTTGGCATTGCTGAGCGGTCTTCGTGTTCTGCAACTGGCCACCAGGTGTCGAACTTTGTCAAATGGGCAACTGCTTTCCCACAGAGAATGACTCGCAGTTGAAGATCAAGATTGTAGGGCAAGCAATCGATTACGGTGACTATCACTTTTCAGGCTTTCAAGGTTAATCATAGAAGCGAAGAAACATGTTTTCAATGGTCATTTCAGGATCCTAAAATGGAGGTACTGTAGCATATAAGGCCATATTTTGTGGTGATATTCCCATTGAAGTTTCCATAGCAGTTCTTGAACGGAACGGGCACATTTTCTTTTTGTTCACCTAAAATGGCCAGGTCTGGTCTGGCGAGTGAGAAGCATTTCGCTCAGTGTCAGGGTTTGTACCATGGTCCCATGGTGGTCCCATGGTGAATCGGAAGGCTGGTTGGTCAACATCCCGATTTGTGATAGTTAAAACATGTTAAAACCACAATAGCCAATGTTTATATGCTGTATTGGGAAATATATGGAAATATGATCATTGGCAAAATCCCTAACTTGACGGCCGCGGTAAACTGCAGAAAATTCAGGGCTGGTTGAATCGCAACTATAGATGGTGAAACGACCATTCATTGTATTCCAACATTGAAAGTCATATTGTTGGTCGTTCACTCATCCATTGATCTGGTAAACCAGAAGGTGGTAGATGGTTATCCCGAATTTTAGGTTTATGACCAGCGTGAATCCCACATTGTGCGTGGTCAGAAATCCCCATTTCTTAGGGCTAAGTCCTTCGTCAACAAAATGGGACCCATGAGAAACTCACAAAACTCACAAAACGTCCTAGGCTTTCGGAGGTTCGCACGATTCTGACCACCGCCTTAAGCCGGGACTATGATGTCCCTTGGTGATGTGATGTGGAATCTATGGGATTGACGGGATATTATTATGGGATATTATGGATGGGATATGCCAATATTATCATGGGGATATTACTATGGGATATTATGGGATTATTCTGCAAATCTTCTGCAAATATTCTGGATGGGATATGCCAACGATAGTATGATATGACGTGCATAGATGTCTGGGTCATAAAATGGTACCCATTTTACGGATGGTCCACATTTTATGCTCAACATTTGCGGTTGGACCTTCAGATTTGATTGACATTTGACCCAGAGCCGTCTGCTTCGGCTTTATCATGTGAACATGGGTCAAGATTGGGGATGGGCACAAATTTGCTTTCAGATTTCCCTTAATGGATGCTTGGATCCAAGAATTCCTCCATCATTTGGCCGCCAAAAATCCGTCCGTTTCTGTTGACAAAGCGGGCGGAAAAACTCTGCGGCAGGCAACTCCTCTGGTACCGGAGCTGACGCGGATCGCCGAGGACTGGGTGATGGATGTGATGGGTGAAAAAAAATAGGAGGTTGTACTACCTACCCACTGGTAAACGAACATAGCTATTGAAAATGGCCCATTTATAGATGGTTTACCTATTAAAAATGGTGATTTTCCATAGTTATGTTAGTTTACCAGAGGGTAATAGCTCTAATAATTGATTGGTGATTGTGGTACTGTAACCAGATGTAGCCAGCATTTTTCAGGAATCACCACCGGCATTCTTTTTGGGTGATTTTTTGGGAGCTTCGAATCCCCCAAGCAAGACCTTTACCAATGTTGAGGGTGATTTTTTGGCTCCCCCAATTGATCAACCATAGATAGCATGGGTCTATCATGGTCTATCCACCCTTGACACGTGAAGAAGTCATGGCATTCGATGAACCCTACAGCACCTACAGCGCCAGAGCCTTGGGCCGAGTGCGGTCTTCCAAGGTGCCAGGGACTCATCCCAAATCTAGGCATACCAAGGCTAGTTTTCCAACCATACTCCCACTTCACCACATGATAATCGAACACCGAACATCGAACCGTTCGTAGTAAGCAGATGAAGTCAGCTGCGCCAATTTCTTTTGCCGTGCCAGGAGCATGTGAGACACTTGAAACGTCAGCTGCTCAGTGCGAGCAGTGCAGTTAGGGGCTTTCCTGAAACTCAACATGGAACGTCAAAGAATATGCTCCTTTCGAATAGTCAGATCATGTTGCAAGATCTTACAGGATTTTTTGTGCCTCATATTTTTGTTTTTTCTTTTCGAAACGTCTTCTTCGGCACTGGGGGTGGCCAGGTGGCAAAACGCTGTTGAAGAACTTGCAGGCAGCTGAAGCAAAGACTTCATCCGCGGCCGCATCTCGGCTGAGATTTGACTGCGGGTCAAGTGATTACTTGGTGACTCAACCATCAAACAAGGTGATTAGTTGAGTGATTTAATGGGATTTCATGGTGATTTCAGGGGAGATTCATGGGGATTTTCGTGGTACGCCCCATTTTAATAGGGCCTGTCCAGTCACCGTTTTTTTTTGCCACAAGCCACGATTCCTGGGTCAACTGTTTTGGGCACCCCTACTTGATCAACCAGGGTGTATCCGTGGTTGATGTTGTGTATACATATATTATATATACACATGTTATTATATATATATATACACGTATATATTATATGTAATATATATATATATAGTATTTATAGAACTGGTTGGTTGGTGGTTTCAAGCATGTTTATTTCCATCAACACATGATCATCCCACTTGACATTTTTTTTTTTTGCATTTTTCGGCAGCAAGAAGATACAGCCATTATCTATTTAATATCTATTTATTTAATATCTATGTACTATCTATGTTGAATAATTACAGATATATTAAATAGATATAGATATCAAATATCCCATATAATATTTATGTTTAAATTACTTAGACAAACAATAATAATATAAATATTAGATATCCCATATTGATATTAATAATATATAATGTAGGTAAAACAATGCCATGAACCACCCATGACTGGGAATGGTAAACATACCACCTATTTATGGTGATTTGGAGATGGTTTATTACACAGCATTAAAAAATCTAAATATTATACTGACAACCATCTACTTAGATGGGCCATGGGATTTGCGATTCCTGGTTAGTAACTGGCTTGTAAACCACCAACTATCTCAATTGTAATCCGGGTACTAACGAGTCAACTAACAAACCCTGGCCCATCTAATCATTGTTGATGCAAAAATCTCCATGTTTTTGTACTTTACATAATTATGATAAACGTCATATTCCCCGTATTTACCCTACATTAACATGACCTTTACGACTTCTTCCTCCAGGGCAAAAATGGACCCCCCTTAGCCAGGGGTACAGCAGCCATCGTCCCAGGCCACAGCAGCCATCATCGAGGCCACTGTGTCTGGTGCCCTTCTGCCCACTGTTGCAGCGAATGGGCGGTACACAATATTATGGGATTTACCCTCTGGTAAATTAACATAGACCCTGAAAACAACCCATTCTTAGTGGAAACTAATCTTCCCACCCCTATCTGCCAGGGTCTATGTTAATTTACTGGAGGGTAACCATCAACAATGGGAACTTGAGCAGAAAAAATGGTGCTAAGATGGGGATGTGAATGGGAATACAACCTACTCTGGATAAATTATGATAATTATGTCGCGCCCTCGCGACGCGACATTTCAGGGGAATGATGGCAACTATCCCGAAATCGCTGAACTTTTGAGGTTGGTGCATTCTTACAACTTACTGGGGGAATCATTCCCAAGATGGGATTCATTCTGGTTGTAAGGCCTCCAGATTGATTCCAAATCACTACCGATCCGGCCATGGCCGGAGTTTTTCCTGGGAGGCCACAGCGAAAGAGCTCCAACACTCGGAACTCGCCAGGTGAAGAAAAAACGGGAATGACATGTGGGGCAACCATTAATCATTGGAAAATCTCATTCATCATGTTTTTATCTGAGATGTATGAGCCATCCAACTGTCCTCGATTCAAGTTCTTAGTTTGCTTCTTTCAATATTCGCTGTCCTTCTCAGCATAGAGAGGCTTGGCATTGCTTGTACCATTCTGATTTGACTGCATACAATGAATTCATATCCAGTCTATATACACAGATTTTGATGGACTATGTGCCTGATCGGTTGATGCCAGCACTCCCTTCAAACCAGACATCCTGGTTTAATATCAGAGTTGCTGATCTTAGGGTTCAAAGGATAAAAAGAGGTAACTATCCGGGGGATGTAGCATAGCCATTCCTTGCTTAGCTCCATCAGATTGACTGATTTGCTCTTGCAGCGACCCTAAACCCTGAAATCTTGGAGGCTTGTGGGCTTCTCTGGCCTTCCAGTTGGTGATGATGAACAAATCGCACAGCGCTCAGAGCGGTCCCAGTCAAGAGTTGGGTCAGGACTTTCTGCAGAAAGTCCGACGGCTTATTTTGGCTGGACCAACCAGCCGCCATTGTTTGTGGGTGTGTTCTCCCCAGTCAATCGCCATTGTTGGGCCAAATTTGTGTGTTTAAACCATCCAATATGATATGGTTTTACAATGTTTTACATGTACACACCAAAACCATCCAAAACATTTAAACACACCAGTCAATCCCAATTTGGGCCGCAGAAACCACCCATTTTTGGACTGCAGAGATCCATCCATTGACTCCAGGACGCCAAAGCTGCCTCGGCGCGTGCCAGGGGCGACCTGTTTTTCGAAGATACCGCCTGTGGCCCCAGGTTGAGGGGATCCTGAAAGAATTCTGTAACAATGATTACATAGGAATCATATTAGCAATCCCGGTAGTAGTAATGATATGATAAGAAATATGTACTGTAATGATTATGATAATACACACATATATATATATAATACGCAACAACAGGTAACAGTTATAATGACAATGATGATAACAATAGTCTTAAACCAATGCACCATGGTCAAAAACTGGGACCACCTGCTGATACGAGGATTCAGCATGCCTTACAGTGTTGAAGCACAACTTGACTGCTAACCAACCAGTTATGGTTTGATATCCCATCATATAGTATTGTTTTTGCAGAAAGTTGCATCCCAGCATTGGTTTCAGGGAAATTCAGAGGCATCCCAATATTGAACTGCGCAAGTCACAAGAATTTCTGTCATCTTGAGGCTCCGGATGTGCCACTGGAGAGCTTGCTGGCAGATGCCCCAAAAACTGTGCTTCAGTTCTCCTGCATTCGACCTTGGCATTTTTCTTGAAAGTTCAGCGAAGAGGTGTTTTACAGTGCGTCGTTTTGCAGATTTGACATGCTGTTGCACTATTTTTTAGAGCTTTTGAAACCTATCATGATCATCATGGTGGGCACTCTCAGTCAGAGTCTCTTGCGAAGGACGTTTTTGCAAAGTGTCGAGTTTGCTCACAGATCCGAATTTCGATCTTCTTGCTTGGGGTTGGGGTCAATTTTCTAAAACCAGCAATTGCCCCTACAAGTTGGGATAAAGCCCATATAACCATGGTTATATATCCAATTGTAACTTGTGATGAAGGGATTGATTGTCAACATCTCATTTTGACATGCCTTCGCACCTCACATACGAACAATCCAGGCATCTACGCAGATTCCGGACAGCTTGTGATGCAGTGAGAAAATTTTGGGGAACAATCCAAATTTGATGGTTCAAAACCTCATTTTCTGCATTTTTTGACCGTACATTGGGAGTTATATAAGTTTGAGAGGCACTCAAATATAATATTATTGTTGGTTAGTTATATATATCTATATATATATATACACACATATATATATACATGTATGTATGTACGTATATTTATTATAGTGATCTCCAAGTTGAGGTTGGAGGTAGCTCCGCAGCACAAGAGGCCAGGCTTTGAACGCGCTCATGGCAGTGGTTTGTTGGTGGTTTGTTGGTGGTTTCGCATAAGAAAGCGCCAGATTTTTGGGATGCTGATCCCAATGGACTAATACAATGTGCTCGTTTTTGTTTTTACCCTCTGGTAATTTAACATAGCTATTGAAAATGGCCATTTATAGTGAGTTTTCCCATTAAAAATGGTGATTTTCCATAGTTATGTTAAATTACCAGAGGGTAACGCATGGATGAATTTGGAGAATTTTGGAGATGGGGTGCAACCATAGTTTTCAGATGCGTTGGAATAGCACGTTAAAAGCCGAGTCGATTTTTGGCCGCCATTGGCACGTCTTGCCTCGTGGGAATCAAACATGGCTGGGATATCTCCGAAGTCAATGAAGGTTTCATGCGAAAATCATCGAAGAAAATAGGGGATTTTCCATTGCGATATTTGACAGGAGGGTATTGTAAGTTTGCGTTGCTGAAGTTGGCTACGTCAGTTCGCAACCTACACTCCGGTAATTTGACATACGGACCATGGATGAACATTGCACATGGATAGATAGATGATTTATACTTTAAAAATTGGCGAGATTCTGCAGCAACGTTAAATTACCAGAGGGTATATATATATATGTATATCATCAGAGATCCTACTTAAGAGATCTTAAAAGGCACTCCATAAACTCTGCTGCGAGCCAGCTGCTACACCACTTTTTCTCATCACTGCAGTTGAAGTAGCCGAATTTATCAATCATTTCTATGGCCAAGAAACATATGATTCCAATAAAATCAATATTTGTTACTCTTCCATAGTATTCCTTGATTTTGAACTCGTTTTTGGTGGCCTTTTAAGAGCCGCACCCTGGATCATCACCCGCGGATCATCCGTTGCTCAGTCACCAGGCGATGGCCCAGGTGCAAAAACGCAAATTGGGGAATCTGGAGGGGGTTGAAAACATTTGCTGGCACCTCAGCAACATTTCTCAGATCCCTCAGCAACTTGCTGCTTGTATATCTATATATATATACTACTGGCATAGAATGGCATGATATACACCAATCTAAAACATTCTAAAACTATTTATTGATCTATCCATCTATCTATTTATCCATTTGTTCCACTGTAATACACCATTTTGCATCCATAGAAGATACCCAAATCACAAAACTTGCCAAGGCGTTGACGATGCCTCCCAGAATCCCAAGGCCTATCCATGAACTCAGGGATGGGGATGGGGATCTAACCCCCATGAAATGAAACTTGGAATTCTGGTATCATGATGGGGATTTCAACCATGGGACCATGGAATAAACCTTGGATTCCAAAACAGGAGGAAACTTCGGCACGAGCCTGTTGGGATTTCACCTCAGAAAACCGGGAAGTCAACCTATGCTTTTCATAGCAAGGTCCAAGTCCTACAGGCTTCTGGTGAAGCAAGGTTCAAAGCTCAATGAGAACAAACTAACTGTGGTGCATTCTGATCATCATTATCATCATTATCATCATTGTTATGATGCTTATTATGCTGAAAAATGGTCATTATTATCATATTACTACCATTTTCATCAGTATTTTCATCATATTATTATCATATTACTACCATTTTCATCAGTATTAAAGAAGATTTTCTTATGATGCTTATTGGGCTTGCCACACTTTAAATCTTCGAAACCTCTCTGAAAATGGCTGAAATCTGCTCGCCAGGCTGGCGAAGGCCCGGCTGAGAGTCAAGTCGGCTGTCGGGGTAACGCTTGCGTCCAGTGATCAATTACTACATATTTGGTACCCGACCCAACCTAGCAAACTGGGGGGTACCTCAAATTATATATTATAAACCATGATAAACCATGATAAACCATGATAAACCATGATAAACCCATGATAAACAAATGATAAACCCTAGAGACGGATATTCAAACTGTTTAATTATATCATGGTTTATCCCGTCTCTGGATACAACCTGGGTCAACATTACCAGATCTTGCACGCTGCCCCACATCTTCCCTCTGAGGTTCGAAGAAGCGCCGAAAATCAGTGGCGTGATGCGGAAAACGATGTGCAAATCATGACATACTCTTGGTTTGGCTGCATTTGGAACGTCCCGTCACCCTCCTCTGTTATACGCTCTAGTTGAATTTCATACGCGCATGTTTGATTGCAGGGACATGATTTGTACATGGCGAAATGACAACATCATGGAGTGTCAGAGGGAATGTGTGTATATATATATATGTATATGTATATATATATATTTGTCATATGTACATTCATTCTGGATGATTCACTTAATCCGGTTTGGGATTTATCATAAATTATCTAGATGATAATATCATAAAAGATCCAAAATTGACTTTAATCGTCGTTGGGGGGATTGGTTTCAAGTTTATTTCATCTGATTGAAACGGATTATCTACAATGCACTAATATCAACAAAAAATTGCATAATGCACCGGATGTGTATTGGTTTGTTGATATTCATTGAGTTTTTGATTTGCTGATGGTTTCACGCATGATCCCAGTTGACCGATGCTATCGTGCGAGGCCAACTTCAGGATGTTTTTTTTTTTCAAATACTTCTGCTGACGTGATTTGTTCGGTTGCATGTTAAAATGACTCATCATTTTACCCTCTGGTAATTTAACATAGCTATTGAAAATCACCATAGAAATAGTGAATTTTCCCATGAAAAATGGTGGATCTTTCCATAGCTATTTTGACATAACCAGAGGGTACATCCATGAGAATTCGATTGTGAATACTCATGAATGATCATCGGATCATCACGGGATTATACTAACTCATCAGTCATCAGTCATAATATTGTATTGTCAGAAAAAAAACATACAACATCAGCTAGTTCCATTTTACTGATTCTACGACATATTGGTCAATTAATTCGAGCATAAATCCGTCATTAATTCTAGCTGCTAGTCCCATAGATTTCAAGGATTTTAGCAGATTTCAAACAGATCATAAATCATACAACATCATAGCAACATCAACAAACATCATATACCCCCATTTTTAAACACTGCCAGGCCCATGCTGAGTCCTCGCTCTGCTCGAGGGCGAGGGGGCCAGGCTCGGGGACCTGGGGCTACCATGGTACTTGGGGGATCCCCAATGACTTCAGAATGACTAAAAATGATAGTTGGATGATACTTGGGGCTTAAGTTTCTTTCTTGAAAATGATAAAATGCTGGGCTATAAGACATATTTTGGAAAAGGGCTATATCTATGAATGTCATGTTCAGTTCAGTTTAATGATATTCATGGGCTATGTACAGTATTATATAGATATATTTCAATGGATAATATATATATATGCATGGCTGAGATATTAGTGTATATTCGTACATCTTCATGGCTATATGATTTTTTTTTTTAAAATATTTTTAGATATATGAAGTAATTTTAGAGCAATGAAACAAATGGGACCTGGCTAGCAAGTATATATTGGAATATTTTCCCACACACAGTGGATTTCAGATCTGTGAATTATAGTAATTGGCACAGACATAGCCCCTTTTCCACAGAGGGGTCCTGCCTTATGTTCCCTCATTTTGGCAGAGATTTTCACAGCACTTTTTCGGTGCTCAGAGAATGGTCAATCCCTACTTTTTCGGTGATGCTCAAAGATAGGGCTATACTTTCCAAGCCTTCCACCCTGCTAAACATTTGGGGATTGAAACCCAACCAGCCAAAAAAAACACCCCAGTTTTGAACCACAAAAAACTGGCATTTGCTGAGCCGATTTTTTATTTTTCCCATTGGCTACATTTTTTTTCAGGGGTGGGGTATCTACTGAGATTATCAGCAAATCCCAAAAACTCCATTCAATTATATGGTAATTTATATGATATTTCCATGATATATCCATATGCACCCCCAATATTGTATCCCTAAAAAACACAATTTCCATTCTGTGATATCCCATATATTCCATTACACACCCATGTGTGCATATATATATAGTTATCCCAATATGACATCCTACTATTTTCATATTTTCTAAGAAATTGTATATGCATGATATTCCAATGCATTCTATTTCCCCATATATATATATATAAACACTGTCTGATGTTCCCATTATCCAAAATATACATGTCTAATCATCCTAAAGTAGATCGAACATGGATTTTTCAATGATATCCTCTTTTGAAAAATATTTTCTGGTGAATACATCTTTGATATACATATATACTCCAGGAGTAGATCATAAATATGGTGATTTTCCATTAGATAAACTATAGTCAAGTGTCCCATTCCAATCACCATGCATATCCCAATATCAGTAATAATCATACAGGAGTAGATCATCAATTATATATATATATCATCAATTGTATATATATATATATACAGATGTATAGATAGATATATATCTACGGATGTATAAATATATATATATATACATATATATATATATATCCTCAGCCATAATCCAAGTAATCCAAGGCCCAGCAGGGCGGCTGGTCCCAGCGCAACCTCGGTGCGGGCCGCTCTAGGGCCAACAAGGCCGTGGGTGTTTCGCGACCGAAAAAATCTGGGTTTTCTAACGACCGAAGCCGTTGCGACCTCATTGGAATTATATGGTTAGTAAGGGGAATTATATGGTAAATAATATGGTTAATAATGATTAGTAAGGGGAATTAGCCTCTGGTAATTACCCTCTGGTGCAGTTGGGGTTATCCATGGAATTCCATGGATAATAACTGTTAACTGTGGTTGTAACCCCCATAAGTTGGGAGATCAAGCCTGTAATATCCATGGATAATACCCTCTGGTAAATTAACATAGACCCTGGCAGTTGTCGGGTTTGGAAGACTAGTGAAACCACTATAAATTGTTCATTTTCAGGGTCTATGTTAATTTACCACAGAACGATCTTATTTCAGGTGAGTGAATTATGATCATTTGCCCAGATGAAACATGGTTAAACGTGCCATGAAACATCGTGAACACAGCGTGAAAACATGGTGAAAACATAGTGATTTCACGGGAATGGGGAGTATAAGTATACCTGATGGATTTGATGAAAAGATAATAGGATATACTGTATATATGGTGATTTGCCAATGACACATGGTGATTTAGCCGTGAACAATTTGGTGATTTAACTGGCAACATGGGAATATCATGAGGATCCCCAAGGGGCTGTTAGGATTTTATCGAACGAAGTAGGATATTACGGGGATTGAATGGGATAAGACTGAGAAGATCTATAAGACCAACTCAATATTTGCATTGTATTCAAGCAAATATCCAGTTGGGTTTTTACAGATTTTTGAGTTGTGGATATTATAAAAATTGAAACCATAGGACCTTGGAGAATTCATGAAGATATTTTATGCTTTCCCTTAGCCTTAGTTGTTAACATTTTTACTTTTTCTAAGTGGTTGATATTTTTACAGAAACCAAACAGACTTGCCAAGTCCCTTGGCTGTGAAAACAAACACACAGGCGGAGTGGAAGGACAAGTTGAAGATCGAGGTTACAAAGGCTGTGCGAGTTAAGTCAGTTTGGTGGAAATTCTGGCTGATCTAAGCATCAAACATGGGGCTTGGGGGATCTAACCATCACACGTGATGGTCTGATGGTGAAATAATCTAACATTAGTGGTATATGAATGGACTATTGGTGGGTTACCCTTTGGTAATTGGACAGTTTGCGAACTGGAAAAGAACCATTTTGAATAGGTAAATCATCTCACGAAATGGGCCATCTATACCACAGCTATGTTTGGGGGTTGGGAGTTGAAGCAGCAAAATTCTGGATGAGGTTCGTTTTTCGATGTTTTTCTCCATATAAGGGGTTTCCTTAAACGGAGGTACCCCCAAATCATCCATTTTAACAGGATTTTCCTTTATAAACTATCCATTTTTGGGGTACCACCCTGACCATGGAAACCCCCAGAAAAAGCAAACGCCCCATCCATGGGCTCCATTGAATCATCCCCAAGAAATCAATGGAGGTTTTCATGGGGGTACCCCAAAATAGATGGTTTATAAGGGAAAATACCATTCAGATTGATGATTTAAGGGGGTACTCCTATTTGAGGAAACTTTAATATCCAGTTACCAATGGGAGATAGACTGTTGCAAGATGTGTTGTCATCCACTCACCATTCGGTACTTGTCTTATACCCTCGTCGCAGGTCCGAGAAATGCCCGAGAGTGACCCGAAGTCGCCCAAAGGCAAAGCTCCTGCCCAGGCTGTGCCGGGCCAGCCATTCGAACATCAAAAATATGTGGTACTTCATCTGCAAACAGATTTTTCGTGGCTTTCAAAATGTCACTTAAGTTGTGACCCACTGACCTTCAAACAGGAGTCCAACCATGTAAACAATCTCAGCCACAGGAAGTCATGGAGGAATTTCCATGGACTTTTCCTGGGAGACTTCACCCAGCCACAGGTTTGGGGCACGACAATTCCACCACAACCTCTGTGGGGCGAGCCTGGCTGGGCGGATTTGTGAAGGGCCTTTTCTTATGGCTCAGAACCGGGGAAACTGAAAGCTTGATATATTTTTTGCTTTTTGCAAAAAAAAATGGGACTTTATGAAATTGGGGGCTTCAAAATCTTGGATAAACTTTGCCATGCTTTATGGCTCAAAGTTATTGATCCCACCAAAAACGTTTTTTTTTTTTAAGCACTAGGAAAAAGCACCCTTTTTTGTGGCGCAGGAGGGGAGTGACCAAACCCCCATTGGTGCCAGATGATCCAAGGCCAAAGTATTGGATCTCTTCCGGTATTTATCATTAGTCAGATGGGGTGAAAGATGATGTCCATGATCTTTCCATACAATATCCCCATTATATCGCATGATACAACCATTGCTTAAATCCCTTTAAGTCATTATCTAAAAATCATTTAAGTCATAGTTACAACCATTGAGTCATCATTACAGTCATCATGAATCCCTTTAAGTCACTAAAAAAAAGTGCCCTTTTGTGACGTCACGTGACGTCCAAGCAAAACACGCTGAGGCGCCGAGGTGACACGCTGACACCAAGCTCGATGCAGGCCCATTATGTAACTAGTTCGATATATCCACCACGAGCCAGCGATGCCACCGCCGAGTTATGTGGTGGGCCGTGTCGTGTTATGTAAGTTCTGTATGTGTATGAATTATACACATATTATACACATGTTCATGTTATATGTATATATATATATATTATACATGTAACATGTATAGTATATACATGATACATGACAAAAAAACACCAGAAAGGCAATCTTTTAGGTGCCATGGTGTCAGGCCCGGATCGAGCAGAAGCTGACCATGGTGCCGCTGAGCTCAGTCGGGGATTTCCACATAATTGGGACCACAGAATGGGGGTGTTGAATATTAGGGGGATGGGATTATGCACATAGTACATATAATATACTCTATGTATACAGACATATATAAATATATAATATACGTGTGTATACATATACTCTTTTTTCGCTGGTTGGTTCATTGGTGGGGTCAAATATGTTCAACGCCCCACGCAACTGAAACTGTCCGAGATTGGAACATAGTGAAAAACAAGGTGCAAGGGGAGCCAGTTCGCAAAAAGACAGCCATTTTTTCCCTGTCTGATCTGTGCCTTGCAACCTGATGTACTAAGCTCAACTAATTTGGATGTGCACGCTGGCAGCACCAAACATGAGATAATTTCAATTGATCACAATCATTTTTATATATGTGATATAACTGTGAACTGTGATAGATGATGATATATGTATCACTAAAACTATTTCAGTTTTATATACCAATATATTGAAACGGGGACTGGCCTCTCAAAAGATTGGTGGCATTGAATTGCCGCCGGGCCCTGAGGTTGGGACAAGGTTACTTGGTGGCAGCCAAGCGGTGTCTTTAGGATACATGAGACATATCACTACCACAGATATATCACTATCTTTAGGATATATTCTCTGGTAAATTAACATAGACCCTGAAAATGACCAATTTATAGTGGAAAGTAATCTTCCAACTGCTATCTGCCAGGGTCTATATTAAATCACTGGAGGGTATATCCCAAGTGGTTTAGACACATCTTCTTAAACCACTCACTGACTCAACTTACTGGTTGGTTCTGTCTGAAGCGACCTATGAAACATGGAGATATTCCGTTGACATGTTTGTTTCCCAGAGGTTGCACAATTTGCTATCTTGGTGAGAGGGTAAAACCATCATTGAGGTGTCCAAATTAATAAGACTTCAGCCAGAATTGTCCTGATATTCAAACTACGCAATATCAGGGTTATATCAGTATATCCAATGCATGTCCAAATGGGTGTGTCTCAAAGTAGGGTACCCAAGATTTTATGGTTGCTCGTCATTTTCCTGTTAAAGCATGTCAAAACTGTCATTTTCTTGTATCCTTCATATCATGTTAAGTCTATTTTATGTATCTATATAATTGAATGCCATTATGTTTTAAGTGGTTTAAAGTGCATTTGTGTTAGGTAATTTCGATCATCACCAATCACTTATTGTTGGTACCCCCACAATACCATCAGCATATCCCCAGAAAGTATCCCTACTAAAACCCATCAAAGAGTTGGGGTTTTGCCACCAGTTGCACCCCTCAATACCATCACAGTCACAGGTTGTTGGCTGTATATCCCATGATATTCCCATGTTTATATCCCATGAGATCACCTTATTTTTATGAGGTGAAATCCTCGACAAAAATTCCCTGCCAGTTACATAACCTGGTGCTGGATGTTCATCCCAAGAACTGTTGTTCCCGCTTTTTTATTGGAATCCTGGGGATGCCCGATTTCTGGACATCTTCGAAAATCATATGAAGTTGGTGTAATATAATGATATATATATATATATATCTGGGTAAATTATAACGACCTCACTGCGACCTCACTGGAATCATGGTTAGTAAGGAACATCATCCCCAAATATATATATATATATCCCACAGGCTTGTTAAAAAAAAAAGCATCATGGAGGGTTGAACTCCAAAAATATCAGGGGCTCAGGGCCAATCTTCACCACATATCATTCGGGTTGGCAACCTGAAAGGTCGCTTCCCGGTCCCAACACAGGGGATGTATCCCATTCCATCCTTCTGGCTGGTGACATTTCCATGAACCACTGGATACCTCCGAATTCTTGGATCATCCTGTTTCGAATCTCCATGTTTCATGGTTATATCCCCATAGTTTCAGAGTTGATTCTGGGTTATTCAAATCCATCATTGTTTGAATATAATAGCTACATCCCGCCGTATTCTAGCCATATGGTTGCATTTGTAAAAATCCCCACGTATCATAGTCATTAATGATAATATATATATATATATATATAGAGAGTATATCATTATACAACTATATATCAACTTGTTATGTATCCTTTGTGTATCCATTTGTATATCCCCAAAGGCATGATCAAATTTATCCAGAGCAATCTCTACCAATTTCAGACACTACCCTCTGGTTATGTCAAAATAACTATGGAAAGATCCACCATTTTGTAGCTGGGAAAACTCACTATTTCGACTGGGCCATTTTCAATAGCTATTTTGAGATAACCGGAGGGTAAACCTCCATTTTCCTATGGTTTTCCTATGTGTTTTCCCATGGTTTTCCTATGGGTTTTCCCATGGTTTTCCCATGGTTTTCCCATGGTTTTCCCATTAAAACCTCCAAACTACCCACTTTCTTCTCCCCCTCCGATCCGTGCCCAGCTTCACGGCGCCCGGAGCGGACACGCACGCTGCCCGCTTCTGCCTTTCCCTCGGCCTTTCAAAGCCCGGGGACCGAAGCGGCCAAGCGAAAAAGATGGGGATCTGCAAGCGAAATAGATGGGGATTTGACCGGGAAACATGGTGGTTTTAGTAAATTTAGTGAAGAAAGATGGGGATGATGGGATTTTTGCAGTTTTTTTTTGGTGCAAAAGATGGAGATGTTACCCGAGATTTTACCAAGAACCATGCTATTTCAACCCCAAAAATGGGAGCTTGGGATTCCAAAGACCCATGAACTAGCCATGGATTGATATCATCAAGGGATCATTGGAAAAAGAAAGGCAAGCAACATGACAACATGAACTTTGTGTGCAACAACACATGATACTCTACCAGAAACTTTGGTGGTATCCCAATTGAGACGCCTAACCCCTTTGTGAAATAGTAGGGGTTTATGTTCCCATGAAAGGTGATGGTCATCCCCCCCATAAACAGGAGTTAGTATTCAAATTATAAGGACATATAATTAACAAGTAGTTATGTAGTTGAAATATTGAGTTCCAGCGACATCAATAGGAGTTACTATGCAAATTACCTAACTCCTATTATAGTTACTATACATCCTTAGCACATGACATATGCGAAGTTTCATTGGACCAGCCCTAAATGGGATGACAGGTCAACTTGCTGAATTGTCCGGCAAGAAGAAACCTGCAAGCGCTGAAGATTTGTCTTCTTCATCTGGATAGGACACAGACAGCGCATGGGAATTTTGAGTTTTTTTTTGGGCTCCTTTTGTTGGATGATTTTGAACTTTTATGACTGGATAGAAGGTGGGTATGTTCTAGTAAGATGATGGAACCCAAATGATCTTCCAAGTTCAACTGCTGATTTGTCACAAGGGGAAACAACTTCAATGGTGCAATTCTGCGGGCTGTTTCCCGCTCCCAAGAGTGCAAGTTGCACCCGACCAAACCATGTAAATTATGGTTGATATATTAGGGGAATATGATGGTTTCCTTAGACACATACATATATTGAGCAAAAAACATATGATTATATGTACATATGCATAAGAGACACACAAACAGACAGTCAGATTCCAAGCACTTGTCGGTGGACCGCTTTGTCGTCCATGCGTCCCAAGAAGCCTTCCTTCGTATAGGTTTCTTCAACTGGAAAATTCCGCCCTCGCCTTGTGGGGTAGTACCAGTATATGATCATTTCCGAAGCCTATGGGATCAACTGTGGAAACCTTGCTGCAACTGCCTGCTGGCACGAGCTCCAACTTGAAAGGCGAGATCTTGTGTGGGGGCCCTATTTCCATAAATAATTTTCGGAGGGCCGAAAGGTCAGATCAGCTATCTATCTATCTATCTATCTACCTATTTATCTATCTGTCTATCAATCAATCAATCATCAGTCAATCAATCGATCAATCAATCTATCTATCTATCCATCTATCTATCTACCCATCTATCTATCTATCTATCCATCCATCCATCCATCCATCCATCCATCTATCCATCCATCTATCCATCTATCCATCTATCCATCTATCCATCGATCCATCGATCCATCGATCCATCGATCCATCCATCTATCTATCTATCTATCTACCTACCTACCTATCTATCTATCTATCTATCCCTCTCTCTCTCTCTATCTCTATCTACACACATATCCTGAGAACTGTTGGTAACAGCCGTACTTTTTGAGCATAACGTCCCCATTCTTCTTGTTTGAATCCCAAGTTTGCCTGGTCGAATTCGTGTTTTTCTCGTAACTTGACCATTTGACGGTTTGAATTCATTCCTTTGGGTGTTTTTTGGGTGTTTTCCAGCCTCCAGGAGGAATTGCTCCGGGAACTCTTGGGCAATACCTTCAACTGCCACGTGGAACAGCGCGTGGTGCGCAATGATGCGCAATGCAACATGTCTCAACGTTCCAAGGCGACTGACGTGGCGATTCTCGCTCGCCTCGCACAAAATGGTTGCAGACAGGGCTGGCCTGAGTTTCCCACTTGCTTGGAGTGAAAACGGGTTTGTCTGAAAATTGGGTATACCACCAAATGGTTATTTTGATAGGGACAATTATTATAAAGAAATGAGTTTAGGGGAACGCAATGTCAGACAAACCCACATGACATCGAGTCCTTTTTTGGTTTAACCCTTTGATGCTTAAACCTGGCATTTTGATGGAAAAATGATGGTGGTTGACTCGCCAAACAGCGATGTTTCTATGGAAGAAATGTAGAGAACCCCTGTAACCCACTAGATGTCAGATGTGACACGATGTCTTCACATGCCAGAGGTGTTTTTGGGAGTTCTCACCTTCTTTGCCGCAGCGTTACCCACTTTGGCTAAGAGATCCAAAAGGTTTAGCCGAGAGCCATGAACATTTGCAGTATTCCTACATGAGCATGAAAGCGCAGGAAAACCCAAAAAATAACAGTGAAACAATAATAGATTTGACTGCAGATACTCAGCCCGAAGCATCCAGCCATACGGAGCCCTGGCAAGCGCCAGGAGGCAGCTGGTGTGAAGTTCAGATACGATTTCCTTTCGTGTGGGAAGTCACTCTCACATAAATATGTCTATCATTTCTGGGTATCCCCATGCTTTGCAGCTTGCCTTTGCTTGTTACCACCTCAGTTCTTTGTTTTTTGACCGTCAGCTCTTACAGATCAGTCCCAGCGTTTTTGATGACCATCCTTGGTGGAAAACCAGGAAAAACTACAGGAAACCATGTGCGCTTACCATCTCCACAACATTCATTGGATTGGTTGAAGGGAAAATCGAAAAAAATATGGGGTTTTCCAGTAATTTTTCCCTTTAATCCAATGAAACATAGACACCAACAAAGGGAACGACGATTTTCAGTTGGACTGTGAGTTGGTCGACTTCAGGAAGTTTGGCATCATGGGGGTGACCCACTCGATGGAGGAGGGCCAGGCCCGGGAGGACGACGGGCATTTTTCGGGATTTCACGACCAAAAAGTGGGATTCAACGAGAAAAAAATGTAGATTGAACTGATTGAACCATGACTGGTTGGTGGTTTGGAACTGAATTTTATACATTCAGTTGGGAATGTCATCATCCCAACTGACGAACTCATATTTTTCAGAGGGGTAGGGCTCAACCACCAACCAGAGGAATATGTGGTGATTTCACCAGCGATGGGTGAAATCCCCATGGTGATTTCACCAAACATCATCCCCTCCAACCAGGATTTTCGCAGGCTATGACGAATAAACATTGGGGCGCTGACTGGCTGGAAATGGGAATACACATATGTCTATATAGTTTATATAATAGTTTATAAAATAGTTTATACAATATATATATACATATACATATGTATATATGTAAATATGTAAATATGTATATATGTATATATGTATATATGTATATATGTCTATATGTCTATATGTCTACATGTCTATATGTAAATATGTCTATATGTAATTATGTCAATATGTATATATGTAAATATGTAAATATGTATATATGTATATCTGTATATCTGTATATCTGTGTATCTGTATGTCTATATGTCTGTATATATGTATATATGTATATATGTATATATGTATATATATGTATATATATATGTATATATGTATATATATATATGTATATATGTCTATATGTCTATATGTCTATATGTCTATATGTCTATATGCCTATATGCCTATATGTCTAGATGTCTATATGTCTATATGTCTAAATTTCTATATGTCTATATGTCTAAATTTCTATATGTCTATATGTCTATATGTCTATATGTCTAGATGTCTATATGTCTATATGTCTAAATGTATATATTGCTATATGTCTATATGTCTATATGTCTTTATGTATATATATGTATATATGTATATATGTCTATATGCCTATATGTCTAGATGTCTATATGTCTATATGTCTAAATGTCTATATGTCTAAATGTCTATATGTCTAAATGTCTATATGTCTAAATGTCTATATGTCTATATGTCTATATGTCTATATGTCTATATGTCTATATGTCTATATGTCTATATGTATATATGTATATATGTAAGTTTGTATATATGTATATATGTACATATGTCTATATGTATATATGTATATATGTATATATGTATATATATATATGTATATATGTATATATGTATCTTGGTATCTTGTGAGGGGGTCACTCCGAGATTCACCAGCATGATGGAATCCTCATGAGCCAAACAGTAAGTATCCTTACTTATCCAATTTCCTCCCCAGACCAATCCCCATCTTCGATGGCTATCCCCATGGAATGTTTCTTTTTGCTCCAGTTTTGTTGGCGGAATCCTCATTCGATTCGCATTCTTTGATATTTTTGGGTGTTTTGGATGATTCATTTTGCAGTAACTTACATTTTTTGATGGTGGGCCCAGTTAGGCTGGACCACGCACCCCTAGGTGAAACGCATCAGCAAAGCTCTGAATGGAAGCGCAAAGGCGATCCAGGTTAGGTCCGGTCACGGGAAATGGGGATGCAAAATCTGGATGAAACATATGGTGATTTAGTGGTGATTTTAATTGAGATTTAATCCAGATTTGGGGATTTGATGGTGATTTCATCCAGATTTTGGGGATTCAATGGGGATTTAACCAAGAATAATGATGATTTATATAATCGGGATTTAACATGTTTTTTCCCGCATCAAACATGGTGATTTATTGGGATACCATGTTTTGTTTTGGATTTAATGGGATAACATTGGATGAGAAACAACATGCAAGAACAGAATTTGGATCTACTGGGAATGGGGATTCATGGGGTATCTAACCTTGAATGGTAGTTGATAGATGGGATATATGAATCCCATGTCCCTTTTTTTGAACACCCTAGGTGTCTCTGGTCCCAAAGTCATGGTGTAAAAGACCGGTGAAAGCAGGGGGAAACTGGTATTTTTGACTCTTAAGGGGATGGGATAAATATGAATTGGATACCAGAACGGGGAATTTACAGAGTCATTTGTATATGAGTTATTTAATTCAATTGGATAGCTCCCAGAATAACCATAATTTGAACAAACTGGGAGGGGTTATGAGTTTTTGAGGTACACAGTATACAGTTACAGGGGGAAGAATCTAGTGGATGATTGTTGGAGAGGCCATGATGGACGCAGAAAAGCTGGAGGAATTCATATTATAATTCATCCCTTCGCCAGAAATCATCCCTTGACCAGAAAGGGGTGGGATTGAAACCATCTCGGAATTGTGTATACTCAACGCCAACGAAACCCTGGTGGAATGTATTCTGGATGGCTCTCCATGAATTGGGGGCCGAAAAATTGGAGGGTACCCTCTGGAAATCTAACATAGCTATGGAAATATCTTTTTGAATAGGCAAATCATCTATAAACGGTCCATTTTCCATAGCCATCTTAGTTTACTGGAGGGTATCTAATTTGACCGGGGGCTAGGATTATAAGAGATTGTAAGAACCTCACTATATAGCTGACGTCACAGAGATGGTTATTGAGGATGTCCTCAAGTGACCCTGCACGTGGGTGCATGATTTTTCCTGCAGCCAAATATTGATGAGGCAAACTCAGCCAGAACAAATGAAGATGCCAGCAGCAAACCTATGTTTTCCTCCTTTGAACAAACTAAGTTGAGGGTATTCGTATCTGGCACCATGATTTCTGTCAACATTTTATAACACCTGGCAACCTCAGCATAGATGCTGGCTCATCTTTGTGGAACGTCCGTTTCAGCTGTCATAAATTGCTTGGAGCAGTGATTTACAAACATGATGTAAGCGATGGGATCTTCGCAAATGGCGATACCCCATGCCCACCAAATTTGCCCATCAGAATGACTTTGTACAAACGTGTAGTAATGTATTAAGCGATCTGACCTTTCCAAATTTGTTGATGTCCTTTTCAAGAACCTTGAGTCTTGAGTTTCCAAGATTGCTCAGTTTTGGATCAGGGGATTGTATCTGCAGCATTAACGTTTTCCAGTGGGTTGACCCTGGAGACCTGATGGACTATGCTTTTGAAAAATAGATATTACTTTCAATTTTGACCCATACGATCAATGTATGTGAGTGATGAGAAATGAGTTGTGTTTCAGGAAGCTTATGAATGACTCGTTCTCGAAAACTTCAAGTGGTTTTTTCGCATGACATGACGCCAAGTGCCAAGTGCACCATTTTTCACCCAGGGCATCAACACGAAATTTGACCTCATTGACGAACATGTGCAGAAGATGATGGAATTCAACCGGGCAACCAACAGCAAGGTGTGAAAACGTCGATGGGCTCTGACTTGAATCTGTTGTAGAACTGAAGTAGCATCTTTTCCTCAGATGTTGGAAATAATGCTTCCATACATCAACACTCGTCAACTCAGTGCAATCTCAACAGACTCCAACAAGCCAATTGCAATGTTCAATCGGAAGTGCCCCGGCGGTCAAGGTGAACAACGTGCTGTCTTCATTTGAGCGTTTGGACGACACGGTACGGTTCTCGAGTCGAACAACACTGTATGGTGGGAATCTGGACAGACGACTGATGTGAACTGAGCACAACGCTAAGTCTGAAGATATCAATTGTTTTTTTCGTTGGACATGATGTGGGCTACCCCAATTCATGGTTGTTTTCATAGGAAACTGATGACCTATGGAATTTTGAGGGTATAATGGTCCCCCATTTTGAGACAACTCGGAGTGGGATTCAGTGGACATCCCTGCAGTAAGCCCTGGCCGTTCGCTTCGGTGAGTTCGCCATGGTGTCAGCTTGCCCCACGTTCGATGATTTTTGTTGATATAGATCAAATCCAGATATGTAAATCAGGAATCTATCAACAACATATCCATGAAATATCATCGCATCAAATTCCATCATTACATAATAACCATTATCATCCATTATCCATCATTACATTATTTATCATTACATTATCATCCATTATATCCACCATTACATTATTTCACCAATAAACAAACACCATTCTTCGGTCTTCGTTGACCCAGCCACGCTGCACTGAGTTCAATGACCGGGCGGAGATGTTGCTGGAGTCTTTGGTAGGTGGAACTCATGGGTTTCCCTCAATGAGACCCATGGAAAAATGCTAGGGTTTAAGCGGTTTCGTATGGTTTAATATGGGTAAATATGGTTTAATATGGTTGAATCTGGTCTGGTTTAAGCATCAGTATGAAAACATGGGGGATTTGGGATATTTGATTGGGATTTTTTGATGAGAAATGCGACACCGACTCGCCGTAATCTTTTCGCCACCTAAAGATGGTAGGTATGGTTCTGTCTGAAAATAGGGTATGCCCCAACATGCTCATTTGGGGAACAGGGGAACAGGCTGATTGCCGAGTAGATTGAGGATTCCCAATTCAATTCAAGAAACGTTGGGTATGGCAGGGTATGGCTTATTTTTTTCCCAAAACACTTTGATGGTCGAAACAACAAACACAGGGATGTTTTTCTAAAATCAGCATGGTAGGCCTTCTCAAGTAGTAAACTTATGTAAACTTGATGATTTCTGAAGGACAGCCAAATTTGTCCATTCCAAGAATTCCTAAGTTCTAAGTTTGAAATGGATTCCATGAAATCATGCACAACTTTGTCCATTTCATCCGCATTTTTTGCTGTACTTGACGTACTCATCACTGGCGCCATGGCTTTTCAGGTGCAACAAACACGTTGACCGAGGTCCTAGAGGCTGGGGAACATTGGGGAAAATGACGGGGACTGGTTATGCTAAAATGATGAACAATACCTAATATGCTAATGTATCAATATATATATACACTTAATATACTTAAAAACATACTACAATATGTGGGAGGGTTTCCCTGAAATTTTATCGACCGCAGCTTGCAGTCTAATGTGACTGGTTTTTGGTTGAGATTGGTACGAGTCACGACAGTCACGGTGCCCACTCCTTGAGGCAACGATTGCCTGGGGGTCAATTTACATCATCCCACTATAGTAATGTGGTAGACCCAATGCCATAAACCATCCCCAATCAATCGCCATTTTTATGGCTGGAATTCCAGCCATCCCAAATGGTGTATATTGGATTTAACACATTACTGAGCCAATTAGATTCCAGCCCCTTTCAAGGGGATGGTGCCTATTACTATTCGGGTTTCCTCAGTCAGTATCCTTTTTTGATCTCGACACTTGGATATTCTTCTAATTCATTGATGGAAACCACCAACATTTTGATGGCTTATCATCATTTCCCTTTTGAAGATAGTCATGGCTTGGGGTTCATCCCCCATTTTGAGACACATCCAAATATCATGTGTATCATGTGGGTTATACATCCCATTATATCCCCAAGTATATCCCATGATCTCTACACCCGAGAAGATCCTACAGCTCGAGTCGGACAGGCGGCCGCGGTGTCGCTGGACAAGGTGCCATCCAAAATACTGGTGATTTAGTCATCATGGTTGTACCATGGGGAGATGATGGTATGTAAATTTTATGTATATATATAATTATATAGACATCCAAAGTGGTGCCCTAGTTCGGTAGCTAAGTTGGTAAGAAAAGTAACATGATAGGTGTGGTTTGTGGTAGATAATCTATAGTTCTTGGGGTTTATAAACCAGCTTAAAACTAGGGGGCGCCACCTTGTATCAATAGCACTAGGGCGATAGGGGTTTCAAAATCCAACCAAATCTCCATTTAGTTCGGGGATTTTTCACTAAGTCTGCCATATTGTTGGGTTTTGGAATGCGGGGTAAGTCTGCTACATGATGTTGAAACGGGACTTCAGTCCCCCATGAGAAATTAAAAACACTCCCCAGCAGTGCCTTAGCACATGGTTCGACCAGAAAATGGAATGTATATGCATATACACATAATTAATGATTATAAGACCAAATAAATGCTTCCTGCTTACAGTACTTCAGGTTTATGAAATGCCATAAACTGCCAAGATGGGGGGCTATGATTGATATGTTGTGACCTAGAACCAAGCATCCATCGTTTTGGCCTCTTTCCTTTCTGGCAGGTCAATATCCGACAAGAGCTTGACAACATCCCGAAGGAGCGCTGAGTTTTAGGACTTGGCTCGGCAAGTCATTGAACCGCCAGACAAGTCACTGGTAATGGGGAATCCTGGAACTACATTGTTAACCAACAATAATGGGGACAAACGGGGGATATTTATTGGGATGTACTGACAGGATATCATACATCAAACCTGCATATTATGAACATCATCAAACTCAACTAATCTATATAAATTGGAGATTTTCCGACAAGCCATACCATGGCCTTTCGCACCACTTGAAATTGCAATTTGGCACCATTTCTGAGTCCATTTGAAATACGACTTGAAACAGATAGAAAGATGTTTTCCCTTCAGTTTTCCGTGTTGGTTGATGATTATATAGTTCGGGTTTATCCCTATTAATGTTAGTACAGTAAAGCAAGAATAAAACTACCATGTTTTGATGGTTCATACCACCCAGTTATGGTAAAATTGGGCATGGTTTACTATTGCTTTAGTAACACTATCAATTGTGATGCTTAGATCCCCGTAAAACCCAATTTTTCATGGTTAAATCACCATGTTTCACCATTTTTGTGGGTAAAATCAGCCATGAACTCCTTCCTTCCTTGCCTCCTTGGAGGCCATGATCACCCTGGCCATCCCCTTTGTGATCCTGGTGATCGAGCTGGCGGTGTCCAACGCGCCTCGCCGCAAGGTTTGAGGCAACCGGTCCAACCAGTCCATTGGCCGTGTCTTCTGTTGATCAACTCATGATGGCTATGGGTGCCCAATGACTTTTTCCGGGGCCTGGGCCCCCTCTAAATCCCTACATCAGAAAGGGGAAGTGTGATTCACCGTAGTAAATTCACCATGATTTCATCCTATTTCATGGCAATAGATTGAATATGTTTCAATCTTTTTGGACAAACTCATTGAATCTGCTCACATTCGAAAGGGAGTTGGCTTCTAAGGCCTACTTGGGGATCCTGTTGGCTTCTCTGCCCAGCGTGCTGCTGACAGATTTATTCGATCACCCGTAAATTTGTCCAGAGGAGCAGTTCGAGTCAGAATTGGCGCTGGCTGAAAACACATATATATATATATAATTCACACATACATATACATATACATATACATATACATATACATACACAGATACACAGATACACAGATACACAGATACACAGATACATACGTACGTACGTACATACATACATACATACATACAGACATACATACATAAATACAGACATACAGACATACAGACATACAGACATACATACATATAGACATATAGACATATAGACATATAGCCATATAGACATATAGACATATAGACATATTGACATAGAGACATAGAGACATAGAGACATAGAGACATAGAGACATAGAGACATATAGACATAGAGACATAGAGACATAGAGACATACAGACATACAGACATATAGACATATAGACATATAGACATATAGACATATAGACATAGACATATACATAGACATAGACATACATAGACATACATAGACTTACATAGACATACATAGACATACATAGACATACATAGACATACATAGACATACATAGACATACATACATGCATGCATACATGCATACATGCATACATGTATACATGTATACATGTACACATGTACACACACATGTATATATATATAGATATAAACACATAGTTCCACCCAAACTTGGATGGTTTGATACTGAACATGACACACTTTGCAGGTCTCTGCACCATTAACGCCGTACATCGCTTGCTTTTGACGTGCCAGGTCTCCTTGAAGTACTCGAATTATTTGATCGCCTATGCGAGCGCAACCCTCATGGGCTGGGAACTTAGTCCCGTTCTGCCGGTCGTGGAAGGTATTCTTGTCCTTGGGTACGGGTATGATGGATCAAATTACTTATTCCCATATGACTGGGGGAAGAAACATCCGGTATCATCCAGCTATGACTTGTTGGGTACCGCCCAAATCCCAAGGGGTTGATGTACCACTATCGTACTGGTTGGGTCTCCATGGGTATCCCTGATAGTCATGGGATAGATAATTCCCAAAGTCAAGCAGTTTAGGTTACTAAACACCTCATTTCAGAACCAGTCAACTATCAATTCTATCAATATTCAAATCCATTTGTTTAAAATCAGTTTAGTGGTTAAATTACCATATTTCATGCCTGATCAACAAGGGTATGCATGGCTCAGGTCTTTTCCTGAGCTTGATGTGGCTGGTGTGTTACCGTGTTCGAACCTTGAGAGACTCAAGGGAGACTGGTTTTGTTGGATGGGCCACCCCCAAAAAGACAATGATAAATCCATTTTATGGCCATTTCATGATGATTCACCACTGGAATTTTGGAACCTTTTCCCTAATTTTATTTCAGACAAAGGCACACTAATATCTATGCTAACCCGGCCCCGGGGGTAAAGAGTAAATAGTCTTGTCTGTGTTCCTCAGGCTTTGGTTCAAGCTTAGCCTATGTGCACTAGTTGCCGGGGACGCTTTGGCCTCCCTGTAACTTCTAGCGGCTGTTGCGAGGTGTGCGTGGCTCTTCAGAGGCTGAACAGGTTGGTCCTGACCAGGCATCCGGCGGAGGAGTCGGATACCCTCCACAGGCTTCTTTTGAGGACTGTGGCTAAGATCGAAGGCTTTGTGGAGGAGTGGGAAGCCAACTTAGCCCTGCAAGGACCTTTGTTCGGGGGAATATCCCTGGGAGTCGGGGAAGGCTCCACCCAAGAGACCGGCAGGTCTAGCCTTCCAGGCCTCACACCGGTCTCGAAGCGGGCCAGCGCACCTCAGAGGAGGACCTCGGGGGAATCCCCTGTCAGGCGAGAGGAAAGGAGGGAGGAAGCAGCACAGGCATCAGCTTCCCGCCCCAAGGCGGAGTCACCGCAGCGGTCAAGGAGCAAAGAGGTGAAGAAGGACAAGAAGAAGAAGCGCAGGTCAAAGAAGCCCAGTCGGGACCGAGACAGAGACAGAGCAAGAAGGAAGAAAAAGGAAGACGTGGAGGAAGAGCCACCACGAGTAGTAAAGGAAGAAGAGACAAAGGAAGAGGAGGCAGACTTTGGTGACGAGACAGAGGAGAGTGCATCGAGGGAACCCAAAAAGAGTCCCTTGAAAAGTCACCACGGCGATTCCCCTAGAGCAGAGAGGAGGGAGGATAAGGTACCCAAATCACCCTCGCGATCCCCTCCTGGTTTCAGACGTGAGCCTGGACCAGAGGAGGACGAAAGGGAACCTTTGGCCAGAAAGACCGACAAGCCAAAGAAGGATAAAGGATACAACCACTACATACGAGGGCAGGAGTTTCGCGACAAGTACGGGTACAACAGAGGTCGTGGTCGGGGAACCACGTACTACGCCCCTAGGTGGTAGCGATGCCGCCGAAAATTCGAAGAAGACCTGCCGCAGTGGTAAAAGCAAAAGCGGCAGCCCGGATTATCGGAAGAAACGCGCGGGGGACAGCCCCTGGAGGGATGAGGAGGCCCGCAGCTGCAGTGGGCGAGGATCCACACCCCAGTCGCTTGGAAGTAGGGGCCTATCTTCTGAGCGAGGACGCCCATTACTATGGGCAGGCGGGGGCGGTTGCAGGTCGGATCAAAGAAGTGACAGTGGAGGACGGCCGCACGATGCTGAGCATGGCATTGACCGGGACGAACATAGACGCCCTCCTGCAATGGGGCACACAGAAGGAAGGAACGTGCAGGTGGCATCTATGTCCAGCCGGTTGCACTCGGGATCTGGAGGACGACGGCCTCGTGCACGTTACTCGATGTCGAGCAGTGAACCCAGGAGACCTCGATCACGTGGGGTGGGCCACGAATCTTCAGCCAGTTGTTCCACGAGGAGACTTGGAGGACGAAAACGCAGGCCTGAGGAAGAAATTAAAAGAGCTTCAAGACAAGAAGAAGGAGGAGAGGAGAAGTCCAGACAGGAAAGACAAGAAAGCCAAAGATCGAGGTCGAGAGAAATCAAGAGAGAAAAAAGACCCGAAGAAGCGCTCAAAGAAGAGCCGGACCAGATCGCAGAGCGAGGAAAGAAGAAAGAGAAAAAAGAAGAAGGCAAAACGGGGGTCCAGCCCTGCCAGCGTGGGAGGATCCCGCGGAGGCGACAGAAAGAGGTCGAGGGGAAAGCCCTTGGAGAGGACAAGCGACTCTTCGTCCAGCGCTACCGGCGAGGGTCAAGTCAGTCAGAAGAGGATGTTCAGAGGAACCGCACTGGACCTGTCCTCGAGAGTGAGGAAGCGGGTCTACCGCCGGGCTCAGCGCTTTATCAAGCGGAAGAAGAGCAGCTCGACGGGGTCAAACTCTTCGGAAGGCTCGAACGAGGACACCCTGAAAACCGAGAACGTGCCCCTGTTTGGAGACGAGTTGAAGATCCGGGGGCTGGCAGAGAGGTTCCCGGGGTTGATGGCCTCGGAATCCCTCCGGGGAATTGGGAGGATGGTCTCCATGGATATGGGGGATGGGCCCCACACTTCGAAGGCCTGGCACCCCCTCCTGGTGCGGTACTACCGCCAAGTCCTTTCGAGGCGCATCTCCGGTGCGATGGGCAGGGAGTTGCTCACGCACTGCAGTATCATCGACTCCTTGCTGGAGGGCAAGGTTGCCCAAGCCTTGGATATCAGCTTGCAGAGGATCAAAGGTTTGGAACTGCAGGCTGGTGGCACCAGCTACCAGATCAGTCAACGGTTGGAGGTTATCCCCTCGGAGCAGGGAATCCTCCCTTCGCGACAGGAGCTGGCTATAATCCAGAAGGAGCGAAACCAAGAGGCGAAGGCCTATGGAGGAGCGTCACACACGGGGATGGGATCCCTGAGCAAAGGGAAAGGAGCTGGGAAGGAGGACAGGCCGACGTACAAGGGCAAAGAGCCCAAAGGGAAAGGGAAGGCGAAGAGCGAAGGGAAGAAGCAAGAGGAGAACAGGAAGACCGCTTGAGGCCGACAAGCGTGCTGAGCTATGAGCCGGGGGTTGAGAGCCCTGTTTGGCCAGAGAAGGTAGGAATCAAGATGCGTGGTTTCTACCCACGATACCATGGGCCACTGTCTGACAAGACGGTGCTGATTTTAGGCACAGAGGAGCTGGATAGCCGGCAATTTTCAAGCTTGGCCACCAGCGCCAGTGCCTTGGTTTTTCAACCAGACTCCGAGGCGTCTTGCCCGAGCAAAAAGGAGCCGCCGCTGGGGTTGCCGTTGAGTAGACTAGGACGGTTGGTTAATGACAGGTTCCTTGAAGTCTTGCTTCACAGCCAGCCCATGGGGAAGGGAAGTTCTTCAACTATTTTTCCCCTCCCCACTTCAAGGGACGTGATTTCTCGTTTTTTCGATCCTGTTGGTGATTTTGTGGTTGATTGGATTGTTGCTATTACTTTGGCATTAAATTCATATTGGGGAGGGCCTCTTTTTAATGAAAAGGCCATCTCTGTTGTGCATGGGAAGATTTTGGAAAGTTTTTTGCATGATGTACAGCGTATTTGTGATTTAACAGATACGGTGGATGAATTCGATTGGACTTCCTTTTTTAGATGTCGGACAATAGACTATAGAGGTGAGGAGGTTAAGACGGCAAAGTTTTTCTCATGGGCCAACATAGGCCCCGCTCTCCCCAAGGAAATTGGGGTTGTTGAACTGAGGGATCTCTGCGAACAGGGCTGTCAGTATTATGTGGATCATTTCCCTGACTTTTTGAAGGACAGGGCAGTATGGCCATCTGTCAAAAGGAGTAGAGTCATGGTCAAGGATGAGGACTGGCCAGAAGTGGCCCGTAATCTGGTGAGCCGTGGAGTTTGTCAGGTGATCCCTGAGTCTGAGATTTTCAGGGTGCACGGGGAATTGCTGCTGAATGGTTTGTTCGGCGTTGAGAAGGGCGAAGAGTGTGATGGCGTTCCTACCTATCGCCTTATAATGAATTTGGTGCCCCTTAATGAGATCTGCCTCAACCTGGCTGCTGACATCGCCGGGTTACCCCACTGGCTAGGTATGAACCCCTTTGGGTTGGAGCCATCGGAAGGATTGCTCATCTCTTCAGAGGATGTGAGGTGCTTCTTTTATACATTAGCTCTTCCGCCAATCTGGAAACCATTTTTGGCTTTCAACCGGGAGGTTCCCATGGACCTCCAGCTGGACGGCTGCAATGAACCGTCTTACCTCACTGCGGTCGTACTGCCGATGGGATTTATAAATTCAGTCGGAGTGGCTCAACACGTCCACAGAGTGCTCGTAAAGCGCTCCCTACCACAGCCTGAACGTGATCTGGCTTCCCGTGAGATTAGGAAAGATGCCCCCTTGCCTGAATCCAATTCAACGTGGAGAGTATATTTGGACAACTATGACCTTTTGGAGAAATTCCCAAAAGAGGTTCTTTCAGAATTTCAGGGGACTGTTGCCCCCGAGGTAGCTGGGCTTCGTGGATCATACTCCATGGTAGGCATGCCAAGACATGAAGGAAAAGCTGTGGCACGGCAGGTGACCGCGGAGGTGCAGGGTGCCTTGGTAGATGGCGAACGGGGTCTTGCCTTCCCCAAGGGGGCCAAACTGATCAAATACGTGGTGATGGCCCTGCTTTTCTGCCAGCTGGAACGTTGCAACCAAAAACAGGTACAGGTTATTTGTGGAGGGCTAGTGTACTTTACCATGTTCCGTCGGCAGCTCTTGGGTTCTTTGAACCAGTGTTGGTCTTTCATTGAATCTTTCAATCATTGTGGGCGACATTGGCAGCTTGTCCCCAACCTGGTTAAACTGGAGGTGCTGCGTTGTGTGTCCTTGGTGGCTTTATGTCGTATGGATTTCAGACAACCCATGCACCAACAGGTAACGTGTAGCGACGCATCTACTTCGGGTGGGGGAATGTGCTGCTCTACGGGGTTGAGCCCTGCAGGTGAGCTGGTAGCCCATGGGATGCTGCGGCCAGAAGGTAATGCGATGGATGGACGTCCCAAGGTCTTGAGTGTGGGACTTTTTGACGGCGTGGGATGCCTTCGGCTGGCCCTCGACCTTTTGGGTGCAAACGTGGCCGGCCACATCTCGGTGGAGAAACAACAGCCTGGACACAGAGTGGTAGAGTATCATTTCCCGGGTTCTCTCCTGTTAGATGACATGGAGAAGGTCACCGAGGCGGACGTTCGGGGATGGTCCCTGCAATTTGGACAAGTAGATTTGGTTTTGTTGGGTGCAGGCCCACCGTGCCAAGGTGTTTCAGGTCTTAACGCAAGCAGACGTGGTGCCTTATTGGATGAGCGAAGCAGTCTTTTCATCCATGTGCAGCGTATTAAGGAGCTGCTGCGGAAACACTTCCCTTGGTGTCCTGTGCAGGTGATCATGGAGTCGGTGGCGTCCATGGACAATTCAGACCAGCAAGTGATGAGCGATAGCTTCGGGGATGCTCCCTGGCGAATCGATGCAGATCAGATGACGTGGTGTCGGAGACCACGGTTGTACTGGGTCACATGGCAGATCTCTACAGGGCCCGGGGTGAGCATTGAAGACCAGGTGGTAACCCTGAGTGCAAATGTCGAGCTGGAAGAGTTCATCTCACCGGGGTCAACCAAAGTCAACCCTGATCGCGCGTTCCCGACCTTTACTGCGTCACGACCGCGGGCAGCACCGGGGCATCGCCCTGCAGGTATCAACCACTGCGACCCAAACACGGTCCAGCGGTGGAAAGATGATTGCCATCGATACCCTCCCTATCAGTATCTACCGGATAATTGCTTACAGAATCGTCTCGGGGAACTTCGCCTGCCCAACATTGACGAAAAAGAACTTATGATGGGGATGCCGCTTGGCTATACAAACCCCTGCTATCCAAAAACGCAGCGGAAATCTCAGGAGCATTTGGATATGCGACACACATTGGTGGGCAATGCTTGGTGTGTTCCAGTTGTCAGTTGGCTTTTGGGGCAGTTGTTGGGGCCTTTGGGGTTCACTGACAGCTTGGGACCGCAAAGCATCATGGATCGTCTTAATCCCTCTAAGACTTTGGATGTACGCAGCCGCCTTCTTCGCCCTGCTTTACGTGTCGTGGGTCCGCCCATGCCTAGTGAGCCTGGCCGCCTGGAGCAACTCCTCTCTCGCCTGGTGAGCGCCAAAGGTGAAGATATCTTGTTGAACTCAGGTACGGAGCAAGTCGGTTCTTTTCAGCGTCTTCGGCAGACCGTGCCGTCCAGGCTCTGGAAATGGAAAATCATCTCGGGATGGAAATGGAAGCACGGCAAGGAGCATATAAATGCTTTGGAAATGCGTGCTCTGGAAGCGACCATCAAATGGAGGGTCGAAAAATTGGGCGAATTGCGATGCAAATTCGTTCATTTGACTGACTCATTAGTTTGCCTTCATACTGTGAGTAGAGGGCGTAGTTCTTCTAAGAAACTGCGCCGAAGTGTGTGCCGATTGAACGCGTTATTGCTGGCCTCGGGGGTCTCCCCTGTATGGGGTTATGTCCACACGGACCAGAACCCGGCGGATAAACCCAGCCGCTGGGCGGTCCGTACCAAATTCCGCAATGCCAAGACGCGTAGTTGAGAGTCGGGACCCCAAAGTTCGGGCCCAGCAACGACGTCAATTAGGCACACTTAAAGAACTCACAGTACAACCAGCGACACGAATCAGATATGATAAAGCCGTAGCAGCCTTTCTACAGTTCCTCCAAGATAATCATCTACAACTCCCTCGTCAACGTGATCGTATTGATGCCCTGGCAGCAGAGTATCTGGAACATCTTTGGGTCACAGGAGCAGGTCGAGGACTTGCCTCGGATACCCTGGCAGGCCTGCAAGATCAAGATCAACGGTTGAAAGGAATGTTGCAAACCTCTTGGAGATTACTAAAGACGTGGCATACCCACGAAATCCCTTGCCGTGCCCCTCCTTTTCCTGAGTATGTTCTTCACTGCCTCGTCGGGTGGGCCCTGCTAAAGCAACAGTTCAGCTTTGCTGTCAGTTTGATGGTCGGGTTCTATGGGTTACTAAGAACGGGGGAATTACTGTCCCTGGAAAAACGGCATTTTTCCTTCTCCGTATCAACTGGTGTCGTTGTGGTCTCGTTGGGTTTTACGAAAGGTGGTCAACGAATGGGGGTCGCCGAAAGTGTCACTTTGACCCACGAGACAACAGTTCGGTTTTTGCGGCAATGGATGAACCTAAGTTCTGACCATCAAAAATTTTTCTCATCGCCCGCTCGGTGGCGTGCGATGTTTGCGCAAGGCTTGACAGAACTCAAATTGACTGAGTTTGAATTTCGCCCGTACTCACTGAGGCGAGGTGGAGCAACCTGGTATTTCTCAAGATTTAATAGCCTGGATAAGGTGATGATCATGGGACGATGGCAGGCCGCTCGAACTGCGCGCCTTTACCTGAACGAAGGATTGTCCACTTTGGCTGAGATGCACTTCCTACAGTTTAAAGTCCGACTTTCACCGTTTCACCAAACTTTCAAACGTTCTAATCCCTCCTATTACCAAACCCTTGAGCCGCCTAAAGGCAGGGCGGGGGGACTTGGTAGAAGAGTCAAATCAGGGAAAAATGAGCCTAAAAAGGCCAAGAAAAGAAGGAGGTGATATAAAGGAACCCTGTAGTCCTAGGGTGCTAGGGTCTGGCCAGCCCCTAGGGGGGTATCCCATTTTTTGCAAACGATCCTTGAGGCCCCTGTGTACAGTGTAAGGATTGTACCAGGGGGGGATCCCTTTCAATCATCCCGGAAGGATGCAATATGTTCCTTTTCTTATGTTTCACTGACAAACTTGCTGTGAAGCGGAACGACAAAAAAGGCGGTTTACTCTTTGCTAACCCGGCCCCGGGGGTAAAGAGTAAATAGTCTTGTCTGTGTTCCTCAGGCTTTGGTTCAAGCTCCCTTTTCCCCCCCCGTTGTCACTTCCCTTGAACCAAAGTCTTACTTAGTAGAAGAGTCAAATCAGGGAAAAATGAGCCTAAAAAGGCTAAGAAAAGAAGGAGGTGATATAAAGGAACCCTGTAGTCCTAGGGTGCTAGGGTCTGGCCAGCCCCTAGGGGGGTATCCCATTTTTTGCAAACGATCCTTGAGGCCCCTGTGTACAGTGTAAGGATTGTACCAGGGGGGGATCCCTTTCAATCATCCCGGAAGGATGCAATATGTTCCTTTTCTTATGTTTCACTGACAAACTTGCTGTGAAGCGGAACGACAAAAAAGGCGGTTTACTCTTTATATATATATATATATATATATGTATATGTGTATGTGTATATGTATGTGTATGTGTATGTGTATGTATATATGTCCATGTATATATAATATATATATATATACACATGATATCCAGGGTCTACAAGTTTGTGGGCAAGCCTGCCAATAAGCTTGTGGGCAGTCTGGCGGCAGACTATGACGGAGGATTGTGTGGTTAGTTGACGCATTATGTTGCCACAGGCATTGGAGTTCAGACTGACCGATGACTTTAGGCCATAGACAAATGATAGATCGATACCCTCTGGTAATTTAACATAGCTATTGAAAATGGCCATTTGTAGTGGATTTACCCATTGGAAATGGTGATTTTCCATAGTTACGTTAGTTTACCAGAGGGTACACGCAAGAAATCTGCGACATTTTTCACCATCAAAGTCACCATCGATTTTGGTGGAGAAGATGCCCTTTTTGGGGTCTACTGGGCCATGTCAAAATCCAATCATTTGGGGATGGGTCAAAAGCTATGAAATTACCATACTGGGGGAATAAACATCAGCCAGATATGACTCACTGGATACGTAGGGTACCAGGGTTTTGACTCACCATTTATACACACATATTATTCGTGGATGATCACGGACTGGAATCCTCCCTAAACAACGAACAGCATCAACAATGCATCAGGTCACTTCAGCAAAGGGTCGCCCCGATTTGATGCTCCAATTCACTATGCCGCACCAATCGCTTAACGTGGCAATGGAGGACTAGCAGGAAGAGCTCCCATGGATGATTTTCCCAGCTACAAACCTCTATTGAATCTATTGAGTGCGGGATTTCCGAGTGCTACGTCTGGAGGTTTGGCTCTCAACCTCGTGTCAGGGGAGAATTGCGAAGAAGGAAGACAAAACGGTCAGAGCCTGAGAAAACAATCACGGTCGCTTTGTCCCAAACAGGGGGTCACTTTAGGTCACCAAGGTGGATATCATCGGGGTATAGTGGCATCTCTTTCTCTCTCTCTCTCTCTGTATATATATAATATATATATATATCTATATCTATGTCTATGTCTATATCTATCTATTTATAATAATATATATATATATATATGTATATATATATATGCACACGTACATACTTAACCTTACGTAGACTAGTCCACACATGGTGGATTTACCCAGAAATTTCTACAGGGAGCATGAGGATTTTGACAACTTAGTAAGTGGCAACAACTGCCGTGCCAGTATTGTACATAGATGTCATTTTGCCATTAGTTGATCGTGCAAAAGGAATACCAGATATCGATAGAGGGGTGCTCCTCATTCTTCGGAAACAATAGGTATACAGTATACATAAATGGAGGTTTCCTAAAATGGGGGTATCCCCAAAGCATCCATTTTAATAGGATTTTCCATTATAAACAATCCATTTTGGGGATCCACCATTTTGAGAAACCCCCAAATGGACATATCAATGGTAGACCAATTCGATCCCTCCATTTGTGCATTGATAGGACATCCATTCTCGACTGTACCTTTTGGGACACCATAGAACCACAGAACATCGTAGATAATGAATATTTTCATATATCCCACGTGGACATACCCTAGAAACATGGCTTAAATATGGATTCTACATTGGTTCATATTCCCCTTTTCCATGATGAAGTTTCGGGGTCTGCCATGTCCTCGTGCCAGGAAGAGACCCTTCAGAGATTAAGTCGCCTGCGGACGCGAAGTCAAAACTTTGGTGACACCCTTGGGTCAGACTCCCCACAGGAAGCGCCTGAAGCCAAAGAAGCGCAGGCGACAGTCCCATGATTCGCATGAAACTGGTGAACTGGTCTGGCACTAAGTGATGGCTTAAACGTTGACTGTTAAAGCCATTATTTTGATGGATTAGTATGGATTGGTAATATTTGATTGACGCATTGACCATCAAGAGCCAATATTCACCCCGCTTCGCGTGGGGTGGCCGCCCACACCGCAGGTTTATTTCGGTCCGTGAGAGGGGCTAAGGGTGGTTTTCCCTCGTAGAGGCTCCCCAAGCTAAGAATTTTCACTTTCCCCCCCCGTGGGGGCTCCCCAAGCTAGGGAATTTTCACTTTTCCCCCCCGTGGGGGCTCCCCAAGCTAGGGAATTTTCACTTTTCCCCCCCGTGGGGGCTCCCCAAGCTAGGGAATTTTCACTTTTCCCCCCCGTGGGGGCTCCCCAAGCTAGGGAATTTTCACTTTTCCCCCCGTGGGGGCTCCCCAAGCTAGGGAATTTTCACTTTTCCCCCCCGTGGGGGCTCCCCAAGCTAGGGAATTTTCACTTTTCCCCCCCGTGGGGGCTCCCCAAGCTAGGGAATTTTCACTTTTCCCCCCCGTGGGGGCTCCCCAAGCTAGGGAATTTTCACTTTTCCCCCCCGTGGGGGCTCCCCAAGCTAGGGAATTTTCACTTTTCCCCCCCGTGGGGGCTTCCCAAGCTAGGGAATTTTCACTTTTCCCCGCCGTGACAGCTTCCCAAGCTATGGAATTTTCACTTTTCCCTCCCTTGGAGGCTCTCCAAGCTGCGGAATTTCAAATAGCTAGACAACGACGCCTAGATAGTCCCCCAAATCCCGTGTTCTTTGAATGTGTTTCCATGTTTTTGCAATGGTTTCCTTCAAAGCACGGTACTTTACACTTTTGTCGCCATAAAACCGGTCGAAAACATCATGTTCGACAATGCTTCCAATTCCCTTATCTCCCCAACCGTTGAAAATACCGCTATTTACAGTGTTTTCTTCAATTTTTCCATGTGCCAATGCCGGTAGCCAACTCCAACATATATATAAGAAATCCTTCCAAAACATTTTTTTTGACAGTGTTTTTCCAATGTTTCCAGTCAAACAGACGGTAATTTACACGTTTTTTGCAATAAAGGCAGTAAATCCTTCCAAAATATTGCTTTTGACAGTGTTTTTGTAATGTTTCCAGTCAAGCATACGGTAATTTACACGTTTTTTGCTATAACGTCAGTCCAAAACACTTGTTTTTGCAGTGTTTTCAATGCTCTGGCATCCAAAAACCCTGCAAAATCTTGCTATGTACAATGTTTTTTTCATTTTTGGCCGTTTTTCCATTGCCGGAAAGCTACCAAAATGACCCAAAATTCCATTTCAATACCCTCTTGCGCTCAGACACCCAAAAATCCTCGAAAAATGTCGAAAACACCACCGTATTCTGGTCTCGGTGCGAAACCGTTTTTGGCCCCCCCCCCCCAGCTAAAGCTGATATAGCGACTGCTATATTAACAAATGTCATTGAGCATTTAGTGTTGCTGTTGCCCCCCAATAAGCACGCCTTCACCGCCAAGGCGGTGTGGGCGGATTTATTTATTGATTGACTAATTGACTGACTGAACTTAGCAACTAACCAACTATAAAGTATTGATTGACTGACGAGTAACTAGTCATTGACTAACTATTAACTAATCATTGACTAACTATTCAATAGTCCTTGAGGATTTATTAGTAGTCAACTCATTACTGTACCTATTCATAAATGTTAGTAGCTGATAATGTGTGAATGGGTCAACTAGTAGTGTAACGCTGTTAATGTTAACCATGTGTTAATTCATCCAATAATCATTCATAAACCGCATAGTTAATGGCATAGTTCGCATTAAGACATATTTAATACTACTAGTAAAGACATAGGTATAAATATATACATTGATTTCACCATAGTTAACATTACTAGTGCTATTCTTTCAGACATTTCACCAGGTCTTTTGGAATACCACCAGGGAACTGCACGCTTGGGGGATTGGCGAAAAATCCTTCTGTCCGGATGCAGGCAGAACAGACAGTTTTTGGGTGTGTATTGTATGCTGCTATGTATGCATGTATGTAATTACATAGCCCCAGTATTTAATATATTATATCTAGTATGATACGTAGCATATATGTATGATAAAAAAAATATATACATATACAAAGATATATGGACATACGTATATATATATATATGTATATGGTTGGTGGTTTGGAACATTTTTTATTTTCCATAATATATGGGATAATCCTTCCCATTGACGAACTCATATTTTTCAAGATGGTTAAAACCACCAAACAGAATAGCACTAATAATAATGATAGTGGGATTGATAGGATAGTAATGGGATAATAATGGGATGCTACCCACTGGCAAACTAACATAACTGTTGAACATCCCCACTGGCAACATTATGTTTTTTTTTTTTTTCCGGAGACTCATGGGTGACCCAGAATTTTCAGATCACAGGCGTCAAGTGACATGGATGGCTCCATGGACACGTCACGAACGAAAGCTCCAACGTCACTTGGAGCGACACATGGGGAACTGGAGATGTTACCCTCGGGTAAACATGCAAAAACATGCGGAACACCCATAAAAACATCCATGGTTTATGATTTTTATGGTTTTCCACATCTATGAATGGTTAGTTTTTTTATGATCTACATTTATGGTTCCAGATCTATGAATGGTTCATGTTCCACATCCCTCTGGTTATGACTAATAACCCTCTGGTTATGACTAATAACATAGCCATGGAAAATCACCATTTTTAATAGGTAAACCATCTATAAATTGGCCATTTTCCATGGCTATGTTAAATAACCAGAGGGTAACTGTTGTTTTGGGATGTTCATCCGGAAAATATACGGAGCTCTTGGGAGAAAAAGATTACCCAAATGATTGAAAAAGGCACGAGTCACTGTGCCACACATGCCCCACTATTGGGAATATGACCAATGACATTATATGACCAAGAACAAAGAGACATCTGAGTAAACTGAGTGGTGAAAGGTAGGTTGCTGTTTGTTTTTTTTTGACCCAAACATGGGGGACACATATTCATTTTTTTTGGGGGACCGATGCTAAAAGGACACTTCCCATCAAGACTAAGGCTGTTCGCTCCATTTGTTTGGCATGTATTTTCCAGATCCCTGATTCAAGTGAAGGCTAATGAGCCTTTGTGCAACCTGCGGGATTTTATCATCATAAAGCATTTGCCAAGGTTATCCCAATTGATTCATATCAGCGGCTGTGCATTTTTGGTGGGTAGTTCTATGTCCCGATTTTTTTTGGGTCAACCATCAATTTCTGGTGATCAAATACAGTGGTGAATCCTGCGAGAAGGTCATGTTTATGTCGAGTAATTGCATCATAAAAACCCGGCATACATCATCACTTTTTATCAACATACGGAAGTACATCATCATAAATCAACTAATACGGAAGCATGTTTTCCATTAGATTGGCCTAGCCAATTTGGGAGGTCAGTTTTTCCTATTTCTTCACAAGCCCATTGTTCGATGATTAAACCACCATGGTTCGCGTTTTTTTTGAAAAACCATTGAAGTCCAAGGGTTCCCGACGAAGACTAACATATCTATAAATTTCTCCAAATATATTTACAGATATATAGTCATATAAATTCATTTATATATAATATTATTATACATTCATATTATATTATATTAATATTGCCTGTTGTTGGTTAAATTTACCGTGCCATTTCCTGGCACGGCTTCTTCCACCGTGCCTCCAAGGATCGCAGATCCTGCCATTTCCTGGGCCAAACAGCGCCGCTTGAAGCAGGGTGGATATATAACATATAGACCATTTCAATAGGAAATATGAAAGTTAACTATTATATAACATATTTGTATATAGGAAATATCACATATAGTAATAAATAGTATGTCCATATATAGACAATATATTGTATTAATATATAACTGTATGATAGCTTGTATTGTACGTATATGATATAGACCATATATATATATATTATAGGAAAGTAAAATCCAACTAGTTCATCACAGGTGTATGCATTTGTTTTGGTTACTATGGTATAAAGTATATATAGAGATATGTGGATGTATATATGTATGTATGTATATAAATGTATAAACATGTATCCAAAATGTATGTAAATGGAGCCAGCCTCAGGAACACACAGTGCAGCTGCACCATTTTGGACCACTAAGGTCGACTCGAGAGGAAACTTCAACGAGGCATTTCGCAGGCTGGCTGAAGGGCAGTGCCCAGATGTGGTGGTCGTAACAGAATACGGTCGCAATGAAACCATGAAATATGGTGGTCAAATGGTAATTGTTGAGATGAAGATTCTGATTTCACCATCCGAAATGGGGATTCAACTGGCCACGACGAAGAAAACGTTGGAGATGGCCTGTGAAAGTATATGCCCATGATTCTCATGGCGTCTCATGGTGGTTCAACACCAGAGGGGTCCATCCAGCTGGCAGTTTTGCTGAAGATCCCCCGGAGGGCTACCAATGTTCAGGGGACTTGAAACCAGCAACCACCAGCCTCATCCGGAAGTGCAACATCCAGCATTTTTAGATCTGGCTGTGGTACCTGAACATGGGTTCGGTTCACCCCCAATCAAAAGGGCTGTCAAATAAGCTTGAACATGATGAAGCAGTGGATGGGATAGGGTTTTCCACTTAAATTGACTGACAAGACCCATGATATTCCCCAAAAAACAAGTTAAAACCACCATTTGTGGCTTTCCATAAATGGGCATACCCCACTAGCTGGATGGTTTATTTCATGGAAAATCCATCAATAAAATGGATGATGAAATGGGGTACCCCCATGACTTAGGAACCACCCATTTTTCTTCGTTACCCTCTGGTAAACTAACATAGCTATGGAAAATCACTAGTTTTAATGGGTAAATCCACTATAAATGGCAATTTTCAATAGCTATGTTAAATTACCAGAGGGTATTAGGAAACACCCATTTTTCTTCGTTAAATCCCAAATTCTTGTTGGTTAAATCCCCATGTTAGCGGTTAAAGCCACAAGGCGATTCCCATGTTCGCCAGGGCGACGAGACTTTGAGCCTCAGGCCTGGGGAACATTTCGATTGAAACATACAAAATGCTGGAAGGACTTTCCGCATCTTTGTTGGGACTACTACTGATATAATATATATATACACTATATATATACACTATATATATATACACTATATATATACACTATATATATATAGTGTATATATATATAGTGTATATATATATATAGTGTCAGTGTATATATATATATATAAGGAGGCAAACACACCATATACATATTGACGATTTGGCTGCATTTTGTATATATATATATATATGCTGTATATACAAGATATGCCGATATCAACCAGGTGGTCCTGTGCTGAGTTGCTCGACCTACTTGACGAATCTTGACGATACCAACACCATCGACTTGCCGCAGGGCAGTATGTTTGTGGTGAACGTGTTCTAATATGGCTGTTAGTGAGTTTTGAATCATACTCACATGGTGAGGTATGGCACATCTTGGATCAAAGAACAAAAGAGGGAATCATCTCAACGTGATTGATTCCAACATGTCGGATGAACTTGTATCATTTCGGATCCCAGAAATGCCCAGCAATTGTTTGAACAAAAATAGGGCATCCCAAAATCCAGTGGTTAATCATGGCCCTCAATCTTTCATGGCATGGACGACCTCAGATACATGGCATGGCAAATACATATAGATATGCACTAGTATCATCTAGTATCCACTTATATTAGTATTCATCAATATCCACTACTAACCTCTGATATCCCCAGTATATACGAAAAAATATATGCCGTCCCTCCAACTAAACAACAGACTTGAAACGTGGTGATTCTCAGGGTCTATGTCAGTGGGGTGATGGTACCCAAATTAGTGTTGTTTAAATCTCACTATTTGGAAGGACAATCACTATTTGCTTTATCACTATTTGGGATAATTTCCACTAATATGTTTGTTGGTAAAAACACTTGCATCACCTTACTTGTAAACATGTTAGTTGGTTTTCCATTAGCAAACTGGTTTTGGGACAATATCCACTGGAAAATCCCCGATGTAGATGTAATTCCTCCACATTTTCCCACTTAAATATCCATTTACTTTGGGGATTTCCCATATTTCCCAGCCGCCTGGCTGATTCCCAGAGGGTAAATCCATTAATATCTGATTACAGTACATATATATATATACTAGTAGAGATCATCCACTATAATCCTAGTAAACCATATAAAATCATATTATCACATCTATAGTTATACCCATTCATCCCATATTTATGGTTGTTTTCCCCATTGTTTCACACATAGTTCTACCATTATACCAATTATTCCCTCCATTTTCCATGGGATTTCCACATGTCATTTTCTCCATGGCTCCAGTGAAAGCTCACAGCCGGCGACTCCGTTGACGTCTCCAGTGCATTCGAACGCCGCGATGCCTTTGTGTTGCCCTCAGGGGCGGAAGTTTCACCGGCTGAGGCTATGGGATTAGGGTTTGTCTGAAAATAGTGTACCCCTACACCCAATGGTTAATGATCATTATCCCTACTAAATGGCTATAATTGGGGGTATACCCCATTTTCAGACATACCCATTATGATGGGGATATGATGGGGATATATGAATGGGAATATAAATGGGAATAAAGTTTTACAGAGATTAACGGGAAGACGATGGGATATAAATGGATGTAATGTGGATATGATGAGGATATATTGGCGACAGAATGGAGATATAATGGGGATGTATCGCCAAGGATCTGATATGGGGACAATGGTTAGTGGAGTAATGATTAAGAGCTTGGGGGATATTATGAGATTTATCGGACTACTAATGGGATCAACGTTTTTTTTTCCACCAAGAAATGGTTGTATAAGAGTATATACTGGGATAGAATGGAGATATAATAGGGACATCATATAACTAACCAACTTGATATGCTATGGATGGGTGTGTCTGAAAATGGATGGGATGAACCCCCCAAAACTGGCCATGATTTCATTGGCGGCGGCTCCAGGAACCTGAGCTGGTGACAGAACGAGGCATTCGTCAATCATCATCGTTATTACCCTCTGGTAAACTAACATAACTATAGAAAATCACCATTTTAATGGGTAAATCAACTATTTCTATGGCCATTTTCAATAGCTATGTTTGTTTACCAGAGGGTAACAGATATTAACAGTTACATCATGTTAAAGTTAATGTTAAACACCTATTGACGTTTGATGGTCTTTGTATTTAAGTGTTTCCGCCTTTTTGTTTGTTTGTTTCGATGAGCTTTCAACATTTTTTTTTCTCTTGGTGCCCTTTGAGACTTATGTTGGTGCCCAGCAAGTCATCCCAGGTCACTGGTTGAAATTTACCCATGGAGAATCTGATGACCAGTACCTGAATCTGTTGCACAGAAAAACTTTTTTGCCCGATCAGATTCTAGTTCAGGCCCAACAAGTTCTTGAATATTCTTGAATAAACGCCATGAAATCCTATTGAAACAGTGGTTTTCATGAGTTTTCAATCTTTCTGGAAGATTACAAGAAAGCCATGGCTTTCGGCAGCTGTCGGAATTCCGCAAATTTCGGTCGAAGCCGCCGTGGCCGTCCCCGTGGCCTTCGCTGCAAGGAATCTGCCACCGCTGGGATCGGTGTTTGAGTCGACGTACCCGACCTCGAAGGCGATGAATTGTCCGAAGCCTGGGCGGTGCTGCGAATCGAAATCACCATCTGCTATTTATGAAAAAACATTAATCATAGACCTGGGGATTCAAGGAGATAATGATATAAATTGCGCGAATATAGTGGTATACATAGAGCCAACGGTCTGACATTTGGGTCTGAAAATGGATTGGATTAAGCCTAAAGATGGAAAACATCCGGCTGTGAAGCTTAAGACATTTTCCTATGGAGCCGTTGCAGCTATAAATGATACCAATGCGAACAAAGCAGCCAGTCTTGGGGATTTCCACCACAGGGTTTGGACAGCGATTGGCTCTTGCTAAGTAAATCATGGATCGCTAGCTCAGTTGCGTGCAAACAGATCCTCTGCTGTTGTTTAGTGACACAAGAGAATGCTACGACCGTCGGCTAGGCCATCAAAGCATGTCAACACCACAATGAGGTGATCAATGGTGATCATGTCCACAACTGTACATCCTACTAATATAATATTTGGCTGAATTCTGGAATGATGGTTAGCAAGGGGAATCATCCCCAAATGGCCTAATTTTTGGCTATTTTTATACCGCCATGTTTGATGGTTAAATCCCATTAATCTACTAATCAATCCATATTAATCAATCCATATTAATCAATCCATATTAATCCCATAGTAGTTAATCCTATTAATGTATTAATCCATTAACCCCTGCATTAATACCATATTCATTTATAGTAATCCATAGTAATCCATAGTAATCCATATTGATCCCATTGATAATTCTAACACTCTCATGTACTGTCATTATGTGGGAATGTCTGAAGGTACTAGTAACCACTATTTAGCCATTATTAACCATTATTCATTGTCAATTATGACCATTATTAACCATGATTAACCATGATGAACCATTATTGACCACTATTAACCATTATGAACCATTATTAACCATGATTAACAAATATTAACCATGATTAATCAGTATTTACCATTATTAATCAGTATTGACTCATTGACCATGATTATTGAGCATCATCACAGACAGTCGCTTGGTCCCTGGTACGCTGCAGGATGCGAGTGACGACAGAAGCGTTCGCAGATCAGGCAACGTGTTGCCGACAAAGTGCGGCGGACCCTTTATTTGGTTGGTATTGAAAATGACTCAAGTCTGTCAAAGGAGAACATATATATGTTATATCATACACACATCCATATATATATATGTAATATATATACACATCCATATATATATATATATATATACACATCCATATATATATATACATCCATATATATATATACATGTATATGTACAAGCATATTGTATATACATCATGTGTCTATATAAATATAGTATTTGTTAACATCTCCACATTTGTTGCCATCAAAATGTGCTCATGGATTGCCTCGGAGGAATCTATGGATCCGAGGCGCGCGAAACAACTTTTCGAAACGCTGACCGTGAGCAAAGAGTGGGTCCATTGGGATGGTTTCAGCATTTTAACCATCATTTTTTATGGGATTATTAAATTTTGTGATTGTTAAAATGGTGAAACCATCATGGTTAAACAAATGGTAAACCATTGGGATGGGTTTCACCATCATGGTTAAATTTTATGATTGTTAAATTTAACCATCATGAATCACCATTAAAAATGATTCATGAATCACTTTTTAGTCATTGGTAAATTCATATTTTTTTTCGGATGGATATGAGATTATGAAAAACAGATTCATTTGTTGAATGGGATTTCACCGTGAAAAATGCTTCTGTAATGGGATATACTGTATTACTATGTATTACTGGGATATAATACAGTATACTGTTTGGGAACTATCCCATTGTACACATCATTGAACTATCCGGCAGGGACCCCCACGGGTTTCGGCCACGGTGTTTTGGTGGTCCAGGATGCGATTCAACGCGCCGAACGGCTGGCGGCCGAAGCGGCGAGCTTCGAGATGGCCGTTGGGACGCCCAGGGGTAGCAAGTGTATAAGGATTCATCTGGGTAAATCATGGTTAGTAAGGGAAATCATCCCCAAATGGCCTTAATTCAGGTTAGTGAAATATTATAATTTGCCCAGATTCATGGTGATTAATGGTCATCATATGGTGATCATATGGCAATTCATGGTGATCATATGGTGATTAGCCTCTGATAAACTAACCGTTTTGCAATGGAAAATCCCCATTCTTAATAGGTAAACCATCTATAAACGGGCCATTTTTCAATAGCTATGTTAGATTGCCGGAGGGTAATGGTGATAAGGATATAATCTCTGGATATCATGATGTTATGCGGAATATAAAGATTTGAAAGTGGGATTAATGGTGATATAGTGGTTATTCATCAGGTATGTCATATCTTTAATTCTTGGTGATAATGGTGATAGTAGCGATGAGATTGGGATCTTTTTTTTGGGGAGTCTACCATTGGTATTAATGGTGCAAAAATGGGACGTTGCCCGGTAGATGGACCCTGGGATGAGTGGTGATTTTTACCACGTCCCAAGTAGAAATTCCATGTAGGAACTAAAGAAAGTCTGACCATCTAAGTATCGATTTTGAATGGTTACTTCATCAAGAAAGTTGTGGTATAATGGTGAACGGGGATTAAATGGTGATTTAATGGGAAATGGTGATTAACTATCCAGTGGTTATAGATTCTAAATCTTTTGATGGGAAATGATAGGAATTCAATGGTCTTTTGGTGGGAAATTATGGGAATGTCATGAGAAATTCGTCTTACCATCACCTCAAGTGATACATCAAAGAATCATCAGAATCACCAATTTTTAAGGGGAAACCGGCTTCATGGGGGTCGGGCCTATGTCACCTATGGACCTATGTTAGTTGGATGGAAAAACAACTATAAACCCCGGAAAATATTCGCAGCAGACATTGTTTGAACCGATTCATGCAATTCTTTGGTACGGCAATTTCGTAATCGTCCGAGCCGTTTGAGGGTTTCTCAATTTATATACCCAAGTTTTTTGGGGCACCTTAATTTTTACCTGTACCGAAATGAAACCGGTTGGTGGTCTAAACAATGTAGTGAAACCAGCAATGCTCCATGACTCCATGCCCCATTGCGGTCACCACATTCTTCGGATGGGGGTCCAATGGTCCAACCAACAAAAATTGGGGCTGGTTGATGGCATCAAATGTTTTTTATTTTAGCCCATAGTATACTGTTGATGGGAATGAACAAAAAGAAATAATTATACTGTTGATGGGGATTTTATTATTATTTTAGATACTATTTGGGATGATGATAATAACTATTTCTTTTTGACGGCTAAACTGACTCAGACCAGATGTGGGGACTATCATGGAGAATGTCCCCCTAATCCCCCATGAAAATTGCCATTCATTGGATTTCGGAGACACCCAAAATTCACATTGTTGACTGTATTGCTATCCTCATTATAATTGTCCCCATTGTATCCCAATTATATCCTTTAATTCTCGGAATATCCCCAAATTACGTACGACGTAGAATATCTTGGAGAATTACTACATATCCCCTTATATTCCCATATCAAAAAGATCAACTATGAGGAAATCCCAGGAAGTATCCCATTATATGAACAATCCCAAATATATCATAGATGATTTCCATGATATTCCCAATATATTCCCATGATATTCCTATATATATATAACCAACTATATTGCGAATTAGATGGATGGTGCCTAAGAAATCACCCCAACGACTATATTAGGTATGGAAATATATTCCTATATGATATTCCCAATATATTCCTATTCCCATGATATTCCCAATATATTCCTATGTATCCATGATAACCAACTATATGTAACCAACATCAGAGTTTTCCCCATGATCTCCCCATCATCTCACGGCGGTTGCCCAGGATCCCCAGGATCCAGCGCGGCTGCCGGAGCTGGCGGAGCTGGCCGAGCCGGTGCCCGATGAAATTCCGCGCGGACTTCAGGTGGTGACTTGGAGAAAAAAGATGGGGGTGTTTTGGATGGGATGGCTATGGGTCAATACCTATTAATACCATTTTTAGGGGGATGAACATCCATTTACCAGCTATTTTGATGTTCACCAGGGGTACTATTGGTTTTGACACACTGCCATTTCACGGGGAATTCATGGGATTTACCCTCTGGTAATGAAAAAATAACAGTTTGCTATTGAAAATGGCCATAGAAATAGTGAATTGACCCATTGAACATGATGATTTTCCATAGTTATGTAAACGTTTACCAGAGGGTAATGGGGATCTAATGGTGAGTTCATGAGAATTAATGGTGATTTCATGGAATTTCATGGTGGGAATTGAATGGGATTGAATGGGACTTAACGAACAGCCACGGTGATTTAATTTCTAAGAAACATGTTAGTTTTTAGGTGGTAGCTCATTTTTGGGAAAAACCACAAACGGATGTTTGTCCGATTGTTTACAAGGTTAACGCGTTTAGGTTCCGAGGTTCGAGGGTTCCAGCCTTGCGGTTCCGTAACCCTGTTTCTGGGGCAAAAGACCACGCACCACTCCCAGACCCGGAGCCATCCCCAGGCAATCGGAAGTTTTTTTTTTGAGGCCTTTGTCCTGGATTCCTGGGCTCATTCCGTGTCTGTTCACATATGTATTTTTGTTCATCCCAAAGTAGATAGAATATCAAAAAAATCCTTCATCTTCCCATTTTATGAAGATGTTCGAAAAAAAAACAAAAACATCTTCTACTTACTCCAGGATGATTGTATACATCTGAGTTGTCATGGTGACTTGCTATCCGGTTCCAGTGTTGGTTGGTGATCATCTGATGGATGCCTGCTTTGGTGATGATCATCCATCATGAATCACGGCAACCAGTAGAATCAACCAGCTCAAACTACGAGCTGGGTTGGAAAGGTTGCAACATTGAATCCCATTTTTCCCCACCTGCCAGGTGAGGGTTGTTAGATTTTATGTCAGTTGCCTCCTCCTGCCTCGTCCTCCTCCTCCTCCTCCTCGTCCTCCTCCTCCTCTCCTCCTCGTCCTCCTCGTCCTCCTTGTCGTCCTTGTCGTCTTCGTCGTCCTCGTCGTCCTCGTCCAACTGCGACCCGCGATCCACAGTGTTCTCTGCCGGACCTCAACCACGACCATCCACGCCCAGTGTTCCCTGCCGGACCTCAACCACGACCATCCACGCCCAGTGTTCCCTGCCGGACCTCAACCACGACCATCCGCGCCCAGTGTTCCCTGCCGGACCTGAACCACGACCATCCACGCCCAGTGTTCCCTGCCGGACCTCAACCGCGAGGATCCATGCCAAGTGTTCCCTGCCGGACCTCAACCGCGAGTATCCACGCCAAGTGTTCCCTGCCGGACCTCATGTAGGAAGATATGGGACAAAGAATGTGCAGAAGAAAGTTAGAAAGATATGTCAGAAGATATGCCAGATAGAATGCCAGATAGAATGCCAGAAGATATGTCAGATAGAATGCCAGAAGATATGCCAGATAGAATGCCAGAAGATTTGCCAGATAGAATGCCAGATAGAATGCCGAGATATGTCAGATAGAATGCCAGAACATATGCCAGATTGCCAGATAGAATGCCAGAAGATATGCCAGATAGAATAGAATGCCAGATATGCCAGATAGAATGCCAGATAGAATGCCAGAAGATATGTCAGATAGAATGCCAGAAGATTTGCCAGTAAGAAAATCTATAAATGTCATGGTGGGGATCACGCGAAGTAAAGTAATTTTAATTCCCATGCCATTTTCTTTCTGGTTGGTGGTTTCAAACATTTTTATTTTCCATAATTGGGATAATCCGTCCCATTGACTAGTATTTTTCAGAGGGGGTCAAACCACCAAGCAGTCCATAATTCACCAATGATTAAAACCATCATTGACCACTATTAACCACTATTAACCACTATTAAGCATCATTAATCACTATTAACCACTATCAACATCTATTAATTAACCACTATTAACCACTATTAACCATGGTGATTTCCCTACGTTTACAATCCGTGAGTCGTCCGTTGGGATCTCGGGCCAGGCAGAGAGATCCGGATCCGGACGCCGCGCGGGGCGTTCAACGGATTTTTACGGAGCAATGGTGGTATAATGTGGGTATAATCATGGTGATTAATGGCTAAGAGTGATTAATAGTGATTAATAGTGATTAATAGTGGTTAAGAGTGATTAATAGTGATTAATAGTGGTTAATAGTGATTAATAGTGGTTAATAATAGTGATTAATACCTGATTAATACCTGATTAATGTGGGCAAAACAATGCCATATGCCATAAACCACCCATTTGGGAATGGTAAACATACCACCTATAAAGATGGTGATGACTGGGGGATGGTTTATGATTGTTTTACCCACATTACTGGTTATTAAATAAGGATATCATATATGGGTATAAATGGTTAATTATAATTATATAATGATATAATATTTGGTGGTACTTAAATGTACTTGACCTCTGGCAATTTGTTGTTACACTGATTTTCAATAGCTATCTTAAATTACCAGATGGTATAGGAATCAGATAGAAATTGGTGAATTCCTGCTTAGATAGAGTGCACATGACATTTCTATCTGTTTTGGGGGTTGTTATTGCTATATTCAACAAGTTAAAAGGGCGATATAAACAACACTAGTACGAAGATATGGGATATGTATATATATATGGATATATCACGATATATCCGTTTTTTTGCTTTGCATGGGGATATAAGGGATGTATTCAGATTGAATCCTCTACATGGTTTACCCCCATTTTCACAGGGGTGTTTGCCACAAGAAGCCAGTGATAAAGGTTTTGCGAAAAGCCCATCATGACTGATTGGTGGTATCGTTCATATTCTCTTATTTTCAAACAAAAATGGGATGATGCTCCCCAATGACAGGCATCGTTTTCCTGGGGTGGTTGAAACCATCAACCAGCCTTGAGTTCACAGATGTTTCAATAACGATGGGAACACTCTGAAAAGATATCTCCTGATTTTTTTTAAAAATCAGTTTCCCCTTAAAACCATGGTACCTCATGACACCTTGGGCCCCATCATCCATCCATCATCTGCCGTATCTGCCGTGCACTAGGACCCGGTAAAAAGTCCATGGTCCAGATGCAGTGGAACTCCTGGCAGAATCCCTTGAAGATGGACATGACCTGGGGAGGCGGCCTTCGGATCCTTCGGAAACGGGCCAGGGGCCGAGGGGTGGAAAGCCCAAGAATGGGAGTTACCGTATGTTCTGTTTTGTTTGCCGAATCGACTGCTTTGGCGGAGAGATTCATCATTCGCATTCATACCTTATGATTCATTCGCATGTTCATTCGCTGTTCTAGCCCAATCGGTGAACCACCGCTAGAGCCATTCAGTCACTATACGTTTTGGACACCCACGGCTCTGCCGTGGATGATTGTCCCAAGTGGCTGTCATTTTTGGGATGTGGGCGACCCTGTGGGTGTGAAAACTCTGAAAATAGGAGAGTAACCCGCAACAAAAAGTCATTTTGGTCTATTTTAGTATCGAACGTGATAAAACCGACTCAAATCTGGAGATTTTCTTCGAGACTTTCAGACGAACCCGCGTCTGGGGTTTCCCCACTCTCAGTCCAGTTTTATTTGGAGGCTTCCTGGAATGGGGTACCCTCTGGTAATTTAACATAGCTATTGAAAATGGCCATTTATAGTGGATTTACCCATTAAAAATGGTGATTTTCCATAGTTATGTTAGTTTACCAGAGGGTACCCCTAAATCATCCATTTTAATAGGATCTTCCATTGTAAACCATCCATTTGGGGGTAGCCCCATTTATGGAAAGCCCCATTTGCAGGTCGAAAAGCCGACACTTCCAGAAGTTCAACATCTGCGACTGGAGTCACTACTCTTGCCACATTCTTAGATCCATTCGTGAAGATGACTGTCAGGGTCATGGCACTGGTAATCATGGCCATGACTGACTGGAATGTTTCCCTTGTTAGTACAACCTTGGTTTACCACTGGTTATCATGGATGTGGATGTAGATGGTGAGTTTTCCATAGATTGGGTGACTGGAGACTAGTTGTTTTTCGATATGAAGAGCCCATCGCACACTTGTGAGGATTTTTTGTACCCATGAAGACTGGGATTTTACCCTGAGGAACCTCTGGCCCATGGGGTTCAATCAGGGGCCCCGGCAAGCAGCATTACACCTCCACATGCAGATCACTGTTTGGGTCGCAGACAGGGTGACAGGATGGTTTAGTCAACAAGAATATATTCATCAGCTACAAAATGGGGATATTTCACCAATGCACAAGTGAGTGGTGATTTCAGTCCTATCTTTTCATTTTTACCAAATGAATAACGATGACTCGATTCGCCAAATGATCAACTGATCGCCGGCGAATCAGGAACCAAAGCCAAGTGGTGTGCGCGAAGGCCACGAAGGCCACGAAGGCCAGGCCCTTTTTCGCGGAGTCATGGCTCAGAATTCTGGATCAAAATGGGCCCACTAAAACTTGACATGAAGATGGATTATGCTTTGTATTGTTTGTATACTGTATACATATATATATATATATTACATAACGACTATCCATCTTGGGGAAAATGTCTTCCTCCACGGCCACGCGGGGCTGTGGAAAAAAGTGTGCTGAATGTTGCAGCGTGCTGTTTGCAGGAGCTGGTGAGAGAAACGTGGCCTGGCATTGTTCCAATGGTCTGGATGATCCCAATGGTCTGGCATAGACCACCAAGTATGAAACATCCGAGGCATAACGGAAAGACTATGGCACAGGGACATACTTCAGAAGTGTGTTCATGATACAACTCGACTTGGCATGGTTTGGTGATCTCTGCAACTGCACTCACAACTGACTCACAACTGCTTGCCCCACTTAAGGCAAATACGATATGAGTCTCTGGGGTGATGCAAACAGGACCGTGAGATGCGTTTTGTCGGTTTTGCGTGGAACACAAAAGTACAGTCGCAGGGTGAGAGACATTTGATGGTACTGCAAAAGACACCATTTCTTTGCAATTCAAAGGTCTTGCCAGTTGCTTGGCTTCTTTCTTTTTCCCCAAATTGTGGTGCTATGTTTCTGGAGGCGCTGCAATCTCCCTTCACCCATGACTGCTCCGGCAGATGAAATCTAGCCCGGGGAATCCCCTGTAGAGGTTTCAATACGGAACCAATCGAAATTGGGGATTTGTCCAAGCCACGTCTGATTACCAGAGGTCAAGGTCAGCATTGTTTTGCAGGAGTGCATCACAGAGGTTGAGCCGAAGGTTAACCCTCGGTGGCAAAAGGCATCGGCCATTTCAATTGCTGCTTTTTGCATTTCTTTTGTGGAAGCAAGCCATATTTCTGAATCGCCTTGCCATTGAGATGTGCCAATTATAATACACTGTAAGTATGATGCTATGTGTATACATTCCAGGACATGTATGCATACATCATATATACCAGGACATATGCATACATAATCATACATTATGTGTATATATAATATGTATGAAATACATAGTTATGTACAGATCTATATAATTCTATATACATACGTTAATTGTGTGGTGGTCTTCTGGCTTCTTTGCTGCCAGCACGCGAGGCCCCCGCTTCAGAGACTCGCTTTCGCGGAGCGGTTGACCATTTCTTGGACGCAAAAAACCGGTGCTGACCGAATGACCGAAGTGGGCCGAAATGGGATGGTCCCCACACGATGAGGATTTTTGGTGGTCAGATGACTTACTGGTGCGTTTTACGCAGGGAATGGATGGGAATGGAGGTTGCTGGGATGATTATTGATAGTTATTGTGGATCATTCCCGAAAATTCCCTGCGTTTAGCACCAGTAAGATGAAACCAGTTTTGATTTTTAACATCTTTTGACGTCTTTTGACACTTTTTCCGTTTTGGGGATTGATCAAGTCTTGTACCTCACCGCCTATTGAGGACTTGAATGTGAATGGATTCCGCTATCCTTGAGTTTGTGAGGCAGAAAAGCATGTCTGACTGTCTGACTGTGTTTTTGTCGTTCGTTTGGTTCAAGTTGCAGAAACACAGATTGACATGGATCCGTAGTTTGGGTTGAGAGCAGTGCGAATAGATAGACATTTTGTTCAGATACAGATCATGTCCTGGACATTCCCTTGTGATCATGCAGCATCTTCGCCCGAAGCGATAGATGTATACAGATGTGTCACAAACATCTCACATTACAGACAGCTGCCAGACACTTCACATGGAAGCCCACACAGGAACCTTGGTTGGGTGCGCTGATGTCTCTTTTTCTTTTTTGTGGCTATACATTAAACTTGCTGCTGGTATATATCTGGATCTTGAATGATCTTGATATAGATGGGAAATACATTAGCACCTACGCATTAGAAAGGACAAGACGTGGAAGGGTTCAAAGAAGTTCGCCTCTGCGATGTCCGGAGCGGGTGCTTTGGAACATGGTCTCACGAAGAGGGATGCCTGCTGCTGAAACCATTGGCGCAGACACGATAGATGTCGGGCTGCTGAGTGATCTCAATACCGGCCGGTGGTTTCATGATGTTTGATGATTCCAATGATGCCAATTTTCACATTGTTCAGGAAGGTTGAAACCACCGATCAGACATGCCTTTATCAGATCCAGTGTCACTACGTTTCGTTACAGGAAAACATATAGGAAAACGTTGAGGTTTTTTTTTACGATCACATCAGAGACTTGTCATTTTTTCCGAGTTGAGGACCTAGTCATGTGGTTGGTGGTTTGGAACATTTGGATTATTTTTCCATATATTGGGAATAATCATCCCAACTGACGAATTCATAATTTTTTTCTGAGGGGTAGGGCTCAACCACCAACCAGTCATGGGTTCTTCACGAGCCGCTCAGGTCGAAAATCCGGAGGCAAAGGAAGGCTCTGAAGCTGACCGGGCGCCGCTGCGGGATGGCGCTGGAGCCAAAGGAAACTGCATCTGGAGGCGCGTGGAGTTTGGAGTTGCATCAGAATCGTGGGTGTTTGATGGGTGTACGGATATGTACATACTTATATATATTATACATAATCATACATATATATATATAATCATATATATATATAAACATATATATAATCGTATATATAATCATATTATACAATCATATATATATAATCATATATATATATAGTTAATCATATATATAATAATACATATAATAATATTTATATAATCATATATATATATAATCATATATATTTAAACATATATATATATATGTTCATAGATAATTTTGTATATGTATAATATATATCATCACATAATCACATATATATATATATCATCATATAATAATATATAATAATAATATATATATATATAATCATTAATCATATATATATATATCATCATATAATAATATATAATAATATATATATATATAATCATGTATATATAATCATATATATATACAATCTCATATATATATATAGTCATAAATATACATAATCATATATATATATGTATATCATCATATATATTTAATCATATATATATATATTTAATCACATATATATATTTAATCATATATATATATATATTTAATCATATATATATAATAATATATATATATAATCATATATATATATATATAATCATATATGTATATAATCATATATATATAATCAAATATATATGTATATATAATCATATATATATATAATCATATATATATAATCATATATAATCATACATATAACCATATATAATCATATATATAAGCATATATATAGTCATACATATTTATATACATATAAATATATATATATATATAATCACATATATATAAAATCGTATAATATATATATATAACCTTATACATTATATATATATATAAATGAATATTTATGATATATCAATGGAATATTTATTTGCAATTGGTTAATGGCAAGAAGTGAGACTTTGCCATGGAAAACGGGCACGGAAATGACAGGTAAATCATCTACAAATGAGTAATTTTCAATTGCAATGTTAAATTACGACAGGGTATGTCCAGGGGCACAGACTATTTCAACTGACTTATGCAAGGATTCAATTGTTTGGAATCTGGAATTTTCACCTTCCAAGAATCAGCCCAATTTGATCACGCTCTGAAGTTTCGGAGACCTCAACCTTGATATGGTCAGAAACACGGTTCATACATGGAGGTTTCCTAAAATGGAGGTACTTGTACCCCAAGTCACCATGGGTTTCAATACGAAAATCATCTAATGACTTGGATGATTTAGGGTAATTACCGCCATGACTGAAAGCTCCCCCTCTTCTCACCTCCAAATGTCCTCGTATTTTGTTTGGCACTGACGAAATCCCTCAGGTGTTGCAGGTTCATCTCCTTTCTGGATGTAGTCGTGGGCCTGGCTGATTGACCCGACGTTTAGAGGGATTCAATGCCACTTCTCGTTGTCTTCATTCACTGATGTCCATGGGTGTGTCTGAAAATGGCAATTTCTATCAGGAACATGATGATTAATGATTAATGATTTGAATTATCAAGTTTTCCTTGTTTGCACTATATTTTTTTTTCGGAAAAAACAATTTTTGTCAGGAGACTCAAGAGATGTCTCGAAAGTTCCTGCCTTCTAAAGTCCACCTTGGAGATGGCAATGGCTGTTTCACTCGGTTGTACCACCCACCAGAGTTTGCTGTATCTGGGCCCAGATCAATAGCTTGCTCTCTAGCTATAAATGGAGGAATGTTTTAAACGTCGCTAAGAAATGTTGACTGTTTGCTGGGTATCCAATAAATTAGCTGGGAATTGATAATTCGATATTTCCAATTATCGCATTGTCATTACTTTTTTTTTCAAAATCAAGTATTCATATCCCATGAATATCCCGTACTGTAGATTAGCTATTAATATCCGTTATGACTTACCACATCCCCAAGGTTTCCCTTTGACAGACATCCACTGACTGTCGACAAATGGCAGGTGTTGGGCTTCGCTGGAACTGCTTGTGTCGCTGGCATCGTCCATCAACTTAGCTGGAAATGTCACTGTTTGCTATGGAAAAAATATGAACACATCACCACTTTCAATAGGCAAATCATCGAACTTTATTTGGGCCCCCTGCCAGAGGGCAGTTCAGGTCGGAGCATGGTGGCCTTCAATGAGATCGGTCATCTAGCAGTGTTTTTTTTTTCCGCTTTCTAGATGATGGTATCCCAAAATCCAGTGGTTTCAAAACATCATTTTTCCACCATTTTCCCCTTTTTCAGACACCCCCCCTTTTTCGGATGTTCCATCCGAAAAAATGATCCAAAACCTCGTCCCGGGACGATCGGCTGAGGTGAGCTGTTGGTACATCCACAATTTTGCAGCGCTTGCCCTCCGAGGAGTTCCCCCCAAACATCGGGGTAGCCTGAGGTGACACGAATGCTTAATATTACCAGGATGCCAAAATGGACAGCCAAAATGGTTACATGGTGTTATATGATGTTATATGATATTATATGATGTTCTATGTTGCCCGTTTTTTGAGACATGTTCATAAGTGTTCAACATGTCTTCCTTGCCACAACATGTTTCTCTGGTGAGTGGGAAAAGTAATGTTTATGACGGCACCATGTCGTCGCAGCAATAGTACTCACTTTATTTATGTTTAATTTGGGACATCCTTTCCCAACTTGGGGGCATGGGTCTTTGTTCTTCCTAAGCTTGTCGGCTGGTGGACCTCTCCTGAGACGAATATCATGACTTATCATGCTGTCTGTGGGCTTCTGGATCAAAGTGCTCTGCAATATGTTTGAGACCATCGACATTCCTGGATGATTCTCGCGACAGAGATCTCTCGAGATCAAAGATGCTGGAGGCTTTTCAGGTGTATCCAGTTCTGTTGTGAAGCAAAACTTCTTATGGCGTCCTTCTTCCCAAATTCAAGATGGAGTTGCTGGTCGGAAGCTTCAGCACAGAATTGTTGTCCCCTGAGTTCCACAGAACTGGAGGTGGCTCTCCCAGGTGTGTGATATTTGTCCTTGGACAGTGTTTCCAACGGCACCGTTTCTCTGATTTCTTCGAATTAGGACAATGCATTTCGCAAGGGTCAGGAAATCGTCCGCTTTCTTCCATAACCCCAGTAAATTCGATGAACGACATCATGACATCATGTCGATTTCAGTTTGGAAAGGGGGGAAATTCCTGGAAATCTGAAACTCCATTTCCAGATGTTGGAAACAGTCGCCTGAAGCATTGGTGATAAGTCCTCACGAACCGAACACTGCGCCTGCAAGACTGTCCAGGGCTGGACAAAAGACTTCAACTGAAACATCAGGTGAATATGTGTTGTTTGCGTCGAAAGAGTAATCACTTCCCCCATTTTCCCCCCGACATTAAACACCCCCATAAACCAGGGTTCAGTAGGGGATTTATACATGTTCGGGACCATTTAGGGGGTGTTTGATATTAGGGATGGAATTATTTGGCCTAGATCTGTACTTTTGTTGGGGCTGAACTTTTGAATACTTTTGACCTGTAATGAAAACTGATTGTTCTGTGCCAAAATGAAAGCAGTTTTCAACTCATTCTGCAGTACTGTACTCTATAAGTACCTCTGGCAATCAAAAATGGCAATGGAAAATCCACCGCATTTCGCATTTATAGCTGACTTTCCATTCAAATCTAGAGTTATAGGGGATTTGCCGTTGCCATGTTTGACTACCAGAGGGTACATCCATTAACATTTGATGACTATCCCACTATGATCCCTATTAAACCACATATATATATACATACATAAATTAAACTACCATGAAACCTTCGTTTTTCATGGATTTCCATGGTTCCCTCATTTTTTGCCATGGATTTCCCAATTGAATCTTCCGCATCCCCTGGTTTGATTCGATGCAGCCACTGGCGAGGATGCTCTCTTGCGCTTTGCGTCTTGCTATGCATTGAACAAGGGACTCGGAACACCACGTGCACTTGCAAGTGCTTGAGGCGTGCCGGGAGCACGTTTGCAACGGTTAACAATGGTTACTGATGTTACTGTAATTATGGCGATAATGGGGATATAAATGGATTTATATAATGGGGATATGATGGTGATATATGAAGGTTTCCTAAGTCATGGGGGTACCTCCAAATTATCCAAAATTCAACAATTTCAGCATTGGAACAACCATGGTGACTTGGGGATCCCCCATTTTGAAGCATGTGCATCCCAATTTCTGGTGGTTAAGCATCAGCTTATTTCCGGAAGTGAAAGATGCGGATGAGCATCGCCAGTCACTAGGTGCAACCAACTACAAGGCATGGAGGATGCTCTCACGAGACAGTTTAGTTGTTTTTTTCCATTGGTTTTTAACTTGACCCAAATTCCAATCTTTCTAGTTTAAACATCCCCATTTCTGGTGGTTAAACATCAGCTTATTTTAAACCCAAAGTTCAAACTTTATTTTTCCCATGGTTACAAAAGTGGCTAATCATCATTAATCAATGTTGGCTAATGTTGGCAGTTGATCTCCCTACTACGGGGCATTCGAAACAGTTGGCTTCTTCTGGACCACGATGTCAGCACCAAAAATCAGTTGGCATTTTCCCCATGAAAAATGACCAAACATTGGGGGTATGTATACAAGCAATTTTCAGGTACCAGCCCCAAATACCACATCAAGTTGGTTACATATATGATTCATATATGTATATGTATATGTATATATATGTGTATATATATACTGTATATATATATATATTATATACATGTGTATCCCATCATATATCCCCATGAATGTCTCATGAAATCCAAATGTTTATCGTTTAAACAGCATTTTCAGGTACAGCCAGATATCAGGCCGGTTATCTCCAATGCCAGGCAGCTCTTCCCGGCCTTGGAGTACTGGGTGGGACGGGGCCTGGTGCATCTCTTCATCGGGCTGCAGATGGAGGGCACCAACAGCGAGGGTATGGACGACGCTTGGTGACTGCGTCACGGGGGCTGCGTCCCACAAATCCCAGGGTGAGAGGAGAATACCGTCTGGTAATTTAACATAGCTATTGAAAATGGCCCATTTATAGTGGATTTATCCATTGAAAATGGTGATTTTCCATAGCTATGTTAGTTCACCAGTGGGTAGTAACTATATGGAGGAATCCGGAAAATGGAGGTATCTCCAAATCATCCAAAATTTACCACCATTCTAGTATTGAAACCCATGGTTTTGGGGATCCACCATGTCAAGAAACCACCATATAACTGGTGAAATATGGACACTTTTCAGATGCAATGGATGCAAGTGGTGACTTTTTCAGAACCTGTTAGGAACTGGGTTGATTGTTTTGGTTTATGGTTACCCTCTGGTAAACTAACATAGCTATGGAAAATCACCATTCTTAATGGGAAAATCCACTATAAATAGCCATTTTCCATTGCTATGTTAGTTCACCAGAGGGTAAGTTATGTATATACGAATATATCTGCTGCTGTAGATGGGTTCCGAGCCAACTTAGAACTGGGGCCCCAGGTTGGTGGGTTTGGGGTTGAAGAAACAAGGGATCCCTGTGAAAATGGGGGTTGCAAGCTACCACAAGGGGGATTCTAGTCAATCTAGCAAGCCAAGAAAAGAGGATTCTGGCCATGAAAACTTCTTTCTTCGCTGGCAAGCATTTCCATTTGTCATGTGCCGCATGTGCCTCCCAACTGTTGGGATTCAGTTGTTGAGTGGTGATTTGTTTATGATTATCATAGTGTTCCTTTATCCCTTTTGCATCCTTTTATCTTTTCCTATTTGTAGTTGCAAATAATTACATATATAATTTATATGCATATATATATAATTACATATAATATTAATATAATTGACCGCAATTGTATTCATTTATATATCACCCATTTTTCTTCCACACTGGTCATTTATCCAAAACTGATTCTTCATAAATCTCCACCATTTATCATTAATCTTCCATACATTGTATCAATATGCATTTCAAATGATATTCAATGATATTCAATGATATTCAATGATATTCATGATGTTTATCATATACGATTCTATATTCCATATATTATCCATATGAACTCTTATACATTATATCCATGTATCCATGATTATCCATTAATTGGTGATAAATACTATATATTTTTTTTCAAATCATCATCCTAGTTATCATAATAGCACATTAATATCATAATTTACATAAAAATCATAATAATCCATTATTATCAGAATCATTATTATCAAACTCGGCGATTATATCCACATTATCCATGATTTATCCATTTATTATCCATATAGTAGATAATATAGCCTAAATTATACATCCATAATATCGATAATAATTATTATCCATATTATACGTATTATCCATATGATATATAATGTATAATATCCATTATTATCCACAATAATGTTTTTTAACCATTATTAATCCATCATATCCACATTATAATAGCTACCATGATGGCGATGATTTATCCATGATAATGATACGTATAATAATAATAATCAATCAATCATGGTCGCTATCCATTATTATCCATTATTATACGTATTATCCATGATTCATATACATCATATCCACATTATAATGGCTATTATTTATATCCATGATTTATCCATCTATATTATCCACATTATAAATCCATGATATCCACATTATTTATCCATTAAATGTGGGACCAATCATATCATTATCCATATAAGCCAATCATATCCATTTATATAATCCACATTATAATAGCCAGTGTCATACCCAATCATATAAGCCATGATTTATCCATTTACAGTATCATCCATCATTTATCGATCCATCATTTATCATGTGGATAATATGGATCATATGGATTATTATCATGGTTAACCATCATCATAACCATTATTAACCATATATTAACCATTATTAATCACTATTAGCCACTATTAACCATCATTAACCACTATTGATAATCCATATTACCATCATTATTACCATATTACCATCATTATTAACCAGATTAGTATTTCCCATCATTAACCATATAATAGCCATATATTAACCATTATTAAGAGTATATTAATCACATTTATCATGTGGATAATATGGATCATATGGATTATTATCATATCCACATTATAATACTGGTTGGTTAACCATTATTAACCATTATTAACCATCATTAACCACTATTGACTAATGGTTAATAATATGATTTACCATATAACCATCATTAACCACTATTACCATATTACCATCATTATTAACCATTATTAAGAGTATATTAACCACATATCAACCATATGATTTATCCATTGATCATCCATCATTTCTGTCGCGACAGACCGCCACCCGCGATCTGACGAACGTGGCCTCCATGGCCGTCTCGGCGATGGGGATCTTCTTCATCGCGGGGGCCTTCATGTCGGGGCCCAAGCGTTGGAGGCTACCCCCCAAAAAAAAACTGGGAAAATGCTGGGAAAATGGGGATTTATATGGGATTTCTGTGGGTTATATAGGATTTATATGGGATTTCTGTGGGTTATATGGGATTTATATGGGATTTCTGTGGGTTATATGGGATTTATATGGGATTTCTGTGGGTTATATGGGATTTATATGGGATTCATATGGGATTTATATGGGATTTATATGGGATTTATATGGGATTCATATGGGATTTATATGGGATTCATATGGGATTTATATGGGATTTATATGGGATTCATATGGGATTTATATGGGATTTATATGGGATTTTTATGGGATTTATATGGGTTAATGGTGCTTGAATGGAGATTCAATGGGAATATTTTCACACAAATTATGTCTTGAAAGATGCAAAATACAGTCTGACAAAACATACTGCGTGTCTTGTGCTTATGCTCAGCGTGTAATTCGCCTGGATGCCTGCTTTTGGACATCGATGAATGTTTGCACAGTCCACAACCCATCGATGCAACTGCGTAAGCAAACGGCAAGCAAACTTCAATTGACACTGTGAGCTTGGTGGAGCAAAGGGCTGCCAACATGTCATCTTGACAGCAGCAATGTGTAGCTGACTATGAATTTGGAAGTCTGGAAAATATACAAGGAGTTGGCTATTCCACCCTGAACCCTAGACCTCATACCTGGGTCAGCCCTGGACGGGTAGTTTAGTATGTTCATGTTTTTGACATCAATGGCATTTTCATATATATATATATACGTATATGTACATATGCAGTGATTAGCAGCTAAGAAAATAGAAGGCTTCTGATTAGCTAAGAAACAGACAGTAAGATTGGCCATGACATCCTAATATTCTACCAAGTGGGCCCCCCACAGTTATGTTAGTTGGTTTATAAAGCCCAGAATTAAACCATTTAATTATCATAGAGTTATAGTGGTTATCTATAATTCTATAGGGACATATAGGGACTATTTATCATAGACTATAGAGTTATAAAAGTCTATATCATAGTTATATAATAGATTATAATAGTATTATACTTATAACAGAGTTTTTTTTAAATAATAGATTATACTATATTACAGTATATTATTATAATAGTATTATACCTATAATAGAGTTTTATAGATCCAATTTCTTGGACCCAACTTAGCTCTCTCTGCTCTATGGATTTCGGCTGAGGTGCTTTGGGCCACTTGAGAGACGAGGGCAGCGGCTGGCTGTGCGGAAGGAGGATTTCATAGTGGATGAAGCCATGAAAATCCTGCAGCAGTTGGTGATGTAAACCCTGGGATTATAATGGCATAACACCGATAAACCATCTACTAACTGGTGCAGTATTTCTTCCATCCATTACCCTCTGGTGAACTAACATAGCAATGGAAAATGGCTATTTATAGTGGATTTTCCCATTAAAAATTGTGATTTTCCATTGCTATGTTAGTTCACCAGAGGGTATATGATTGACCATAAATAGGATATTTTATGTGATATTACATACGCGAGCGTGTCTGAAACTGGGGGAGACTCTTGTTATTGGCAATTGTAATGGACCAGCACTATTAGTGACCATCAGTATCAATATGATTCCAAAGTCACCATTGAATTATATAGCAATATTGTCCTCTGGCAAATTAACATAGCAATTGAACATGGCCATTTATAGTTGATTTACCCAATAAAAACATGTGATTTTCCATACAATTGACCGGGCTGTAGTCCATCTTTGGACAGACCCATATACGTTACATAGCCAGGGATGATCATCAATCCATAGGATCAATAGGGTTTTATTCTCTTATTCATTGGATTGATTTAAGGGAAAATCTACAGGAAACCATGGTTTTTACCATCAAATATAGGGCTTTCCTGTAAATTTTCCTATCATCCAATTCTATGACTTATTGGTGGTTTCAAACATTTTTTATTTTCCATAATAGTGCCAACATCGGATTAATCAACCCTCCCCCCCCAGAAGGTCAGAAGTCTACCTTGTAGGTCATTTTCGAAAAAACACCCCTTAATAATAAGCAACTCTGAACCATAAAACTTTGGATATGGCGTACGTCAATTACATCTTAATAGAATTCCATTGGATTTGTTAAAATCTCATGGATCAGAAAGGTGGTTGATTAATCAGGGGCAAACCGTGGTTATTATTAATGGGGGACATGGGCTCATGGGGGGGTACCCTTTGGGAGCTATCCAAACTGATGATTTTTATAAAGATTTTAATTAGAAATCGATCATTTGGGAAATAGTTGTTTTTTGAAATTTTCAATGATCAACTTAAACCTTAAGTATAACAATGATGATAAAAAAAATAAAAAACAATTGGAAATAAATAGAATTGGAAATAAACATTGTTGGATAAAAAAATGGATTTCAGCAAAGGAGGTTGATTAATCATGTCCCAGCCAAACGGTTTATTAATCCTGGGGGGACCACCTTTTTTTAAATTATATACATTTTTTTTTTTGGGCAGAGGGGGTTGATTAATACCGCGGGGATTATTAATCCTAACTTGACATTATATGGGATAATCCTTCCCATTGAATAATATTTTTCAAGATGGTTAAAACCACCAACCAGTTATGATATATATATATACATTAAAATAATTCCCGCAGGATGGATGGCTTTTGCAGTCGCTATCATGATTATATATATATATACACTGTGTATTACTGTATATTGTATACAAGTGCTTGATGGGATGATCATCCACCATCCATTTACCATCGCTGAGCGTTCGGTCCAGGAGGTGATGAGGGAGCTTTCAGAGTTGGAGCGCAAGAGGAAAGCCTTGGAAAGCGAAGCTGGACTCTGAGAGGAAAAGCTTCGACTAGTGGTGACTTAATGGTGACTTAGCAACTGGGATTTATGGTGATCTTTCATGGGATTTATAGTGATTTATGGTGACTTAATGAGGATATAATTAATGGTATTAGTCACCATTTAGAGTGATTTATACTTACCATTTGTAGTGATTTATGGTGATCTTTCATGGGATTTATAGTGATTTATGGTGATCTTTCATGGGATATTTCATGGGGATATTTCAATGGTATTTCTACATCTTGAAAAATAGGGGATTCGCTGGTAAAATCCATCAAAATTTCATGGTGACTTAACCAAGAAAAATGGTAAGACTTCATGGGGATACAATGGGATTTTTTATGGGATATTATTATGAACATGGAGGCCAATAAAATATTGGGGTAAGTAGAACGAGCTAGAGCTACATACACAAGAATCTATTTGGTGAAGTAAAGAGTAGCCTTGGGGCGTACTTCGGTTTGTCGGAAACATATTTAATAGAAATAGATATTTCATGTACAACATATATATAACTATGAAAAATAAATGCGACATAACGACCCCCAAACACGATATGGAAATGAATACCGAACCGAAATAAGAATATCCAATCGATTATATAATCTACCGATTACATTTCCAATTTAAATTCTATTCTAAATATGATATTTATTTATTTATTATATATATATAATATTTAATATAATATATATAATAATATAAACATATTTGGATCTCTGTTTATATATTATTTTCAATTTATATCTTAATATAATTAAATAATATATATATATATATAATAATTATCATAATAATGAATAATATAATAATAATAATATAATAATAATTATCATAAACATTGATATATAGATAATATAATAATAAATAATACGAAAATTGAAGGAATATTATCAAAATAATTATTTTAATAATAATTGTTATTTAAATAATTAATATCCGAATATTGAATATCATAATAATAAATATCATAATTATAAATATTCTTATAAATAATATTTCAAAAATAATTATAATATTATTAATTATTATATTAATATATATTTAATAAATAAATAACAACTAAAAACACCATATTTATATAATATATTTAATTATATATTACAATATTACATATTATTTTATATAATTAATATTAAAATTTATTGATATTATAATATCGATATTATAATATAATTAATATTATAATATTAAAATAATATATATAATTTGATAAATATAATTAATTTATATAAAATTTAAATATATAAAATAATAATAATAAATATTATTTAATTATTATTATTTAATATTAATTTTTATAAAATATTAAATGTAAAAATACATATAATAATATATATAATAATAAATATA